CTATAGGCTTTTTATAGTTCTCCCTAAATATTATACTAGTTAGCTATTATAATCTAATTAGGGGATTTTGCGAGTCATTTTTTACTATGATAATCTAGGTCGAGAATCCACGAGAGCCCGGCCTCCTTAAACGATTGCCCCATTAGGCAACACAATAAATTGGTATTTAGGCACCTAAACATGCTTTGACAACGTGTAAGGCTGATTATGATTAGCATCGCATTAGAGGAATTGAACACGTAACAATACCAATAACTAGGCAACATCTGCCAGCTGTCCTTGTCATCTCGAAAATAACGTATTATTTATAAGGGGGCAGCTCAACGATTCAAAGCTCTTTTCCTTGTTCAAGTCCCAGCTCAAAACTAATACAGTATGCATTTTCTCATTCTTGGCGGCACTCACTACATCGGACGCCTTGTCGCAGAACAATCTCTGGCTCGCGGCCATCAAGTAACAGTCTTCAACCGTGGCAGCAAACCGGCCCCCACCGGCGCCCAAGCCTTGGTCGGCGACCGTCTCGCCCCAGACGGCTACGCGGCCCTTTCCGGCCTCTTCTTTGACGCCGTAATTGACACCTGGGCCGGCGACGCCTCCGCCGTCAAGCGCGCCGTCGCGGCGCTCCGGGACCGCACAAGGCACTACGCCTTCGTCTCCAGCATCAGCGTCTACGACCATGCAGCGTCGCCGGGCCCGTACGACGAGACGTCGGCGCTGCGCGACATTGACAAGACGCCCGTCGCGTACTTTCGGGACAAGCTCGGCTCGGAGCGCGAAGCGGCCGCCTCGGGCGTGCCGACCCTCATTGTTCGGCCGGGGCTGATTGTCGGGCCCGGCGAGACCACACCCGGACGGCTACCATGGTGGCTGCGGCGGATGGAGCGCGGGGACGCGACGATGGCGCCGGGGCCGAGGGATCTGGCGCTACAGTTCATTGACGGGCGCGACCTGGCGGCGTTTCTAGTCGACGGCGCCGAGCGCAGGCTAGAGGGCGCGTTCGATGCGGTTTCGGGCATTGGCCACATCACCATGGAAGGGCTCCTGGAGGCTGCGAATGAGGCTGCGGGTGGCAGGGCTTCGCTGCATTGGGTGGATGGCGACAAGGTAGCGGAAGCGGTTCTCGGGAAGCACATGGAGATACCGATGTGGTTTCCCAAGGAACATGCCGCTATCTTCCAGAGCACGGGCAAAAAGGCAGCGGAAGCTGAGCTGCAAATTCGGCCGGCAACGGAGACTATTCAGGATACGTGGGATTGGGTCGTTGCCAGTGGTTGGAAGATTGGAGATGGTCCTGCAGGTGTTCCAGAAGATGTCGAGGCTGACATTCTCAAGCAGCATGCGGAGTTAAGCAGGGATAGAACTGGAGACCAATAATCACCATCATCCTTTTCTAATTATTTACATAGGATATGAACATATACTTAGTGAGAGACCTTGATTTGGTAGAAGTGAACCTCGGTGGGACCGCTCTTCTGATTGTAGTTGCCAGCCTTGAAGTAGCTCTTCGGTCCATTCAGCTTGTGCGTGTCCAATTTCTGAAACCTCTTGCCATTGATGCTCACCGACAGCACGTTCCTCTCGTATCGAATCTCGTACGTGAACCGATCCCCCTTGGGCACGTGGTCGACATCCACCCTCTTCTGCGTGCAGCTATTCTGCGCGCACAGCTGCACGCCCATCTTCAAGTCGCCCTGCGCGTTATAATACAACTCCGCAACCGGCTTGTGAGACACTGCATCGTCAACGTGAATCTGGCCTATACAGATCTCTCCATCGTTCCTATTCACCCTGAGCTCGCCGAATAGTCGATTAGTGTCGGCGCGCGGATCCCAGCTGACAGGCTGTGCCTCGCGTAGCTCGCAGCGGCAGTGTTTGCTGTGCGGCGTGCTGACGCAGTCCGAGTTGCTCATGTCGCCAGGCACCTTCATGACCAGCGAGCCGTCGGAGGAGTCGGTGTAAAAGTATCGGGGGTTGGAGTAGCCGCGGCAGTCGCCGAGCTGGCCGGCGCCGATCTCGTCGGGGTGGCCGGGCTTGCCCGAGGGGAGCTGCAGCGTCCAGTGGGAGAAGTCAAAGTTGCCGCCGGGGGCACAACTGGGGCGTAAGGCGGCAGACAGAAACGCGCTGCTGAGAAGCAGCGCAACATATGTTGACTGCATACTGATGACCAGTAAGTATGTCTTGCGAGAAATTTTGTCTTCGTTCAAGAGAAACGTCGATGAATGTGTTAGTGAGACTAGTATAGCAGCGATTTCAGCTCATTTCGGGAGGGACATGCTGTTTCCTTTATAGCCTTTCATTCATAAGACTCGTCCCTTCCAAATCGCCCAAATCGTCCATGTACCGCCGGAATCAATCTCCGTCATTCAGCTCTCACGTCAGCGGCAAACTAGAGACGAATCGTGGCACTGCATCGGCCGGTACGGGCAGCACCGACGCCACATCTTCCGACGTTAGTATCCCAACTTGTCATTCACTGAAATCTCGTTGGTGGAATCAACGTGCCCGCCCGGTCACACCGCAACCCAGCAGGGGTCCAAGTATCACCAATCGTCTTTTGGCGGATGGTCTGGTGGTCATGTACTGGTATCATTCATACAATATGTTATTCGCCTAAGATGCATTCATTGCCTTTGCGCCACTCTGTGGTATCTTCTCCATACTGACCGCATCCTAGCTCAGAGATGCATAATGTCTCTCGACCGTTCATTTGCCGTCGCCGCTGGCTTTATGCCATGTTTCGCCCACCATGCTCTGACTCTCCTCTGCTCTCTCGAGTTTCGATGCAGACACGCTTGAATGTCACAGACGCGAAACTCAATGGGCTGGCCGCTGCTCATGCCCAGCAGGAGCCCACGGGAGAAGCAATGTAACCACTCCAGCACCAAGGCATGGCCATACGACGTGGCCGACATGACATCCACGTCGTCCACGTGAATCTGCATGTCTCCCTTTGCCGTGCGCCAGGCTTCGAGCACATCAACGTGTCCGTTTTGGCAGGCCGTGTTGACCACATCGGTCCCGTAAGCAACGGCAATATTGGACGTGTGCCACCACTGCAGCACATCAGCCCGTCCGTGCTGAGCGGCCCATAGCAGAGCGCGCCCTGGTCGCAACACCACAGACTCGTCCTGCAGGGCCGCATCCTGCCACCACTGGAGAACGGCAATGTGCCCATTGGCACTGGCCTGCTCCAGCGACATCTCGGTGTAACGCAGGGGCAGTCCGGACTGCCGCCGCCACCAATCCAGTATTTCCACATGGCCGTATCGCGAGGCCCCATCAACGGCCTCGGCATCGTAGCTGTGTCTGTCGGCGAACCATTGGCTGTGTTTCCAGTAATGAAGCAGCTTCGTGCTTGGGAAGAAGGACGATGCTTTAGTTGGTATCGTGGTACCTTCGAGGGCGTTGATCATATCAGGCCTATTGGACTCGAGATACTCGAGCACTTCTACATGTTCGAATCGGAGGAGAAGCTTGATAAAGAGGGAGGATAGGTGGCTGTATTCACTTGGTGCTTTGGACAGCTTCTTGCATACTGCCGAGGTAGTACAGGTCAAAGCAGTCTTTTCCAGCTCGTGCTCATAGACTCTGACATGGTCTAGCCTATCTTTGGGATCAAGGACCCAGGCCGAGGGCGTTGGCAATGTCGTATAGATGCCAAGCGCCTGTGCCAGCTCCCAGTCGTTGGCTTGTTCAAGAATCAAGGTCCAAATTTCGGGCGGTAGCTGTGGACATTTGGCTCCTTCTTTGAAGCGCATTGTTATACTTGGCATAATGATGCCAGTATCACGGCCGAGACCTAGCAGACTGGCACGATTTTGTATGATTCGTAGCACCTGATGGAACGAGTTCCAGCACGGTACTCGTTTCGCACTGGGACTTTTTCCATAATCCCAGATAATGGACTCAAGGACTTGTATCCATTTCCTCGAAAGATGCAGCCGTTCTAGATGCTCCTTGGTTGTGGCATTAGACCACATGGGCTTGCTCATGCCTGGCACCAACACCATGCTCTTTTGCGAGCTCCATCCTCTCAACACTTCGCCAATCAAAGTATCTGCAATGCCGGCAAGCATCTTGGCAATTCCATCGGCATCAAGCGGCAAGCATATGAGAATATGGGCCCATTCCACTAGGTCAAAGGCCTGCCGACGATAAAATTCGACGTCTTGAGGGCGATTCGGGTGGCCAACAGCAAAGCTTATGTTTTGTATTGTGATGATGGTCTGGGTCATTCGGGGAACGACATCGTCTACAACGGCGCGCATTTCAATATCGGGGTTTTTGGACAAGCGGACGATGAGGGCGTGAGCCCACGAGGTCTCACGTGGGCCGGTGGCGACGATGAGCAGGCGCAGCTTGGGCGGCACGGCCTGCTCGTCAAACAGTACGGAGCGGGATGGGAGAGGTAGCTCTGGCGTTGGTGTGGTGGAATTTATCTCCATGATGCTCGGAGTCTCGGGAGCATCAAAGACACGAGTCACAAGACGTTTTGGCGCACTGCTCGCGGCGCAGAGACGAGAGGATGAGAGCCTAGGAGGTCAAGATGTGTGTCTAGGCGTCGCCAAAGGCTTCCAAGACATGCAGATCCAGCCGTCACATATCCTGTAGTAATGGTTTGGGGGCCAAGGAGAGGCCATGAGCGATTTGCGTCTTTCAGAGATGAGGACATGGAGTGATGTGTTTGGGGCATGTTGAGTGCAGTGTTGGTAGGTAGTAGCTTCAACCTTTTGTGCTACATGGGCGTTAGAGGCTTGAAGCTTGTTTGAGAGGCAGCCACGTCTGTGGTAGCGCGTTTTGTATCGGCAGTGACTAGTCTGGCTGAGGCAAATTGTAGATGCTCTGCTTGATGCCTATACAGTTTACCAGAAGACATTTACATCAACTCATTGCATTTTCTGTTTATGCAATTGCAAGAATATTGCGCAGCATCACAGCACTGCGGCCTGACTGTACTTGTGTGACACGTGACCTTACAGCGGTGATGGACTCTCGGCTTAGGTGAAGAGCCACTGAAGCAGCCGCTAAATTCCGCTAAATTCCAACACGAGCCGCTGAAACTAACTATGATGATGGTCGCTGGTCGCTGGCATGCGGGCGCTTGTCACATTGCAATCTAGGTACCTAACTACCCATTTACAGGCTGTAGGCTACAGCAAACTGGGGATCCACGGCCCGCTCGCCTTTGCATCCGATCCGATGGCAAAACTCTGACTGACTCTTAACGCGTTCTCTGCGTGTATCGCCACGCATCCTCATCCTCATCAATTCCATTCGCACAAGGCTTAGAAAAGCTACATCTGCTTCTCCCCATCTCGAGCTTGCTCACCTTAGCCAATAGCGCCCCTGCTTCTTGCTCCCTGGCTGCGTTAGCATACCGTCTTATTCCGGTTACGGTACCGAGCCGCAACGTGAGAGGGAAAAAAAATCCCTGCGCCCCGCCATACCGACGAGGACAAGACAAGGAAAAAGCAGTCATTGCAAAGCAACACCGATACCATGCTGGATCAAATGGCCAACGAAATCAAGCTCATCTCGGGTACCTCCCATCCAGAGCTCAGTGCTAAGGTGGCCTCCCGGTACGTCTTCTAGTTCCCTCAAACAGCGACCACATCTTCAGACACCATGGCGGCACCGTGCGTTCATTAGCCATTTTCCCCTTCAAGAGCATACACGCACGCCTCAACACGTTTCATGCGAAAGAGACCAGATGGCTAATATGCTACACCTCGCAGTCTTGGCATTTCCATTGCCAACACCATGAGCCTCAATTACTCCAACAAAGAAACTAGCGTCTCCATTGGTGAGTCGGTGCGAGATGAGGACGTCTTTATCCTGCAGTCAACCGCCCCCGGCGACGTCAATGACGGGCTTATGGAACTCCTCATCATGATTCACGCCTGCCGAACCGCCTCGGCTCGCCGCATCACCGCCGTAATCCCCAACTTTCCCTACGCGCGCCAGGACAAAAAGGACAAGTCGCGCGCCCCCATCAGCGCCAAGCTGATTGCCAACATGCTGCAAGTATCTGGCTGCGTGAGTCCCTCCTCTGGTTGCCGTATTGCCACCCGGTACCACTAGGCGGCTAACCTCGAAGCGTCCTGCAGAATCACGTCATCACCATGGACCTTCACGCTTCCCAGATTCAGGGCTTCTTCAATGTCCCCGTGGACAACCTGTACGCTGAGCCCTCAGTGCTGCGTTGGATCCGCGAGAACCTGCGGGTGGACAACTGCGTCATTGTGTCTCCCGACGCCGGTGGCGCCAAGCGCGCCACCTCGATTGCTGACCGTCTCAACACGGCCTTTGCCCTCATTCACAAGGAGCGTCCCCGTCCCAATGTCGTTGGCCGCATGGTCCTTGTCGGCGACGTTCAGGACAAGACAGCTATTCTTGTTGACGATATGGCTGATACCTGCGGAACTGTAAGTGCCTTTCACAGGGTTAAAGTGATGGCTGCAAATGTATACTGATGCCTTGTGTAGCTTGCCAAGGCTGCTGCCACTCTCAATGAGCATGGTGCCAAGGAGGTCTTTGCCATTGTCACTCACGGCATCCTGAGTGGCAAGGCTATTGACATTATCAACCAGTCTTGCCTGTCTGGCGTTGTCGTGACTAACAGTATGTGTACTCAGAATTCATGTTCTTTACTGATAATTGCTAACAAGTCACAGCTGTTCCTCGTAAGTGGCCGAATCCGAGGCGTACGGAAATGGGCGAGAAACTAACATTTCCAGTCGGCGACAAGGCTGATCGCTGCCCCAAGCTCAAGGTTATTGACGTCTCTGGCACTCTTGCCGAGGTAGGCGGCTCACGCTCAAACATGGAGGCCATGGCTAACTTTGGCAGGCGATCCGCCGAACTCACAACGGCGAGTCCGTCTCGTACCTGTTCAACAATGCGCCCGTCTAAGCTTATCTTGGATAAACTTTCCTCATCGAATCTGGAGTTGATGGTACGTGGTGATGTGAGTAGGAGGGTACTGTGGCCGCTACTAACAAGACCACTAGGGTTTTTTTTTTCCGGCTTTTCTTTTACAATTTCTTCACTAATACTCCTTACATCAGCGGTTACGATTCAGCCATGTCAAGTTTCAAGAAATTTTATCTAGGGCGTGGATGTAACCTAAACAAAAAAAAAGTTACGACTCGAAAAAACGACACAAAGAAGCTTTGGCAGAAAAACGAGATGCCAAACAGAGAGAGGTCTGGCCTGGTCTAATTTTGGTTGCACTTTGTTTCTTTCTGGTTGCCGCAGATTTGCCGTGCAGCAAACACAAGCTAGAATCTTACCATTTATTTGAGCTTTTCTTGCTCTTTTCCGTCCCTTTCGAACTGCTTTTGGGATACAATATAGATTTTGAGGGCACTATCCGTGCACGTTCACTTATACGGAGCCATAATTTACATGGGTGCACAAGCCATGCGCGACCCGCGGCATGCAGTCGTGCTGAAGGATTTACCGTTGGGTTACAAAAATGACGATTGAAGACGTGTCAAGGTTCTATGTGGTGTGCTGCTGATCTGGGAGGATGAGTGATGACGTTGCATCATGAGCATGACCTAGAGGTGACAGTGTAGCATTGGTTGCATCGAAGCAAGGCGGCACCAGCACCGTGAAATACAGCTGAAAGGAATAGTCGAAGATTCAGGCAATAACCATTTGCCCATTCGACGTCTTGCTTCAACAATGCGAGCCATTGATATCTGAAAGTTGACCGTGGTACCTGCGTGACGTCGCTCTGGTGCAACGAACGCTTGCGACATGCCACGCAGCCATCGCTCGAGTAGCATGTACTCGGCACCGCATCTACTTTATTATTACCGAAAGAAGCCTCCGTCATCGGAGAGCATGACAGCAGCAAATTACAATGCCAAAAGCAAGTCGCTGTTTCCGCAAGCCGCTATGCTAGAAGGGGGGGGGGGGAGGTCATGTGGTGACGACCGTATGTGGCATGTCAGCCAACCAGGCATCCTTCCGGGGGCCGGTCGTGCAAATGAGAGAAGCCTAGACGAGCTGTCGCGGGCGACAGAGAGAGCGTGGCTTGGGCTTGCACGCGCGCGGTGTGGTTGCTTATTGTCCGCGTGATGGTGACCTTGGATTCCTCTCAGCTTTCGGTGGGAGAAGGGCAAAAGTGTTCATGCAAGCTCAAGTGATGGGGGGGTTTAGCGGCGGGCGACTAGAGGAAACTTTGGGTTGCCGCTGACGCAGAGGGTACGGGTAGCTGCGGGCGTTTTATATGCGATGCGCCGCCTCGTCACTAAATTGCCATGCATCCACGACCCGTGGCTAGTCCCGGCCTGTACATGTGTGTGTGTGTATGTGTGTGTATGTGTGTGTCTACGCGCGCGTGGTTGTATTCTGTGTGCGACCTTTGGAGCATTTGTGCCCAGGATCTGGATTGCCCATCTGAGATACGGCGGGTTTCCGGGGGAGGAGGGCGATTGCTGGTTGTTGCGGAACGATCGTGTTTGATTGTCGCTGGCCACATGACATCGACTTGTCGACTTATTGCTGCTGCGCTTGGTTGCCATTCAGATACCGTTGTCGGCCATTTGTCAACCAAGTTCAACTTTTGTGTGTCGTTTGACGGCAAGTTCTTGTCTTGGGACCGGGCTGAAGAGAGCACAGGCGACAGCCAAGGCTGTCACGCTGAAAAAAGACCTTGGCCCCACCATCGTCAAGTTGTGGAGAAGGCCAGGGCCGGGCAAAAAAAAAAACACCAAGGTCGTTCTCACAGTCATGATCCATGACAAGACGAGAAAACAACAATTGCCCACCATCAGACCCCCGTATCGCGTCTCAGTCGCCGCGCCGAAAATCTGTACCATGGAAATGGGCAAAAACTAGCCTATCTTGGGCAACCAATTTTCGCATTCACTTTAAGATTCCAAGCGCCAAAAATAACCGCCATTCAACGGAATAAGGGCATGAAAGTCAGAGGGCGGTTGGTCGAGCGGTTTCGCCGCCATTTTGTTGCTGATGCAGCAAAAAGTCTATGTCGAGGGATTGGCGCGTCCGTCGGTCGGCGTGAGGCAGTACCGGAGTAGGGAGGCGCACAGTGCGTCCACTGCGGGGACTGTGCCGGAGTAGTGTCGCTGCTGGTGGCCGGATTAAATTAGAAGTGAAATTTTGCCTTGTTCAATTGAAAAGGAGGCATTCTCGTCTCTATCAATCTCTTGATTTATTGGTCAGGTTATTTCTCAGCCTTTTTCTCGCATGGAACTGATATCACTCGGTGCTGTCGTTGATGCAGCCCTTCTTACAGTGCGCAGTCCGGACTCGTACTCAGTAACGGCCTCCGCGGTCCGGCTACCGGGGGGCATTTCCAGTAATACATACATGACCAGGCAACACACTATCTATGTGCCCGTGTCCTACTTCTCTGCCGCCGACGCCCCCCCGCCTTCCTTACGAGCCTGGTTAGTATTTTAGCCATGTTGTTTTTCCCATTTACTCTCCTCTTCTTTCCTCGCCCTCTCTCTCCAGTCTCCTTTCAGACCAATAGGGAGTCCTACCGGGAGCCAACGATGAGGGCCAACTTCAACGCTCTCTCTCGCCGCCCGCTTTAACCGGCCGAGCGAGAGAAACAAAAGCCGTCCTAGTTACGAAATAGCAACTATGATAAATAAAAACACATTGCATCTCCAAAACTGGACTGGGATGGGGCCGTTGATCCGCTCTCTTACAGGTCAGCGGGGCCCCCAAGGTTGGTCGCTCTTCGGTTTCCGCAAGTCTGGGACCATGCAAGTACCCCAGCCCACGTACCGGCGCCAGCTTTAGTACAAGTACACGCCTTCCTCACCTCCATCCAACCATCTTTTACCTTTTTTTAACACAAACCTACTTCATCTTCATCACCCTGACCTCTCGACAATCCTCCATCTCATACCTCGCTTCTTTCGTCGACAATAATTGCCAGACGCACACACCAGCAATCATATAGATCACATACACAATATACACGCACCAACACGCACTTCACACACATACACGTACACGTCCTCGCCATGGCCACCGAAGCAGCTTCCCCCCAGGCCCAAGCCGGCCCGGCCAAGTCTGTTCCTCTTCAGCAAGAGGGTCCTGCTCGCTACTGGGCCCGCGACGGCTTCTTCCTTACCACGGACAAGACGTTCCTTGACCCCTTTGCCGTCAACGACATCTTTGACACGGACCTCATGTGGTGGAACGACCCCCTGGACATTGACCAGATGCGCAAGATGCTCTCCAACTGCATGACCCTTGCCATCTACTCTGTCCCCGACACAGCCGCCGAAATGAAGAGTAAGCCCGTCCACTTCCACAACGTTTGACCAATTCTTGGCGCCCTCAGCGAGCTCCTTCAGTTGCCCGTGCTGACGTGGTTATTCAGGTAATGGCGGCCTGCCCCGCGAACCTTCAGGCCCAGACTGCAAGCTCGCAGGCCTCTGCCGCGTAGTTACCGACTACGTCACCTTTGCCTACCTCACAGACGTCTTCATCCTTGACGAGTATCAGCGCCGCGGTCTCGCCTCGTGGATGATGCGCGCACTCAAAGAGGTCGTCGACGGCTGGCCCAACCTGCGCGGCCTCGTCCTCATGACCCACGACTCGGCTGCCGCTCGCATGTATCAGCGTGAGCTCGGCGCTCTCGACTTTGACGAGGGGCCCTCGGCCGGTCTAGTCGTGCTCGAGATGCCTGGAAACGGTGTCAAGGACGTTCCTGAGGACCACTAAACTCGAAAACGACAATCAGGAATTCATTGCACAACGTTTCGCAAGTTTCATGTCCTTTGTCTCTTCACCACGAACAGTTTGCATCACGAGAGTTGTTTTTCCCACATTCGGCTGCGCAAAGTAGCCTATGTCCCGTCAATGCTGGCTTTCGAATATGGTAGTGTACCTCGAAACCAGACATGGCCAAGCATATTCGCCATTTACTTTACATTCTACGTCTTTATTGGCTTGTGCCACATTCGGTCTCGCTAGACTTGGGGAAATTTTCAGAGTTTTGCTATTTGCGTGCTTACTTGTTTTGTATCGAAGATTCGCTCTCGACTTCAAAACACCTTCTGCCAGAAAACTTGGTAGCAGAGGTATAATTCTGGGTATCATGTGTGGGTTTTTATAGGCATCAAAGCTTGTTTCTTTTTCTTATTTAGTTAGCGGCTCTTGGACGACAGCGCAGCCCGCATCTCAATCGCCCGCTTATACGGCGGCGCAATTGGCGGCTGCACCGGGTCCAGGGAGACGTGATCCTCGGGCAGCGTGTAAGAAGCGTCCGAGTCAAACGCGGACAAGTCGCCGCACGCAATAAACGGAGCAATCCACCTCTTACTCGGATCCGTCGTCGACGTACGCATTGTATCCCCCTCGTCATCGTACACCTGTCGCTCCTCCACCACATCGTAGTCGTTGTCATGCCCGCCGCAGCCGCCCACAAACACGTCCCAAGTGCCCCTCTTCTCATCTTGCATGACGCTGCTCACCACCGCAGGCATCCGCCGCCGTTTGTCCTCGACCATGTCGCCGAGCCGCTCCCCAACGCCCAGCGGCTCCTCGAGGCTCGCGCGGAACCCCGGCGGCGGCCGAAAGTTGATGCACACGATAAAGGCCTCGACGCTGCTCGCACGACTGCTCCGCGGCTTGGCCACGACTACCTTTTCAAAGAAGATTTTGAGCTGCGCGTACAGCACGTCGACGCCGCGCCCGCGGAAAATCTTGGCCACAAACTTGCCGCCCGGCCGCAGCACGCACAGCGCCAGATTGAGCGCCGCAAACAGCAGCTGCGACTGCACGTAAATGTCGAGGTCGTGCAGGCCCGTCACGTCGGGCGCGCCGTCGCTCAGCACCAGGTCCACAGGGTTGGTCGCCTTGTCGCCGTGGTGATTAGCATCCGGATCGAGCGCAGAAAGCAGCAGCGGCACCGTCGCGGGGTGCGTAATGTCGGCGCGCAGCGTCGTGATGCCCGCGAGCGGCGCAATCGGCTGCAGGTCAATCGACACAATCTTGACGTCGTCGCGGGGTTGGGACGCGGCGTGCTGCGCGGTGAGCGCCCGGGCGAGTTCATCTTTTGCGTCGCTCGTCGTCGTCGTCGTCGTCGTCGTCACCATGCCTAGCATCTGCTGACGCAGACGCGCCTCGCGGTCCTGCCACGCCGCTCGGCCAAACTTCTCGCCCTGAATGAGCACCCTCGAGAGCACTTGCGACCAGGACCCGGGCGCGGCGCAGAGGTCAACGACGCGGGAAACGTTGGCAAAGAGGTCGAATTCTACTAGATGGGCAATGAAGTAGGGGTGTCAGCGCTATGATGGGCTCAATCGGTGGCCAGCTCAAGATCCTGGAAGATGAGAAAACGGCGTACCCTCGTCGAGCTGCAGCAGCTTGAATGCGCTCCGGGCTCGCCAGCCTTGCTCCTTGGCGAGGCGGTAGTAGGCATCGCGCTTGTCCTTGGACGATTTGCCCATCGTTTGGCCGTCTTTGCGCCGCGCTTGTGCGTGGGGGTGCTGTGAGAGGAGGGGCGGGATTGCAGTTGCTGGTGGTCGAGGTTTTTTTTTTTCCTTGGTGATGCCCCGCGGTGGGTGGTTGACCTCACGCTAGTGACGCAGCGGCTAACAGTGGACTTGGCTGTTCTGTAAAGATGGTCGAATGACGTGTTTATCCGTTCAAGGAAAGATATTGATACGTAGACTGGGGTGTTTTCAAAGTACTGGCTAACGTCTAAATAATTCTAGCTATTACCATCACTGAATGCTCGCGTGTCAAGCACCTGATTAGCACATTACTCATGACTTCAAGTCGTATATCGAAGTGTCATGATCAAGGTCCCTCTATCTCGATCAGAATTATGGTGCTACATACAAATTCAGGCAGTTCTACGTCCTGCCAAGTCAATATACCTAATCATATTCGTCTTTTGCTCATCTAAAAGGAAGAAAAGTGTACCAAGCAAAGCCAAAACTGGAAAAAGAACCCTCCGCAAAGAAATCATCGACTTTTCACCTTTCAATAGGTCTATTAATGTCGTTGCGTTAACATCATGTTCTAGTTTATGATGGTTGATTAGGGGCGGCATTGATAGCTTCGTGTTGGCCTAACCCATTTGTCCTCGGCCGAAGGGGCGACGCCTGAAGCCTCTTCTGGGACAATTATTGCCTTGCGCAAAGCGCGACCGCGCTTTGAATGGCCACATATGCGATAACACGGCTTGGGAGCGGCATGTACCGATTGTCTTGCTTGTTTGCTTAGACGGCAAGTATTGGCGTTCGGCATTGCGCCGGCGCCGACCGTGGAAACTTCGGCTGCAAACATCCCCGGATGTCTTCCAAAGTTGCAAAATACTACAAAGGCTCTAGCATGGAGACTTGAGTAGACATTATCATTCATTTTGCATATTTTTAATGATGGTAATACTGATTAACGTAAGTCTGCATAGCATGGAGCATCAAAACTCGCAGAGAACCCGACGGGCAACGACAGTCTATCAAGTAGAGACGCCGGCCAACAGTCTGCCGGGAAATGGTGACAAAAAGGCATTTCGGACTAGCATGAGACCATGAGGTGAAGATCAAGGATGCATGCAAAAAACAGAAACGATAAAACCTAACGACCCTTGAGTATATAACAGGCGCGGAACTGCTGAAACAAAAAACGAGGCTCGGTCCAGAGCCATAACGCCAGTAAAACTCCAATGTAATGTCCGTCTAAATAAATTGGTTCCGTTCTTTAGTGCAGCGATATGTGCAGTCCAACTGTAGAATTATGTGTTATCACCTTCGTTTGGCGGTTTGTCATACGCTGTATCTGGTAAATGCAGAAAGATGCGTGAAGATGCGCGACGTAGAGGAGGAGAGAAGAGGATTCTCAAATTGAGCATCTTGTCGGGGTCCCAACAAGGTCGCTTCTTCCAAGGATGCTCGACTTTTCTCGGTAAAGATGGTTTTACCAGGAAAAGGTCATGAGAGCCGGGTTCAGGGCAAATGGCAGCAAGAAATGACTGGCCGCGACCGTCGACATGGGTAGGATGGCGACAAAGTCGGTGATGCGCCAGTCGTGGGGCACAAATGGCGCGACGGCAAGAATAATCATGCCCACAATGGCAACAAGGGCGAAAATGATTGAAAACTTGAAGCTCTTGAGCACCTTCGGCACCTCAATAAAGAAGTTGGAAAACTCGGCCTCCTTTGACGTGGAGCCCCAAGTCATGTTGATCTCAAACATGTGGGCGAGGAGAGCCTGGGAGACGTGGAGGGAGAGACCGCCGAGGAAGATGGCGAGCATGAGAGTCCATTTAAAGTTTTCGTAGATGGCGTAGAGCAGGCTGCGCTCGCCGATGCGGTAGCGCATGATGGCGAGGGACACGTTACCGAGGCCGTTGAAGACGATGATGATGGCGAACCAGACCTGCCACGAGTCGACGTAGTACTTGTCGAGGTAACCGTTGTACCAGCCCATGAGGAAGTAGTTGACCGTCGTCATGATCCAGGCGGCACCAATGGCGTAGTAGGTGCCAATGTAGGAGATGACGGTGATCTTGGAGGTGAAGCGAATGTTGGAGAAGAGAAAGGTGCGGAATAGGGGCGTGAAGGGACCGCGCCACAGCCAGGTGCGAATGGGGTGGAAGAGGAGCTCGTTGCAGCCGTAAGCATATTTTTCCCAGCGCGCGAGCTCGTCGTAGACGGTCAGCGAGACGCCTTCTTTGAAGCCCTCGCCGGCCCAGGCAGCCAGGCGGATAATGTAGCCGTTGCACTGCAGGCGCAGTGACATGTCGAAATCTTCCGAGACGTGGCTCTCGGACCAGAACTTGTCGTAGCCGTCCTCATCCTGGTACGAGACCTGCTGAATGGCGGACCAGCGGAGAAACGCGTTGTGGCCGACAAAGGGGGCGACGTCGCCGTTGGAGACGGTATAGCGAATGGCCGAGTAGATGAGGTTGGTGAAGAAGGTGATGCCGTTTTCAAAGTACGTGTGGACGACCTGCATGACGCCCGACGAGAATTGCATAATGCCGACGTCGGGGCCTTGCTCCATCTCGGAGACGGCGTCGAGGAAGCAGTCGGCGGGGACGCGCGTGTCGGAGTCGATGAGAAGGATGTAGTCGCCGACGCGAATGTTGCCATCAGCCCAGGCACGGCCGTTCTCCTCAAGCACTTCCTTGAGGGCCTGCTCATACGCGAGCGCCTCGTCGTGCTGGCTCCAGTCGGGGGTGCGATGGGCGAGCAGTAGCTTCTCCTCGACCTTGCACGAGATCATGAGTGCGTAGTTCATGTTGGACGCCTTCTTGAACTTGCCCTTGCGGACAAAGCCGTCCTCACCGTGCTTGGGGCGCGCGACCCAGCCAATGCTGTTGTCAGCGTAGAATTCGATGCGCGCGCGGCGATCCTCTTCCGGCAGCAGCTGCAGGCCGTCGTCGTTGATAAACATGTTGGCGGAGCCGCCCTGGAGCTCGTAGGTGGACATGGCCTGCTTGATTGACTTGACAGTGGGCATGATGACGCCCTGGAGACCCTCCTTGTAGACGGGGCACTGGATGGTGACGTGCGGCAGGACGGCCGTCGTCAGACGAGGCGGTGGGCGGGCCGAATAGAACTTGGAGTTGACGGTGAGCTGGCGGATTGGGCCAAAGATTTGAGCCAGACAGCCGACAATGACCTGGGCGAAGAAGAGGGTGAAGAAGATTTGGAGGGGCATGAGCGCAACGAGGGCGAGGCGCATGTACGAGTTGTCGATGGACACCTCAATGGCCAGCTGGCGCCAGGCCGCGCCGAGCGAGACAATAACGAGGATGAGCGTCAGAGAGACGAGGACAGTATTTTGCAGGTGGACCGGGCGGGTTTCGGGCTTGACCTCGCCGCTTTCCTCATCAATCTCAGCCTCGGTCACGGCGCCGCGCTTCTCGTCATCCTCCTCGTCGCTGTTGCCGGCCTTCCAGACGAGCTCCATGAGCTCCGACTCGATGGCCTTGGCTCGCTGCACGAGGTGCAGAGCGTCATCGTCCCAGACGACCAGCAGGCCCTCGGAGGCGACAAAGGCGGCAAATTGGTACTTGCGGGCGCGGGGCAGGTCCTCGATGGTGGGGAGAATTTGTACGCGGAGGCCGTTCATGAGCGGTACGTCGACGGCATCGGGGGACCATTGCAAAAAGGTCTTGATGACGCGAGAGTTGACCGTCATGGCGCACTGAGAAAGAAACGAAAGTCAGTCAAATGAGACGCATAAGAATGAGAGTTGAACGGAGTTCAAGACTTACCTGGACATTGAGAGCGCAGCAAGCTTGCGCAAACGGCGAGTGGACAAGCTGGGGCGGGCAAGCCATGTACTGTCCGCGCGACTTACGCAAGAGGACACCCTCAATCTCGCCGGAGCCGTCGCTGACCCAAAGCTGGGAGCACTGCTGCTGGTAGAGGTAGTTGACCATAACTTCGTGCTTGATCTCGTCAAGCATGTAGGAGCTCTGGTTTGACGGTGTCGAGTGGCCGGAGCGTGTCGAGCCGGGTCTGGAGCTGTAGCGCGGCGTGGGCGCCTGCAGCTCCATTTCGTTGCCATTGATGGGTTTCTCATAGAACACCGTGCTCTGAGCTCGCTCCGGTCTTTCTGGTCGTGTAGGAGCGGTAAGCGGCTGCGGCGACGGCGACGGCGCAGAAGCCTTGTTGCCCTTGTCGGCGGACTTGAAATAGCTTCCGAAGCCCATTGCGGCGAATTATTGTGCGATTGAGAACAATCGTGAAACTTTTTATGTTTGGAATCAACTCGTCAAATTATTGAAGTCGTCAAACCGAAGAAGGGGGGAGAAAAAACGTCCCGACTGGTTGTACGGGTTTGGCGCTCTGTGGTTGTGCTACTGAGACATGGGGAAGCAGACGAGGTAGGGTGGGAAGCGAGACGAGTTCGAGAGCGAGAGAATATGCAACAAGAAAAGAAGGAGGAACGAATGGGATGATGAGCAAAAAGGAATCGCCAGTGCTCTAACGTGTATGAGTAAAAAGAAACAAGTTAAGCGAAGAAATAAGAAGAGTCAAGGCGACGGGGCAGAGGCGTGGAGGAAGGAGGGCAAGATACTGGTAATAAAGAATGACGAGGTCCTGGCTAATACGGGTCGAGCGAGCAGCAACGGTTCCGATCTTTTGGGTAACCATCAGCCTCGATCTTTTTTATTTTTTTACCCTCAAATCATCCATATGTTTGTAGCGTGTGCTTGTCCCCCTGTTGCGCATTGTGCGGTAGGATAATAATGAGAGGCCACCCAAAAAAAAGAGCTATCCGCAGCAACACAAAAGGCACTAAAACTTGCAAGACAATGGAGCGGGGAGTGGAAACCTGGGTAATGTGTGGACAGGGGGGGGCGTGGCCGGAGCAAAGCCACACCATTCAGCAACAGGGGGTGGATGAGGTGAACGAGCGACGCTGGAAAAGGGTTCTGCAAAACGGCGAAATATGCATTGCGTTGCCAAGTTTTTTTTTTTCGCTATAATAAAAGGTAATAGTTCAGCTCAACTGCTCAGCAGACAGTCAAGTGGCGGCTGGCTGGCAGCATATTTCGGCTGCAAATAGGCACCGTACTGGGCAGGCATCAAGCTGCATTGTGCGAGCCCTGTATCCGTAACTCCGTAATCTGTGCACCCGGAGCAACTACAGCGAGGAGAATACGAAGCAGATTATTTTGTTTTCCTTTCCTAGGTTCACTTTGACCAATAAGTCAAACTCGTGTGCTGGCTGTCTGTGATGCCCCATCCTATCAACACTTATTTTTGGTAGCATGCCTTGCACAACCCGAGCTGCCAGGGCAGAGTGGCCGTTCACTGGCTGAAAAAGTCATAGTTGGTTAGCCGAAGAGCTTGGCACTCATGGCCAGCAAAGCAGGATACGATGAAAATATCCAAGCGCCCCTGGGTTTTACCAGTGTTGGCAAGCTTTGGCTGACCTGCCGCACTTTGTTCGTACCGCATCGTCCCAGTCGGAGGGGGCGCTAGAACGTGTATGGGCTTCAGGTAAGGATGGACCCGCTACCGGACTTTTTCCACCTCCACTACTCCGGATAACACTGGATTAATACTGGTAATTATAATAATAGCGAATCAATTCATTATTTCGGATAGTGCAACAGTCCGTCTCTCACTACATTGAACCTCTAGGCCCTTTGGTGGTCCAAAGCTTCTCCTGCAACGGCAACGCAGGTCGTTTAATGCCCGCTTCTTGCTGCTACATAAGGTAGCTCGGCCGCCAACCAGCCCAGGCCATCCTTCCCGGGCCCTTTCTGTGGCCGTAGCGTACCGTGACAACGTATCTGGTTGAGGTGCCCGTGTTTGCAAGACGATGTCATGGTCGCAAAAAGCAATATCTGCTATTTACCGCTACTTATTTTTCTTTTTCCAGACAAAGTCTCAAATGTCGTAAGTAGTGTCTACAACATCCACATCGCTGTCAATCAAGATGCTCCCTCGTCGGGCGAATCGCCCAGGTAATGGGGCCCTACCAAGTAGGCGCTCTCGTGCTGGAAATCCAGCGGGCATTGGCTCACGGCCACGCAGAAAATCCTGAAACCCGCTCGCTCCGCTCCACCGCCGCGGCGCTCGACACAACGTGAGCGCTTGCCGCACGCAAAGCCTCTTTTAATTAATTTTCTAATTTTTATCACTCTTTGGCTGTCAACACGGACTCGCAGGCCTTGCATATCTGTCCATTTTTTCCCACCCGTTCCCAGTGGTCGGACGGTTCGCCACCACCACCACCACTACCCAGCGAGACATTGCCAATATGTCGGCGCATCTTGTCGCCTCGCTTCACTCACCGAACGTAGCCAAGCCCAGCAATTAAAGAATGCCCAAAAAACACCACAGTTCACCGTAGCCTATTTGATGTAACTCCACGAGCCAACGTGGAGCCGGCCACGGCCGGTCCAGTTACCCGGGCTGCTGCTGGGATTTTACCCGCCTGTGCGTTGTGTGCCTGTGCCTGTGCCGTGTGGCTAGTGAGATTGGGGCCTTCACCGCGAAGTTTGTCGGGCCCTAAAAGCGGCGGCATGTCTTCTTTCTCGGTTTTTTTTTTCTCGGCTCTTGCCTGCGCCACAGCTCGATTGACTGAAGAGCCGTCACGATGCTAGCTTCTTTGCACCGTCATGCTACGCCAGGAATGATAAGCTAGCTATGCATTCACCTTGCTTGGTTGGGCAGGCATCTCGCGCCGACTTTCTCAGCAGAGGAATCAATTGTCTCGTGCCACAAATTGCTCTTCATCTGTTCTTTCAATTGTTGCCAGATGCTAATTAGTCTGCTGACCGTTGTTGCTCATGGCCACGTGCACCGTCTCTCACCTTGTGCAAGGACACAGTTCTGTCAATGGGTAGAAAATTGAAGTAAATGAAATAAATTGAAATACCGGACATGACTCATCGTGTTCGCTTACCTGACGAATGAACCACGATCCGCGGCACCTGCCAGCTGGGACGCGTCGTCTGCGCAGCCACTCATGCAAACGCCGCTGTGGCATCGTAATCTGGCGACTCCGGTTCTGGGACTTTTGAATAACTAGCCTTGTCCAAACATATGTACGAATTCATGTCATTACCGATAATGCATCACGCACGAAACTGCCCCGTGGTCAGCCTGCAATGTGCAGTCGGGCCCTTTGAGTCGCGGGGTCGGGCACACCATGCCATGATTGGGACAGTGTGCACAGCTGCAAATGATGGCATCGCGACTACGGAGTAACATGCATGTCCGGTGTGCACCCTTACGAGGAGGAATAAATAGCAACACAGAATATTGGCGTCTACAGCCACACGCATGTCTTACCTCCCTCACAGGCACAACGACGACATCAGCGTATCAATTACGGGTTCTTTATGCATGGCTTCTCGAGAAAAATAGGGTCCGGTGATTCGAGACCAAACAGGCACATTGGTTGGCAACTGATACGGTAAATGGCTCAGCTTTCGTCTCGCACAATTACTCCTTTTACTGTTTTTTATTTTCTTTTTTCTTTTCAAGGTCGCCGTCGCTCTCCATGAGCCTGCAGCTTGCCAGCCAGCCAGTTATGCAGCCACGAATCCACGACTCCAAAAATAAACAGGGTAGCCTTGCAGTCTTGAAGTCGGGCGCCGGCAGGTTCTGTGTGTGTGCCAGCGCACGTCGATTCGCAGCTTGACATGGTGTACTGGTATCAGAGGCGAATCATAGGTTCGGCCACGGAAAAGGCAAAGGACGTATGTACGAGGGCATGAGGGCTGCCCATGCCATCCATGCCATGCCGCACGCTGGGGCGGCCTGTCCCGCCAGCGTACCTCAAGAAAGCGGTGCGAATGGCGTGTGGCAAATGTAACCATCCACGGTGCGCATGAAGATGGCGACTTCATCTATTCCTGCAGCTGTCACCGGGCGTTATATTACAGCTTTGCTGCACGAGAACCGTCCAGGAAGGCGCCCAGAACTTTCTTCTATGCTTGATCCAGGGTGTAATCCCTTCGATGCTATACCAGTGCTTTGAGTGATTTCTGACAGTCACTATCCCCCACGAGCGGCCCAGCTTTGCTTCTGCTTTTTGTTTCTTCTTTTCGACAAGCAAGGTATGGATCCTGCCGGATCAGCATTTGCCGTCGCTAGCGTCCTAGCCGGAACAAGGGGACCCCTGCCCTCTCTATTCATGTTGAAAAACACAATGTCCTTTGTTCTGGCCGATCTCTGACAACCAATCGCCAAGACCATACAAAGCACGGCAAGTAGCCAGGCTGTCTCTCAGCTCGTATACGCCTATACCGCCAGCCTTTCATCAGACGCCAAACTCCAATGATAGCCCAGGGGCTGTTTAGGCTCGTGCGGGGCGGGCTGAAGCCCGCTGAATAGCCACTGATGGGGAATCTCTTCATTTATGCGCAACAAAAATTCGTTAGAGGCAAAGAGGCTGAGATTTGTTGGTTCTCAAGTAGAGAGGTTGGATCAAGAAGACGCGCACCAACCCCATCGCCATAAGAGGGGATCTTTTGGCTGGGTGGCTTGGGGCAAGGCATCCGAGATATGGAGAATGGTCGTTGCGCTCGCCGCTGGTCTGGCTATGGCAACTCTCAAAGCCATGTCTCAAGCCACAGGTAAAACGATCCTGAGCCTAGCTGAACGACAACTGTGATCGCATGGCTGAGGAGACATTCATTTTTTGCGCGTGAATGTAGTATGTATGTATGTCTGCTATTTCCTTCCCAGGTATCCTGCGCAGATATTCCGCGCAAGATTCGTTTACGATTTGCTTAGATTTTTGGTCGATGTTCTTGCCGGATGCAATACCCGGCTCCGTAACAAGTACTCCATAGACGAGTCGTGATTGGCGGCATAGTGGACAAGCACCCATCCATGCACAAGAAGAACCAAAGAAAGATGCCATTTCACAAGCCATTCATTGGCCGTTGTACTCGTTCACCGTCAGCCCTGTACACGTCACTTTCAGCTTCTTGAGCACAACTCCACCGTGCCACAGGAGAAGATTAAAAAAAAAGGTTGAAAAAGTAAGACGATGGGCCCCCCACCCTCTCCGTGGCCTCCGAGAGCTCCGGGTGCGAGAGGGTGGACAAAAAAGGCCGGCCGGACTCGCTTTCCTACTTGGGACAGCGGCATGATGCTGCCGTCCCAAGCGGATCATGATATGCCTCGTGCGTGGCGTGGGGCTGAGAGGCGAAAAAAAAATTAAAAATTAGAAAAGGCTTTGAGATTAAGAGTAACGATGGTGATAAGAGTAGAGTGGAATGGAATGATACGCACGATATCGATATGCATGGCTTTTGCCTGCATGTCGCTTACAGCACCCTCAAAGGGTCGAACGATTTCGAGTCATGCATTTATTGCTGGGCATTGAACCATTCACGGACAACTTCATCTCATATGCCGATAATGATGGACTGTCGAGAACAAAAACCAGGCATGGGCCATTGCTAGATCGCTGCATCATTGTCGTCCCCAGTCAATCTAATAATAGGAAAAGAACTATTCTCCCGGACCAGGGTCCCCAGTCCACTGGCTGAATATCTAGGCGACAAGAATTGCCGAAAAGCAAGGTCCCCTGGCCTCTCAATACGCGGCAACGTTGTCAGCGGCTCAATAGCGTGCGGTTCAGCGTCGCAGTTGTAATCAAAAAGGCAATCTCAGAAAACGGTGCGGCGCTACCAACTGTACGCCAGGGTACAAATCCTTCACCACTGAATTCTCATTGAGCGTGTTGCTTGGCTTTGGTGTCAATTCAATCTACTAGAAGTGATGTCTTTCTCAAAAAGCGCCCTCTTTACATGTCATCGGAACAACAGTTGCAACCCAGCTCTCACCACCCGTGAGCGCCAAGCTCGCGCAAAAAGGGCCGATGAGGACATTTTGCTCAGATGGTGGTGCTTGCTCTAAGCTAGCAACATGTTGCTTCTTTGCGTGCGCCGAGAGCTCTCGGCTTTAGTTGCACCAGCCCATTTTCATCCATGTGTGCAGGTTGTTTTTTTAACCACTCAAACTGCGGCAGAAGTAATACCGAACCCTGAAGGGCTACGGATTACTCCGCTCTGGTTTTTGGCCTTGGGCGCCAACGACTCAAGTACCTGGAAGCGCGGGGGGGGGGGGGCGGTTGGAAGACACCAAGATGTAGATACATGCCATGCATGTTTCGCTTCTTGTTACCAGCCAAAAGGTCATCGGTCAGGAACTCTACGCCATTGGTGTAACTTGAAAATCCATGTGGCTGTCATGTATTCTAAAAATGAAATGAAATATGAAAACATGTCGTAATTGAGCCGCCAGCGGTGAGCGGAATACAGCCAAAAGAAACCAGAGAGACAGTTTCGCCCACAGAGCCCAAATATAGACGTGCGGAAATCCATTTCCAGACGGTCTGGAAATCGGCCGACAACATAGAGAAAAAAAACTTTTTAAACCAACCACGACGCAGACAGCCGGATTCGGTGTTCAGCTTGCCTCGCAGCCCTGGCTAGATCGTACCGCGGCCCCTCAGCACCAACAACCCAAGGCAAGCCCTGGTCAATCTTGTCTGCCGTGATACTTGAACGTCAAATAAGCAAGAAGAAGAAGGACAGGAAGAACCACCGGCTCGCTTAAGCAACCTGCGGGCAACATCCGGGATCCCTTGCTTTCCACAACGTATCCGCGCGGATTCGCCAGGACTCGAGAGATCAGTCGGAACGTGCATGATGCCGGCACATGTACTGCCGCCGACGCTGGCCCCTGTCACAACAAAACTCGGAAAATCCTCAATAATTCAACTTCAGCCTTGGAAAAGCCCCCAAATATCGGTAATACCGTGGAGCTGGCCGTTGCTCAGCCACAGCGACTGTTCAGATAGGGCACATGTGACGAGAGTGTAGCTCGTGATTCTGAATGTTTACCTGCTGCAACTGGATGAAAGGAAAATCTCCCCCCACCCTCCAGCCCTAGAATCATGGCGAAAGTTTAGTCTTTTTTTTTAAAAAAAAAAAATAATATCCAGCTCGATCAGCATGCGACCACTGAGCTGAGCTCGGGCGTCGCTCGCGCGCCGCCTTGATCTCCCGCCCCCCCCCCCCTTCTGGTGATGCGCTTCTTCACCGTGGCACTCTCCCGTATCTGAACTGTCAAAGCACCGACGCGCCCACCCTCTTGCATGAACAATTTGACATGTGTCATTCTACATATTCTCTCTTTCTCCCTCTTTCTCACATTATTTTATATTTGTATTTTTTATATATTCTTTTTTTTTTTTTAACTTTAAAGAAGCCTCGCCAAGAGTGCCAAAGTTTAATGTCACGGCCCCACTGATGAAACGGCTCTAGGTACAGTCAGACAGGGCTTGAACAGATCATGGCGTAGTAATCGCAGCACCTCATAGCAATGAGTAGAGGAACAAGAATCTCGAGATAAAGATAGCGAGGGAAAAAAAAAAGGCAATCTCGTACAGCATGACGGCAATCTTCGACCCGGTTGCATTTGGTAACTAGCCGCCAGACGCCTCGTATTGTCTCGGTCCACAGCCCAAGGTGAGACAACGGCGCTCCAGAACCTTGAAAGATCTGGGAGGGTCCAAGACATCATTACGTAGCTTGGCTGGCATGCTGATTGCTGGCTACCTGTACTTGCTAGCATGGTTCAATTCAAAATCTTCATAGACGTGGGGGATGATTCGAGATCATTCTCGTTTTTCTCCGTTCAATCCTCAATTGATAAACTTGTGCAAATATACCTCAATAAGACACATGACGCAAACTGCAACTCTTTGGCGTATGCCTGCGCCTAAACTACCCAAACCCATATGCGAATGACAATCAACTAGTCCAGATTGACTTGCCTATCCTCTTGTCTATGATGCCATTTGATCTAACGAAAAATGAGGAGATAAAAAAAAAGCGGAAAAGAAACAAAAAAAGACTTGCTCGTGATTATGTAGTCATAGATGGTAAAGGAAAAAGGGGAAAAGAATAGAGAGATACAAGTTTTACAGCTCTTCGTCGCCGTCGCATTGTTTTTGAATCACCACGCGCTGAATCTCCATCTGGGGCTGCTTCCACGTAGGGTGCCAGTCCTCGCGGGCAGCCCAAAAGTCCTTCTTGGCGTTGGGAGACCCGTTGACCCAGGGCTTGAGCGATTTGTTGTCCTCGAACCAGCCGTTGGTGCCGCCCACGGCCAGGTTAATGATGAGATAGAATTCCTGGTCAAAGGGCGTATTCTTGCGGCCAGTCTGACTCCAGACGTCGGCTAGGCGGGTACCGTTGCTGGTTGTCTGCGGGAAAGCGCCGCGCTGCCACATGGGCTTGTTAAAGTTGGTGTAAAGTACCTGCATCAGGCGCGTGTTGACGTAGGTGAAGAGGTACTTTTGCGACCACTCGAGGCCAAACGTATTGAAGCTGTCACCAAAGTCGCCGCGCAGAATCTTGTGCTTATTGTTCGTCTTCCACCAGGCGTCATTGGCAGGATCGGGGCCCCAGTGCAGCGCCGACGAGACAATGTTATTACCGCCTTGGGCATAGGTCCAGTTGTTGCCGCGCGACTCCATAATGTCAATTTCACCCGAGGCCGGCCAGGGTCCGTAGGTATCCTTGACGGGCATCATCCAGATGGCGGGCCACAGCCAGTCGCCCTGTGGGAGCTTGGCGGTGACTTCTACGCGGCCGTATTTCAGGGTGGCGCCCTTTTTGGTGTGGATGCGACCAGACTTGACGGGCGGCACAACGCTAGAGTTTCCAGCAGTGGTGTTGGTGACGGCAACGCAGTCGTAAAAGTCATCCGAAGTGCAAGTACCATCCTTTTTGAGGTCAATGGTGGTGGTCTTTTCCATCTTGTCGGCGTCCTGGAGGGTGGCCTTGATGAAGAGGTTGCCGCCGTCAACGTAGACATTTTCGTCGCCGGGGGTAGTCATCTCAAACTCTCCATTACTGCGCAAGTTAGCATGCAAATGGATTGAGGTGGTATAACGCGAAAAAAAAAAGCTTACCCAAATCCACCAAGCTGGACCTCCTTGGTCCAAACGCCGGTGTCGAGGCCATTGTCAAAGCTGTCATCAATAAGCGGGCAATACTTGTGGTGGACGACACTGCGGAGGCCATCCCAGACTAGAAAACCAGAGATGCCGAGACCAATGAGGATACCAATGATGGGGATGATGGTGACCCATTTCTCCTTTTTGTCTTTCTTCTGCAGCCAGGGCTTCTCGACCTCGCCTTTGGCGACACGGCGCGAGTGGAAGTAGCGCTGGGCGCGCTCTTCGAACCGTGGCCCGAGAGCGCTGGAGGAGCCAAAGCTAGAGGCAGGCCGCGAGACGGCAGGACTGACAAAAGGATTTGTGCCAGTGTTCGTGGCAAGTCGGTGGTTAGCGGCAGGCTCAGGGGTTTCGCCAAATGGATTGCGACCACCGTCTGTGTTTGGGGTTCCTGAGCGGGGAGGTGTGATGTTGGAGGAAACGTTGCCCGAGTACGGTTGGGCGTTTTGGTTGTTGTAGCTACTGGTGTAGCGGTCGTTTTGTTGGTGATCCATGACGGACTGTGAAGAAGAAGATGGAAGAGAAGTAAATGCGGAGAATTGAACGGGAGAGATGCCGTCGTGGTAGGGCAATGTCAGTCGCGACGAGCAAAGACGATCGATCTGGGTAGCGAAGCTCTCTACGCCGTTGCGCTTTGCGCCAGCTCCCTGATGTGTAGGTGTGGCGTGGATGAATTAATGAAGGAACGAGAACGAGGATAGTGATGATGGGTATAGTGCTTAAGCGCGGTAGATATGCGCAATCCAAAATGAGCCTCCAGACTGAATGCAAATGGAAAAGGGTAAAACTGGATGGTTAATGTTTCGAGAGAAATGTAGCAGGAAAAGGTTATGAGAGAAATGTAGCCAAGGCGGCAACGCTAGCAAAGCTGTGGTGGTGCTGAATACAGCAGTGCGTATATTTTTCAGGTGCACAGAGTAAATAGCTACCTTACTAGCAGGTGCCTCTTGGTGGTAGTCAAGGCGTGGCTGATGCACACTGATAGCATCCGGTGGATGCAGCGGGGATGGCCGGATCTGCCACTATTTATTTTTTTCTTTACGCTTTTTTCTATTCTCTATTTTAGCTCTTTTTTATTCATCAATTTGATGTGCATCAAGACAGCCTGAGTAGCGCATACATGTTGTACCTAGGACCAGTTGGCGACGCCGCAATTGTGTGCCCAAATGTCTGCCCCGTACGAAGTATCCGTAGCGAGAAAATCTACAGGGCTCTTTACCCCTGCCCATAGTCCCATCAGTGGCTCCAGGGGCCTACAGAATACGGGCGGCTACCGTGGGCTATAGTGGGCCTCGGGTAGTTCTGAATCACCACTCAATCACCATGATATGTACCAGCCAACGTGTGTTGTCTTGTCAACTTGTTACTCAGATTATCTGAAAAATTCGACATGATGAGCAGACACCCAGACAAGCTGCCGCCATGAGAACGGGGTCAACCAGGAAGCCACCAGCAGCCTATAATACGGACCTACCGGCGGCCTGCTACAGTGGAACCACCAACACCGTGGACGTGCAGCAGCTGGATGCGAGGCGACGAGGCTCTGAGCATTCAACAACTCGGACTTCAACGCAGCATCTGGGGCAGTGCGCGCAACCCTTTTCTATTCATACGCGGGTTGGTGACCATGCTTCAATGGTAACTTGGAAGCCTGTAACCATGCCGTTATTACCTGCCCAAGGTACCCGCCGACTGCATTCGGGCGCACGTCTCGTCACCATCACGCACGTCCTCTGTCTGCTGTCCACGCAGCCACTAGATTGTGACTGACGATAACACCGGGCTACAATTTCTCGGCCAACAATATGGGTCACTGGGATGGCCAACTTTTCCCCTGCCCCGGCGTGTGCTGGCTGCCGTCTGTTGTTTACCGCATGTCCGTGCTATCAATAGACGGCATGCGCTGTGACCCCGGCCAGGCGGATACCAGTAGATGCGAAATTACGGGACCGCTCTTCTACTGGCAAGAGTCATCGATCTCTAGGACCGGCAGGGCTCTCGTATGCCTGCATGGAACATATCACCATACGTATTTTGATAGTTGCCCACTGCTACGTATCCCGTCATTGCGGCAGTGCCAATTTGCAAGCCATAGCTGTCAGCTCAGTCAATACAATGACAGACGGCATACATTTGTGCTCGCTTCACCCTGTCAAGCTGTAAACGCCGTTATGCATCATCGGTGCTCAGCTGCAGCTGGGCTTGTCAGCTGCAGGTGGCCGTGTTCACCAGATTGGCACACAATTGTATCAAGGTGAGTCCAGCATGTTCGCCTACCTTGTCTTGTTTTCTTTGCTGTCTTTCTTTCGCTTTTCCTGCCGGCAAGGAACTACGTGGCCGTCCTCAACGGACATTGTTTCAGATCCGTTCAGGTCCAGTCGGCTGCCGTGCCGGCTCTGCAACAGGCTGATCATCCTGTAAGCGCCAGTCCGGGCGATCTTGACAGGTCCGAGACTCGACAAGTCCCTCGGTCAGTGGTGATGCTGCACAACCCGGCCAGCTCGCAGATCTAGAGCCTGGATTTGTTACTGGTACGGCAAACAAGGGGTGGGAGATGCGTGCGGCGTGAGAGATGGCAGCCCAGACTGCCCCTCCAGCTCAGCACAAGCCCATGATCCACTGAAGACGTGCATGATCATTATCAATTATTTTTGTAGTAGCGCTGGACCAAGACCAGGTCATTTGGCAGCAGTGGAGCGCAGACGGGAGCGTAAGGTAGCTATTAGTACCTAAATAGGCTCAGCTTGATGTCGCAGCCCGCCGGTAAAAGCAGCAGCTCGACAGCGCACGAAAAGCGGCATGAGGAGGTGTGGCTGGTGCCTCTGCCCACTGCCCTGGCGCTGTGGCTTGCCAGGGCCATCTTTTCTCTTGCCTTTTTAGGGAGGCACAGATGCGCCATGGCGTTTTTACACACACACCCTCCCCCTTTCCCCCTCCATTCTCCATTGCTTACTTTTTTATCTCTCCTAGCCTCAACCCACCATCCCATTGTTCCTTTGTCGCCTCTCCAGAACCTCCAGAACAGCCAGCGCTAACATCGGACGACATCTCACGTTGCTTTTGCAGCATCATTCCGGTTTTTTTTCTTCTTCTTTTTTTTTCACATGCTAGGATTTAATCACTCTCTGATGCTCAACAATGCTACCAGCTCAGTCCTGCTACTTCTCATCTCGAAACGACCCTCCCTACGCCACGGCTTGGGTCGTTTGCCAGCCACGGCAACATCTCAGCACAGACAGACACACGAGGTACGAAACGACGGACTGATACGGCAACTTTGCGAATTCCACTCGGCTCCCGGTCGCCCCCGCTTTGGCAATTTGGTTCCTTGAAACAAGGCTTTTTAAAAGCCGCTGAAGACGTTGCCCCATCCTCTACCAAACTCAAGCGCCACACAAGTCGTCTGCCCCCAGATGTCTCACCACTCAATCGTCGTTTTTCAACGAACCAATAACCCGATTGGCAAGTCAATAGGATGGCAAACTCTACTATCACCGAAGCGCCACGCGAGTTTATTGGGCGCTTTTCGACCCACTAGCCACCAACAACGCGCTGTATCAATCATTTCGATGCGGAACCTCTTCGTTCCGCCTCTGCGATTACGTGCACTTTGCGCAACTCGTTCTACTAGGCGTTTTTTTTGTGACTGCAGAAAGGCCTTGCCACGTACCATTAACGTCAACTTCGCAAAACGGCTCGCGTGCCTGATATGTAATATTCGGCACAATGTTTCGCGAATGACAGATAGATACAAAGAGGAGCGCCGCGGAAAGAAAGCATTACTATTTATGCGGCCCCGTCTTCTGTTGAGACGGAGAAAGCAGCTGCTAGTTACTCATACATATGTACCAGTGCTAAGCGACCCCATCGCCCACCGTCGACGGATGACACCAAACTCTTTCTAGCGGGCTTCCATTCAGATCCACCAGCCACGCTACGCCTCAAGCTGTCGGCCTCCCTTTGTCAGACGAGCACGAAATTATTAGTATCGTCATGGAGAGGCGGTGATCGCCGCTTCAATAAGTAAGAATCAGCTCTGGACTCGAGAGGCTGTACACGGGATATCCGACTTGGCGCCTGACGGTGTGAGTGTAGGAGTTATATATAGGCCTATGGGACGATTCGGCATAGAGATCATGAAAATTTAACGGGGATCTGGTGTTGTGAAAAGTTTATTTGCCTCATTTTCACCCAAACCGAACGCTTGGATGGCATCGATTCGGCCAGCTTGATACCGAGCAAGCTGTGCCAAGTTTCTGCTCGATGAAAGTTCAGAGTCTCAGAGAAAAGTTTAAGCCAGCGTCTCCTGGCACCCGAGGTTAGCTTCCAGCCGAAGCAGGTGTACGACTGATCACCACCAAGATCTGAAGTATGTTTGTTTTGAGTAACCTTTCTGTTGTGCAGCGTCTCATACGATGGACTGGCGCGGCTAAACACTTCACTACTCGACGTTGCCAGCTTGAGAGTGTTTCAACTTACACCACGCATCGCCATCATAGCACGGCCAACAGCAGACTCGTGTGCAACAAGGATTCGGGCCACTCCCGAGCTTTTGAAAAATCAGGCCACTGAAGCTAGACGCTCTGGCGCCATTGTAAAAGTTACTCGATAAGCCCAGTAAGCAGCGTCGTTGCGAATTCTTCATTCAGGCCGCTGATATCAGCCTTTCTGCAATAGTAGCGCACCGCTGTTACCCAGTTGCCCAATGCCACACAATTGGCGATTCCACACCGCGCATCTTGGGGCAAGCAGCTATTCGTCACAGAACAGCCACAGAAGACATCTTTCTCTCCTCTACACGTTTTATGTCATCGTGCAACCCCGTTTTTCTTCGTCTGATAACCCGACACACTGGTAGATGTAACCATGGATATAAAAGGTAGACAGGTGGCATCTCCACTACTGACTGGAATAGGCCAACGTGCAGCGCCCATCACCTTCGTATATGCAAGCAGTCGGACACGCTAATGCACCAAAAAGCCACGGAGACGTTAAGAATCAAAATCAGGCTCCGACATAGAATCATTATTCTGGATTCAAGGCGAGCCATTTTGGCACGTTGAGCAGGCCTGGGACTGAGACCAAAAGTGGTGCTAAGAATAGTAGGGAAACGTGCCTTGTTCTTTGGCCAAAGGAATTTGTTTCCGCAGAACACATATGGAATAGGAGGGGCTGTTTTTTTACTCTTCCATTCCCAATATGTACAGCCACATTAACCTTAGCTAACAGGTGATCCAACAAAGACGAAAACTCAGACTTCTCGGAACCGCGTTGTGGGACATGGGCAAAGTCTGTGCAATGCATCAACGTGGTCGTGTTGGGTGGGCTCTCATTCATGCGTCGTAGGTGACCCGATACGGACGGGGCAGTGCGACCTGCGAGGGAAAGAAGAGGTGTACACTCGAGGAGCTAAGCACAACAGTAACTGTGCTTAAACTCATTTGCAGGGTAACATCCCGCAGGCCTCGAGTCCTGATCCTGTCTCTGTATTCGGGCATCTTGGTTTCTGCAAGGACGGCTATCTCTCTCCCGTCTATTCGTACTTGCCACTGATAAAACACTGCCCGAGTCTGGAAACTCACTCGGCAGCTACTCAGTCAACCCTCACGGTAACTTGTTCCTTCTTCACATGTCTCAGAAGTATACTCAAAAGAGAGTCGCTTCCCCTTTCGTCCTCTCTGAAGCCACAGATGAATATACGAGGCCCGTGAGCGGCGCGCACATTGGTACGCGATGCCAAGCCGGCCCGTCAATTTTTCTCATTTGCTCATATCAACGACGGTCCCTTTGCTCCGTCCTGCGAGCTGTGCGTGAACACTATTAAAGTCGACTTGTCTAGAGATAACCATGTGAAAATGCAACGTGCGGGTAGAATTGCGTCATTCAGACAGAGGTAGGTGATTAAAAGTGGCTCGTATTACTGCTGTTACCGGGAGTTTACATACTATCCAATCTCCGGATTTTCCGATTTGCTGGTGCAATACCAAACTGTCTGTCTTCTCAGACGCAAAGCGGTATCGATGGTAAGGCTGCGTCTTGTATCGCAGCACCGAGAGAACTTTCGGGATTCGAAAACCGAGAGCTCAATTTAGGCGAGACTGACTTAAAACCGGTGCCTTAATAGCCCCTCTTCTATTTATCCGTTCCGCAAGGGTAGCTCGATCTGTGCGCGGGATGTGCCGCCGCCGCGCCGCTGCGCTGCCAACCTGTCTTGAGCCGAATTGTCGTGTTGCAGGTCTCTTTACCAATAAACTGCACCAATATGGGGTATTGGTCAATTTTCCCCTCCTCGGATGCGTTTCATTCGCCTTTGCGTGCTGCAAAATGGCTGGCCGGTGGCCAGCTTCTGACTCCAGTGGTGGGCTTGTTTTTTTTTTCTCGTATCTTGTCGATCCTCTGCCAATTTCCGTCCTGTTATTGACCTATGACAGCAGCGCCAACTCCCCCCTTATTCGCAGCCCAGCGGAGGAGGTTGGTTTTAGCCAAATGGGGATGTGCCCATCGCTTGGTCTTGGCTGCGTTCTACAAAATTCGCTGGCGTTGAGGTCTGCCCGGCCAATCATTCTCCCCAAGTCATTCAGGTACGAGAGAACCCTTACGGCGAGCCAACACTGGGGGTTCACCATATATATTACTAGGGCCAAAACATCGTATTGCGCGCCCAATCTTGCACCTCGTATTTGAGTGAGACTCTTGGTTCGTATCGAGGAAAGCTGAATTTGTTCCTTGTGGTACATAGGCTTGGCAGGCGCTATTGCAGAAGGACGGACACTCAACAGTCCGCGATTCTTGGAGTCTTTTGGTGCACCGCCACGCGACGACAAAACGGCTGAGATATCGTGGTCGAGTTGCACGACGGCCAAAAAGGGCAACTTGCGTGTATCAGTATCTGCTGCTGTGCCTCCCCAGGATCTCCTGCGCAGATTGAAAACACGGGCACCCCCGGGTCTCACCGCGCTGCGACGATAACCAGACGGTCGAGCTGGATTGTAGCTCGTGGGCGGCGTCGCGACAAATTACAGAGTTGCACTGCGGCGTTCTGCGTTGCCTCGCTCCCCAGACTACAAAGTCGTAGCTTGCTCTCACCTGGCTAGCGGCAAAGTTGCTTTGCCGTTTCTGTCTTGAGCAATTTCGAACACGCTCGAGGTTCGCTCGACACCAGGGAACCATTACCAACGACACCACACAAGTCTCTCATGATGGTTCGAATCGTTGCCTGGCCATTGGCCCTGTTCACTGCGGCCGCGTTGGCTGCCTCCTCCGATGACTTGGGCTCTGTTCTTCAAAGACAGCACAATCTCACAACCTTTTATGACTTGATCAAGGTGCATTCGCTCCCGTCCAGTCATAAACAGCTCATTGCTAACATCACCAGAACAACTCTGATGTACTGTTACAACTTCCCAACTACAATGGTGTCACTGTAAGCTCATTCCTCCTTCGCACACTCTCAAGTACCGACTGCTCACACCTTTCAGATCTGCGCGCCTTCAGACAAGGCTTTTGAAAACATCCCCTACACATCTCTCAACGACGTCTGGGACCCCAGCGACGTGGCCAAGACGACCGCCTTGCTGCAGTACCATATCCTCCAGGGCAGCGTCACCATTGCCGACCTCGAGTCGGGGCCGACATACCTCGAGCGCACGCTCCTCACGGCGCCGGCCTACACCAACGTGACGGCCGGCCAAAACGTGCTCATCGACAAGCAGCCCGGCGACACGATTGTCCTGACCAGCAGCCTCGGCACGCGCTGCACCGTGATTGAGCAAGACATTGCCTTTTCGGGCGGCCGCATCCACGTCATTGACAACCTGCTGATCCCGCCGGCGCCGCTGCGCGCCACGGCCGCCACCTTTCGCGCGCAGTCGTTCCTCGCGGCGCTCTACGCCGCGGGCCTCATGCCCGACGTCGACGACCGCCGCAACGTGACCGTGTTTGCGCCGCGCGACGCTGCCATGGACCTCGTCGGCGGGTCGCTCGAGGCCGCACTGCAGGGGCGCGGAGGAAAGGCGGCACTCGCCCGCGTCATGGGCTACCACGTCGTGCCGGGCCGCATCCTGTCCTCGACGGATCTCGTCAACGGCACCGTCTTGACCACCCTGAGCGGCGGTAGCAACGCGACAAGCAGCGGCGGCGGCGGCGGCGGCGGCAACCCGAGATTGGTGGTGCGGCAGGCGGGCAATGACAAGTTTGTCAACTCGGCCAAGATTGTGCAGCCCGACATCCTGCTCGCCAACGGCATCATGCACCTCGTCGCCGACGTGCTCAACCCGGACGCACCGTCGGCCACGCCCGACCCAACCCTCGCCAGTCAGCCGCCCGTCTTCCCCGTCAGCGTCGCCAGCAGCCCCTTTGCGTCGGCTCTGCCCTGCACCTCCGACTGCCCGACGAGCACGAGCGCCGCCACCGCATCGTCTACGACGACGACGACGACGGCCAGCAGTGGAGGCGGCAAGCCCACGTCCAGCAAGAACGGGGCCGTCCCGAAGCCGACAGCCCACGCGGCCGCCGCGGCGCTTGGTGTCTTGGGCGCTGGCCTGCTGCTGTAGTCTCGGGCCTGTTCTTTGATATATGGGAAGATGAATGATATTTTTTTTTGAAATAATACAGCTGTAATTAATTGGTAGTGTAGTAATGAACATGCCCATACTTGTGGGTTGGATATTCATTGACTTGCTGCCACCGGTTGTCAGTATAGGCCTCGGTACTCCTATCCGAGCAAAAGCAAATCCCTTTGTCCTTCTTTGTTCACATAATACATGAGCACCAAGTCCCAAGGTTAGTCGCTTCTTGATGTTTTTGTCTTTGATCACGCTTCAGTAGCCGCTTTGGCTGCGATCATCGCGGCTGTCGATACTGCGACTTCGTCGGCCATAGCCACCCCCACCACCGTTGCCTTTTCGGGGCCGCGGCGACCGTGACCGCGACGCATAAGAGGCTCGCGAGCGACTCCTGTATCTGCTTCCACCGCCGCGGCCGCCGCCGCTGCCCCGAGTAGGCGGCGGCGACTGCGAACGCGACGAGCCGCCGCCAGGACGGTAGACATCTGAACGTGGTCCGTATCTGCCACCACCGCCACCTCCTGCTCCTCCAAGAGGGGACATTGGCGGACCGCCTCTGCGACGTCGACCGCCGCCCCCTCGGCCCCCGCCCGTGAACGGCACGCGGGGGTCAATGTTTGCGCCGCGGCGGGCGGTCGGCGGTGGCGGTGAGAGTTTGCGCCGGGGAAGCACGATGGAGACGTGGATTATAGCACCGTCAACCTGGGCTTCGTGCATGTTGGCAATGGCTGCTTCGGCATCGGCTTCGTGGTCGTACAGAATGTATGCGGTGCCTCGATTCGTGCCGACTGTACATGTTAGAGCTGCTATCGATGACCTTGAAGGGAACTGGACAGAAATAGCTTACAGGTTCGGTTGACGGGAAGGTCAAGGTCCTTGATGCGACCAAATTTGCCAAAGATTTCGTACAAATGGTCGTCGTTGATCGTCTTTGACAAACGCTCCACGACAATCTACCACTCCTAGGTTAGCGCTGGGCCTTTGCCTGTCCGTCGACGGGATTGAAATATCGCGGGTTGGCCATACCTTTGTGCTCTTTGCCAGCGGTCCCTCGCTGCCTCTGCGACTACGACTCCAGCTGCGACTGTCACTGCGACCGCTCGGGGTCCTGCTGTAGCTTCGTCCGCGACTGTAGCTGCGGCTGCGGCTGTAGCTTGGACTTCTGCTTCGGCTGTAACTACGGCCACGACTATCGTCCCGATTGCGTGTGCTACCGCTGCCGCCGCCGCCACCGTTACGTGGCAAGGAGCGCGATCTGCTGCGCGATCGGGAGGGCGACCGCGAGCGCGCGTTGTGATGGTTTGGGGCGGGTGAGCGCGACCGCGAACGGAAGCGCTCTCGTGCCGGTGATGGTGATGGCATTTCGTTGGGAGCAGAGGAGCTTGTGCGAATCAGCGCGCAGCTCGTCGCGTATGTTTTCGAGTATAAATTGGATCTGCGATTGATTGAAAGCGCTTGGTTTCTTATTTGCCAACATGCGAAAAGCTCTTTGAAGAAAGCTACCCTGGTCACGTGTGGGGCCTTGAAACAAAAGGCCGTGGAAGCGATATGCAAACGGACGCGAGAGCTTTGTTTGGCAGATTTTGAGGTATATGCATGAAAATGGTATGTGAAATATTTCGGGGGCTCCGAAATATGTGTCTCGGTCTCTACATGCCACGTTGAGTTACCCAGATCAAATGCTCACCGCTTATTCACTGCGAGATCCTCGATGATGCTCGCCATGATGTGAGTTGCATGTACCAAGGCTGAATGATATGAGCGTCATAAGCAGACGAGAAAATTATTACACTTAGACATAGCATGGCTCGAGTTCAAGTTTCGGAGAATATGTAGACAAGAGTTCTCAATCGCTCGTGTGACTCTCGGCATGCTGGTCCCGGGTACGCTTCTTGGCCATCACTTACATCACCTAGGAGCAGCACACAGTTGCGTTGAAAACGCACCAATGAAGAAAAAAGCATTTGACATTATAGAGGAACCAGTTCCAATTTAGCTGGAATTAAGCTGGAACGCTTTTTACAATTCGGTCCGCTGGTGTCTACATCAAGTAATTGCTAGACGGTTTGATTCATAAAAGCCACGCCGATTGCAAACATTGTGAGAGGAGTGGACGGTATGCCAGAACCTGACTAATCAATATTTCTCTCTGTTGGAATTGAGTTACATTGATATTGAGAGTCAGACAATCGCAGTAGAGTTTTCTTAATTATAGTAAATGGAACTGAGTGATGTAATAGTGTTCGAACGACAACTTATTGAGCTTGCTTGCTGAGAATCCCCACAACTGCCTCTTTCAACCAATCACAGTGTAGTATCAGTCCGCATACCGGACTGCCGAAGCAGGCCACTCAGCAACACATCTCCTCCTCCGACATTAGGAGCTCGACAGTCTTGCCGGAAACCGAGCGCATTCGTGTGGGCGCAACGTAAGAAAGAGGGATCTTGCAGACGCAAAAACCTCAAACGAGCCCTGCCTCTACACGAAAAACCACTCTCTCAACACGAGCCCCCCGGCTGAGATCTCCCGAACCCGCATCTCCTGGACGCGATACACTGCCAACATGGCCGCCGCCGCCGACGAATCGCTATACATGGTGTCGCAGACATCGTTGCTAGAAAAGGATGATGAGCTCGACTCGTTGCCTTCTCTCTCGACTGACGAAATCTACTCGGACGACGAGGACGATGCGCAAGCGGAGTGGGAGCGCAGCCTAGAGCAGGTACAAATGCTGCTCACCATGGTACTAGTGCCGTGGATGGGCAAGTTTTTTGGCCGAAAATTTGCCTACTGGAGTATGTAACCCGACAACACTTGTGATGGGGTTCTTTGCGTACGTCGGTGAAGAAGCGAGGCATGCTGACTGACTATGTTTAGGCTGGGCCAGATACATGAACTGGGCACACGGTGTCGAGGTTGCATACACCGATAAAAAGGCATTCAATGTGATTGGTGCAGTGGAAGCTGCTCGATCATTATAGTGTTGGCGGTGTGTTCTATCCTTGGCATTGCATCGCATCGAACGGCTGCGCGCTTTGAAAGTGCCATTCTGCACCGTTTCCTGCTTATATTTCTTTCTTTGGCGTTGGGTGGCATATACTCTGGTAAAAAGCTGTATTTAGACGGCCAGAATTACTGACTTGTTCAACAATGGATTTATTCTACCTTGGCCTGTCAACATGGAGTTTGTCAAGTTCAAAGTGAGTGGTATATTAACACAACATTGATGTGTTGCGCATTATAGATTACAACAAACAGAAAACGATACATGCTTCATAGCCCAACAATTTGAACATTTTGAACAATTACAACGCAAGCCGGACTAACATAGATACTATACAAGGCAGTTAGGGGTCAATGTGGAACTACCCGGATCAGGTGCGACGATTGACGGAGAAGTTTTCTGTGAGCAAACAACCGAGATTCGTGAACAGCTTGATATTACACCCTCGAAAAGAGCTGGGATGGTGCTTCAAGGTGCATGATGCCCGACGGCAGACCAAGGATGGGACGCTCAGCGTGGCACTTAGACCTGTGACATGGCCGGGCGGGATGAGCGGGTAATACCGGGGCTGCGCATCTCCTTGAATGAAAGGAAGAGAGCGCCGCAGAGAGTGGCCCAGAGGAACCACATGAAGGCATCACTGGCCTGCAGCTCGCGGCAGCGGTGCTCGGCGTTGCCGGAGCCGTAGGCGATCCAGTTGGCAGGGCGACCGAATGTCTTGGAGCAGTTCGTGTTGCCGATGCGGGCAGCAAGGACGATGGCGCTGATAAAAGTGAAGAGGACGCCAAGGACGTCGAGGACCAAGAGGACGATGGGCATGGCAAGGCTGGAGATGACGCTAGCGACGATGCCGTAGAGACAAACGACCCAGGAGAGGGCCGTGACGAACATGGTGAAGTTTACGGCGGCGCGGGCCGACGTCGAGGCGTTATTATCTTGGGCAATGACATTGCCAATGAGACCAGTAATGATGATTGTGAAGACGAGGGCGATGCCGCGCAGAATGAGGTTGAAGAAGCCTGACATGGTTGTGTAATTGACGCGCAAAAGTACAGTGGTGGTTGTGTGGGTTGTTTGAGGTTCAGTCAACGGTTTGTTAGAAGATGATTAATATTGGGAAATATAGCCAATGTGTTGGAAAACGAAGTGGAATGGAAGAGTATTAAAGGTGTGTGAAGGAGGGGCAAGAACCGTCTTCATGCCGGAGTCCGGTATACTGGGTTCTTGAGTTATGTATCGATGATGCGATCGATTGAGCTTTGTGGGGTCCAGCAGCCGGGGGTTCGCGCCTGGGCAGCTAACAGGGTGCAAATGTGCATAGACAGTTTTCCAACTACAATAAGAAATCAATTATGGTCGTTTTTTTACGAGACAGATATTTTCAACGGTTAAATCAAAAAAACAGCAACCAAGTGTCACAATGTACGCTCAAATGCAGATGAAATTGGTCCCAAGGCAATGGCATGTGTTGTAACGTGAAGAAGCTCGCAAGCGGTTTACAGTGGAGCGCGCACTAATCCGGCCGTGTCCAGCGAGCGTTGTGCATCTCTTTTTGCTGCGTTGCGTTTCGGGTGGCAGCAGAAAATGTCAGCGGGAATTCCAAGATACAGACAGCAGCAGTGCGAATGACCTCACTTCAAAGCCTAATTAGTGCGCCCGGTGGAGGCAGGGCTGCCGAAGCTTCCCGACGCCCAACTTACGTCACTGATGCTTGGCGTGGGCAGCAAAGCCCTACACGCAAGAATATTTCGAGAATATTTGGGAAAAAAAAAAAAAAGATCAATCGAGAGAATAATCGGCTTCTACCGAGATTTTCAAGGCAGGTGTTGGCTCTAACCGTGCGCAGAACGCTCGCTGCCCATGATATTAGTACAACTAATGCTTCGGCTTGCAGCCATACCTAGGTAGGTAGCAAAGTAACTTACCTACAGAGTCCAGTTTGGCTTTTTCCAAAGTATCTCAGGCGCGACATGAGCTTGCCAACGGCCGTCTACTAGAGCCATGTAGTGCCCTACTAATCACTCAGTTAGCATACAGCTCGCTGCTTAGTCTCACCAAAACTCTGGACTATTGGTGCGCATTTTTAGAGTATTTTGTTTTCCAAGCCCCAAGACACAGCTGAGCCAGGTGGCTTCATGATGTGAAAGGAGCGCAACGTTGCACTATATATCACATAAATTGGCTGCTGAAACCTCCCCATCTTGTCACATTGGACCAGTAACCAAAATTAGCAGGTGCCTGCCATACGCAGGAGGCCATCTGCAGAAAGGCAAAACCCGAAAACAAGTCAAGTTCCTTGGTGCCTGTTTCGCCTGCAAACTGCTATTCGCGGTCGATGTTCACCCCGGGTTTGAAGATCTGCATCGCGTACACTGCCTCAAAGCAGCAGCTGAACCGATCAAGAGGATCCCATCACCGGTAGTCGCATCATCCCCTTGGCCTTTTTCAGCCCGCCGCAATCTCCTGCTTGTCAAGGCTGGCCAACTGATTAGGGCCAAGTGGCCTGTTCATGTCAGGGGACACTGGGACGGTGCCGACCGTTGGGCATGTCGCCGTGTTTCACATCTACTTGCTTGCCTTGCGCCGGACCGGGAATTGCGGCGGGCGACCTCGAACCTGCTGCTGACGGTCAAGTACATAGTGAGTCAAGCAGACGCTACGAAGCAACTGATGTATTCCAACGTTGCTACAGTTGGCCTTTGCTCGGCGGATGGCGTGATACAAGAAGCTACAAGTGTGCGAAACACTATACTGTATCAATGTCCGTATACCAAGAGCAGCAGCCAGAACATCATGGCGAGAACTGGAATCCGAACACAACACAGGACGACTTGATCCGCGGTGCACAGCACAACCTCAACACTCGGCGAGTTTTGCAATATAAAACATGTCTTGATAGGGAGAGGACAAATCTGAGACGCATAGTGACCCATCTAGAACAAGTCAAGCCCATATGGCCCTACATTGCATTGTGTGAAAGGGAACAGCCTTGTAAGACGCTCATGCCCACTGCGCGCCTTTCAATATACCTTTTACCACAACCGCGAAATTTGTATAGCAATATGTGTGAATCAAAAGGGCAACTGCCAATACATGCACATAATTTGTTGACCTTGCAGTCGCGACATCCTTTCGCCTCCGTGTCGACTGGCTCACTCGACCAAGGGTATTCGGCCATCCGCGGACCTGGTCATGATTGGTCGGACCCTGACATCAGACGGTTGTTTTTTTTACTCATTTGATTGCTGCTTCAGCTAATTTCTAAATGACCTGGTGGAGAAGCCCTTAATCTTTCAGCTGCATCAGTCAAAAAGCGACGTTGACAGCTTGCATTGCTAGCTACTCCTTGCCTAAACGGGCAAGTGCTTCTATACGTGATGCCGCCCATCACACGACGAGTCAATCTGAGACGGGTGGGCGCCGGGCCCAAAATGTATGGAACATCAGATGTGCTTAACGTCTCTTGCCCGAATTCCGTCCAGCTGATGCAGTTTTCTGGTTGGCAAGTTGAGAATTACGTCTATCATGCTGGTGCGGCGGGCGCAACGACATCTCTAACACGCTACGCAACGGACCGCTGCCAATGAGCTTGGCAATGTAAGTGACGACGATCCGCGCACTTCCAAGTCATCTCATCAATGTCATCTCACCATCAAAAGCACGCATGCACATACAAAAATGTCATGTTTTCACAGCCATGATGGAGGCCTTTGTAGCATCGAGTAGCTCACGGCGACATCCGAGATGGATAAAAAGCCAGCCTATACTCTGGACAAAAGCGACTGTTTTCTTCTCATCAACCATCCAAAGATATCTTCAGCTTCTATTCCTTTCAATATTTGTCATTTTCTGTAAATACTTTTACTTCTTTGCACGTTTCTTTGCACATTTATACATACATATACCCCCACACTCACAACCGTTGATACCATCTTCATACCCATCATGCGTTCAGCTGCTTTCACTACTCTCGCTGCCCTCACTGCTTCCGTTGCTGCAGCACCCCACGCTGTTACAACTCGTGCGGAACCTGGAGCTCAGAACGTCGTCTTTTGGGGCCAGAACGGCGGCGGCGTTGTCGAAAACAACGACCTGGCTACCTACTGCACCAAGTCTACCGGCATCGACATTATTGTACTTTCTTTCCTTTACCAGTGGGGTAACGGCAACAAGATTGCCGGCGGGACTATTGGCCAGTCATGCTCCATTGACACGTCTGGTAAAGGGCAGAATTGTGACGATCTGGCCAAGGCCATCGATACCTGCAAGACCAACGGCGTCAAAGTCATCATGTCTCTCGGCGGTGCTGCAGGCGCCTACTCGCTTTCCTCCAAAGAAGAGGCCGAGGCCATTGGGCAGAACCTATGGGAAGCCTACGGCAACCTCGATGGCAAAAACGGCAGCGTCCCCCGCCCCTTTGGAAAGACGTTTGTCAACGGCTGGGACTTTGACATTGAGAGCAACCGCGGAAACAATTTCTACTCGGACATGATTGCCAAGCTGCGCGGAAACTTTGCCTCGGACTCGTCCAACCAGTACTTCATCACCGGCGCTCCCCAGTGCCCCATCCCGGAGCCCAACATGAACGAAATGATCACCAAGTCGCAATTTGACTACCTCTGGGTACAATTCTACAACAACCCGGGCTGCTCCGTCGACGGCACCATCAACTATGACGACTGGAAGAAGAACATTGCCAATACGCCCTCGGCCAAGGCCAAGATCTTTATCGGTGTCCCTGCCTCGCCACTCGGCGCTACCGGTACGCAGAGCGGCGCAAAGTATTATCTCGAGCCTACAAAGCTCGCTTCTCTCGTCGGCCAGCACAAGTCCGACTCGGCCTTTGGCGGCGTCATGATGTGGGCTGCGGGCTTCTCTGATGCCAATGTCAACAACGGATGCACTTATGCGCAAGAGGCCAAACGTATCCTTGAAACCGGCTCCGCATGCTAGACGATGCGATTTGTGGAAGCGACGCTTGAAAGGTCGGCTTCACTCGAGAGTGGCGTGGCACTTGCCTTTCGATACCATACTATGGCTCAATTTATTGTACATAACTAGATTATATATAAATTGGAATTCTTCTAAGTTGCATAAAGCTTCTGATTAGAAAAGTATGGTGTTAAGACAAGAAAAAGCTCTATCAGCCATTCCAAGGCATGACCGAAGGTTACTCCAGAGCAAAGAAAAGTCTACCCAGATGTGTAAACACTCAGGCTCTACTTTACTGTGTTTTACCTCCAATTTTAGATGAAAAAGCTTTAGATGGAAAAACGACGGAGAATGACGTTGCCCATTTTAAAAGGAGATTGAAGGGCTCAAGTTTAAATTACACTGTTGGAAGCACAAGGGAGTTGGCTACGATACGGATCATCAGGTTCTTTGGTGTTGATGCTAATGGTTGATCGTTCTATCAGTATCTAGACAGGTGTAATGAGGTACCTATTAGAATGAAGATACAGAAATGAGTCCGCGCTGCTGCTATCCGAGGCGCCGAGGCTGCTGCCTCTATTCCAACAGATGCAATAACCCGATAATATTGGAGAGAGGCACTGAAGGGGAGGGGGGGTTATTTGGCCTCCTCCTATTGTTGGCACATTACATGAAATGGCATCGATACATTCTTGAAACAAAATCGAAACAAAACAAACTGTATCTAAATATCAGCTCGCGACATATCTGTTTACTCTATCGAGGGCATACTCTTCAGTGGCTGGGAGAGCGCCTGTGAGACTCAAGCTAGACATCAGCCGACCATTAGCTGAGCTCCGTCATTACCGCAGGCGAACAGTAATGATAGAATAAAGTTCCAGCATACTGCTATAAAGCTTTTTACTTGATTAGCGATGGTACAATTCAAGTCCATGATGGAGGCGATGCGGTCATCGAAACTTGTGCAGCGACATGACCCAGCGCATCGGAAGCCCTGATTGAGGGTTTCAGTCCACGTCGTTCTTCTATATCCGGGTATGGACTGTTTTTCTCGCATAAAATGCCCAGAGCTCAAATACAACACTTCTCATTTCCATCTGGGAAGCTGCCAATTCCCGCGCTACATGATCATCGCTATGGGCAATACAAAATAAGCCCATGGCATAAAGTTTATAAGTCGTCTGTCTCGCCGACGAAATGAAAGCGAAAACACGAGGGATAGCAATAATATTCAGGCTTTGTCGTGAGTTTCAAGTTGCAGAATTTAAACGAGACTATCGTTCTCGTGGATGATATACTTTCGCCACCGTGTGCAAGAGAGGATAGGGGCAATATTGTGCATGACTGTGCTCTGTTCAGACGTACTGCGACTGCAGCCTGATTCCCAAACTAATACAAGCTATTGGTCAATAGAAATTGACAGAGCTGCATATCTGAAGAGCAAGTCGAAGCTTGTCGATAACTAGGCACTTCGGCACCGAGGGGTCAGGTTTAGAGTTTATACGGTATACTTTTACAATCATACGACTTTCATTATACACACACCACGGCCTGTGCGCATGTGGCTAATATGGAGATTACAATATTGTGATGGAGATATATTGAGAGTTTTACATTAGAAGCTCAGCTTGCAAAGCATCATTCCACGGCACATACAGGCCGTATGATGCCATTGCCAACTTACAGTCTCACCCTGTCAGCATCTCGGCATCAATGTTAGAATAGAGAAGCGCTGGACTCGGGTGGCTTTCTGCAAAATGAAGAAACTTTGGTATTACATTAGAAATGCCTAAAATACCGAATATTCAGAACAAGACTCCTGAGATACCAGATGGAGAGCGTGAGCCGCGTGATAGGGCGTGGGCCATGGACGAAGCGCGCCCCAGACCCCGCGAACGTGTGCTCACAGCCTCAGCCTTGCCTGAGTGAGAAACGGAAAGGAAGGAAATTATATCGTGAAGTAGCCAGGTGCCAAGTCTGTACGGAGCACCTTCAAAGGCAAAGATTAAGATTCCGAGCCCGTGCGCGTGACAGGCATCACCAAAACTCTAAACCCAATGTGACGGTCGCAGGCTCAAGTCACAATGAATGCCACTTGATTCCATCCAGAATTGACACGAATCAAGAAGATCCTTATTTTCAAAAGTTTATGCAATCACTTGTCGGCAACAGACCTGCCAACTAATGGAGGAGTAGTGAGGAACCTCCATGGCAGTTTAAACATTCCGCGGGGCAATCATGTAATTATTAATCGTCGACCTGAACTTGATTAAGCCGGAATTCCATGTGGCCCCGTTTCCGTTGCTTAGTTGGGTCAGAGTAACGGCCCGGTTCCCCCACGTTTCTGTCCCGCCAGTTCCTCGCTTCTGCTCGAGAGAGGGGCCGTGCAGCATTCGCTGATGGCGCAGACCTGCTGTGATTGATATGGGAATACAGCGCTGACAAAGAGGATCTAGCCGCGTACTATTTAGTGATAGCCTTTGAGAATCCCAAAGAACCCTCAAAATCCCAGCTCCAAGTCGCTGTTGAACTATACCTCGTGTAGCGTTGGGCTGTGAATTAGATACACGTGGCAATCAAAGAGTACGTTTCGCATGGCAAGCTATCATGGAGCAGTTACATATCATCATAGTCCGCTTAGCATATCTCTTTATAATCACTGACAAGATTCGGCGTGATTATGTGTATGTGGCGGTGCACCTGGCCTGACCAACTCCGCCCCGGGGCTGTGACTATGCATCGCGTAATCGTAGCGCTCCGGGCGAGCCGCACGACATGCGTTCTGAGGCATTGCAAGAGCGAAAGTCTTGGTCATTGAGTTCGGGACCGAGGAGAGCAGGTTCTGTGTCAGCGCGGAAAGCACCTTGACGAGAACTGATGCACCATCACTTGCTGCAGGATGCGACAAAACTCTCGGCGGCCTTTGTTATCCAGTTCCACTACTTGCGTAGATAAACACCGATTTCTATACCCCGGATTTCCGGTGATATTGTCATCGTGATGTTATGCAGCCTATTACCTGTCCCAGATGGCGGTCGATGGAAAATGCGTCCAACACGACGTCCAACACGACGTTCAACACGACATTGAGCAATGTCTTTAGCAGTATTTGGGGGACGAATTTACAAGTATCAATGTTTAATACGGATGCCTTTACTCTAGAGTCCAAGAACCCGACATTGACCAAATCGAATGCCGGAAATCACGGATGGAAAAGAGTCCCCAATCGGCCAGCCTTGTCAAGCCTTCAAGCGGGAAAACCATCATGTTTCTCTCTTCACTTACTTTGTATTCGTGCTCCATTTCTTCAAGGCGCTGGACTTGCATCTCCACGACGGAAATGCCAGCAGATCTGAGGTTGTTGCGGTGTGTTGGTCGGGAGCGGCGGACTCACGAAGGACAGGACAAAGTACAAAAGCCAATACAGGAAGAAGATGCCCAAGATAGGAAGTAACAAGGGTCTCGACTATAGTTCTGGAATTCCGAATTTGGTTCGAAGCAGAACAAAAAAAAAACAAAAATACTCATGGCCAGCAGCACAAATCCCACGACTACCACTGAGAATCATAAACGCCCCAGGCGCCGCGAGCTGGTGACTCTCATCGTGGTTCAAAGTTCAAAGTTCAAGTACAAAAAACTAATTAGTGTGGACTTGCCTGACGCTAAACGGGACACATACCGCCAAGTGATTAAGTGCCTTTTCATAATTCTGGGGCATTCTAGGACGTGCTGGAGTCAACTTGTCAAGATAGGGCGCGCCAAAACCTTTGTCGTTGGACGGGCCGCTTACCAAACAATGGCGTACAAAACAGGAGGCGTGCGCATTAGAAAGCCATGGCATTATGCATTCTAGAGCTGCGCAAAAGTTTCCTTTTTTTTTTCTCTCTTTTTTTTTCTTACTATAAACCTATATTTAAATACCTCTTGTGAAACCCAAGCAGACATGATCAGAGTCCGCAAAGCCACCTTGGCCGACGCAGCCGACATTATTCGTATTGGTCGGCACGTCTTTTCCGCCACCTTTGGGCACTCGGTCCCGGAATCTGAGCTCCTGGCCTACCTAGATTCTTCCTATACGGAGCCGCTTATTTCCGCCGAGCTAGAGGATGCCACTAAAGATATTCTTGTGGCAGTCCATCATCACCCCCAGTTACAGGACGTGGGCTCAGACCCTACCAGCGCCGCGTCAAGCAGCAGCAGCAGCAGCAACAGCAGCACTGCCGACGACGACGACGGTGTGGTTGTTGGATTCGCGCAGCTGACACGGGACTCGTCGTTAGCGGAGCCGTGCGTTGCTAAGCTTGCCCAGGCCGGCTCATCAGTTGAGCTGCAGCGGCTGTATGTTGACGTGTCATTCCATGGCACAGGGATCGGCAGTCGGCTGGCGGGTGCCATTGAGGATATTGCTCGCAAGGAAGGGTTCACGCACATGTGGCTTGGCGTATGGGAAGAAAATCGAGCCGCTGCCCGTGTGTATGCCAAGCTAGGCTACTCAGGTATTGGGTTTCACGATTTTGTGGTGGGAAGCATCGTTCAGCGCGATGACATTTTGATGAAGCAACTATAATTTTCCGTCGGTTTTTTTTTTTTTTTTTTTGGCCGAAAGACACTTTCACGTCAACAAGAAAACAAGGTCTATATACGGGCCGCCAACGACTGCCGAGTACATGGGTAGCGGAGATTTTTTGCATCTTTTTCCAGCCAACGATGGGAGGAAACGGAAAAGGCGAGGAGCCACAACTTGGTTGAATGTACCGAAGCATCGGAAGCCAATAGACAGAACAGTAGTAAATAACCTAGCCCAGCGGAATGCGGCAAGCAGGGGGGGGTGCCATATGCAACGGCTTCTGCATGAAATTGACTGAGGAAGGGGGTCTGTCCAGCACCGACCGGGCCGTGGACAAGAACGATCCAAGGCATGCCCGGGAATAGATGCAATGAATTGCATGACATGTCGAGAATATGGCAATTTCCATCTTCTGACCGCGAACGTTGCACAAAGAAGCCCTAGAGTCTCAATAAGACATGCCGTGATATAGACTAGAGAAGTTTAAATTCTTTCGGCATTACTTGTTTCTTGCCTGCATTCTTTTTCCATGAATCACGGGTCTGTGGGTTCTGCACGGAGCGCATGTAAGGGAGACTACAATTAAAGTTTGACAGGCTTCTTTTTAGACTCTTCTTTTGCCACTACCATAATGGCTGGTGCTTTTTTTTTGCTGCAACAATGACCGTTGTTTTAGGGCAAATGCAAATCTCCCCTCTCCCCCAGTTCTTTTCTCGGTCCAGTTTTTCCACATAATCAATTGGTCCTGCGCTCTCTCTCAGTTCATCACAGTTCATGCTGCTTGAGACGATTTTCCTTTGATCCGAGTTGCTGGTAAGTGTAACCGTGCTTTGCCGCGGACTCGCACATTGTCCGGAGTCCATTAGTTGGTTGCATGAAATTTCCTTTTTGCCGTCGTGGTATTCTTCGAGTCAGTTGTCTGCGTCAGAGCACATGGCGGCACTCGTGCAAGTTTCTGAAGCGCCGAGTCCAAGTCTATTGTTTAAAACAGCGGGGGCACGTTGCATTCTGAGAATAGAGAGGGCTTGGCCGACAAATATGCACTCACAACACCTATTAGTCTCTCTAGCCTTGAGTGAAAGAGTGAGTGCCTTGCATAAGGTCACGTAAAAGGGGCATCGGCAAATCCAGCATGATGAAAAGTCAATTATAGATATTTGCTTCAAAGAATAGGGGTATCATGGGTCCAATCTCAAATACATGGTGCCATCGGGAATTTCGCATTCTAGGCAATGCGCAATGTTCAAGTTCTATACAGTGGTAAAACCAGAAAGGACAGATGCCCGAATATGAAAAAAAAGTATGCAGAAAACAGAAATACATCTCCTTGTCGGGATGCGATGTAAGAAGAAAGATATAACAGTCATTGTCTCGTGAAAGAATTCCATCCAAGTCTGGGTTTGCGTTCCAGGTTCAGCATTCGACAGTGATACGCGGTACTGCGCATCTCGCCAGCTCTTCATTGTGTAGAAGGCTGATGCTCGAGGCCTATACTGCTCGCCGTCACCTTGGCTACCCCTCTCGTCGTTCTTCGTCTGCAACCGAATGCTACCAAGAACAGTGAACCAAGACGCATCCCTGTCTCGCCTGGCCTGGTAGTCATGTCATGGTTGTCATGTATCGCGAGCCTTGGCAGACGTGGGGATCAATGGTAGGCTGAAGGTATAGTAGGCCAAGATGAGAGTTGAAGGGTTTCGTCGCTGATAGGTTTCGAAAGTGACGTAGCCAGAAGCCCCAGGATTTCGACAAGAAAACAAACAGATATGCCAATACCTGAGGTTTTTGCTCTCAAGTGCTACCGGCAAAGCGGTAATCGGGGGTATCTGTGTGGGGTGGCTGTTGTTCCATGGGGTTGAGCCTAGGCGAGCGCAACGTTGCGATCCAAAGCCGAACCGACAAGGGGCCAAGTCGGGCAGCAGAAATTGCGCATGTAGTAGATGATGAGATGAGTGAGGCAGGGCCAGAAGTTCGGCTGACTTCTGATGACGACCCATGGCCCATAGGGAGGCGGCGTTTTTTGGTGGCGCCATGAGCGGGTAGGTGGCGTTGTCCGCCATCAGCGTCAACGGTTGGCGCATGTGTCAAAAAAAAAAAGAATTAGGCTTTGGTGCTGTTCCAGTAACGGGCGCGAGCAGCGACAGCCGTCTTGTCTCCGTTGAATCGATGCTGGAAGTAGTTGAAGACGGAAAACTCATCACGCGTCATGACATAGTCGTCAGGCTGGGCTTGAATCTTGTTCCAGATGCTGGCGATGGCTTGGTCGAGAATCTTGCTAACGGTGGGATCAGAGGCGCCAGCAGGGCTCTCGCGAGCAATCTCGAGAGCCTGGGACACATCAGACATGACGGGTGAGGAGCCCATCTTCAAAGAGAAGGCGGGGCAAGAGCTGACGCCGGCAACGAGCGAAGCAGGGTCAGGCAAACGGTGAGGCATGTTGGTGACTTTGCTGTCGTTAGGGAGGAGGAGTGAGTGTAAGAGGATGATGCGTCACTGTTATTGAGTAAAAGTGCAAGAATGTCGAGGACGAAGAAATCCGAGGATCTTGCGGCTTCAAGAAGACAGATGGACAGCTTATATGGTTTGACGCCGAATCGGGGCAGCGAGGGCATGTACTATTATATACATGTACGGCTTGGAGAGAACTCGCAGCGGATTCGGGAGTGGGATGGAAGAGGGAGTGTAAGCAAATGGGCGTGTGTATATGGGTGGACTAGGGGGCGTGAGGGTGTATGAACAGAGCTGTTCCTGAAGGCAGTGAGTGGACTTGTACTGAGAATGATTATCCGTAGAGTAATCCGTACTTTGAGTACTTTGAGCACCTGCAAGTTGGGCGATGAAAGCAAGGGACCCGCGGGGCGCCCTGAGGGTGGAGTAGGGGGTGGGAAGGTTTGCGAGGCAAGGCGTGCCAAAGCTGTCTTTTTTGGCTCTAACTAACTAGCTTTCTGCTCTGCAAAAAAAGCAAGAAACAAAAGTTGGTTCCAGCCCAGCGATCAAACTGTGGGTGCTGGCTGGCCAAGGCACTCGACATTCAGGGGATCCTCTTGATGGTGGGCGACTAACTATTTCATCGGCGCGAAATGTGTGTTGGTACAGTTGTACTGCCAACTAAAATAATGAGCCTGCTTTGCTGGCAAGGCCTTGTTAGTCCAGAGTGCTAGCCCTCTTTTGTGCTTTTGATCCGACAAGGACGGCCCAAGGATGACGGCGTGCAGGGCGGCCGAAATGTGATATCTACTCAGTACAAAGTACAACAACAAGGTGGTGAAAGCTGGGATGTAGCTCCAACAGTGTGATAGGATCGTTTGCTTGTGGCTTGCGGATTTCTGTCTGTGTGTGCCGGTAAGGTTGCTGGGGGGGGGGGGCTTGGCTTAGTGGGAGGAAGGCACTGGGAGGCTCTGCAGCGTCAGGTTGGCGCAAGTGGGCTGTTCTAAGCGGTGTGTGCGAGACTCGCATTGGAATGAGTGATGAGGCCAAGATGCTAGAGGTGTGAATAGGTTTGACTTGTTGACTCGTAACGATGGAAAGATGCGTCGGGCATAACAATAGGCAAAGGGGGGGGGGGGGGGGTGGACGCTTAATCTTGCTCAGCCTGCTTTTACAGAGTTTACAAAGTACGCAATACAGCAAAGCACAACCTCCCCTCTGACACAACTCTAATTTCAGAGGATGCTTATTTGCAAATGCAGTAAGTATTTGCAATAAGTATTGTGGTCTATTGTCGATACACACACACACACACACGCAAACACACAACGCCATCACTAGTAAACGAGGCCAAAGTCTAACGGCTGGGCCCAGAAAAGGACGAGGCCGGGGGCAAGTAGGTTACCAACAGTGGTCCAGTGGTCCCGTCCAGTGGCACAACGCAACGGCGAGAACGGCAAATACGCTTTTCTACTTTGTCTGTGTTTGGCCACATGGCCAATCTGTCCAAACTCACGTTACCATGGAAGCTATACCCACGAATCAGGATGCTGCGTATCCCACTGGTCCCTGCTCTCAAAAGTTTGCTTTCTTTTTTGCCTCTGGACTGACTGGGTCAGAACAGGCTTTTGTGCTAGTCAAGCAATAAGGAAAGCTTATTGCGGTCAGCGACGATAAAACAAAAACAGCGGGCAAGCGGGCGAGCGGGCGAGCAGCAAGCGGAGCGCCTGGGATCCGAGAAAGCTTGTCATTTGCAAGCTGGCCCCTTTGCTCTTTGTATGCTTTGCAACCAGTATGCCGGCTGTCGCCATTCATTCAAGTCCGGCCGCATGCTCATGCCTGACTTGTCCTAGTTGGTTAGCTCTTTGCTCCCAAGGCGCGCCGGGGAATTAAATGATAAACAGCGACTAACAACTACTGTGCGCCCGCCGTTGAGTGCTACATTATTCTTGCGTCAAACCCGGTTCGGGCCAGGTCGTCAATAGCATTCAGGTCGTCAATAGCATTGACAATGGTGACAATAGTAAATGAAAAGCATTCATATCATATTAGGACATGCGCATTCTCCCCTGTTTTTTGTGGTCGCTCTATTATTGAACATGGAACTTTACTTGCCGAGAAGCGCGGCCGAAGTGCGTGGCACACAAAGTGCCAAGCTTGGCCCAAAGCCTGTTGCCTGTACAGTACGGAGTATTTACAAAATTGAGCATGCATAAGACCATCTAGAACGCATGAGGGATGCGACAACAAGCAAATACATGAGCTCACGACTCCACACAGTCTCACATGTTTGACGTAATAAATGACAACTTTTGGCGCCGCCTGCGCGTCGAATGCACAACCCGCGTTATATTGGGCAAAGTCTCACCTTCTGTCAACTGTGGCGAGGCTACCAATATTCAGTAAATTGCAGAAAGCAAAAGAAGCACAGCACAGCACAGCACAGCACAGCACATGCAAGAAAAAGCCGTCGTCTGGCTCCGGGGAAGCAACCGCCAACGCCATTTCGCCGCGCGGCCAAATATGCTTGCTCCATGTACTGACGGACACAACCCGAAAGCTTATCCCTTTTTCCTCATTTATTATTATTACACAAAGCAAACATGAGAAACAGCATCCCCAAAATTCAGAGTTCAGCAGTGGTTCTTTCACTTTTAAGCATTTCACTGCAAGGAGGAGCATGGCATAATAGAGGAGGCCAGGGCCTAGGAGAGATGGAGAGACCCAGCGACGGCGGCCTGAATCGAGACTAAAAGGCATTCTTTGCGAGCTTCCATGGGCCTTCTAATTTCCAGTGGCCCCAGGGCTCCTTTATGCTCCCTCACCTAGCCCTAAATATTCCAAAGGCGCTACAGCCTAGTTACAGCCTACCTAGTTACAGGCTGAGGCCACTGACCACACCGGCCTAGTCCGCTCCTCCACACCGAAACGTGAAGAGCACATGTTTTCGGGTTCAATCAGCGCATCAAGCCCAGATCATCTTTACTTTGCTCATGTTTTAGACGCCCAACGCTAAATACAACACTACAAGTAGTGCCTGGGCGAAACTTGTCCGCTACCACCACCGAAGCGCTTCGGAGAAAAGAGCTCCACGCAATAATCCAATCATCATCATCCTACACATAACAGCGTTGTCGTGGCCATTTTCTTTTTTTTTTTTTTTTTGCGTGGTTTTTCTCTACGACGGTCAAGACTCTAAAGCCATGACTCTTGCACAAATTTAATGTTTATTGCGACTTGGACATGCCCACACGACAAATTGCGGTAAGCAGTAACAATGACATTGCAGTGTATTGACACGCAGTCCAATGACACAGTACTTCCGCATTGCCTTTCTGTCTCGGCAATCTGCAAATTTCAGCATGTATATGTATATCAGTAGTTATTTCGACTGCTTCAAAGACAGTCAGTGTCATCTCTGCCCTGCCGCCAATCATACCCTCAAGAACTGGCCGAAGACGCCGGGACTATTAGTTGATCGCCACAACAAGATACTCTGTTAGCTGTGGCCATTTTAGTTTAGATAATGTCGATCTTACGACTGTAGCCATCCAACAACCATTTGACGCCCAAAAAGGCCCAAAGGCCGTACCACCAACAACCTCCCGCCTAACGCTAGCATAATTCTGCCCCGTTGCCTGAAATTTACCGATGTCTTCTTGAATCGTGCATGAAAAGTGTCTTCCGCCCACACCCTCCTCTCGCCTCTCTCTGATCGGCTCCATCCCAGCCACCAGCACCCTGGTTCATCTCAACGGCCCTGTCTGGCCAAAGCCGCTTCACAGAAAAAATTCGGAAACAATTCGGCATCGCGGCCCCCCGTCGCAGAGGAATAAATAGAGCCCGCAAGAACTTTAGAGTTTTGCGTCCGACCCGCCGTCGTCTTCTGCATAGTTGCGCAAAGCCGACGGGGGAAAAATTGTAATTCCACTTTCCATTTACTCCAAACAAATAAAATCAGTTGTGGCATTATTTCCGTTTCAGGAGCCAAGGGCTAAAGGCCAGAACTGGCACTTTGAGGTGATCGACTTCTCCAGCAGGATCGAGGCCTGTAATATCGGCGGTCCCAAAAAATGACACTGCCAAGATACAATCTATTACTACTTATTACATTCCCGGCTCGGTAACTACTGAATACATTGACTTGAAATTTGTACATTATTCCCCTGCAATGCCATGCATGGGCCGGCCGTGGATCTCAAGGAGGGGCAGTGACATTCATATCCGCGGTCCTCAAAGGCCCACCCGCAATATAAACCAACGCTGGTGCATATCATCTCTTTAATTAGACACGAATACGGAATATGTCACTGAATATTGCAATGACATACTCATACATACAGCCTAATTACGTTGCCATCTTGTGTACCCGCCAAGAGATCAATCTCGCTCTCAGCCTCACCCATTTATCCAGGCTTGGCACCTCATCGCGGGGTCGGCTCGTATTACCAGGTAAACGGTTTACAGCCCGTGATTGCAGAATGACAAATTATTTTCTTTATTTTTTATTTTTCTTTTTTAAGTATATCGAGATTTGGTAAGAAGCCCAACTTTCTACTCACATGGCCAAGCAACTTTTCCAAACACTGTTTTCGCTCAGTCTTTCTTGCTTTGGAGCATACGCCGCCTTGACCTCTCCGGAGCACCATGGTTCCGATGCAAGCCAATTTATGCGGATCGAGTTTTACATAAAATTGCTTAGTTTTACCTCGTAGAATTATACTTTTTTTTTTTCCTTATTTTGGCTCGGCCAACTTTGCAACCTGCCAAGATGAGCGTTCAAGACATTACATAAGTGCTAGCTAGACTCAAGAGCAACTGAGACAGTGACCCCCAACTACAACTATCTGAAGCTAGTTTGCGCCAGATTTTGATCGCGGGGACCGAGTTATACCTTGTTGGATAACGATCCCGGGGCTTGTTCCTTGCTCTTGAGATCGGTACATCCAACATTCGCTACGAAAACCTGATATTTTCAGTAAGATCACAGATCATGCAGCATGTTGGAGCAACAGTCCTGCCGCCTGTTTTACTGCAGACGCAAGGCTACATTGGTGTCTTCTCCCCTTAGATATGGAGCCGAGTCGATCCATGCCACCCGTCTTGGTGGCGTTCGGCCCTCTTTTCCTGATTTTACTGATTTTTGCATCTCCGGTCCGTCTCCTCATCCCGGGACTTTAATACATTGGCATTGCAACATGACCGTTCGCCGATGACATGTAACTACTAGTTACTCACTATGAGCCACTACCATAAGTATCCCGCTGGCAAGAACTCCTCACGGCGTACTGGTAGCCCAACTCCGCTAGCGTAGTCTTGTTTGTTCATGAGCCCCCCCCCCCCCTGTAAACTTTAACCGTTTAGCGTGGGCGCCGCCTGCAATTGTGAAGGGGCTAAATAAAGTATAAGAAACTAATTAGTACTCTGATCAATAAACGCCGCAACTTCGTCCTCGGCAAAGTTTCACGCACGAGATACGACATGTCAGGAACTAATCAAGGGGATTCATAGATAAAAAACTGAAACATATCAAGGGGGGTTTATAGTCAAAGTGAAGATCAGTTGCCGGACTTTGAGTCCGGCAAAGAAAAAAATGGGCAACGGCCCGAGCGAAACCAAGCGGCGATCGTCTGTTGTGACCCTTGCCGCATAGACGATTTGGGGTAGTTGCAAAAAAATAAGAACAAGTGGCCATTATAATAATAAAACTTGAAGCCCGAGCGGTGTGCGTTTGTTACCGTCTTGCCCTTTTTCCCCCGCAAATTGCCCTGACATGTCTTCTCTCATTGGCCCATTATCAAATCGGCTCTTCTTTAACCTCTCTTAACAAAGACCTATAATCCGTAGTTGAATCAATATTCAGCGTTGCTGTTTCATTACCAAGAGATTCGGCTATTCGTATAGAGGCACCTGCCCATGACAAAACCTGCGCCTCTTAGATGATTGCAAAATAGAGGGCAACTAATTTATCCCGCAATGTTAGACCTTAAAGAGCTCAAATTCTCCGTAGCACCAGCCCTAAAATGGGAGTGAACTAGTTGCTAGTTACCAATTGCATCGTGGAGACTCGAGTTCTCGGGGCTCTGCAAAAAAAAAAAAAAAAAAAAAAAAAAAAAAAAAAACAAGAAAAGCAATTCTTGCTGCGCCGCCCTTGATCCATCCGCGCCCGTTTCGTAGCCTTGAGAGCCCGAATAGTCATTGGCTCTTCGCGTTGGCGCCAGTGCCCTGGGAGGAGATGGATGGCTTCGTGGGGACGCACGGCCTGCAGCTTAGTTAGCGCTTCCATGTTGGCCCGATGTCCTGAAGCTTCCAGCCTGTGCGTTAGCGCCTGCGACAACGAGGCTCGGGTCTCTGATTTCAGGTGCAAGGGGGCGTGTTGCAACACTCCAAAGTCGAATACATTCAGTATCGGGCCTACTGGTATTGAGCGTATTGAGCGTATTTGCAAGATTGTATTTACTTGGCGTTTTACTCTACATCTCCTCGTCTACGGATACTTGTTGCGCATCTCTTTGTCAGGCGTCTATGCCCTGCTATCAGATGAACCCTCGGCATAGACCCGCGCAGTCTAGTTGGTGGCTTGATGCTAACCAGCCACCCAAATGTATCGAACGATGATGCACTTGAGAGAAAATATGAGAGTCAAGAGAGCCCACTTGCGAATTGTGATCGGCATATTGCAGTTTAGAGGGGAGCATTTTTCGACTTGGCAAGGGTTCCTGGCCCTGCGCTGCGAATCTCGTCCCCACGGAGCTACGTTCCGAGAATGGAGAAGCCGACTGAAGAGTGAAGATTTCGGCAAGCATCTTCTCGCTAGCCCAAGCATCTAGGCACAAAAGTCAACCAAAGTAGAGACCCTTGGGCTCGTGCTCTCAATGCGACGGGGTGGTACCCAAGTCGGTTCGCAGTCAGTGTTTGCGTGTCTATTATTCTGACATGTTATTCTCTAATTATTGACATGTCATATGCTTTGTAGCATCAGCCAGTTTGTGAGGTTGCATTTCTACCAATAAGCTGTTCTGACTGAATATACTGATACTACGTATGCTTCGCAAAAGAATTCAAACATCACCAATGCCCATCGTTGACCCAGCCTCTTGTTTCACACCGTTTTGCTGTCCTCCACTGGATAACTAGTGGCTCTTCTCCTCTTGCACATGCACTCGAGTCCGTCGGCCGTTTCTGAGGCTCTTGTCCGACGCCGTGGCCCCCATCTTTCTCGCAGACTCGGGTGTTCGGCTCAGCGTGGAGCTTTTTTGTAATAGTAGTTCTAGCATCGGGAGCGTTGGTGATGCGATGCAACCAGAGCGTGACCAAGCTAGTTAGTCGCCAGTTTGGAGCTTCCTCTCCCGCAATACCCGCAATACCAGTACCAATCTGCGCGATATGATGCCCGCTCTCAGGCACCACCCAACGATTGCGTAGTTAGTGTCTTTCTCTGTCCGCTTTTGTGCCTCGCGAGGCGCCCCAGCTGGGAGGTTTGGTATCCACAAGGTACAAACTCTATTCGCTGGTGTGCTCAAAGTAGTTACCCTTGGAGTTTACACGATTTGACGACATTTGCAGCAAGACAGTTTTGACAGACGAACTCTTTTTTTTTTCTACGACCCCGTTTCTTCCGCTTCAACTCCGTTCCCCACTCAGCTCGACGTTGCCGGGCCAAGTACACGATTCTGGAAGGAGCTCTCGGGAGCAGCTCCCGTTAAGCTGATAGGCTAGTAATTAGTTCGACAGTCGCATTATCGTAGTAAACCCAACCAGAAGCTTTAATCCATATATGGTGACGATTGTCTTTTTTTTAAACTATCAGTATCCGTAGATCGACACGAACGTTGGCCTACGTGGTTCCTCACATCTCTTCTGAGAAACCCCTGGCCGCCGTCGCTAACTCGGGCGTCTACCGAGACAACGACCAGCATAATCGCATGCTTTTGATTCCATGAATGAATTTGCTGTTCAAAGGATTATACTTTCATGTTGCATCTGTACATGCTCAGCCGCTACCCAATTCGGCCATGTGGCGCCCTGTCAAATCCTCTCTCTCAAGCGGGGTTCTTACTGAGTCCATCGTGTGGTTGGGCGGGCGGGTGATTGTGCTAATTAGCTCATTGCTGCATTCTGCCGTGTACTTGACCCTGGTCAGTTCCATTGATCTTGTCATAATTCTGGTCTGAAACATGTACAGCCTGGTTTAAAAGGAGTCTCATCCACGTTGGCCCAGAGCCGTTGTTCAGCAGAAGCCGCAAAATAAGGTTTTCCGAGTCGCAAGACAGTGCTCCATAGCCCCTCGCTTATGACAAGTTGCTATACCCTTGACATGTCAACATGCCTTCTCTAGACTATCAGTACTCCCAGTGCCGACATGCTCGCCCCTGCCCTTTCAGCTATATGCTGTTTCATCATGAAACGATCATGCCGCTCAATAAAGTTTACAGATTCGGTGCGTGCGATTTCTTGGCGATTGGACAGATTACGGTGACCGGTATGAAGGGTCAGGACACTGGCAATACTCACCGAACATCGTCCCGGTGATATACACACGCAGCTGCTATTTTTCGCTTATAATGATAGTCTATATCGTATGGTTGCCGCAGACTTGAACGTTATATGGCTCGTATTACCGCAGTTCGCACTCTACACAAACCTTACTTTCGTTTCGCATTGCAATTAGCTCGTCGAGTCAGGCTTGCAATTACTAAGAATAGATTCTTCAGAGTAAATTTATCCTTCTCATTCGGATGTGCGGACTGGTTGCTTATTAGCCACAAGTCGCAAGCATGACGATATGGATACGCTAGGGCTAACCTCGAGTATACCGGGCAGTAAAATAGGCTCTCGTTCTGCGTCAAAGGCTGGCCACATGATATCCTGTCGTGTGTCGAGCTAGTCATGCAAATGACGAACCTTCTTGCTTAATGGTGTCGTTATAGCTTCAACATTGCAGTTACGACAAATTGCGAGAGACGGTGCCCTTGAATCCTTGTGCCTCCATTTCCATCCTGACAGGGTGGCATGAGCAAATATATGATGACGAGGGCGGACGGGGCCTGAAACTTTATATCTCACAGCCTCACTCGAGTCACGATAACACAATGCCCTCAGTCATTTTTTGCCTTTCTTCTCCAGATTACAAAGTTGAGCCAAGGCGCTGGCAGTCTGGCGTTATAGGGAGGCGGACTTGCTATACGGCGATTACCCACCACCAAATATACTTTTGCGTGCTTCTTCGGCACTGGCGGCTGTCTGTGATGACTGATCACCACCAGGCCGACTTCGTGATAAAGCTTGGCGGCGGAAACTCTAAGCGCCCAGACCAGCTGACCACAATTCCAGGAGGCGACTGTAAGGGAGAGTGCAATAAAGGGCAGGCAGCCAACTAACAAACAAACAAAAGAAATAATAGCGTGCTGGATGATGTAATCGTTACAACGGGTGCTGTATTCTAACTAGTTTCTAGTGTTTCTAGTCTAACTACAGCAAGCGTGGCCTAGCGGTGTCACCCCGTCCCCGTTTCAGCCAGCAACCAACCACGCCAACCTCACGCTGATGGGCAAATGGGGCAAAAGAGCCAGCTTTATGGCCCAATCGAATGGCTTCGCCCAAAAGAGGTTGAAGTGAAGACAGTCTTGTGAGCTCACGAGACGCTACCGAGTACGGATATAATTCCGTGCTTTGCACAAAGCCGATCGGCATTTCGAGTATGACGCACGCTTCGGCCTTTTATTGCTTGATCGCCTCTCCGAGTGAAACGAAACGCTCCCAATCAGCGTGCAACTTGTCGACTGGCGATCAGCCAAAACTCTATTGACAGTGAAATACTCAATGTAAAACTCAACTTCTTTGTGAGAGTTTACAGGGGAGCGCCCTTCTCGGCGGCCACCGTCGTCATACTCGTGGCGGGCGCAGGGCCGGCCAATCACAACGCAGTTTCCATGATAGGAAACTCGTACGACTTGTCGAAGGTTTTGGACAAGGCGGACCCTGAATAGGGCCTGAAAAGGACCAACGGACACGCGAGTTAATTGAGACTAGTCGGCCGACCGGCCCTCCGTGCAGGATTGTCGGAACGATTTTCCCAACTGCGGGCGGATACACACAACACTCCCGCACGCACATGCATACATACATACTTGTAACCACTGGGTCGGCGGGACGCGGTTATTGGTTTTCCCTATTCGGGATTTGTGCGCGGAATGTTGGCCCTGCACGGGTCTCGACTCCATCAATCGTTGTTCTCTTGTCTTCGTGGTCTCCATCGCCCGTTGAAAGCGTTGCGTCCGTGCCAAGGGAAGAAGTAGACGGCCCGTCCTGGCATGAGTAAGTTCTTTGCATCTAGAATAGCAGCAGAAACTCCGTCGAAACTACTAGTACAGCAAATAACACGATCAGAGGGGAAAATCAAGCCAGTCAGGCGGGAAGCCAAAAAAAAAAAAAAAAAACGGTTTCTTGGCGGCGGGTTCTGTACAGCCTCGTTGAATACCCGAGTCCAGTTCACGCCCCCCGTGTGTAGTTATTGGTTTTTGCGATCATCGTCTTGCACATGTTATTGCCGAAAAGTCCACAAAGACTCGATTCCGCTTGTACTGAGTGATATGGGTAAGTTTCGTATCCTAGCAGGTACCAACAAGGAAGATCGAAGAATTACAGGGCTGCGAGCACCCATGTCTGCTACCTAGGTCAGAACAGATGCCGGACAGGCATATATTACTTACGCACGACACTTCGTACGGAGTACGGATTACATGACAGACAGTACACACTTGCGACTGCCAGGAAGCTCGACGGGTTGCGGGCTCACCCACAATCATTGGCGTTCTGCAACGCCAAACTTTAATTGCCTGAGATACCTGCAATAATGTTGTTTGCTTTTCGACAAACGCCACTATGCAGGTAAGGCCACTCAAACGATCCTTGCCTTTCTCGTTGCGCGCACCGGCGACCAAGCCAACCCAAACTTGGACGTGGCGGCAACATGGCAACGAACAGTTCTAATAATAATAGAGGTCCGCCAGCTGCAAGTACAACGTTTATTTTGATCAAGTACTGATTACACCAAAGACGTCTCTATGATTACACAAAAGGAGTAAGTAGTGCCGCTGAGTCTATCCTGGTCTAGCTATATCTACCCCCTTTCATACATGTAATATACAACAATCATCAACTATTGCCCCTCAAACTCAAATCTACAGCCTCTCTCAGTCGCTTGGCTGCATATGATCGCTTAGCCTGGTAACATACTTGCAACCTCATAATCTGCCCATTCCGAGAATACCGCGCGAGGTATTCTGTCAATCTGTTTCCTGCTTGCCCCTCCCATCCCTCTGTATCAAACCGCAGACATCCACATGGCAAAGTTTAACCTGTAATTATTCGCAAAATGCTGACGCCTTGGCTAACCGTTGGTTGTGTGGAGACTAACACCCGCCGGCCGCAACGGTTGTCCAAACGGCGAGAGTCTTCGTTTGCAGGGCCATTGTATCCGTATCTTCATCGCTTCTCGCGCTGGCCTGCGTAGATATTGAGGGTCTACAACACTTCAACACCCCTCATCAGACCCCATTGCTTCCGACGGCGGACCCACAAGAGTGCAGTATGCCTGCAGGACCTGGGAAAGAATCCGCAATCGGAAACCGCCGATTACGCTTTTTTCCCGATGTTCCAGCCCCATGAACGAAGCTTCTTGACAATCTTGGGCGTAAGCGCTGCTGTCAAGGGGACTCGCACGAAGATGAAGCTCTTGTGAATGGCGTACGCAAGAGCCAACTGTGTCCCGAGACCTGCAAAAAAAGAACATGTTACTGGCTTAGACTTCAGAATGTAGGCCGGGCTTCAAACGCCGCGTGGGGCTTTCTAGCCCACTTGTGACCTAATAGGTATGTTTGCAACAGACAACAAGATGGGTGACTTACTCGCTGCTTCGTTGTGGTGCTCCTGTGCCGTTTCGACGCCCCAGCTCATCATCTCCACAGTTTCGCTAACATCTCCATTGCCAAGAGTATCATTTTCCGTCTTCTTGACCGATTGCCAGTAATCGCGCCACTTTTGCCGAATTGATTCTGGAATGAATTTCGAAACGGTGGATACAACGGCGTGCTCAATTCGACCTATAATTTCGGCGAGTCATTCTGTCAGTCTCCCATCGGCGTATTACATGGACAATTGTCGCAACATACCTATCGTGTCGGTACCTACGATGCGCACCAACAGGAAGCAAAAGGGAAAGTCAAGGACACTGAGAGCAAGGTACACGCCAATAGCCGACTTGCCGTAATCCTTGAACAGCTTTTTTAGCCGTTTGGTAAGTGACAGGGGCTGTGGCTGTTCCCCGTTCGTGTTGTTGTGCCTCCAAGCGGAGAAGCGAAAACCTCTCCTCGATGCCGGCGCCCATTCAGATGCTGCCGCTTGCAAGCCTATGGGCCGCAATGGGTGAAGCGTTGTAGCAAAACGGCGTGAGCCGCTAGATTGGGCCGAGCTCCGTCGAAAAATGTTGCGCTGCGTCGTATAGAGGCGTCGCCAAGCACCTTGCAAGGCGCCTGATGATGGCGCATTCATCATGTTGAAAGCTCGCTGAGCGGACCCGGAACCTTGTAGTAGAAACCGTAGCATTGTGGCGTGTAGGCCTTGAAGCAGTCGCAGATGATATCGGAAGGGTTCAAAACGCCAGCGGCGCGTGTTGACCTTCAATGGTGCGCAAAGGTTCGATTTGGGAGCTACTCGGAACTATCGGGGTCTCGCGGTCCGCAGACGGTCGGGTGTTGCGGTTGTTCAGTATGTATGCGGGCGGCATCCGCTTCGTCGGTGACAATGCGTGTATGTATAAGTTCAATTTCCTGGTTGGAGATGCCAACAATGCCGCATGATGCGCTTGATGGCTTCGGCTGTGGTTTCGCCCTGTTTTCGAAGCTGCCAGAAAATTGATGATGTCGTCCTTGGCCAAGGGTCCGGCGGGGCCTTGCCACTTTGGGAGCGTCACGTGGGACAGAACCAATGCCAGCACTTCACGTTGGGGCATGGCCTGCGCGTACTGAAAACAATCATGATAGCTCTGCTGCAAATGAAATCGTGATCCATGAAAGTGTGGTTGAGTCGGATTTGACTACATTATGAAATGTCAGCTGTTGTTGTGGTGCGACAGCAGCGAGACGAGTCCCTGCACCGGAGCAAAATCGGCGTCTAAGTGAGCTGCTAAACGAGCCAGCAAACGGCGATGCGCCGTGTTCGCAGCATGTTCCCATTTGATCGATTATTCTCGCTAAACAACTCTATTTAAATGCTTGGCAACCACAATTGGCTCGGCTACAGAATTGGATCCGGCTGCAGACCCGAGCCGAGCCCCGAACGTGATGGCATCGCAGCTGCCATGCTGACAGCCATCACCTTGGCATCACTGCCTAACGACCCACGTGATGGCAATTCTTCTTCTCTCTCTTGTGATTTCTATTCTCGGTAGATGATGACGTGCATCTCTTGGAGTAACTCTCCGTTCGCTCGTTAAACCGCAGTATCTCTGTCGCTCGTTCAGCTCTGTTTCCATGTCGACTGGGCAGCTTTGGCTGCATTTCGCTCCTTTGGTTAGGCGAGCATATAATGGCAAAGATTGCCAAGACATACGGTAAACGGGGTACATCGGCTCGCATATTGAATGCAGAGAGACATCGCCAAAGCCTTCAAGCAATTTTTAGCTCTTCCAAGACCGGTAAGTGTCTGTTCCTCTGGCCGCACACTAGACGATCAACTGACTGGGCTGTGTATTAGATACAAATCATTCAGTCTCAATTCCTGCTACAATATCGCTACAACATACTTCATCAGTTATTACAAGCATTCATCACAATTTCCCGATGCACTCTTCATCTACCACCGATCACGCCTCCCTCGGACGCAGGCTGCGCAGCGCTGCGCCCAGACTCGTGCCAGCTGCCCCAGCTGCCAGTCCTACCCGTCTTATTCTTTCGACCACCAATGAACGAATGGCATCACCTGTAGATATTAAAACAGAAAAATCTTTGAAGGACTCGCCGAAAAGTTCGCTGCTGGCCTCTGATGTCCATGGCCTTTGTTCCCGCAATCGTTGTAGAGACGCACTGTGCAGGAACACCACAGAATGGGACACAAAACAGGCAGCTGGTTATCTGGAAATCCTCAGTCCTGTTGAGATTGACAATAAAACTACAGCAATTCTAGCGCCTACAGCTTCACCCAAGCCACAGCCACCCTCAGCCATCGCTCGACTTGCGACATACACAGCAGGGAATTTGGGCAGTACAACGAGTCGTAAGTGGGCTGAGGACGCAATTCAGGTCTCACAGAAAAACAGAAGTCGGAAAGCGGTAAGATACAACGCATCCGAGCCCCAGAAACGAGGCTTGATCCGGGTCGAAGACTCAATACTGATGCATGAACAGCTTACCACCATCGAGCTTCGACTAGATGAGGGCAGTGTCGGAAGAAAAGCACAGTCAACCGTAGGGGGTAGTATCAAGAGAAAACTAGTTCCATGTCCGACTCGATCGCTGCGCCTAGACCGAAGTACTGAAAACCACATATTGCCTGTGCAGGTTGACAGTCGCCCAGGTTGCCCCCCAGTCTACGACTCCACATTCCCACGAGATCCATTCGCAGATGAAAAAAGTTTCGAAGAGAACCTCTTTGATGGCCTCTTATGCGAATGCCCGACAGGCTCCTCAACGCCCAAGTCAGCAACGCTAACGCCCCAACTGCACAGGAATGGTGAGGGCGATGATGACCGCTCCCACCACTTTGCAATTGAGTCGGAAAGTTTGTCTGCTCAGAACCCGGACAGAAAAATAGACATAGATGGCTCTTGCAAGGGAAAGACCGCCATCGAGTCTATATGCGGATATGGCCGCGTTAAGAAGCACCCTTCACCCAGTAAGAAGGCATTGGAAGACTTGGAACTGGCCTTTGCCATATACACCAAACTCAAGCCCTTGGAAGGTGGGGATGAAACTGATGAACTGGCCAAGGATGAGCGCGGAGCGCTTTCAGCTGCAGACCACAACAAAGCAATGCGTCAACACCGGAAATTCGCCGTCCCCGAGGAAGCGCATGAGATGGCCCATAGGCGTGCATACAGGATCCGGCATAGCTTGCCGTATCGGCCCACAGTGAAAAACACTCAGGATATTGATGAGTTACGATGTTAAAGATTTTTACGCCCTCAAGGTTGGAACCACTCTAATATTGCTTTTTTTGGAACCACGAGGCAAGAGCTAGGATTGTGATCGGAAACGCAAAGTGGGTGCGAGTATATAGGTATATTTAATGAAACGCAGCTAATATCAAGGACAAAACCGAATATTCATTCCATCGTGAGGGTATGGGTATATGTGCTCTAAATGACTAAAAATGGTGGTGAGCGCCGCGGCCGTCGGTGCCGTGCATGCGGCGAGTGCCGGCAGCCTGTATGGTGGACGGTGTTAGTGGACCGGTCGTGGGCAAATTTCTGTGCATGCGTGGGGAAAACGTACTTTGACGCCAGGACGATGGGTCAGACTACCGCGGAGCTTGAGAAGGGCCCCCGAGATTTTGTCCCCAATACTGGGCTTGCGTTGGTGGTGGTGGTGGTGCGCGGCAGGCCGACGAGAGAAGAGGCCTCGGCGGCGGGGAGCCGTGGTTGTAGTAGCGGTAGTGGTAGTGCTGTGGTGATGCGCAGGCCGGCGCGAGAAGAGACCCCTCCGCTTGGGAGGAGCTGCGACGACGCCTTCGTTGCGACGGTTGCTGTACCGAGAAAAGGGCATTTTGGTTGCTTTTTTGATGAGGTAGGTTTTCATGAATGATGCTTTGTCCAGCAGTTTTGGGGAGTAGTGAGATGTGGCTAGTGGGCAGGAACAGCGGCACTTTATACACAAAGAATACATGCCCTTTGTGATGCCATGATGCTAACCATGATTCTAACCATGACGGACTGCATGCGTACCCATTTGTTTCACGGATGCCACATACATCATCTTGATTATGCAAGATCACAGCAAGACCAAGGGCAAAAAAAAAAAAAAAAACAATGGCAGCCCGTTGAGCCAGAAAAAACTTGGCTTTGGACGGTGCCTTGCAAAAGAGGAAAGAGATCTGTGGCGGGTGGGGAGCGCACCATGTGGCTGACGACGTCATGCTGGGGAATCGTGTGCATGGAATCAGGGTTTGTGGCGCCTACTTTTGCGTCCTCAATTTATCCGCCTTGTTTTTCTTCTTCATTTACTGGGTGAATATATTGTCAACTTGGTGAAAACAAAGTGTGGCTGAGTATCTGGGAAAAAAGTGATGGACCCCTGGTAGGTATGAGGCCTGCCCAGTGATGGAGTTGTGACGTAGGTGGGTAGGGATGGCTGATGAGGGCAGGAGAGTTGCAAGCTTACTATGCCGTATGGCGATATGCAAGTACGTAAGTTGGTGGTTGGCAACTTGATCAGCATGTCATTTAATCTATAAATGTTTTCAGAATTCTTGTCACATTGTACGTTAGGTCAGTCATTCTGGGACAGGCGTTTGAGTGTATGGCGTCATCATCAAAAGAGGGAAGGAAATGTGATGAAAAGCAATCAAGGTAGATATTCTTTATCGTGAGTCTCTTATTCTCATACGGCTTCTAGTTCTTCAGCATCGACAAGATCCAACCAAAATCTACCATACTCTCCAAACAAAATATGAGCTATTCCACCAACAAATATACGACCCCCCCCCCCCCCCCCCGTCCATTCATGGCACGCACACTAGTTCCACTGGCACTGGCGACGGGGATCGTCTACTCGGTTCGCATGTTGACCTTGATCACCTCGAGTTCCTTGTTGGAGAAGCCGAGGCCGTCGGCAGACGTAATGTAGCCGTCCCAGCCGCCAAACCTCTCGTTGAGCGCGTCGAGGAATGCGTTCCAGTACTCGGGACGCAGCTGGACGAGGTTGTAGAAGCCCGGCGTCTCCGGGTCGGTGATGCCGACCGTCTTCATGGCAAACGGCATCAGCTTGTCTCGGACGGGCTCGATGCCGATGCGTGATAGCATGTAGTCGCGAATCACGGCCTCGGGCGGCGAGCCGGCGAGATGGTGCAAGAGGCCGGCGAGTACACCGGTACGGTCTCGACCAGCTAAATTTTTTTATAATAAAGAAAACCCCAACCGTCAGCATTTCAAATCGTACTCCCCAAAAGCAGGATTGCGCCAATTATCGCAGGCTTCACTCACCAGAGCAGTGAAATAGCATGGGCTCGCGCGGCTTGTCCCGCACCTGCTCGAGCACCGCGCGGAACGTGGGGCCGTACGCCAGCGCGACGTTGAGGTATTGCGCGCGCCAGGCATGAATGCCCTCGGCGGCCGCAAAGTCGGCTAGCGCAGGCGTCGGATAGTCGCCGCGCGCGGGCCGCCAGATGTTGTCGACGCCGGGGACGCGCGGGTCCGGGGCGCCGTCGCGCTCGGCACCCTCCCGGCGCAGGTCGTAGACGTGCCGGACGTGCGCCGCCAGCCACGCCAGCGCCTCGGGGTCCCCGGCCGCGTACTCGAGCGTGCCGCAGCGGTATACGCGACCGGGAGGGATCGCGCTGCCGGGCACGGCGCCGGCGTCGCGTAGGTTGAGGAGAGACCGCGAGGGGACAAAGGGTGGCGCGGTCAGCACGGGGAGCAGCTGCTCGGACGGAATGACGGTGCGGACGTCGGTGGCCGCGAGCGCGTCAACGGCGGCAACGTCGAGCGGCATGGTGGCCGAGTTGGTTGGAAGATGTAGCTGAGAGGGGAGGGATGTGGCTGATAGAGAAAGACAAGACTAGGTTAGTTAGTTATACAGATGCGGAGAGTTGGCCGGGGAGGGCCGAGATGGGACTCGCTGCGGATATATAAGCACTGGAATACGTGATGCAGTAACGAATATCACTGACGACTGTAATACAGGTAAGATATTGAGAAGCGTCTAAATTGCGCTTTGTGTAGCAGTATAGCAGCTGTGAATTGGTGTCAAGAAGACAGAAGTTGCGGCGACATGTCCGACCGAGGGTCATCGCTCCGGCCCGTAACGCTAGAGGCGGGGTTGGCGGCGGGGTAACCTGGAGTTGCTAGACTCTCCGATCTGACTAGCTATTTGAATAGTTGGCTCTGGTTGTTTCAATACGCTGCTTCTTCCTCACTTGAAAGACTCAGTGGAGCTTGCAGAGGCGAGTAGTGTATCGGCGCCGACGAGCATTAGAATAGGACCCATACCCGAAAGCGGTTCCCCGTGCCGGCCATGGCGACTACAAGCGAAAAGGCCAGCAAGGACCTTTTATTGAAAACTCCGCCGCCCGACGACAGGAGAAACCGCAAGGTAGAACCCTCTGCAAGATACAGCATAGGCAGCATCGGCCTGTTTTTATCGCTCTTGCTCGCCGCGTCGCTTGCTGCGCTTGGCCTGCGGGCCCAGCAACAGCATCTGCAGCAGCACCTTGCCGTCGCTGATTCACAGACATACTGCTACGACAGCGTACAGACACTAGACAGTGACCTGCCGGCCGCGCAGTGCTTCACCGTAGCGGACGGCCTCTTTACCGCCGTCACACAACGGGCGCAGAAGCAGGAGGTGAAACAGCACGGCGAGCACAGCGCCGCCGGGCATGTGATTCCGGGGCTGTGGGACGGCCACGGCCACCTGATTGACCATGGCGAGACGCTGGTGCAGGTCGACCTCTTTGGCGCCACGACGCTCGACGAGGTGCGCGCGCGGCTGCGGGACTATATCCGGAAACATCCTGGCGCGGGCACCAAGGAGCGGTGGCTGCGCGGCATGGGCTGGGATCAGACCGATTTTGGCCAGATGCCCACTGCCGTACGTCTCGGTCTTGTTCTTTCATAATCTCGTGAGAAAGTGAGCCGTCTAACTTCCCCTTCCTTAGGCCGATATTGAGCAGGACCCCGCCCTCCGCGGCATCTATCTCTTCGTCGACCGCATCGACGGGCACTGCTCCCTTGTCTCTCAATCCGTCCTCGACCTCCTGCCCAACCCCGTCCCCGACATTCCCGGCGGCGACGTCGTGCGTGATCCCGGCCCGGGCGTCTTTTGCGACAATGCGCTCGACATGATCATGGCGCGCTGGCCGCGTCCTGACGACGCCACGCGCGCCGGGTATGTGTCCACCGCCATGCGCGCCCTCAACGCCGTCGGCCTCGTCGGCATCCACAATGCCGGCACGGACCCCGAGAGCGTGCGGCTGCTCGCGCGCCTCGCCGACGGGGACGCGTGGACGGTGCGCGTGTACGCGATGCGCGAGTGCGCGGCGCGCAACACATTTTGCGCAGAGGACGCCGAGATGCTGGAGCGCAAGGACGGGCGTCTGACTGTCCGCAGTGTCAAACTCTTTGCCGGTAAGCAGTCTAATCACCCTCCTGTTTTCTTTGCCCCACTGGCACCGAGCTTTCGGGGGTATTGGGTTGTTGGCTGACCCCGACAACTGGATAGACGGCGCGCTCGGCAGCTGGGGCGCCGCCATGCTCGAGCCCTACACCGACGACCCCAGCAGCAGCGGCTTCCTCCTCATCAACGAGACGGCGCTCACGGCCGTTACGCGGCAGTGGGCCGCTGCCGGCTTCCAGGTCAACGTCCACGCCATCGGAGACCGCGCTAACCGCGTCGCCCTCGATGCCTTTGCCGCCGCTCTCCGAGACCACTGCGGCGTCGGCGACAAAGGAGACACTGACCCGGCTGTCTGCGAGCATGACCGCCGTTTCCGCCTCGAGCACGCCCAAATCATCGCGCCCTCTGACCAGCCACGCCTGCGCTCTCTGCGCGTTGTGCCGTCGATCCAGCCCACGCACGCCACCTCGGACATGCGGTACGCGGAGACGCGACTCGGCGCGAAGCGCACAGCGAACGCCGCGTACCGGATGCGGTCCTTTCTGGACCTGCAACCCGTGCTGGGGAGCGACTTTCCTGTGGAGCCGCCGAACCCGTTTCATGGCATGTACGCGGCGGTGACGCGGCGCAGCCCGGCGACGGGGTTGGGGCGGCGCGTGGATGGTGATGACGAGGATCAAGGGAAGGAGGGGGGGTGGCACGAGGAGGAGGCGCTGACGCTGGAGCAGGCGCTGTGGGGGTTCACGGGGGCGCCGGCCCGGGGGGCATTCTTGGAGGGCAAGGCCGGGCAGATACGAAGGGGCGCGTACGCGGACTGGGTGGTGCTGGACAAGAGGTTGGGGGGACCAGGGTTCGACCTGGAGAGCTTGCGGACGCTGCGCGTGAGGGAGACCTGGGTGGCGGGCAAGCGCGTGTATAAAAGAGATGATTGACAAGATATCACGGTACGCTCCGAATAATCAAGTGCGAGTTGAAAAGCACCACATATATGAATTACATGCTAGCGAATTTTTAGGTATATACAGCAGATCAGCAAACGGTACAATGATGCCATGATACACGTCTGGACAACACAATCGGTGTCGACTTTCCGAGAAACAGATTACGCTTGAACAATGCATTTAGATTCCACCCACTTGGCAAACTTGACCGTCGGAATATCGACGGCCCTCCAAAATATGTCGGCGCACCACACCACCGTTGGGATGCAAAAGACGGCGCCGAGGACGAAGCCCACGTTGTACCAGTAGCCGTCGACGCCGGTTATGGCGTAGGCCATTCTCTCCCAGTGATAGCCGATACAGTGCAGGGCCGGCCCGTGCATGAGGTATAAGGCGTAGGAGATTTTGCCAAAGTACTGCACCGGGGCTGTGTTGAAAAACGCCTGCCACGACGGGGAGTGGCCGACGGCGTAGGCAAAGACAACGGCGCCGAGCGACTGGTAGTAGCGATAAGGATCCGCCCGCCACCATATGGGAATCTGCGAGTGCAGCCAGACCCAACCGGGAGTGATGTTGCCCTTCAAGTCCGGCTGGCACATCAGGTACAGGCCGACAAGGGCGAGACCGGCCCAACAGAGGCGCTTCCAGCGGGGACGCCGCACCGGGGCAAGTTTGCAGAGTAAAAGGTCGGGAGAAGAGGTCTTGTGGGCGCCGCGGATAAGGTCCATCTCGGCGAGGACCATACCACAGAGAAACAGGAGCAGCTCCCAACGCGAGTGGCTGTAGACGAACCACATGATGCCACCAACGACGATGAATCGAAACTTGGCCTGAAGGCGTGCGGTGCCAATGAGGACCAGGAACAGGTACAGTGAGCAGCGGAATTCGACGGGTATCGTCCAAAGATGGACGTCGTAGTCTGAGAGAGGTGCGTGTTAGCCGACGACTGTCTTGTGTGGATGGCACCGGGACTTACAAGTGCTACCGCCAAACTGGTTCCAGTCAAACACATGGACAAAGCGATACATGTGCTTGGCCCAATCGAGTAATTGGTCCGAGGCAAACTCCATTCGAGGGGGATGCGTTTCGACTACGTTCTTCATGTACGTCCTGTCCGTGGCAAACTCTCGCGTCCATTCGTAGGCGCCGACGCGCAGCAGGCAGACAATGAGGAGGGTGGAGATGGCCGTTGGCAGGTACAAGCGGATACCGCGGCGAAAGACGAGGGAGCTGATTGCGGTGGCGAGGTCGGCCGGGGCCCGACTCCGGACGAGCTTGAGCGGCCGATAGGAGAGGGCATATCCGGAAATGACAAAAAAGAGGCAGACGGCGGGCGGGCCTTGGTAGAAGAGGCGGATAAAGGGCAGTTTGAGGAGGTGGTAGTTGGTCTCACCGGCGCCCCAGCCCTCGGCAATGATAAAGGCCTGGTAGAAGTAATGGCAGAAGAAGACAACGAGGGCAGCTAGGCCACGCATGCCATCGAGGTAGGCTGTGGGCGACAGGTGAGCAGGCCGAATCTGCTCACGGGCATGGCGTCCTTGGAGGAAGCTGGGAATAAGAAAGACGCCGAGACGGAGGAGGAGGAGCGGTCGCCACGACGTCGACCGAGCGTAGATCCAGGGCGCGGTGAGGATTTGGCAAGAGAGGGTCAAAGAAAAGCGAGGCTTTTCCTCAAAGATGTCACTGTCGCTTTCGACGTCAGAGACATGCTTGGCCAAAAGTTCCAGCTTCTCCTCGCGGTGAGGGCTGTGATGGCTAGATCTCGACATTACCGGCCGATTGGCATCAATTGAAGGAATGAGTGACAATGAGAGACGAGGAAGGATACGAGGAAAGGAGTGTGAAGATGAAAATGAACGAATTCAGGAGAGAAAAAAGAGATGGAAACGAGGTGAAGACTATGTAAACGGGCGTGTGTAGCGTCGATTGGCTTGGCAGCCGGCAGTCAATTGCGTTGACAGCTGCCAGAATGTTTGGCAGAGGGAAGGACAGGCAATAGATGAGCAAGAAAATGCAGCAGTCACGTTCACGACAAAGCAAAGGAAAAGAAGGGATGTCTACTGTTTGAGCACACACCTGTAGAGAAAGTGGAAAGTAGAAACAGTGAAATGCGCCGGGAAGAACGATTGTCTCGTGCTCTACTTGAGAAGAATTGTAGAGTATGTCGATCAACGTGGAGCCTTGATCCAACAGGTCGCAGGGCGGAAGCGCACTTCTCCAGCCCATCTCTAACAGACTGTGAAACAGCCAGTCAAGGAGACAGAAGTACACTCAGGGTCGAGGGTCAACATGGGCAGTATCTGGGTACTTTGGTACTACAGCGCCATGCTGACGAGTAGGCTATTGGTTCCTTTTCATCTCGACTCAGCGAACATGACTCTGGTATTATCAAAAGATCGAGAATGGCAAAGCGATAGGACCTTCTTATTCTGTAAGAAACGGCCACGGTCTCGCGACGACGACTGGCATGTGCAGCGAGACACGCAAGCGTCATGTCCTGGCTAGCGAGCGGCCTAAAAGGCAAACGGAGGCAATTTAAAACGGCGGCGTTGCTGAAAAAGGGTGCTGGCGTCACGCCAAAAAGCGACTACCATCATTGACGTTGGCGTGCTAAGTTAGTGTATCTCTTGTGCTCGACATATCTATGCCCAGAGGATGTGGTGGATGGCCAGCCGATCATAACATCTTTCACATAATCTAGGATCATTTTTGCCCCATAATACGGGAATACTCGTTCATCGAAATGTAGCCATTTCATTTGTTTTAGAAGCTGAATCCACGACCATACGTTGTCACGGAGGGCCAGTCAGTGACTAAAACGTACAAATCTCGTCGGCAATTTACTCTGAAGTGTCAGGTATCCCCTAGGTATACCCCTATTGGGGCTCCGTGCTTGGGATTGTTCATAGGTATTTATCAGTCTGAAGCATGACTTGTTTTCAATGCAATGCATTGTTGATTTTCGGTAACCCCTTGCTCCTGGAAGAGGACCCTCTTTATGGATACTGCGAGCCTGCAACCTTAAATCATTACCGCAACAGACTACAGGCTTCTGATTGGGATTTATCGTCTTTTTTCCTTCTTCCTAGTAATTTTGGTCGAGGTATTGCTTTCATAATCCGTAGTTGAGATCATCCGTAGTTGAGATGTCAAATGCTGACAACGAGGGGAGGCTTGACCCAACAAGGCCTCCTGAAATGGCATTACATCGGGCCCCAAATCACCACTAAAAAGGCCCCCATATGAGCCCCAAAGCAGGCAGTTCTTCCGGTGCACCGCCTCTGTATTTTACTGTGATGTATCCGTACTGGAATTTCTTCGTCGCTTTGGTTATCATACTGCAGGGAGTGAATACGATTCATTGGGCCACTTCCACTTGCTGCTGACGCCACCCGCCTTTTCTTAGGTATCCTTATTTTTCTTGCGCCCCCGAAATACGCATCCTCAAGGGGCCGCTTCTGCCAGGGGGAACGGACGACTTTGCTCAATCGACACCCACTCGTTCAAACCAACCCTCTTCCCCATCACCATCATCGGCCAGAAGAAAATAAAAAACAAAAAACAATGAATGCATAAACCCATCACACGCTCTTTACCAGATCTTTAATCTTCGTCTTCTTCTTCTTACTTTCTTCAATGAGCTCTTCCCTCCTCGCCGTCTCGTGCCTCGACTCTTTCGCTCCTTGCTTCGTCGTCATTCTCTGCTTCCTCCTAGCCACACGGGCTGTTGTCACTACGCAGCCATGCTTCTCACGCTGGCGCCGGGCCTGCTGCTCATCATCTTTGGCACCGTCATCATTGTCCGCGCCGCTTCGCTGCTTAGCCGCTACTATATGCTCCCGAGCTTTGCCCACGACCACGCCGCCGCCGCCGCCGCCAACCGCGACATTCGCTGGATCTCTTAGCGTCGCTACCGTCTCTGGCACATCTCAGGCAGGTCACGCGACCAACTCCACCAACCACGACAGACTCAAATTTCCTTTTCGCACTCGGACGATACACACATGAGAGATATACATAATGCATTTCATTAATAGCGCCTGGAAGAGTTCATTATAATTCAATCATTACTATTTACTGTCCAAAAATCGAGTGTCCTAAATAACGCCGTCCTGTATGCATCGCGTGGTGAGTATCCACTGTCCAATCCGTCTATTCAATCAGTCAATGCTGCCAACCAAAGCAGCAAAAACCAGCGAGGGGTTTTATGCATTGAATGTTTTCCGAGTATTTTTATGAGACAAATCAACCGTCTAGTTGTCCAGCCAGTCAAGAAACTCTGGCGTAAAGTAGCTGACGATAATGGTTGCGCCCGCTCGCAGAATGGCCTCGGCTGACTCAAATGCCATCTCCTTGAGACCGAACACACCAGCTTTGGCACCCGCATGAATCATGGCATACTCGCCGCTCACTTGGTAGGCCGCGACTGGGAGGTCCTTGCCTAAATCCTTGGCGTCGCTAATAATGTCGAGGTACTGTCCCGCGGGTTTGACCATGATGATATCGGCTCCCTCGGCCATGTCGCGCGTAATGGCACGGCGCGCTAGGCCACGGCCGCCGGGAGGCAGCTGGTAGCATTTGCGGTCACCAAAGGACGGCGCGGAGCCGGCCGCGTCACGGAAGGGTCCGTACAGACAACCAGAGAACTTGGCCGAGTACGACATGAGCGTCGTCTTATGTGCGATGCCCTCCTCGATGAGCTTGAGCTTGATGGCGCGGATACGGCCGTCATTCATGTCCGAAGGTGCAACGCAGTGGGCGCCAGCCTTGGCGTAAGCGACAGCGACATCAGAGATGCGGTCCACCGACAGCTCATTGTTCAGGCTGCCGTCGTCGCGCAGGATGCCGCAGTGGCCATGAGAAGTATATTCGCAAAGGCAGACGTCGGCGCAAATGTAGAGCTGAGGGAAGCGGCGGCGGATGAGACGAATGGCGCGGATGACGGGGCCTTCGGGGTCGTCGGCCGCGCTGGCGAGAGCGTCCTTTGAGCCAGGCTTTAAGGGCACGCCGAAGAGAATGACGGAGCGCAGACCCTTATGGACGAGGGGCTCCAAAAATGAGATAACGCGGCCGATGCCGAGTTGGTGCTGACCGGGAAGAGAGGGAACAAGAATCATGTCGTCGTCGTTATCGGTGATGAAGAGAGGGTAGATGAGCATAGACTGGAGTCCGTTAGCACCATGTATCGCAATGCGTATGAACGACGAGCTTTGCCCTTTCATTGCTTGCAAACATACCTTGGTCAGTTGGCGCTCGGCCTGCCATGAACGGGCAAGCGGGTGATAGTAGCCGCCATGCAGCTGACTGGAAATGTCGCCCGAGATGCTGACACTCGTAGCCGCAGTGCTGGCGTACGATCGGGCGCGCGACATGTGCGAAGCGCGGTCATCAATCGACGAGACGGTAGGAGGAGGGCGGCGGCTGAGGGCGGCAGCGTTGGAGTTGATGCTGCCGCCGTCACGGAGGCTGAGATCCTGTACAAGGCTGGAAAAGGACATGGTCGAGTGATTTTCGTTCGGTCGCGAAAATAGATGGAGGGTGATTTTGAACTGAATCAACGAATTGCAATTTGAAAAAGGCTGCAAGCAATTGGCCGCGCCTGTTCGTCGAGTAGCAGCAGTGGCAACTTGTTCAATTCTGTTGTATGAAGTTGGTTTGGTCGAGTGTGACAAGGAGGTTTTGCGGCTGCTGACAGATTAGATCAACTTCGAATTCGTTGCAGGCGAGTGGGGCCGAGTATCCAGGTGCCAAGGCGAGCACTGGCGAACAAAGGGACCGAGAAAAATGATGCCAAGCGGGGTTTTTTATGTTGAGGTATCAAGGTCAAAAAAAAAAAATTTGCGGTGAAAGAGCAGAAACGTCTAATATGAATATAGAAAAAGCAATCTCAATTGTTTCTCGGAAAGCATGGAGCCGAGTAGAAACAGGAACAAAATGCCGTGGCCGGCCTGGGAAGGGGTAGCCAAAAAGGCCGGGCGGGGGCGCCGAGGCCTTGCTTGTACAATGCAGGTGACAGCGCCCAATGGTGCTAGATTTTCAGTACCGGCTCCCTATTCCAGTACCTTTTGCAGCTGCGGTGGCGCCTCGGAGAAACCGCGGAGTGTGGCTCGTCCTGGCCAATCGCGGGGCATCATTTGTCACGCTGAGTACACCCAGATAATTTTTTGCGCCGAGGTCACAAAGCCGAGGAGCGAGCACGGGTCGCCCGTTTGCCACCTCGCCACACAAGATCCAAACTTCCTGCAACTGCATATCAACATGGATCTGCAGAGCATGTGCGAATGGCCATGTCACCCAAAATTTATAAAATACATTTTGCCTCGTGAAAAGCTGTACATGAAATCCAGCAAAACCGGCTGGGCATCTTCTCATCGTTCCTCGTTGAGAGTCACCACGGGCATCTACATATCATGATACTGAGGCAAACAACAAATGCATCCATTCATATGGTAATTCTATTCGTCTAGGCAGAGATCACTCGATAGCCACATTGGCAACAACACAGCCAAGTCCTAAAGACACGACCGGGCCGTTCGATCGAAACACCACTCGAATCGTTGATGTCAATAGTGCCGCAGTTACAGACCTTTCAAAGACGGGATTAGTCCTGGCAGCCCTCGACGTTGCATGCACAACTGCTTTCTGAGCGCGCTGGTATTGGCTCTCACGGCCCTTCATGGTGTTTTCTCCGCCTCCGCCGTCATATTGGCCTCAACCAGCTGGCGGTGGTACAGTGGTTCCTCAGTCTTTCCATTGTAAGGCCGACTCCTCCGTCTCTGCCGATTTTCTATGAATTCGTCATTTCACTCGGCCGTCCCCCGACAACGACCGCCGATAATGCCATACTCATAATACCCCCGCATGCAGCTCCCTGCCCCTCTCAGCCGCGTTCTCCGGTGCACTAGCCCGCGACGTTGACTAGGGCCCACCACACCGACTCGGGCATCGGCGGCCGCGCCGCTTCCCTTTCTTGTGCCCCCGCTTCATGCTGAGCAGGAAGAAGACGAGCACGTCTGTCACTCCGGGCTCCATCAGCGAAGGCCTGCCCCCACTTCTTGCCGAACCGGACCACAGCGGCGTCTTCCTCGGCAGATCCCCCATGGGGGTCTTTGGGCTCGCAGCGAGGTTAGCAATGCGCGCGACCTCGTCGTTGAAGTGGCTCTCGAGGGGTCGGTGCAGCCTGTCGAGGATGGCAATGAGTGCTGGCTATTTTGTATCTACTGTGTGCCGATTTCTCCTGGACTGGACCGCTGATACTTGATAACCTCTGTTTGAAGGTGGCTTGTACGAAGCCGTTTCTATTATGTAGAGACATGCGCACCGCATCGCCGTCGCTTTACTAGCTCGGTTTGCCATCAAGTTTCTGAGGGAGCTTGGCAGCAACGATATTATCCCCCCGGACTGCGGAACGTTCCGAGTCCGAGGCCAGCCGCTGCATCACTTCTGGGCCCTTTTCGTGTCCATGTAATTCCCGCTTCCGGCGTGCTTCCACTTCTAGCGCATTTACACTCTGATTCTTCATGTTACGGCGATACTTGCTCTTGAACTCGCGATATGTAAGCCTCATATTCTAGGGTCGGCAAGGCAGTTTTCAAGGAACACAAAGTATCTCGACACCGAATTATACGGCATTACCCCAAAAACCCGGGTTGCCGCAACACTAGAAATGTGTCGATGTGTACCTTAGCCTTTCCCCAAATTCAAGGGGTGTCTTGAGCGACCACAATCCCGTGGACCTTTTGTAAGGCAATAATGGGCGCTCCATATTGCCGTTGCTGGACCGGTAACCCCGCCAATCTTGGACGCGGGCCTCGTACTGCGTTATTGAGCTTTATATGTAGATACTGCTGCCTCCAATCTAGACTTGGGCCATTCAATCCTCGACGATTGATCAGATGCAACGTATCGCCACCTCAAACTAATACCTTGGTGTCAGCTGGCGAACAATTCAAACTCGTTTCACTACAAGTGCTTGCGTATGCTATCACTATGAGACTACCCACGATTGCAGGAGTTTTCCTGTTAGCTCTGCCTGTCCAGGCTGGGCTGGTCTCCTTTGCGGTGCCAAAGACCATCAAAGCCGATGATGACATTACTGTCATGATCACCATGAATAGTGAACAGGGATACGTTTGGGATTACACGCTGCTACTCTCAGCAACTGATAAATCGTTGCCACCTGGATATTTAGGTGGGAGAGGTTTCGCGATGATAGACCTCAGAGGCTAGTTTTTCAACAGTTATTTTTTGTCCGCGTCTTGTTTACCAACAGTTGAGCTAACTGTAATGTGCGTTCAGGGCTTCCCTTTGGTACGAGCAACTGGACAATTAGCACGCGGGGAGCAGGAGTTGGAGCACAGAGCGATTCTGTTATCCGGGGAGTATGGTTTAGCACAGTTGGCGTAATGGGGTTCGTCAAAACGCAGATGCGCGAGGCCAGTATTGCAAAGGGTGACGAGACGAGCAGCACTTATGTGGACTCGGAGCCTCTTCACTACCCGCATTGAGAGAGCTGCAGTCGAAGGAAGCTGCCATGCCAAGAACCACTGTTGGAAGGCGGCATGGAGCAATGGCCACGATGCGCCTCTTTTGGTCATGGTCATAAGACCCAGATTATTCGGTGTGACTAGAGCTAAATTTATATAAAACGCTCATCTTATTAGATCTATCATGACTGTTTTACTAAGATGTATCTTGTAAAGTCGTATAGATCTAAGAGTACGTGTGTTTTGGTGTAAAATGTCAAATTATTCTGCTTACCCCTACCGATCGGAACTTTTGTCAAGCCACTGTCGCAGTGCCTACCCTATCAGTACTTTTGCAGATGACGACCCTCTTTCACAAGGCACGGTACACAAATCTTTCGACCACCCATTGAAACGACATGACAACCACAGACAGCGAAGTGCAGGAATTTCTAGAAGCTCACCCGCAGCTTCTGGTTGGCAGGGCGGCCTGAGTAGAAGCAAACGAAGCCATCAATGACGACACCTTCATTGGCGTCTCCAAGCCGTTCCCAAACATGGTGGTATATCAGACAATATCCGCCGAGTCCAACCGGGCTATCATCGCCGCCGCACTACTTTCCGACGAAACGCGCAGAGGCACACTACCGAAAGATTGCGAGACCGCAGGCTCAAAGCTGTGTCTTCCCAGAAGGGAATTGCTCGCAGTTCTTCTGTACTTACCCTCGTGCCATACCCACACCACCATCATTGATGACTGCTTATCGTTCACTGACCGCTCAAGCCACTCAAGTAGGTCAGCCCATCAAAGCCATGGCTTTTGCTGTTCAAGAGTATCTCGGCGCGCCAATGGCACTCTGCTGCTCTCCGAAGAAAAAGTTGCCCTGGAACAGTGCGGTAATTAAGGCAGCAAATACCAGCCCTAACGCTGGGGCGATGTAGTAGTAGAGAATCATGCGATAGGCCTCGATGGCGCCCTGTCGCACGGGATTGTCAAATGGGGATCTTCCGGATGTTGCCAATATTGGCAAGTATTTTCGCACCTGCGCGCCGGTATTAGCAGACGCGGCGTTGAAGTTTTGGATATACCGTCCCACTCAAAAGCCTCAGATGTAGAGGGATTTTGAAAAAAAAAAAAAAAAGTGTATGCGCCGCGTCCGCTGTCGGAAGACAGACAATACGGAGACAATCAAAAACTCCGCGCAAAGTCAAGTACGTGCGGTCTTCTGAAACGGTAAAAGGCAATTCACAAAGTAGTCCCCTAAAATAAAGTGCCATGAATTATAACACAACCTTTGTATCACTACAGTCTCTCAGCTCTACGGGTGGTCCTAATACAGTTCAATAGACTTGAAATCGTTAGACTTGGGGACCAGATCTCGGGTGGCATCGATATCCAAGGCACTACTTCCTAGTATACGCCCGATGTGTACCGCCAATAATTGATTTACATGATTTAACATTTCTATACTTGAAACTCTAGGCTTTGTTCTCACTCACGCCATGTTTCCAAACACAGAACCGGATGCCCTCACGCGCTGCACTGGCGCTCTTCGGTGGCGCGGGGGTAAGTGACAGCGATGAGAGACCTGTCGTAATTAGATAGGCAGGTATCGATGGTTCGTTTAAACCCACCAGGTTCTACAGGCATACTCGCCCATCTGGGTGTGTGGCTGCGCTGCTCTTACCGGAGATGCTTGAGCTTGAAAGACCGTTACACACTACAAGTAGCCGTTATATGCCCATATTGAGATTGCCTGCATAGATGTGAGGTAGCGCCACAGGATTGGCCCAATTTTATGCTGACATGGCTCTCTACATGCTACATGCCCAGGCTCGCTTTGCAGACATAATAGCAGATTGCAGAGCTCCAAACTATCCCGCCATGATGGCGCGCAATGTGCCTTCCGGTCCTATCACAGTAGCCTTTTTTCGGATCGTCTGGGCATGACGGAAGAACGGACAATGATTGTATAGAAGCTGGCTCTGGCGCCTAACAAATGGAGCTTCATGAAGAGTGCTTGGCCTCAAGACTCTGACTGGTCAGGATTCGTGCTGCAAGGCAGTTGCTGTTCTGTTTTTGTTGTAGCTTTTCGGGCACTCTGCCTGGCACACGAGCTGCCGCCTCGGCTGCTGCTTCGACTTGCAAGCTCAGCGAAAATAAAGGCAAGCAGTTGATGAACAATTTCTTTCAGAGATGACTAGCTGTTCATTTTCGAGGGATATGGACCAGGGGAGATACCACACCATCACAATTCGCCTATAATCAGAATAGAGCTGAGCTATAGCATAATTAGGTAGCAGAGGATAAATCAGGCTGCAGCGAGGCTATGCTTCGTTTCATGTCATAAATGACGAGCGATCACTTGAATTTTTATTAATTACGATACAAATGGTACAGCGGCTCCTTTCTGCTCGAAGCACCACGCGTCTCTTTTTCGCAGCTTCTCTTTATTAGGCTCCAAACTCTCCGCGGCAATGCCGTCACGGTTACAGCACTCGGCGCATCATGCAGCATCGCCGCTGTTTCTCCCTACCGCTACCCTCTTCCTACTGGCTCTTCCGCACCTCTCTATCGCAGCGACCGACCAAGGCAGGATCATTTACCCATGGGACAATGGTCCTCTTAGCGCCAACAGTTATGGCGCAATGCGCACGACCTGGGGATCGCAAGACTGCGTCAACATGTCGTGGGTCTCGTCGCCTTCGACACCTTTCCAGTACATCCACCTCGAGTGCAACCAGGGCCCAAACGGCACCGGTCCTCCCTGGATACGCGTCTGGGCCTTTAACTCGACTTCCAGCTCCGGCAATGGCTCTAGCCTCTTTTGCGTTGCCAATTGCAACCCGTCGCCGCCGTCGAGCAATACGTGTCGTTTTGTGCTCGACCTTGCTTCTAGCGCGGGCAAATCGCCGACTGACACGGCGTATTCCCCAAACGTCAGCTTGAATGTCATGGACCAAAAGATGGGCGAGGGCGCGACATACCCGCTGCCGCAATGGGCTACAACAGGGGCTACAACAACACCGACAGCATCAACAACATCGACTTCAACCTCGGTGGGAAGCTCGAGCGCCTCGACGCCTGCCTCTTCCTCAGAGTCCGCCTCGGGCCTAAACACCGGCGCCAAAGCCGGCATTAGCGTCGGTGTCAGCGCCGTCTGCCTCATCATCCTCGCATGTCTCGGCGGTTGCCTTTTTAAACGGAGACAGGCCCGCATGGGAGGGGCCGGGCCGGGTCCGGCCGAGGTGCATCGGGACCAGACACACGACGTCAAGATCGTGGAGCCGTTGAACGTCACACCGTACGAGCTGGATGGGTCTAGCAGGCCGGCAGAATTGCCTACTCGGCAGAGATTTCAAGACTGATTAATAACAATCATGAATTATGGCAATTCCTTGGTGTTTCATGCGAGACGTGGCAGACCTCCAGATTTGGGGGCCCCCACCAAGCCCCGGCTAGCTAGCCCCGCGCTGCTTTACACGCTCACTGAAGTCTTCCTCCTACTCGCGTCCGCTACGCACTAAAGGAAGCTAATAAATACTTTCAAAAATCTAGGATGGATATTCAATCGATTTTAAGTCTATGCTCAAGTTTTTTCTTATATCAGACTAGCTTATTGTAATGAAGATGGCAGTTTAAAAGCGAGCTGACTTCTTAAACCCGTTTGTTTATAGACGCATCATTATGCTATACTATATCAAAGTCGAATCCAAATAGAGGATCCGAAAACACTGGAACTCCTGAAGATCCAGGGCCTGTTTCATATTCCTGCTCCAGAGCTGTGCTCTCTACGTTTCCCATGCTCTCCAGAACCATCCCGCCGTCAAAGCGGTTTCCACCGGGATGTACTGGTACGGCCTCATTCGAGATGACTCCAAAGCTTTTTAGAATGCCATCCATGTCCATGTCCAGGAACATGGAATCGAAATCGGTCATATTCCCATCATGCATCCGATCCTCAGCAACAACACCAGCCGGCGGCTGTTCTGAGACCCTTGAAAGATAAGTCACCTCGGGAAGAGAACTCATTGCCGGTGTCAAAATATGCCCATCACTATCAGGCTCATTTCCACGAGACACCTCAAACTCTTCAGTCGGTAGATCCTCCATTCGCAAACCCAAGCGTCTGATGAGTTGCTTTAGGATCTTTAAAGTACGGCGGGGAGCGAGGCACTTTGTTTGTTGCTCTGTTAGGACATTGAGACAGTTTTTCAAGCATTGTCCAGGCAGAGAACCCATGCTTTTTAGGGAGGCGAGGCGCGCGTGGATGGTCGCGCTGACGTACGTCGCGTACGACATAAAGTAGGGAACTGTTTTCACGCAAAAATGTTGTTTATACAATTGAAGCATGTCGTGAACTTCGAAAGCGGCGGTAACGCAGTGGGACAAGGCTTCCCGCGCGATAAAAGAAGAAGCGGATTGTAAGTGGCCTTCGGATACGAAAGGGCGATGAAGGAGGATTACGAGAGAATCGTACATAGACCTAAGTAGTGACAGGGAAATCAGCCATAGAAAACTATACATAGATCCATCCATTCATGGAAACCGATAAATTAATAGAGTCTTGCATGTGTGAATGGACTTACACCATGGCCAACGTATGCGGAAGTATAACGGCAGTTTCAAGACCCCTCCGTCGGACATTCAAATGCGGTGGCAGTTCACCTCGCCAGCGCTTGAGTTCGTGATGAAGAATCATCGAGGTGTTGAGTATATCGGACGCTGTGCGACTCTGACTCTGCTCGGCGTAGAGCTCTCGCAGAATCTTGTCCATGATCTGGCTCAGCTTGCAAAGCTCCACCATGGTCGACAAACTGTGCGTCGGGCGTCGCAGCTGACGGGGAGTGGCTGTGAAGGTAATAGTTTGAAAGGGCTCGTATTCATCGTAGTCGTCATGGAATAGAATCGGCACGCTGATGTTAGTTCCGCTGAGGCGCGCCGGTCTGCCCTGATATATAGCATGAATTTTGTCGAGAACTGTGGGAGCGATTAGCTTTGAGCTTTCCCTTTTAGACCCTAGCGAGCTGGAGAGACAATTATGTACTGAAAGCTGCCCAGAATACCCTGCGATGAAGTTCGACTTTTTCTGCTTTGTAGATGCTTGTGGGTTGAGTCGGGTGACGCTCTGTATGTATCCCAAGGTCGATGATCATATTGATGGCCACTCCTGTATAATGCCAGGCCAGGCTACTTTCGTCGCGCCAAGACAGCAGGACATTCGCAACTATCAGCAGTGCCTGTGCCGTCGTGAGTTCGCTCTCAAAAAGCCTATTTGCGCCTGGCTCGACTAAAATTTCCTCAAATCTTCGACGAAAGGGGATGCCCGTTGTTTCTGGGTCATGAGGGTCGCTTCGAACTCGATCATCTACAGCGTACTTGGACGCAGCGAAGAGAATGGCGTATAGCAGCAGTTTGGAAAAATATGGGCCATTTGCTGCCATGTCTCTCATAAACACTGGCCGGTAGATGGCTGATCCTTCGTAGTGCTGGCGGTTCCAGAAGATGGAAAGGAGATCCATGGCAAGATCGACGTCCACACCATCGAGGTCTAGTTTACCAGAATTGGCATTGATCATCTCAAGATGTCCTGTGATGGTTCTGTCAGCCTACCAGCAGTGTAGTGTGTCATCTTGTGTAGGTATCAATTCATCGTTTCTTACGTTGTTTTGTATGATTAGCTACTAATTGAGCTCTGAGTCTCTCATCCAAGAGGGGCTGATGACCATTGTGTTTCAGGCTCGTGCGTCTATTGTTGTCGGAATCAAACATGACACTAGAAGGGCCATGAAAATACCTGCTTTGCTGATCTTGCGAGCGGGTTGGCATCGTGGCGTCGACTGACATGTTTGGTTGACCACAAGGAAGGGATTGCATCTCATTCACGGCATACTCTTTTTCTGTACTTGGGTTTCCCCGGGATTGACCCCTGGACTCTAACCTTGAAGGTTCTCTGTCTGATGGGCTGGTAGCAGGTGGTGACTGGATGGTAAGTGTTGCCGAGACCCGCGCCTGAAGGGAGGCACGCAGCTGGTTGTTTTCCTCCTCCAACTGGTGAATTCGAGCATTTGAGGGCCTGTAAACTAGAAGTTAGCCAATCTATCGAGAAAGCTTGCAAGACTATCAGAACCAGCTGGATGAAAGGCAGAAGTACCTCGCATTACGCCCCCTCTCAGTATAACTGCATCTTATGTCCCGAGCCTGACAATTTTCGCACTTTGGCTTTGCATTATTGCATCCCAACTTTGGTGTGTATCTTGCGTCAGTCCTGTGTCTGCTTACAACGGTATTGCTTTTTTGCCATCTATATGCCTGGATCTACTCGCCTTTCTTCTTCGACAAAAATCGCAAGCCCTGGCCACTCGATGCCTGGGTCCCTGTCTATCGCAAACAGGTTCTGGGGAGGGTCCCATGGCTAATACGTGCGCAGCACTGGTGCGCATTGATTAAATGGCGAGGCCTATATGGGGAGTGAATGATGGATGATGAATGGAAGAGAAGTCACCGCGACAACCTTGTTCCTTGTGCGTCATGGCAAGGCGGAGAATCATTGTCCGTGGCTGCCGTAGCGAAGATGCAATTCCGTTAGCGTGCGTCATGTACACCCGCTGTAGCCGTGAAAAAATAGCGTTCCTAGGGGTGCTGGGGTGCCTCCCTTCAGTGGTTGTGGCGCGGTACATGGGCACCCTTATAGTGGGAACCCACATCTTCCACAATGCATCACACACACACCTGACTCAAGCAACTCTCTCTTCCACAACTAATAATTGCTCTGCGTGACGAAAATACCTTGCATCCCCCTGTATCACTGGCAAAGTCATTGAAGGCTATGAGGCTTGATACTTGTTATACTACAACCTAGCAGTTTGCCATGCCGCTCACATTTCAGTCTTCTCAACGTAAGGGGCAAGCTTCGCTGCCGATCTCCTCATCACATCCGTGTAATACTCTTCCCCCAACAAAGCTGACCCATGATCCTGAATAAATTTAAGGTGGTCGGCCGAGACTTCGATAGTCCCGTGTTCTCTCTGCAAGCTACCGAACTTGCCAATCGGCGTGCGGTCAACGGGGGGCATCGCCTCGATAGCCAAAGCTCCGTCGTAGCCGGCCTCAGCCAAAGCGGGAATCATATCCTCCCACACAAACGATCCGTCTCCTGGTGCCAACCTATTGTTATCTGCCACATGAAAGTCGACAATGCGGCCCTTGCATCTTCGAATGGCTGCCAAAAGATCGGCCTCCTCTAGGGCCAAGTGAAAGGGGTCGAATGCGATTCCTACACCATACCCAACCTCGTCAGCTAGGGCAAGAGCCTGATCTGAACGGTTGATGAAATAGGTTTCAAATCGGTTCAGAGGCTCTATGCCGAGCCTGATTCCCTTGTCTTTCGCCAATGCCGCTATCTCTCGCAATCCTTCCACGGCCCACTTCCATTCATCTTCAGGAGCCGACGTACTGACCATCTTACCGACGCTTCCCGGTACAACAGTCACAATCTGTCCCCCTAGACTGGCCGAGAGACTGACAACATCCTTGACGTAGTTGATGCTGTCCCGACGTTGCTGTGGGTCAGCCGCAATCAAGTCTCGCTTGCCTTGCTGTATTGTCACCATGCCCCAGCAATTGATGTTGTACTTTTTCAAAAGTGCTCTGGTTTCTTCTACTGGGTATTGATCTGGCTCACCGGCCAGTTCAACGCCCGAGTAGCCGAGACGACTGAGACGATCAAGAGTCTTTTCCAATGGCTCTGGTCGCATCCAAGTGTGTGCGGCGAGATGCATAATGCATACTGGCGAATGGAGGAGGCAAGTATGAGATAAGTAATAAAGATAGATTTATTTTTGCTGTGTTGCGATTAGATGGCGATAAAACAAGGCCGTTCTGGGTTGATTAATATAGCTGAGGCTACACTCACAGCGGATGATTGCGTTCCGCCGAAGCAAGGGAGCTTATGATCGAGCGGATGATTACAATCCGTTCCATCTCCACTGGATGGGGACTCACCCAGGCCAAATTTGCTCTGCTCAGTGGTGTGGGCGGATGCAAATGTTCCTTTTTACCCTTCCAAGGACAGACAGGCTTATTGGACCAACTAACTAGCTTAGATATGTAAGGATGGATTCAACTGTAAAACTCCAGTCCAAGCGGTGCACCGGGAAATCTGTTTACAAGAGTTAGTGTCTTCTCGCTATCCTTGTTCCACGTGGCTGACGGCGAATCTAGAGTGTCTCTGAGTGTGTCATTTGCGCCACGCCATTATTCGATGGCTCATCTAAATATATTACAGACGATATTTAATATCTTGCTTGACTACTTCATTCTTAGGTTCGGCATATAGTATTGTAATGTCATCATAATCGTTTAGCATTGACTTTGCTCTGTGATGGTTAGCGGTTCATTGATGCGGCCAAGCATGCCTACGTAATACAAGCAGTGATTTATTCCACTAGATACTTTTTCTGGTAATGGAGCTTCTGTATTCAAATCTACAGTTTAAGCTTATATATCTCTATATTTATCACAAAAAATTTTTGGAAGTAGCTGTATAGCGGCCGCGGGTGTACAGTGGCCGCCACTGGCGTGGATGTTCTGGTGCGCTTTATCAGTGGCCTATTTTTTGCATCATTATCATCCAATTATCGATTTCCCGACACAATAAAACTGTCCATTTATAGACATACAGGCCGCGTATTTTAAATTGGCCAATAAAACGTTTTTTATTTCTAGTATTGGTTCCTGCGGGAAGGCGATGTTCAAAAGTTCACGTCGCTCTCTAGGTAGCTGTGGGCCCAATAGAGCATGCTGTTGTCAAAACCGCCACAATACATAACCTTTGGTGGCTCACAGAGGCACCCTCATGAGAGGGTCAAGGTTTAAGGCACAAGATGCACCTGATTTGAGCCCATCTTCTTCGGGCCAGGCCTACGTGAGTTGTCCTCTGGTGCATGGTATAGAGCCCTCCGGGCCACCTCCAACGCACCCTCCAAACAAACAAACGGAGCTAACTGCCTTGTTCTGACTGACAGTCACGACAACTTCTTCGACTGACATTGCTTCCACTATCGCGTTTTACCTTGATGCAGCAGATCCGGTTTCTTGTTCTGTCCGACACACATGACAATGCCTTCCCAGACCCGGCATCTCTTCCTGCTGTCGACGTAGTTATTCACTGCGGTGATTTAACAATGATTGGCGGCCTGTCCAACTACCGCCGTGCTCTCGAATCTCTTGCAGCATGTCCAGCAGTGGTCAAACTCGTGATCCCAGGCAACCACGATGTTTCACTTGACGCCAAGTGGTGGGAAGAAAATCTCGACAGCGATGACGAACAAGACGAGCCGGTACGCGCTCGTGCGCTGTTCACATCAGACGACTACACTCGCCGCGGAGTACGTTTGCTCGATGAAGGCGGTCACAAGGTGACTCTCCAAGACGGGCGCGCGTTTACAGTCTACGCGTCACAATACACCCCAGGCTTTGGTGGTTATGCTTTTGGATACGACCCGGACGAGGATCGGTTCAATGGAGAGAAGAGGATCCCGGAAGAGATCGATATTGTCATGACACACGGTCCAGCTCGACTTCCTAGCTTAGCATCTCCAGAGGGTACATCCGGACCAGCCTACAGGCTCGACCTTGGCGGAGAACATGGCAACAGCGATGGCATAAAGCGGCACCTCGGATGCTCACGGCTGTGGGAGGCAATCGCGAGGGTCCGGCCCAAGATGCATTGCTTTGGACACATACACGAAGGATATGGGGTCCAAAGAGCGACCTTCTACACCAACACAACAATGGTGGCGGTCACCGATGTGGACGCTGCGGAGCGAGAGGGTCTACCATATATCAGCGCGGCGGTTGGAGACGGAACAACCCTGCTGATAAACGCGTCTATCATGACGCATGGAGAAGAGGATAACAATAAGCCTTGGCTAGTCGACATGGCGTTTTGACGTGAGGAAGACAGCAAGAGCAATAGAGGCGTGGCACAAAGGATGGCAACAGAAAATGCCAAACTAGTCGAGTTTGGAGGTGAATAAAAAGCAATGTTTAATAAAATAGAACCTTTGTATAGTCAGAGAGTGGGTTTTTTTTTTCTTTTTTTTAAAAAAAGAATTTAATCGTTAGGAGTGTTTCTGTAGATTACATTTCCATAGTGTTAGAAGCGCTTCTTCAAGTGATATGCGACGACCATGGTCTCGACAGTGTTACAGAATACAATGAGGCCAAGAATTGGAACTTGCTTCAAAGTCATGAAATAGGAATATTAACTCTTTTGTAGATATATTCATGTCATGACGAGGGGATATAGTAGGGCATCTTTCGGAGTAACGTGAAGATTCAGTGATGCTTCATCAGTAAGACGACTGGAAGACTTTCAGGGTGTTGCAGGGCGTCTGGGCGGAATGCCTGGCGCCGCCAATACAGTACAGGTACTCGGGCAAGTTGAATGTGCCTTGTTTTCATACGTCGATTTTTGGAACAGGATGAACTCAAGATTAATTGAATATATTCTATATGAGATTATGATTATGGAAAGAATAGCCGTAAGGAAACCTATATATTCATTGGTCAAGCTTTTCAGCTGACGTTGTATCAATCAGACTGCCACTACCAGTAGCAATGAGACTGAGTTTGTGTTGAATGACTTCAGCTGGCGAGCAGATCATCATTAGTCATTGTTTGAAAAGAACAGATTTCAACAAAGAGATGGATATTCCCCCCTTTTCCCCCCGTCACTTCATTTAAACCACATTTCTAATAAGTGGTCTTTGGTGATGCCCTTTGCCGCCTGCCAGTAAGAGAGGGAACACTGGGTCTTTATACACCCACTGTAGGTCCTGTAAGGCGCTGTGGCGCTGTAGGTTTGTACTGGACCCATGCCACTTTGCGCTGGCGTCAGTGGCGTGGCCGCCCGGCGTCGCACCCATTAGGCAACATCAAAATTTCGTAGGTTGGGAGTGTAAAATTAACTTTCATCTTGTACTCATGTTATCAATTTAGAAAGAGTTGACTCATGGGCTAGTCTAATACTAAGGAGTAGTTTTCTTTTAGTCGCTGAATACCTATCCCATCACCTCCATCATGGCCATCGCAGTTGTACATTTTCATTTCAACAGGTTGCAAAATTATCTCCGCGCGTCCCCACCTAATCAGCCCTATTCAAGTCCATCTTTCCACATAGTCTACCGCCCGTGGCCTGCCATACACACCATTTATCATGGCCTACTACTATACCCAGTCTCCAGCAGGAGCACCCATTGAATGATTTGTAGAACGCGCATCCTCAGCCAGGCCAAGTTTGGCAGGTTTTGCCGGCTACCTGTCAGCACAGGCAACAACTTCTGCTGGGCTCAACGACAGAATCAAAGACGGCCAAAATTCTCGCCTTTGGACTGCAACTCGGCAATATTAGGCCGGTCCAAAGTCTCCAAGCCACAAATTTTGACTAATCTGTGAATAGCCTGGTTGCGGGGGCCACTGCCTGTTGGACGAGCACTCTCGTATACGTGGGCACACATATGGAGGTTGTAAAAGAGGTTGGTCACAGTCGCGCTCTCATCATCATCCTCTTCTTCTTCATCTGCTTCCTGAATGGTGCAGAGAGAATTGAAGCTATGCGCTTTAATCTCCTTTCTACGGCAATGTTTGGCTCTCTGCTCGACTTCGCTTTTCCACGCGCGTCTCTTACCCTCGGCTGTTGAGAATATGAAGCGTGGGCCTGGGACCGCGGGATTAAGTTTGAGATCTTTGGGTAGGAGTTCTGAGGATTTATTATGCTTCCGGGGCAGCTTTGTCAGCTTTTTGTATTTTTTGTGGTCGTAGCTGCGTGCCTTTTGCTTCATCATATAGCACCACAAGCAGGCTTTTTGAGAGGCAAAGTCCCCTGAAGCGACCGCCATTTCTGAGTATTGTGCATCTGTTAGGCTGGGACGGCCATAGCACTTGGACTCCGACATTTTTTCCATTTGATTCAAAGGATTTGTGTAGTAGTGCTGCGATTGTGGTTGGCAAAGGGAGACAGTTGTGGTTGGCAAAGTACACAGTAGTGGTTGGCAAAGTACACAGTCAAGGTAGAGCTTGATATCTTTGAGAGCGAGGATTGATGAAACGAATGCTTCTACAGCTGGGGGAGTGATGGGTTTATATAGATGTGGACCGACATCAGAAAACATGGAAGCTTTGAGTGTAGATAGCTTAGCCGCGCCACGTAGAAGAGCGACAAGATTTTTCTTCGTGGCTTGGGATTGAAAAGGGTTATCTACAATTAACGAGGCAGCAATTCCAATGAAAATTTCAAAAAGAAGGGCTTTAACATGGAGCCTGTCATGTAAATCATATCGGAGCTATATAGAGTTCTCGTCGAAGAAGCAAGTCTACAGCACCACTTGGCTGAATGCATATACTATTCATGGCTTGAGGCTTTGTTCACCAAACGCACCAGTCGCACGCATAACTTGCCTATAAAGGAAAAGGAAAAAGCCCCATCAGCGTAATTGAGAAGATCCAAGTTACAAGAACATAGGAACAGCCTGAGACCCGATGAAATTGGGTGAATCGCTACCGCGTGCTCTGTCATAATTGACCCCGAAACACTCGACCAACAACTTGCTGACGACTGCATCGGCACAACAACAGAAGCGAGCGGTCCACAGAAGAACTGTAATTTTTATTAAAAGGAGTTGGTTATGCTCAAAATACGTTTCCATTGGAAATGTTTCCTCTTGGCGTGAATGATGCTTTTCTGGCTTTTTCTGTCGGGTCATGTTCAAGCTTCGTATGAAAAAGCAGGCAAGACCAACAGCATTACATCAGGTGCCACCGATAGAAACCCCGCAAAGTTGACCGCCACGGTGTTTTCCCCATGGGGAGCAGCCTCTTGACCCCATAAATAAGGTGAAGAAAGGTTTGCAAAGTTACGCGCCCCTCAATGCGCTGTTCAAGACGTTCGTCTCTATCCCTGCGAGGGCAGGGTCAGGAATGGCTGAAAAAGCCACGGGTTAAAATTTTATATTTTCCCATTTCTTGGGAAACTTTCAACTATAAAAGCTACGGGGCTGGGGAGTGTAGGTTTGGAGCGCAAAATAAAGCGTCATAAATAACACCCCAATGTGAGAGTGGATGTGTGGCACAATCCCATTGTTTCCAATTATTGCAACCTGTCCAGCCTCACACTCATATTTATGGATTTCAAATATTAACATATTCATATTTATAAAGACTTATAACAAGAAAACCGCATCAAAAAAAAGTCATCGTCAATTCGTGACCTCTAATCTTCTTCATCATTCAAATGAACTTCTATTGTATGAGGCTCGCTGACACACAACTCTTGTCGGCTTATACTAATTTACAGCTTTGACTCGGGGACGATGAGGGCCACGCGCTCGGTAAGGGCCGTCTCGGCCTCCTTCTCTATGCGCTTGACGAGAACATCGCAGGTGGGAATATCGTGAATGAGGCCCATGACCTGGCCAGTGGTCCAGACGCCGTGCTCGGGGTCGCCGTTGGAAAAGACCTCCTTGCCGCGCTTGCCGGAGACGTAGGGGGCCACCTCGCTAAACTCGCCCGTGGTGCTCCCGCGCTCAATCTTGAGGGCCTCGTCGGTGACCTTGTTCTTGAAGAGACGCGAGGTGTTGCGCCAGCGGCGGAGGACGAGGGCGGTCTGATTCTCGTCCGACTTGACAATGGTCTTCTTGATGTTTTCGTGGAGCGGAGCCTCGACGGTGCACATGAAGCGCGTGCCCATGTTGATACCCGAGGCGCCGAGGCAGAGGGCGGCAGCGAGGCCCTGGCCGTCGGCGAAGCCGCCCGAGGCGATGAAGGGTATCTTGAGCTCCTGGCGGGCGCGGCTGAGGAGGATAAAGTTGGTAATGTCGCTCTCGCCGACGTGGCCGGCGCACTCGAAGCCGTCGATGCTGAGAAAGTCGACGCCGAGCTTGACGGCGGAGAGGGCGTGGCGGATGGTGGTGCACTTGTGCAGGACGGTGATGCCGGCCTTTTTGAGCTGCGCAATGACGGGGCCCGGCGAGTTGCCGGCCGTCTCGACGACGCGGATGCCCTCGTCAATAATGGCCTGGGCGTAGGCGGGGTAGTCGGGCGGCACCATCGAGGGCAGCAGCGTAATGTTGACGCCAAAGGGCTTCTTGGTGAGGGTGCGGCAGCGGTGGATCTCGTCGCGGAGGGCGGCGGGCGAGGGGAAGATGAGCGCGGTGATGATGCCGAGACCGCCGGCGTTGGAGACGGCGGCGGCGAGGTCGGCGGTGCCAATGTGCATCATGCCACCCTGGATAATGGGGACTGCGCGCGGGAAGAGGACAAGCATGTTAGTCGCGTTGCGCGGCACTGGAGAGTGGCTGCGTCGGCAAGACGGTTGTGAGAAGAAGCTTACCTCGGATGCCCAGTCGGCGGGTGAGCTCTGTGACGATGGGCATGATGGCGGTTGTGGTGTGAGAATTGTGTTTGACGGTAGATGCAAAAATAATCTCGCAAAGCAAAATAAGAGAAAAGACGACGAGAATGTCGAGACTAAAAGGACGTCAAACGGAATGACAACGCCCGCTGGCGGCCGTGATGGCCAGGGATCGGTCTTTATTGGTGAGCTCGACAGCCGAGGTTGCGCCCCACTGGCACGGAAGCTTTTCCCAATCGGCTGACCCGTTCGCCGGTGGAGCCCTCACATGTTGGTGGTGCCTGGAGAGATGAGGTTATCGCGCCGGGGGGGGTTAAACCCTGAATCCCCGCGGGTAAAAGTCAAAGATTGTAGATGCGGTGGGAACATTTGTTCATGGCAGTCTGGGGTATCCATGGGTGATCCGCGATCCGCGGGTCGAGTGCATCGATGCCAACTTCAGTGTCCCAGCTACATATACAGGAAACTTTATGCGCAGTGATCCCGGATACGAGAAGCGCTGCCGAGGTTGCTGAATTTGGCAAGTCCGGCTATTCTCCGCCAGGGTCGTCAGTTCGTGTGTTCATTGCAGCAAACCACCATATAAGCGCAAGATCCAAGACGATACATTGCTACTCGTAATTCCCTGCTACTTGACACTGCTTGCCAATGTTCGGGCCCTTTAAAAAGATTGTTGAAAGCAGCTAGCCTGAGGCTGCGGCAAGAACAGTCAAATTATAGTAGGCTATTTGCATATTCTCCGTGTGTCAGTCAGCGTAATAATAACGGTTAGTGGCATGGCACCCTGAAGACAGAATAGCTAGATCCAACTCCCAACCCGGCTAAAAAACCCTCAGTAAATATCTTTTATCTTTTTCACGCCAAATTGACTTCAAACAGACTGCCTCCCTTCATTTCCCCCACAGACTACTTTTCGTTGTTCTTTTCGTCGAGCGCAATACAGAGCGCCACCGCAAGCGCCATATCCATGCCTGGCGCTATCGTCACTGCGTACGTCTGCTGCCCACCGAAAAACTCCCTCTTGTTAAAGAACTTGCGATCAATTAGGCCCACGACCGGCCCCTGCTTATCCGCGCCCAGCACAATCTCCGCCTGCGAGTCGAGCCAGTCACCCCTCATTGCAAACACGTGCGTCTGACCATCCGGTGCTGTAAACGTGGCCGTCGCCTTGGACCCAAAAACTATTTTCAAAAAAGTCAGGGGATCAATTCTCACCGCACAGCACCCAAGGGGGCAGGGGTTTCTCACGTTTTATGGAGCTCTTGATCTCTAAAAACTTGTGCTTGTCGGGTGTCTCGGCGACGTACGTCGCGTGCAGGTGGAAATGTTCCTTGCAGAGGTCAAAGAGGTGAATGCCGGCCATATCGTATACCGACTTGCGCCCCGAAATGGTCGCATGGCGGCCTTGCACCTTGAACAAAGGCTGGCCACTGATGGTTTTGATGTCAAAGCTGTCGCCGGAGAGGGAAAGCACCTTTTCCTTGAGGACAATTGTTTCTGTGCCGCGGGCAATGGTCGCGCTGAACTGACCAATGGGCTGCGGCAGAGGCGGCAGCTGGATTGGTTGCTTGGCTTGAGCCATGATGGTAACGAGTAGAGAATTCTTTGATCTGATGCGGTAGAGTGAATGAAATGAGTAAAATCCTGAGGCCGAGTGAAAGCAAGTCTGGCCTTTTGCTTGTGCCAGCAGCTCCATCGTGACTACCAAACTGCCTCCCCCATGACGTCATATACGCTGTACAGCCTTGCACCATGGCGTCGCCACAGTTGCTCAGCCTCTGCAACGATGTATGTGTAAAAGTATGCCTACAACCAGAAATGGCAAGGCCTTTTTCGGCATTTTGCCGAGATGAAAGCTTCTCTTACGAAAGCTGGTCCGGCGTTAAGGGTCCTGACAACACGTCTGGCAGTAGGCATTGGGCCGGCGGCAGTTGCAACATCTATCGGTGGCAGTCATATGATTAATTGAACTCTACCCTGGTCTTGCATTCCATCTGCTAATTTCATGCCAATTCAGACCCCCCACTAAATAGGAAAGGCGAGACCCCAAGCCTCTCTTCATCGCTTCGATGTATCGCCGCAATTGGCATCAATAGGCCCTCAGACAAGATCGAGTTGCTGCTGTGCTACGCATCCAACGCCAAAAGGAAACGCTCTGGCCGATTTTATCGCATAATTCAGCCTAAAAATTAAAAGTACCCGCCATATGTTCTTGTTTCACGACGCCAGCATTCATCAATCTGCCATGTTCGTCGTACGACACGCTCCTCATTGAAACCTGCTCCTATGATTTTTCGGTAAGGCTGGCGTAGCCGTCCAGGCTATCTCCCATTGTCTTGATCATGTCGAAGATGTGCGTACCCTTGAATGTTTCCGACCATAGCCGCACGACGGCACTCGCAAGCTGTCGGAGCTTGACAACATCGCTGACATTCGCATCTCGCTGAGGCACGGCAAACTCCGTCTCATCTACCATGAGCCGTACAGTCTCGAGCAAGTTCACTTCCTCGGCTGATGCCGGTGGATCTTGAGGGCCTATCGATGCTAAGCTCATAAGCCATTTAGCCACAAGGATAGCGCACTCAAAATTGCAGAGTGAATGCTGGATGCTCCATTCAGTCGACTTGGCCTTGGCCACGTAGTTGACCCCTACTTTGACCAACTTGGACAAGGCGTGGGTTGCTTGAAAAACTGCTCGCTGCACGCGAAAGTTACGCGGCAGCCCGGGTGTGTTGTGCATCGCCGACGCAATCAACATCGAGTCTCGCGTCTGCAGCGCCCTGCTAGGAGGCGTGTCAGTGTAGAGTCGGATGTATGCCAAGCGCAGTAATGCCGTCGCATTGTACACCAGAGACCCTCCAGTCATCGTATCGGTGCCTCCAAAGTTGTTCGTTTCGGCGGCTCGTAGCTGGTGCCGCTGCTCAAAACTCGTATGCCACATTCGCAGGGCCTGCGAGCCTGTCTCGACATCCTCGGGCCTCAAAGTGCGCTGTATATCGTACATCAAGCCAGAAGCAAAGGAAGTTTGTTTCAAAAGATAAACATGCTGAATCAAGGCATGGATCAGTACATAGTGTCCGAGCGATGAAAGCTCTGATGGTAAGACTGCGTTGTGGGGGCCGAAAAATTTGGAGAACGCTTCGTGCAGCGTTATTTCAATTAGTGGCGTCGATTGCCGAAGTTCTTGCCATTGCCACGCTGTCTCGGCACGCCATAGCCGTGCAGTCAACGGCAGGAAGAGATGGACTTCAGATGTTAGCAGCGCCGGTGGCATGTCGTACGTCATGCTGCACAGATTGAAGAAACAGAATGCTATGAGTTTCGTTCGCAGAGCGCCTTCACGTTGGACCCATGTCTCCCAATCAGTAATACCTACTTGGCTGGCGTCCATGTACAGGCCTTCCTCTCTGATTAGAATCGCTAAATTGCTTTGAAGAGAAAGAGACTCATGCAGAATCGTCTTGATGCCCCATAGACCAACAGCAAAGAGCAGCAAAATGGCTTGTATAGTCTCTAATCGTGCTTGAGGAGTGTTCAGGGAGCTTAAGTCGGTTAACATGCAAGGCCGACAAGCAATTTCGAGAGTTTGTTGACTTACAGTGTATCACGGCTTCCGTCGTTGGTAGATGGTCTCTCTGATTGGCCCGAACCAAAAGAATTTCGATATGCAGAAGTTGGTGAAGGGCGAGTTGAATGTGGGCTATACGAGGCCGCATTGGGCAATAACGCATGAATCTCTGAGCTATGTCTTCTTCGAATTTGTTCCATGGCTACCGACTTCGCGGCATACCAAAGGGCGTAGCCTCGGTTGCTCTCAAACCGGTATTGAGCTCCAACGGCGAGTATTGCTAGCAAGAGCTCGGGCGCGATGGCTGCGGGTGACAGCGTGGGTAAATGTAGAACAGGTAGTAGATCGTGGAAACCGCTGATGTAGCCTTCGACAAATCGCGTCAAAGTATGCCTTGACGGGAACGCAAAGTCGCTAGACAACACAGACGAAAATTCATCCAACTTCTTCTTGATAATCGAATAATCTGCGGCAGATATACGCAGTGGTGAAGGGCGTGAAGTATCCCCGGCAAAATCTGTGGCATCGCGGGTATCAGGACCAAGGGAGCCGATACGTGAAGGCATCGCCGACACTGGCTTCGAGGCCATTCTCTGGTTCATACCAGCCGGTGAGCGGCTCCACATGTTCATGGGTTGGTCTGGTTCAAAGTGCGGCGGTAGAAAATGCGGCGCGAAAGAAAAGTCATCCAGAAAAACATTGTAGTCATCATATGCGGGCTGTTGAGCTGCCTGCTGAGCAAATGTCGGCATACCATGCGTCTGATCTGGAGGTTGACGTTCACCAAATTGAGGTATGGCTTCACCGAAGCCTTTCGATCTTGCGTGACTAGTCGGTTGTTGGGCAATGTTGTTCATCATCGGTGCCATGGAGCTGACCTCACTAGCCAGTGCGGCATCAGACAGAACGTCAAGATTACAGGCAGTCATCCTCGATTTCATGGCGTTATCCTGTTGCATCGGTTGCTGCATCGGTTGCACATTATTCGGCATAGGCGGCTGGGGATGGTACATTTGCTGCGGCGGCGGCGGCCCAACAGGAGTCATGGTCGTCCGGTGCATGCTCATAGCATCGGGCTCGACGTGACTGTCAGATAGCGAGGGCTTATGCGAGCCCGCGCTCGACGACGAGGGCCTGGGACGAGCATTGTCTTTGCTGGCTTCATTCAAGTGAACGAGTTTCTCATGTCGCACGAGGAGGTCCCTGATGTCCATGAGTGTCAGCTATACAAATGCTTAAATGCCACATTGACTGGGCAAAACAAGCAGGCAACATGTAAGGAGTGTGGGAAAGACGTTGAGTGATGTAAGAAGGCTGAGTGGAGCTGAAAATGCAGTACAGTGAGTGGCATTGCATGGAGACGACCAGGGGATAAATATAGAAAATCAATGTTGCGCTAAACAAAAGACCTTTGTATCTTACCGTCGTCCAAATGTCTTGCCGCATCGATCCCACGGACAGGCAAAAGGCTTTTCCTTTGTGTGAGTTCTCTCGTGCCGTTGCACATGTTCGACCCGGCTATTCTTGTCAGGCTGGGACGGACACGGTTCCACGTAGCAGATGTACTGACCGAAAATGTTTGCTGCAATACTTGCAGGGTAGCGTCTTGGGCTTCTGGTTGCGATTTTCGGTGCTCTCGGTAGTGACAATGGCGTCAGAGTGCGCAGCTGGCGGAGGGTGAGAAGCCTGAGCCTCGAGAGCCTGGATAGGGAGCATCCCGGCGCTGGTGGGCGTTGGCAGCGGTCAAGACCACACCAGAGAGCCAAATGAGGAGGCGGGGGGATGATAGGTTGGGGTAAGGCAACGGCGCAGAGAAGAGTTCACCAGAGGCCAAGTAAGGGTAGGATTCTGCAGTATATGGTGTGGGGGTGAGGTATGCTTGGGTGTATTAGTGATGAGCTGCAAGTGAGGAGCAATGGCGTCGTGTCGGAGCAGTGGCTGCGCGGTTCCCAGAGTGAGGCTGGATCTAGGAAACGCTAGAAGAGGATGAGGAGAAGAGAGCCGAGCTTGGCCCCCTCTCGCATGCCTCGCGATGACGCTACTCGGAAGCGGTGATGAGTCCGATGGTAGAGGGGGGGAGAGTAAGGCGTGAGAGGCGTCGAGGGTGCGCAAGTGCGGAGAAGGCAAGACGGACCGCGTGGAAGGCGTGTGAGACGATGTTGGAGGGGAACACCAGACACCGAGGAGCGTTGCAGCGCAGGACCAAACCGGGCGTGTCACGCAAAAAAACACGAGAAGTGAAAGTTGGAAAAACTTGGTCGCCGGTCAAGGGCGAGTGAACTGAGCTGGGCGCACGGGGTGGCAACGGGAGCCAATGGGCTAGGGCGGAATTGACCAAGCTGGAGTCTGGGGTATCGTATGCACGATACCGTTGGGCGAGCAATGCAGATGCTGCAAAGCGACTTGTTGTGGATGGCGGGCAGCGGCGAACGGTGGCAGGACGGATTCGTTAGCTGTGCAAAACCAACCATCAGAAGGTGGGGAAGACAAGGCGCAGAGAGGGCGGGGAAAGCACTTGAAGGATCTCCGTCGACAAAGGACAAGACAAGGCCCGTCTAGGCCCTAGGCAGCCTTGGGCGAGATGCAGCCGCTGGGCGAGAGCGAAAACAGCCGTGCGCGCCGTGCGGTTTGTTGAGGTTGCGCAATGGTAGATAGGCAAATAGGCTACTGGGCGTATAGTTAGCGGGCAGACTGGATTTGGTGGCGCCCCGGATGTCTGGCTTTTTGGCTCGTGAGGGGAAGCATGAGATGTCGGTCTGCGTGTCTTGAAGGCGGCGGCGACGGCGACGCTGGTGGTGGGCAATGCCGAGTGGCTAAAAGCGGAGCGACAGAGCTCGTCGGCGATACAGTCGAGCGATATGCCTGCGGCCGATACTTTCGAGTCGCAATGTGTGTGTCTTCTCCAAATCGTCAGCTGCAGAATGCCAGAGCTTGAGCCTGCCAGCGGAAAAAAAAAACCTAGCAAAGCCGAGCTTGTTGGAGTGTGGGGATGCAGAGACGTGCAGACCCCATGGGGATGGGATGGGGGAGGAGGTGGAGGAAGAGGGGAAGCTGTGTGGCTGGTGAGGAGTTGGCAAGGAGGTCTGCTCACTTTGCTAGTTCTCGGGCATTCAGGTACCTAGGTACTTTCTACAACCCTGGGGTTGCACCGCTAGAAAAGGCGACTGCAGGGCCTTGCAAGTAGCCCGTTGCCTGTCCGAGCCCGTCGTAGAGGCGTCTTGGAGAGGAAGGGAACAAGGGGTTAAGCTGCTCGTCAAGTGTGAACAGGTAACTAGTCAGTTGCCTAGGCTCGGTTCGGGCCCGCCTGTTCTGCATTGGAGTAGCATTGGGTATGAGTGAGCCTTGACGGACCTGTCTTCCGTGTCTGTTGCCGCGGGACGGTCGGCGTGGCCACAGACTGCTGTCATGATAAACAGTTGCAATGCATGAAATCAAGTTGATGTTGCCTGCATCTCTGCCATTTGCCGACGAGTAATTATTAGTCACGTGGTTTTCACACCCCCGTTTCTGATAATATTTCTGCCGGGCCGTCGCCTTGTCCGTTTGCCATCGCCAGCTGCCAGCTTAATTTATGATTGCACCTAGGTGTCGCTATCACAAGCCAGCGGTTGCACGTGTACCTTGGTCCGCGCGGGTCCCGGTAAACCTAACTGCACAATGGGCTATGAAAGCATCAACAAGGAATTTCCTGCCCTTATCTGATTCTAATGACTGTAAATATTCAGGCAACTCAACTGGCGAGTCGGTACGCAACGCTACCTGGCTGCCAGGTGTGGCCGACCCCATTCGTCACCTGCATACAGCTATTGTCGATTGACCAGCCTACCTACACGGGAGGGGGGTGTTTTCTGACATGCCCTCTGATAGCTTTCCGTACCTATTCGTATTTGTCCAACGCAACCCTCTCAACTTTGCACTCCACCACCAATGAATATACCTAAAAATCATCTCTAGCTTCGTTGGCCCGCATTGAAAGCTATAAGCTTTGCTACCCTGGCAAGCCGTCACACGTCACTATTGAGGGTTGAGCATTGCAGCATCACATCGCTGATAACCCCGCACTGCTGCTGTATGTGATGGTAGATGCCACATCTCCCTCGGCAAGACCCCGTACACATTCATCATTAGCCATTGAGGCGGCAGCTCGTGAAAGATTTTGAGCTTGCAACTCTATCTACTAGATCAAGAGCCAGCTCGCAGCCCGTCGAGACCCTTGGGCCGTGTCCGCCCGCATACTGTCATTTGCAGACTGCTGCATGTGCAGCCAAGTGGTTCTCGTACTCATACGTACTGAGAACAAAACGGCAAGTACTGCTTCCCAACTCCTCGTATTTGCATGGTGGGATCTGTGAGGATAAAGATCTACAAGCAGGTTTTGTTTGGAATTGGAGTCTGTACCCGCACTAACTGATTCTAGGCTCAGCCTTTGGGCTCATACTTGCCGCAGAGTACATATGTTAAAATTTCAAGCCACTTCTATGCAGGGACTAATTAGTTGGCAATTCGTCAAATGGGGCAGGTCTCGGATTAGTTAGTTAAAACCAAAGTAGCAACTAAATAGGCGGTCGGCACTCCACATGTCCGAGACGTTGAACAAGTCTCCTCCTTCCCATTCAATTACATCTTTTTTTACCGTCTACGCCGTTTCTTCGCTTCCACAGCTACAGATGGCCACGACACTACCTATGAAATAGCCGATGAGATGATATTTGCTTTGATGCACAAGGTAGTGGCGTGTGCGCTATTAGGTGCGCCACAGAAGGAATGGGTAATGTATTGATAGTTATCGCATTGTTCCCTTTGGTCGAATAGGCCGAGTTGGACCCCGACTTAATTCCGGTGTCTCATCAGCGGGTAGAAACGTGGGAATCCACAAACTCACCCTTGCATGGTATCGATTATGGGCTACAGCGCAAGGCCTCACTGTTGGTTAATGGCGCGGCTCCGTCCGAATGATTTAACAAAACATTGATTACCTTCGACTGGCCTTGTCTTGCCCTGGCAAGAACTCTGGCTTTCTCGCCAGAGCAATCTTATTAGCCAGCGTCGGCGGAAGTTGGCTGTGTTGCAGCATCGGTCCCTTTGCTAGCGCTCCCCACTTGCGAGTAATATGGCATCTCAACAACCAGGATGTCATCAGGCTGACCTCTTGGAAAAGTGCTGTTTCAACGTTGTCAACATGCGCCTGATTACCGCCGTCACGGCGGCTATGCTGGTCAGCTCCAGCACCGGCCTCACCCTCGACGTCCCGACGGCTACGCACGTTGTCACGGTCGACATACTGCCGCACCCACCGCAGATCACCGCCGCCCTGGAGCAACGCGACGGATTCAACAAGACCTGCGCGCATTCCGTCTACAGCAAGGCCTTTAGTAGGTCCGTCAGAAACGAGGAGCTGAGCTCTTCTCTCCGCTCCTCCTTGTCTCTCAGCGGTGCCTCTCCTCACCCCTGGCAAGGCAACCTCTGCACAGTCACGCTTGCGTCGAGCCTGTCCTCCGACTACATCTCCTATCTCAGCCAAGCCAAGAGCAAGTATACAAGCGCGACGGAATATCTCAGAAGTGTGCACACGGATTGCGGTGGCCCCGTCTTCCAGGTCAGCGTCAGGCCCCTCTGCACCAAGAAATCCCTGACGGCCGTCTTCACTGGCTCGGGGTCCCCGAAAACGACTACACTACCCGCTGTGCCCCCAAACAACGGAGTCAGTATTGATGTCAACACGGGCAACGTTAGCACGATCAATCTCGCTGCAAATGATGAGGACTCCGAGGCACCACAGCGGGGTACCGCTCTCGGCGCTGTTGTTGCAATGGCAGTCGTTGCCGGCGCCGCTCTCATGCCATGATTGGCATTTACATATTCAGAAGACATGCCACTCCGTTTCATGTGTGAATTCATTCGAGGGAGGCAGATATACCAGATCATTTCAGGGCGACACAGTGTATTGTATATAATTACGAGGCGTCGGCTAGCTTCTCATGGTACATAATGTTATATGCGCTTGTTAATACCACTTTGACGTCAATTTCTACTCTGGACACATGCAAGCTGACTGTCACCGTTTCATTGATGCGATGCTCATAGAATATATATTGCCAATGTCTCGTCGCTGCGAAATGTGTTGAAAGCCTCAACGGGTGCTGTCATGTTTGACAGGTGGAGAAGCCAGATCGGTCAACTGACGCATGCGAGCTCACATCGTATATTTACTGAAAGAGTTGTTGTCCAATCAACTCGTACACATTATGTAACTACAAGTCGGCAGAGTGTCTGATAGGAACTGGATCCCAATGCAACAGTTTATTCTGCAGCACTGGTAGCACGACCCGCAAATTCCACCACCATGAAACGTCGTGCGCAGTTTATTTTTTTTTCTCCGGCCACATTCCACATTGCCCTATAAGCATGGACGTCTTGGCATACAACAACACTTTGAATATAATCATAAAACGTACCGCGGATCCTCGTGGACATGCTCAGGTCCCAAAGGCGCCTTGGCCCGCTTGGCACAACGGCTAGGTCCACTTGAAGCGACTGTGCCCAGGCATAGGTGAGCAGGATTGAGAATATATTTGCACACACACGAAAATTGAAATCTTTTTATTGGAGAGTTAGGCTCCAGAAACCCAATGTTGCAGTCAATGTCTCTTTACGATCGTGCAACGCCGCACAGGCGTGCTTATAATAGACCAGACGACCCTGCAACTGCATCGTCAACGTTGACGCTCCTTTCCCAATCAGTAATTACTGTCTCGCCACTCTGTACAGCCGGATGAATGATCTAGATATTCGACAAAAATGGCAGTATTCAATCTAGGTCACTGGCTCCTCATCGCCGCCATCCCTGCTGTGCTTGGCGATGGCATCGGCATCATTGGCTTTGGTACGACCATGTACCAGCCGTTCTGCGCATATGCGTGCCGTTCCGTCATTGACAGATCGCCGTTACTATGCACGCCAGAGCACGAGGGCAATTCCGCAGGCGGCCATCACGCGCCTGCTATAACGCCAGAAAGCTGCTTCGCCAGTGATCCGGCCTTTGCGCAGACGCTGGCTCTCTGCATCGACACGTATTGCCCGGGCAGCGATGCACCTCGACTTGGCGAGATTGAAGAGTACTGGGCCTCGCATCTGGCCACGGGGATGATGGGGAACTTCTCTTGGGTGCCAGCCATGACATATCAAGAAGCCCTGCAGCGCGCAAGACACGACGAGCACAACAGTACGCTGGCCGGAAACACCACGACCTCGACGAGCGGCCATGCGGGTCACGAAAAGCGAGTTATCTTTGCGCGACATGGTAGTCATGCAGAGGAAGAGGAAGACACGACGCCAGTGAACACTACTCTGCCAGTGGTCAAGCCTGGTGCTCCGCTCAACGTCACGAGCTTCGTCCGCCCGTCGGACTGGCTAAAGAATTACAACGGCCACAAGTCATTTGAGTTGAATGAAATTGGGCACTCCAAGTATACGTATGTACCAATATTTCCTCAGTAATCAGTCTTGGCCTCATTCTAATCACCAATGTTCTAGCATCATCATCACGGCCGTGCCCTTTCTACTTGCCATTCTCGCGTCACTCCCTCGATTCATCCCAGGCCTAACACGCGCCACCTCGTGGGCTTGGTTCAACTCCATGATTATATACCCACCCCTCTGGGGAAAAAGGCATCGACAGCCTACTGCGCAGGTTATAGGCGGTGGCTTCATGCCGACGCGCGGGCAGTCTCTCTACATCTTGGTCATGGTGGCGCTCAACATCGTATTTCTCATGGTACCGTACTACACCCTGCAGCCGCAGACTACGTTTGTCACAGTGCGCGAGCAAGAACTGAGCGTCATTGGCTGCCGCGCTGGTGTCATGGCAATGGGCAACGTTGTCGTTCTTACAGTCTTTGCGGGCAGAAACAATCCGCTTTTGGCGCTGACTGGTTGGAACTACGATACCTATCTGCTCCTTCACCGCACATTTGGATATTTGGCCATCTTTCACACTGTGGTCCACTCAGTTCTGCTTCTGGCATACTATGTCATGTTTGGAGACTATCAAGCAGAACTAGTGCGGCTGTATTGGATCTGGGGCATCGTCGCCACCATGGCGGTTGTCCTACTGTGGCCGGCTTCGATGTTGGTCGTTCGCAGGCGATTCTACGAGGTTTTCCTCTCTTTGCATCACCTCCTCGTAGCCTTGTTCCTCATTGGCTACTTTTACCACATCTTCTACCGCTACAGCTTCAAATGGGGTTACGAGATTTGGTGCTACATCGCCGGCGGTATCTGGGGCACGGAGCGCTTGATCCGGCTGGTACGCATGGTGTTTATGGGTCGCCGCACAGCGGATGTCTTTGTAGTGCCTGGCTGTGAAGGCGAATATCTTCGCATCGACATCGACGGTGCTCACGCGACCGGGCTTGTTTACCTCTACTTTCCGACTCTAAGCTGGCGGTTCTGGGAGAATCACCCATTTTCAGTTGCTTCCTCATTCTCCATCAGCGACTCGAGCGAAGACGATTCTACGGATGCAGAGAGCCCCAACGACGGGCTTGCGGAGGAGAAGAAATTGCCAACAAATATCGAGACGGCACCAGTTGCTCCCCCGCGCAGGACTATTGTCACACCCGTCTCTAATCATCGTATATCTATCCTCGTCCGCGTTCAAGCAGGCATGACTGCACGCTTGGCCGCCAGAGTAACGGCTGGGGGTAGCAAGATTCGTCTGCCCGTCGTTGTAGAAGGCTCATACCACGCCATCTCAGCGTCGGAGCTATCGCAATGTACGTCCATTGTCTGCATCGCCGGTGGAGTGGGCGTAAGCGCTGTGCTCTCCATTTTGCGCGAAAAAGGCTGCCGCAGGCGTTTGTGCTGGGGCGTCCGCGATAGCAGTGTTGTGGACGAGTGCAAGAAGGATATCCTAAACCTGCCAGCGGCAGTGCAAGTGGACATTAGTGTCGGCCAGCGCCTGGATATACGGTCAATACTGAAGGAGGAACTCTCGGCACGTACAGGCGATTGTGGCCCTGTAGGAGTCGTCGTGTGCGGACCGCCAGAAATGGCCGACGATGTGAGGAATGAAGTCTCTAGACTAGCGAGGAGCGGTTCTCTGGCGCGTGGTGTCGTTTTACTGGATGAAGCATTTACGTGGTAGTACGGCTTTTAAACCATCAGTTTCGATACCTATATACTGGTCAAATATATATACTGATCAAACACTTGTATACTGGCCAAATAAATCTACTTGTATCGTGGTCAGTAGAAGGTCCCATCTATCACCACGCCCAATTACTGCGCAACGAAAACCATTGGCTCGCCGTTGTGCACCGTGGCGCACATTTTTCCGTCTCCGCCCGAGGTGTACGTTTGTCCGTCAAAGACGCCCCTCCACGTCTTGTTCTTCTTTTGCGTGTAGAAGCAAAATTGGCGCTGCTGGCCCTGGCCAATGTTGCTCGTGAGGGCAACGACGGCGCCGTCCTGGCGACTCCAGGCGTAGGCGTCATTCTCGACAAACAGATGCACGTGGTCGTCGCCGGGCAAGCCGCCGTGGTCGCTGCGGACGCGGCCGAGAGCCTGCAGGAACTTGTACACGTCGGCGTCGGTGCGGTAGCCGCTGCGCCAGAGGTCCTCGCGGTTATTGGGGTCGCCGCCGCCGTTGTAGCCTTGCTCGGAGCCGTAGTAGACAATGGGGATGCCGCGGGCGAGCATGACGTAGGTGAGGGCGTTTTTGAAGAGCGAGACGTCGTTCTTCTGCGCCAGGAAGCGCGGCTGGTCGTGGTTGTCGACAAAGGTGCCGAGGGTGGCGGCGTCGGGCACGAGCGCGCCGACGCGGTTGTGCATGTCGACGAGGGCCTGCGACGAGTTTTGCTGCTGGTAGAAGCGGTTGAGGGGGAAGTAGATGGGGTAGTTGACGAGGCCGCCCATGAGCTTGGCGTAGCCGGCAAAATAGTCCGGGTCGCCGCTGAGCACCTCGCCAATGGTGTAGGAGCCCGAGGCCCAGGCAAAGTCGGGCCAGTAGTCCTTTTCGACGTGCTTGACCGTGTCGATGCGGCTGCCGTCGAAATGGTACGTCCGCATGAGCCACTTGATCCAGTCCTTGTACAGGCTGCGGATGGCGGGATCAGTGGTGTCGAGGTCGGGGAGGTTGCCGACGCGGCAAACTTCGATGCTGTGCTGGTCATCGTAGTTGATGGCGCATGCCGGGTGGTAGGAGGAGGCCTGGTTGAGAGGCGAGGGCTTGTTTTCGCTGATGGGACCATTGCCCATGTGGTTTGCAACAACGTCAACCATCATATAGATGCCCTTTACAAAGTGAGTCGAGACGCGTGTTTGCGTGAGCTATGGAGGGCTTACCTTGTCGTGTGCAGCGTTGACAAGATTCTTGAGGTCATCAGAAGTGCCATAGTGGCTGTTGATGGAATACAGGTCCTTGGCCCAGTATCCGTGGTAACCCCTAGCAGAATCTCCTATGCGTCAGCATTCTTGAGCAGCGACAGTTGCAAGAGGTTCTCCCACTCACTTTCAACCACGGGGGTGATCCAGATGGCATCAAAGCCCATGCCCTTGATGTAGTCCAGCTTGCTCTGCAGGCCTTGAAAGGTGCCGCCGCAGTAGTCTCCCAGGTTGCCGCAGGCGTTGCCGCCATTGTCGTTTTCGCTGCGCGCCACGCGATCCGTCAGGGCAAAGTAGATTGTGCGCGACTTCCACGAGGTTGTGTCGGCGCCCAAGGCTGCCAGGGCCTGGGTCAGCAGTGTGAGCGATGCAGTAAGCTTCATTGCGATGTTGTGTGCCAAAGTCGCGCCGAATCGGGTGTTTGATTGCCCTGCCCACTCAACCGTAGAATAGTGTCTGGCCCGCGGCGAGCCATGTATATATTCATGGCTGTAAAGGAAGGAGAGTAATCGGTCCTCCACATAGAGTGCTGATGATTGGGGAAATATTGGGGAATGGGGAAGAAATAGTGACGGGCCGAATAGACGCGGAGGTTGCCTTTGCTGGTACGCGCCATTTTTAGTCATTCTAAACACTGGCTGTGGGCGGAGATGTGCGCCACCAGATCATCGTTGATCGGCCAAGATCGAACAGAGGGGGAAACTGTGTTGCATGTTTGTAATTCAGTATTTTCCACCCAGAAACCAAATAGCCAGCATCAACAGTACGTACAGCCATATTGCCAGGGAGCCATTTGCCCATTTCCTTTGTTTAAGAAGGTTTCTCCCAGAGTGGTCCTTTTCGAATAACTAGTGGATTTGCTACCTCCGAGAATATGGCCGGATCTCGACTTTCAGTGCCCGCCCACCGATCGGCCGGAGCATCTCAACCAACCATTGTCCGTATCTTTTAGCGTGAGGCCCGGGTTACGCTTGCAGCGCTTCATGGTGTTGAGTGATGACGGTGCGTACACTCACAAACCCGGGCTGCGTCATGCAGCTCCGCGCTGTCAGATATGCATAAACACACGCAAGCCTTTGCAACAATTGCCGAGGAAAGATTGATTTACTTTCGCGTTGTTGACAGCGAGGCATCATTTCTTTTCAACAGGGGTCGTTATTTTCGAGCATCTGGTTCTAACAGCATTCTTCTTCTGCTGGTATTTCTTTTCTTTTTACTTTCTGATACGTACAAGATCGACGAAGTCGACGGTCCGTGCCGAGGCACCGCTGTGTTGCTGCATGAAGCAGGTGTCAGCTGTTGTGGGCAAAGCCCATTTAATTCCCTGTCAGTGCACCGTCGTTTATCCCGGAAATCAGTAGATAACTAGTCATATTATATCGAAGGGCACTGTTACCTTGGCGTTGGGTGGGTTTAAGCTTACAGCTCATCAACGTCGTCATCGTCATCCCAGTCTACGCATTGCAAACCACTCATGCACCCACATTACCTTGTCGTGCGTAGCGTAGTCGTCGTAACAACGCCGGCCAAAATAACTCGAGTTGCATATCACAAAACAGTCCCATCATCACGATCCATACAGTCATACGAAACACTTGCACTTTTCAAGTCAGCAAAGCCGGCTAGTGCTGACCGGTGAGACAAGGGCATGTCAAGCTAGTGAAGATGCCGATTATTCACAAAATTGTAGAGCAAGTTTTGTCATGTTAAAAAAACGGAAAACATATCCGTTGTGTTGTAAACACTCTATTAGACCATGCAACTGCTTGGCTAATTCGCAAAATCTCGTCTCTCATTATATAAAATGCCCACACAGCGCAAACTAACAGGTCATGTACAAAAACATTAGATTTCTTCCCAGCGATTGTTTCTTGGGGGGTTTTTTTTTTTTGTTACATCATTCTTTAACCCTGAAGAGAGTAGCCGACATCGCCAGCTTCAGAGCCCAGCTTGACGAGACGCGCACGCATAGCCTCGGCGCGCTCGCGCTCGGCAGGCTTAAGCTTGGAAAAGTCAACCTTGTCCACCCACTTGCCGATGCCGTGCTGGAGGACGTTGCGTGCGCGGAGCTTGCTGCCGCCGGCGTGGCCGACGGAGCCGTGCAGGGTGATGCGGTCCTTTTTGGCGTCGTAGACGCCGCGATGGAGGATGTTGTTGTTGTAAAAGGCAATGTCGCCGGCCTCGAGCTTGACGATGAGCTGATCGGGCAGAACGGGCTCAAAGGGCCCCGCGGCGCGCTCGACATCGGTGCGGGCGCGGGCGTGGGAGCCCGGCACGAGCACGAGGCTCTCATCCTCGTAGAGGGCAAAGTTGTACTGCGCGTGGAAGCCCGGCCGGCCGAGGCGCTCCATCTCCTCCTCGGGGGTGGCGTCGGCGGAAATGTCGTCGCGGTGCCAGCGCAGCTCAAAGTCGCCGTCGGGGCGGACGAGCATGTTGAAGAGCTCCATGACGAGGTCGTCGTCGTCGCACTGGAGCAGCTCTTTGACAATGTCGAGCACCTCGTCGGAAAAGTAGAGCTCGGTAAAGATTTCGTGGCCGGGAAGCTCCGGGTTCATCATGTGTTGGACGCCCCAAATGCCCTTTTCGGGCTCCCACTGCCACGGCGGGAACTGCTTGCCGACGGTGCGGATGTGCGGCCACTCGCCCTTGCGGGCCAAGGCCTCGACCTTGGTGGCGGCATCGCGGAGGCTCTGCAGCTTTTCGGGGGAAACGATGGACTTGACGACGACGAAGCCGTCGCGCTCGAGGTCGGCGAGGTAAGATTTGGTTTTTTGGGCGGGCATTGCGGCGGGTGTCGGTTGGCGGTTGGTGTGTGGGGATATATTGAATATAATGATGCAGAAATTCGAGAAGAGATGGGACGAACAAGGACGTAATTATACACAAGAATGGAGAGGGGAGTAGAAGGCCAAGCCCGGGGAAGCAGCGTGATGTGGGATATAAATTCTGGGCATGCGGGGGAATCCTGGCGACAACCAAGCAACTTTCTTGAATATCTATGCTTTAGTTAGTGAGGGCGAATAGTGCGTGGATATGGCGGGGTAATTGCAACGTTTTGAACGCCTCAGAGGGTGGGGTAGACTGGTTCCTTTATTACACGATGCGCGGTGCCTGCGCCGCGGTCTTGTCCGCTCGCTGTTTTTACTGGCTGGCTGGCATGACTATCTTCTGTACAAAGTATGTACCAATCAAACCAAACTATGACGGCTGAATGCCAGGGAAAGCAAACCAGGATCCAGAAGGAAAGCCAATAGTGGCAGGTCCAAGTTCTCACGTAGCATGTGTACGTAACAGCCGTCCTATTGGCAGCTCGGGTTTATCAGATGGGTGCTGTGGAAAAAAGAATGGGCCCTATAGCGCGAACGAACAGGCCTACCTACGCGGGAGGGGGGTGTTTTCTGACATGGCCTCTGACATGTTTTCCTATCTGGCATATTTTTTAGGCATGTTGCAAGGAAATCGCATTTTTTAGCATATTCCAAAAATTTCTGACATCCTATCTGAGAAGCCCGAATCCATGGCAACATGCCTTAATAATATTTTATCTACGAAAATCTGTCAGAGGGCATGTCAGAAAACACCCCTCTCCCGCGTAGGTAGACAAGTTGTTGACAGGCACGACAGGGCACGACAGGGCACGACAGAGCACGACAGAGCACAAGACACACCAAAGAACCCCTGTCATGACCACGTTATTGCTCGGGCAAATTACCCGTCGGTTCGCTTAACATGAACCGACTGTAACACACACACGCCTTTCGCTCCTGCCTCGAACAAATACAAGCACTGATGAATCCAACCTGTCCCATTGCCCCATTGCAACCTTGTCAAAAGAGCCGCACCTTCAATTGCATCTCCCCTCATCCCCCAGGCTCCATCCTCCCCATCACCATCCCCAGATCAGGCCATCCTCAACACACTCGACCGCACTAATCAGGTAATTCGCATTTGCCTCCAGACCACCACCCCGCCGCGGCCGATGATACGTTACTCGCAACTGCATCCCCGCCCCGCCTCCGGCTTGCCGCGGGGTTTGACCCGCCTTGCCGAATCGGAGCGCCGCCCTGGCATGATTGCGCGACATGTCTTGCCCTTATCAATGCCTGCCGTCGATCCGGTTCATTGTCTTGTTTGTGTCGGCCGGCCAATTGTCGCTTGTTGAACCAACGCCATGACAAAAGGAGGTTACTTTTTATTCAATCTTTCGACAATCGGTGGTAGCATGCCGCGACGATTCTACCGTAGCTTGTACCAACCATCACCAGTCTAATCATTCATTCATCGAGTCTAATACTACCGTATATCCAATTCCACTTCTCTCCTCATCCCTTGGTCCGGGTACGTCTCTCAAATTTCCCGTGCGCACACACCCAACTTATCCTAGCTATCCACAAGCTAGCCCAGCTGTCCCGCTACGCCTTCCTCGGCCACCGCACCTCGAACCCATTGACCGTCTTTTGCACATCCAAATCACCCGGATCATTCTCAAACAGCGGCTTGTCCAGCATCCTCTCCTCCACCCGCACCACCTCCAGCCCAGCCTCGCGCGCCACGTCGAAAAACTTCATGTCCAGATCACGCTTCCACGGCCGGTAGGAGGTGAAAAAGACGTATGCCACGCTATCCGCCGTCGTCCCCATGGCCTCTTTGATCGTCTTGACCAACATCCCGTGCTCATTGTGCCGGAACAGTAGGTCCGCCAGGATCAGCACGTCGAACCGCCTCTCCGCGCCCTCGTCGCCGCCTAGCTTCGCCAGCAGCGGCGCCACGTCGCCGCCCCAGACAAAGCCCGCCGCGTCGACGACGTTCGCGATGGAACCCCGCGGCTCAGCCGTCTCGTCGCACAGGTCAATGTTTTTCTGCATGTTGGCGACTATTTCCGGGTCCGGAAAGTCCGTCATGACCACCCGCGACGCGCCCAGGAGGCCGGCCACTAGGGACGGCAGGCCAGACGCGGCGCCCAGCTCCAGCACCGTCCGGCCCCGGACACGCGACGGCTGCGCCTCGAGATAGTCGGACACGATCTTGGCCCCGTTCCACAGGTGGTGCGCCTCTGTTGGGCTCGCGCCCACCAGGTGCAGCGTGATGTCCTTGCCGCTCTTCATCGTGAATACTTGCTGCGTCGGTGGAGGTGTCGGCGGGTAATAGTCGTCGGGCTCCTCCATGAAGCCCGCCACGCCATAGTCGTCATTGTCGTCGTGATTGTCCATTTTTGTGACCTGTAATCACCCTTTTCCAATTCTTCGAGGCAGTAAATGCTCAGTCCCTCAAGGCCTCGGTGAGCACGGCCAATCTCCTCTCGATGGCGATAAAATGCCAGTCTCAGCCCTGCGTGCGGCGCAGATTGTGACGTGTGATGTCACAGCGAAAAGCTCGAAACCCGGCGCAAGACACCATAAAAGGAGAAACACGCCTTGAATGTAACCAGCCTAGTCTGCTTGTATAATAGATGGACACCGGAACAATTTGCGCAAATGAAAACCGATAGACAAGTTGAAGCGGCCCTTGGTGAAGAGGTCTATTTATTGCCGCAAATTGGTACTTTCGCTGCCGGTTGAGTGCGTATATGCCTACTCTGGTTCTTTAGAAGATATGGTTATATGCGCTTGACAAGATGTTTTCTCGTAATCATTTAGCCGTGTCGCAAAGTATTGAAGAATTGTCAAACTTTTTTTTTTTTCACCAGCGCCCAACTTGACGTCTTGATTCTTAGTGGCATTGGTGGAGCATAGTGGTTGCATGTGTCCACCACCGTCCAATGCATACGCGAGGCGACATCGCATTCATCCCCAGCTATGATTTTCATGCAAAATGATAGATAAAGCTGTGACGAGAATATTCCGAGAACCGTAGATACCCATCGATTCAACCTGCAGTTCCTCGCGGAGCGACGACGCCGAAACCCAACTAGTTGGGTACATTTTGATTGCTTGCGATGTGGTTTTACACGCCGCGTAGAAAATGCATACACATTAGATACCCCAACGTACACTGCTCGTTATGCTCAGCTCCCGGCTCCGAACCGCTGCCTCGCCAGCTCCTGAAGCATACTCATCGTCCCCTTCTCCCTCTCCTCGTACCTGCGCCTCCGCTCCTCCATCTCTGCCTGCTTCGCCCTCTGCAGCTCCTCGCGCCGCATCTCGCGCTCCGACTTGCGCTGCTGCGCCTCTGCCTTTTGCTGCTTCAACTCTGCTAGCGAGTCTCCGTCCCGCCCGCCGCCGCCGCCCATCAGCTCGCTGTCCGTCGCAGCCGCCATGGACCCGCCGGGGCTGCCCTCGCGGAACCCACGCATCTTGTCGCCGAGAGCGCGCTTCTTTTCGAGTCGTCGCTCCCGCGTGCCGGGCTCTGCGCGCGGCGCAAGCTCCTCCAGACGCTCCTTTTCCAGCGTGCGCTCGGCGCGCCGCTCGGCGCGCAGGTCGGCGATGGCGGCGGAGCGGTCTTCGGCGCGTCGCTCGTCTCGCAGCGCGAGGTCGTCAATGGAGGGAATGGTCACGCCCACGCGTCGACTGGCACGGGCCGACGACGACGAGGGCAGCGCCGGGCCGTAGTCAGAGTCGTCCTGGTCGTCGGCGTGAGCAGCGCCTTGTCGATGCCCTTCCGCCGATGAATCTCGTCTATTCTGCCTCGGTGGCTCATCACGAGCCTGGTTCTCCGCCTCCTCTTCTTGATGCGATGCCACGATTCTCTGAAACATGTCCGGGTCGTACCAGCCCTCGGCCAGCTCGCCCCTGTTCCACTTGCCAACGAAGCTTTTCCAGCGGCCCCTGATCTCGCGGTCGTCCATGTCCTCGATGTATTTCTGCTTCTGAAGGTCCAAATAATGCGCCAGCAGGGGCTCAAACCGGCGCAGGTCACTCTTGGTCAGCGGCCGCGCATCAAACGGTAGCGTCGCGGGCGGCACCGCCGGCGAGTCACGCTCTCTGCGTCGGCGATGCGTATGGTGTCTGTGCGGCGAGCGCAGTCGCTGTGATGATGGATTTTCTTCTGAACCATGCTCTCTCGTACCTTTTCCCTGGGGCTCGACATCTGACAACCGCCGCCTTTGCTTGCGCTCTGGTGAGCGGGACCGCTTGTCGCGATGTCGACGCGACTCGTCTGTTTGACGGGCGGCGCGGGGGCGCTCATCGTAGACCCCAGACATTGTGACATGCGCGTGTTTGTTGTTGATTCTACCCTTCTCGTACGGTGAAGTGGCAAAGAGTATTTGCGGTAGCTGGCGGCAGATGGCGTGTTGTAAATGAATGTGTTGGACAAGGTTGCTCTGCGAGTATCGGGCGTTTTTGGCTGCATGGAGCTCCGCCCCACTGCAACTAACAGTACGCATCGCAACCAGAAGAATCGATTTGCATATAACGGGAACTGGGAAATCCATTTACATTTCAAATAGAAGCGAAGACTAGATATGGATCAAGCAATTTTTATGCGTCATCAATAATTGTGGCTTGCGGTGGTTGACGTTTATGGGAGACGTTTACTTCATCACCAATGTCACCCGTCTGAGATACAAACAAACACAACGGCTGTGGTCTGCTATTACTTTACATTTCTATTTACCCCCTCCGCAAAGCTTGCGACTGTTTATTGAAGAGTCCTCAAATTTGCCCATTTATGAAATGTGCACCTTTTTCAAGTAAGCTGTGGAGGTATTGGAGGCCTAAAATGACCCAACTTACACGATCAGTTTGCCAGTGCAGCACCACAGATCAGAGACCTTCCTTTTCTCATACCCTTGCTTCGAAAGCTCACCGTTTCGACTGTGATCATGATACATGCTCATCTTTCAACCTACCTCCACCTAGCCCCGTGCTAAAGTCTGACTTGGGAATACGCCGTGCCTTCAACTCCATTGCTCTTCAGTCTTGGTCGCAGATCCTTTTAAACAGCACCCGACCACTGCCATCTGCTACCTAGGTAACCCCTTCCAAGCCAGCAAAATACATCATGCCCACGATAGAAAATTATTCACCATATATCTATTTTCTTTCCTGATGAAGCCAAAAATTGCATGCGATCTATGAGTCACTGGCCGAGCCTCGTCAGCAACGGACCCCACGATAGCCCGTTTTCGTTTCGGTCAACTAGCGCGACGACACAATGCTTTCCTCCTGCCAATCATCTTCATCTCACAACAATACATGGAGCCAGGATATAAATATTCTCAATCCTGAATTTCTGTTTCTTCTCTCTTTTGTCTCATCTTCTTTTTTGCACCTTCTCTACCCCATCGTCATGGACCTCCTCCTCTCCTCCTCCTTCCACGCCCGTGCCGAGGCCCTCCTTACAAAGTACCGCGTCCCCGGCCTCGCCATCGCCGTCACGCACCGCTCTCGCACCGAGACGTGCGCCTTTGGCCTAGCGCAACTAGACCCTCCCATACCCTGTACACCCGATACCTTGTTCGATGTGGCCTCGGCGTCCAAGAGCATGACGGCCGCGGCGGTCGCGCTGCTCGTCGAGGACGCCGATGGCCGCCGCCACCCGGGCGTGCGGTGGGACGCCGTTGTGTCGGAGCTTCTGCCGGGGGACTTTATTCTGCCGACCGAAGAGCTGACGAGGGCGGTGACACTGGACGACATTGTGTCGCATCGGACGGGTATGCCCACGTACGTTTGTGTCTTTGCTTTCAGAGTAGCTTGAGCACATGCAGCTCACCATGACCGTGATATCTTAGAGTACAGTCCCATAATCATATATGCTAATGCCACACCACAGCCATGACTGGTCGTATCTCGGCACCGTCTCCCAAACCCCCGACACCTCCCTGTCCGTCACTCGCAACCTGCGCCACCTGCCCGTGAGCGCGCCCCTCCGCACCAAGTACATGTACAACAACATGATGTACACCGTCTGCACCCACCTTGTGCAGCACTCCACCAAGCTTCCATTTTCCACCTTTCTCGAGCAGCACTTCTTCGGTCCCCTCGGCATGCGCTCCTCCAGCCTACAGCCCTCCCGCGCGCGCGCCAAAGGCCTGTCTGCGCGACTCGCCTCGGGCTACACCTGGGTGCGCGGCGGCGACGAGCCGTCGCACCACGCGCCTGTCCCCATGGTCGAGTGCCCCGAGGCCGACGGTGCGGGGTCCATCATCACGTCTGTGAGCGACTACATTCTCTGGGTGCGCGCCCTGCTGCACCGGCAGGCGCCCGTCACCGAAGAGGTGTATGCGGGGCTGCTGCGCGGCCGCACTATTGTCGATCCTGACGGCGCGGAGCTCGAACCGCACTCATCGCCGGCCCTGTACGGCGCGGGGCTCGAGGTTGACTACTACCGCGGGCACCAGCGCGTGCAGCACGGCGGCGGCGTCACGGGCTTCGCGTCCAAGCACCTGTTCCTGCCGGCGCACGAGTTTGGCATCGTCGTCGCAGCGAACAGCGGCGAGGGTGGGCATGCGGCTGCGGCCGTCCTCGTGCACGAGCTGGTCGACGAGGTGCTGGGCGTGCCCGCGGCGGAGCGCACGGATTGGGAGGCGCTGGTGGATACGTGGGAAGCGAAAAGCGAAGAGGACGATGATCCGGAGCGATGCGAGGCGAGGCTGACGAGAGACGTTCTCGAATCTGTTGCGAGGGATCAGAAGGGTAAAAAGGAAGAAAGAGACGACAAAGAAGAGGACGACAAAGTAAAGGCCCAGGAAAATGAAGCGGCAGTGCCGCAGCCTCTGACGACACCTCTGAAGACGTACGCCGGCACGTACGAGCATCCGGGCTACCACCAGCTCATTCTCGAAATCAAGGATGGTAGGCTTTTCGTCGACGCCTCGGAGCGCTCCTTTGGCTTCACGGGCATCTTCAATCACGTCGCCGACCAGAGGCTGTTTACGCTGCGCATGGCCGAGAGCCAGGCGTGGGGCGGCCAGGACCTGACAGCCGTCAAAGCTGAGTTTACACTGGATGATGGCAAGATCACGCAGTTGGGCATTGCGTTAGATCCAGACATGGACGACGAAATGATTTGGTTCATGCGCAAATAACGGGACACGTTTTTCCGAATGTCAACTCTGGCGAGCTTGAGCGGAATCGTTTCTTCAAGTTTCATGGTCGCGTGTGTATATACATCTCTAAAACGCTTATAAGCCATGTAGCTTCCACAGTCGGGTGCCATCTTTGTGGGGGTATCGGCGCGTGAATAGCAAAGCTTCGTATAACCCATATTCATGTCGTGTTTCAATTTCCTAGCTCGGGGCTGGGGTTGTTGTGGATAGCGCAGCCTATGCACTGGCAGTCATCACCACACTGACAGCTTGACATTTCGCCTTCGCATCCGTCATTAAATGGGTAGCTGACGAAGAAAAAGTCGTTGGCTGACAGAGCCTGCTCCTCTGCCAGCCCAGACGTGGCATCCGACGGAGTTTGGGGGGCCGTTGGCGAGATGGCGCCATCCGTCTTACTTCCTGAGGTCATCGCGGTGATACCGTTAGTATGCGGAAGCTGCCCATTGGTGATTGCGTGTGCGCCATTTGGTGGCGAATGCGTGCCGTTGGTGTGGCCGTGTCCGTTTTGTGCAGACTGTGAGTCCTGCATCATGGCATTCCAGGCAGAGCGAACGTAACTCTGAGTAGCATCGTTGTACGGGTGCGCAGCACATCCGACACACTGGCAAGAGTCGCCGCAGCTGCACTGGTGAGACGTCCATGTTGCGTCTGACGGTCCGGCCTGTTGGTAGGGTGCAGCCGGTTGGCCACCAAACATGTACGCTTGCTGTAGGTGGGGAGCCATGTTCATGTTACTCATGGCCTGTCTCCATTGCTTTGGTTGAAGAGGCTGCATGTAGGAGCCGTATTGAGGAGGGTATGTGAATATGTTTGGCGTGGCGAAGAATGGATACATGCCGTTGGCCATATTCATGGGCGGCTGGAACATGGGCATGGCGTTTCCGTTCAAGTGTCCGTTGGTAGATTCGGTGGGCGTTAGCGCTGGAGTATTGGTGCCGTTGGTCTTTGACGAGCAGCAGCTTCCTGAAGCTTGAGGCTCGCTGTCCTTCTGGGCGTCTTTCCTTCGGCCGTCTTTCTTTTCAACAGAGGATATTTGCGGTGTCTGCTTTCCACTACAGCAGCCGCCCGAGGTAGGCTCCGTGCTACCGTTAGGCGTTTCGCTGTGCCCATTCGTCGAGCCATTGACTTGCGGGGTAAAAGGCTGCGCCATGGGCTGCTGCATCATAGGATACATGCCGGACATGGTAAAGGGGGGGGCTCCCATGGGCATGCCCATGGCGGCGTACGGTCCCATCCCATTCATAGTCGCATGTCCATTCACTCCGTTTGTCCCGTTTACTGGTGCTTGCTGAGAAGGGTCAAAGCCTTGTATGATATTGATCTGGTTGACATCCATCCTTTCGAGCCCGGCGACATCAACAGACTGTTTACGGGTAGCGCTCTTCGACGACGGCTTCTGAACTCTAAAAGGCGCGGTTGGTGTAGACCTCGTGGGGCTTGTTGGTAATGATGAGCCATTCGACTCTGGCTCCTTCTTAATCGTCTCGGGAGCGGCAGGCTGTGAGGAAGAAGGGGGACCGCAGCGGCAAGTCTGCTTCTTGGGAATGGCGGCCGTAACGGCGGCGCAAGAGCAGGGCCGCGAGGCGGGGTGAGGGCATGAGCTGAGTGGACGACCAGGTTTCCGGACTGGAACCATGAGTCGGTCATTGGCGTGGTTACACTTTGTTGAGCGATGGCCGCGAATGCAAGGCTCACTAAGAGGGGTTAGCAAGTTGGACAGGTATCACGAGACGAGGCAAACGGTTGGACTGGACACCGTCTCGTCAAATCATACATACCAGGCCATCTTTTGCCCATTGATGAGCGGCATGGTGGGCGATAAGAGCCGGGCGTGGCGAGGCCGACGAGCAGGACGTAAAGTGATTTGGCGGGGTCCTTGTGTTGCAGCTCAAATAAAGACGGAAGTGTCAGCGGTGTGACCCCTTTCGGATGAGGTGTGTCGTCGCCGCGTCGGATAGGCGACTCATCCAAGAGCGGTCGTCTGGGTTTAACCTCGTTGCGAGATGATTTTGGAGCAGCCGGCGGCTGGTCAGATTGTCGCGGCCGAATCGTGGGCTGGGTTTTTCTTGCAGATGGTCTGCCTCCGTTAAGATGTGGAGGAGTGGTGCTAGGTTGGCGGGCGCGTGGCTGACGAGAGCAGTGTGAGGCTGGCGGGTGAACGAGGAACAGGCTGGCAGCTTCAAGAGCGATCGAACTTGGCTAGAGGTAGGGTTGGGGTGAAATAGATGGAGAGAGAAAAAGAAGCGAATGTCGAGGTTGTGATGGTTGAAAAGAGGTACATGGTACGTACCTAGGATTGGATCCGGACAGCCGCGGGGGAAAGACGGCAGCGGACTTGGCCCTCGACAGTTCGACTGGAGACTGGAGCTACCTATTGAGCCTAACTACCTAATCTACAGGGCCGAAAAGTTAGCGATAGCACTGCCCCACGTGCTGCGAGGGGGTTTTGTCCACTAAAACCCGCTCAAAGGCAAGAGACGAGCCCGCTAAAGCCCACTGAACCGGTCAGTCTGGGCGTGCATGCGCAGGGTCCAAGCGAGGCTCGTTTGTCGGTGGCTTGGTATGTGCCTTGGTGGGCATGTCTGCATGCAACAATAGTTCATACACACGTTGCGCATCAGATGCAGCTTTATCGCCCTTCTTTTTTTTTTTCTCCCTTTTATAGAAACGTCATGGTCAGTCCGCTCGGACAGCCGTTCGTTCGATATCAGCCACTCCAACGGCCATCATCACCATGCCCACCGGCTTGTCATGTTTCATGGGAATCCTGCTGAAACGGCCAGCCTAAAGAAACCAGTCTATTGCCAAAATTTGCGGGGATCCGACGTCCTGTTTTATTTCCTTGATTCTTCTGTCAGCGACAACTTACTGCAAAATCCTTTGTATTGTCTGTTACACATGCGTTTATGCGCCAAGTAGGCCCCGAAACAAATCATCAAGCTGTCATTCGCTCTGCGTCTGATGAATCATTCTTTTCAACTTGCCAACGCAAAAAGAGAAAAACGAAAAAGGATTTAAAAAAAAAGGCTACCCGGGTTCGCCCCATGTTTCGTGATAGCTGACCACAGGGGTGCCTTGCATCCGTCACCTCGACACACAGACGAGGCACCATTTGCGCGCCAATTCCCGAGACATTCACAAACCAGACAACGCTCCAATTCGCTTGCGCAAACATGTTTAATGTTGCCCTCAAACGCATCTCTTTCTCACCATGACGCCTTTCTTCTTCAGCAGCTAGATTTGCCATTCTTCCCCCCCGCCGGACCATCAACAAGCCCACCCGCCAACAAATCGGCACAGCGGTTGGACCCAGATGAGCAAGTTTCTATTGGCCCAAGCTCACACCACCACACCACAACACGATACTGGCACTGGTAACCTGTATCAATTGATTGCGCTCCGCCAAACGATTAACCCAATACCCGGCTCGCAATCCATCGGAATTCTACTAGTTCCTTGGTCCTCTCCTCAGATCCTTCTTCGACCTGCTTAAACGGGATAAATCCAAAGGCGTGATACCCGGACATGGCTCAATCGGACAATTAGTCCCGCCTTGTATGTTCAGCCGTCGACCGCGTTACGCGCATCACAATTCTCTGGTGCTGTTGCCAAGCATAAAACCGAGTCAGCCAGTCACAACCCTGGCTGGAATCTTTGAGTACTCGACTACAGGATTGTCATTGATGTATCTAGCTTATTCATGTATCAGCCGAGTCTCCTATTCAGTCAGCATCGCCGCATGGCTTCACAGCCAGCAAGCAAAGGACGACTTTCGGCATTGCCCACATCAACACCACGAGAAAATCATACTAAATGACAATATATTACGCCAAGCCAATGGTTTGCAAATAAAACTCCCTTTATGAATCGTCGCCGCTGTCGGCAAACATGTCCGCCGCCCGCATCCGTCTCCGTGGCTGCCCGGGCCCAGCTCTCGCGGGCTCCGGCTCCGGCGCCGCGCCACCGTTGCTGCTAGCTTGCCCCGTCGTCCCCGGCGCTGCCTCATCTATATCCTCGTCCATGGGCTCGCCTGCCACAGTATCCTCCTCGATTGGCTCTCCCTCTATATCATTCTCATCGATCGGTTCCCCCTCCACATCATCCTCCTCAATGGGTTCCCCCTCCACATCATCTTCTTCAATAGGCTCACCCTCCACATCATCTTCCTCAATCGGCTCGCCCTGCGCATCCGCATCCTCTTCCTTCTCTTCCGACTTTGCCTCTAGTAGCTTCCACCTTGCATCCTTGCCTTGGCCGCCCTCGCCGCCATCCTGTGCCGACTCCGCCTCCATTGGCTGCAGCGACGGCGGACTCTCGAACCGCTCCACAAACAGGGCCTGGCTCGCCGCCGGGAACGCGCACCACCCCTCCCACAGGTGTAGCACCATCCCGACACTGCGCTTCCACTTGTCTGCCCGCAGGCGCCCCCAGCCTTGTCGCTCCGCCATGCGCCCCAGCCATGCAAACGTATCGCGCGAGCGCAGCGCCGCTTCGATGAGCTGCCGGTACCGCCACGCGTGCCGCACCCCGCTCGTCGACGACGACGACAGCACATCGTTGATGACATACAGCCCAATGAGGCTCGCACCACTCAGGTCCGGCGGGCCTTCGTCGTTGCCGCCGGCGGCAGAAGAAGCCTTTTCCCGTTCGGGATTCGCTGAAGCCAGCGAAAAGGGTGTCGTGATGTTCGTAAGCATCATGTCCACCACCTCATCCACGCCACGACTAGCGTGCATAATCGCGAATGCAGTGATTCTAGCAATGTCTCCCTTTCGTAGCCTGCTCGTTGTAGTTGGCAACCGCGCCAAGAGATGCGTCAACTTGGCCTTTTCCAGCGGATTGAGGAACGATCGACCTCCTTCCTCGCCGTCGCGATTGTTGGCTTCGTCTTCCAAGTCCTCGTCGTCCGACGAGTTGTATTCCGAGTCCGACACAAACTCGTCCAGCTTCGTTGTATACTCAAATGGTAGCGGCTTCTCCGGCGACTTCCACGCATGCGCCCCGTCAAACAGTGGCACGTATTTACCCCGTTGACCGCGCGGCTGGGCGCCCGTAACCACCTCCCAGAGCCTCCAGCGCAGCCAGACGCCGCCCTCGCTGCGTGCATCCCAGAGCCACGCCCACTTCTGCTCGCGCTGGACCTCGGGCCGCGACATGAGCAGCGCCTCAAACTCAGGGCCGTGCTCCAACACGCCTTCGATGACCATGTTGATGAGCTGTATCGTCCGCACATCCTGCGGCGGCTTGACAGGCACATGTAGGATGTTTGCGCGGTTGACCGCCGCGTAGTTGGGTCCGTAGGAAGTCGGGGGCGCGAATCCGCGGTGGAAGCCCTGCTTCTGCGTGTTTTTGCTTCCCCCGTCGGCCTGTTCCACGGGTTTTGCGCCAAACGGATGTGAAGTATTCGAGGAACCCAAATTCGGCAGCACTGCAGAGCTCGCCACCGCCGAAGACAGGTGCCTGTGCAGCGCCAAGTAGTAGCCGTAGCCCATGTATCTGTTCTGCAGCGCGCTCACAGCCGCATCCATGTCCGTCGCCGGCGTCTCTGGCGACATGGTCACGATCACCACCAAGTTTTTACGCTCCGTGCCGGTGGCCGCCGGCGGCGGCAGCACCTTGACGTTCTCTACCACCAGGTTCGACGGCAGCATTGCCTTGATTGTAGCTGGCGATGTCCCCGGCGGCACATTCGACAGCCGCAGCGTCGGCCGCGCCACCGCCTTTTCCTCTTCTCTGTCCTGTGCCTCGCCCATGTCCTCGTCGTCGCTCGTCGCAAACGCCTTGCTTAGGGAAGCGCTAGCCTGCTGTTGTTGTGGCCCGCCGCGAGGGTCCTCAAACCCCATACTGCTACGATCGCGGGACGCTGGGGAGCTCTTATTAAAGTCCTGAAAGGAGCGCTTCTTGCCAAAGGCGTTTGGCGCAGGCCCCAGGCTGCCGGGGCCGCTCTTGAGACCCGACGACGAAGCGCCAAAGTGCCGCCGCGAGCCGCCTCCCCCGCCAAGGCCATGTCGAGGGGGGCCTCCTCGGCTGTTGTGAAACCCGCCATCTCGACGGGCGCTGTGGTGGCTACCATGGTTATCGCCGTCGTCGTCGGCGTCGCGGTCGAAGCTCTTGACGAAATCCTCGTACACGGCTTTTGTCTCGGCCGCCTCGCGCAGGCGTTTTGCTTCGGCTTCGGCCTTTTGCTTTTCGAAAACAGACTGCTTGGTCAACTTTTGCGTATTGGCGTCTACGTTGGGGACCCCGCCGCCGCTGCTGGCCGCGAAACCTTTGCCAGACATGGCAAGAGCTTCTATGCTCCTAGGCAAAGGCAGAAGGGCGCGTGGCAGCGTAGCTATCGTATTCGTTTTCGACTTGATTCGACCATGCGCTGTAATTATTTCGCTCGCTCTTCTTCGGTGCAGCGCTCTAGTCGTGGCTGACAGATGTGATGTTGTAAATGTGCAAGATCGCAAAGTTCCTACCAAGCTCAAGCGGCCGCAAGGTGCACACCTCAGCCCCACCACGCCAATCTACCATACAGCGTTCCAGCTCATGACAATCTTGCAGCTTGATCATAATCTATAAAATTCAGGGATGTATGGGTAAGCTTCTTTATATTCTATCTACAATTATCTACAATCTATCATTTGATTGCACAAGCTCGTCACGCCGCACATCAATCGAAAGCAATACGAATCGCCAACCGTAGACTTTGGCCTAGCAAACGCAGGCAACACAGCCAGCCGATTGTTATCTCACAGCTTCGCCGCCTCCTTCTTTGCCAGCTCATCCTCGAGAATCATGCCCGGATAGCCACCCCTACTTCCGTCCTCCGTGATGAGCCCCTCGAACCTGCCGTCCGTCTCGCGTCCCACAGCGTCGCCCTCGGGCACGTGTTTCCACTTCCACTTGTTAGCCAACGCGCCGCCACGACCCTCGATACAGTCGACGATTTTGTCGCCGAGCACGGGCAGGAATTTGTAGCCGTGGCCGCTGTCGCCCGTCGCCACAAATAGGCCCTCCCAGCCTGGGTGGTAGTCAACCAGCCAGTCGCCGTCGCGCGTGTCCGCGTACCAGCACAGCCGCGTCTCCCGCCACGGTCGGCCCTCGAGCCCGCGCAACGGCACGAGGTCCGCGAAAGCGCGACGCAGGTCGGCGTCTGCCTCGGCTGGCAGTCGTCCGGGTCCGCCGCTGCGCAGTGTCATAGGCAGGGATGTGACGATCGGCGCACGCGGCGCGGCGGGCGACAGTGGCAGCGCACGGGAGACGGTGACGGGGTTGAGGTAGCCGAAGCTGTGGCGAGCCACCTTGAGCAGCTTGGACTGCGGCGGGATGACGAACAGGCCCGAGGTGAGGTTGAGCACCACGGGCTGCTTGGAGAGCGTGTTGAGCTCCTCCTGCGTAATGTCAATGTAGCCGAGGACGTGGCCGGTGGCCTCGACGCGGCCGCGCACGTCAATCAGAGCGCCGGTCCATGCACCGGCAGCGACAAAGATGAGATCCGCACGCAAAACGTTACCAGACGCCAGCTTGGCGCCAACAACGCACTTTCCTTCGGTCACGAGCTCGGCAACTCTGGCATCAACAAAGTTGACGCGCCCCGTAGCCTTGACACGTCTGTACTGCCAGCGCATGCCCTCTCCAGCATCCGCCCATCCCGAGAGCGTGTTCAGGTAACCCCAGTCGCCGGGCCGTCCCGGCGTGCCCAGGTGCTCGCTGAGGGCCTGCGCGTTCTCCAAGACCCGGACTCTGTCCGACGGGTGCCCGGCCTCGCGCGCGATGCGTGCCACGTTGCGCCAGCTCTCCCTCGTGTAGTCCATGCCCGTCAGCTTGCCTTCCTTCCTCGCCGCCGGGCGGTCCGCCGTGAGCAGCAGACCCGACTCTGTGTAACGACCCTGTCCGCCGAGGTCGTCATCGCCCTGCTTGCGCCATTCAGCCTGCGCGACGGCCGCCAGCGCCGCGTAGTGCGGGTCGGCGTAGTCGGCGCGGATGATGCGCGACGAGTCCACGCTCGCCGAGTCGAGCGGCGGGAACTCGCCGCCGCATGCGCCAGCGTCGTCGACCACGGTGATTCGCGTGTCGGCGTACTCGGGACGCTGCGTCAGGGTCCAGGCGGTGCTGAGGCCAAACACGCCGGACCCGATAATGAGCACGGATCTGGGGATTTTGTAGCCATCCATGGTTAAAGCAAAGGCGCTGGCAGTGTCAAAGGGTCAATGAGAGAGCAGTTCATGTGTTGCCGTTCCTCACTTCGTTTCGAATATAATATATAGACCTGGCAAATTGGAGCGTCTCGGCCGGCAGGGTGTGGAAGTGGAGAGTTGCACGACCACAAGTGGCCGCGATCGGTGAGCCCGCCGCTTTGTCGAAATGGACCAACTATTCCGACGAGCCTTGCCCCGATATCCCCACGTTTTCCGAATCCACCTTGACTGGATCATGACCCAATTGTCATGTTATGCAATCACGATTACATGAAATGACACTGCTCAGAGAGCGGGGGATGTATCAAGGGCGTGCGCGGCGACATCACATCGAGGCATATGCGATTGAGGAAATCAATTAAATAGGTCAAGGCCTCAAAACGCAACACAGCAAGTCTGTTCAAGCAACGCGGCCAACGTGTTTGCCCAGTCGCAGTCTTGATCCGACGTCGCCGAGGGCCAATATATGGCGTATTAAATCAGAAAAGTTTGGCATCACAGATTGAAGAACATCTTCATCTGTTGGTTTGAATTGTTTTTCTCGTCTTCTGCCTCCACCTCCGCTATAGAAAAGCTCCGCTGATTCTCCTTTAAGCAATAATTTTGTTCTCCTCTTCAGAAGCATTAAAGCAGAGACGAGGCCATGATACGATCTTGGCCAAGAAGTCCGCAAGCAATCTATGTATAATCGTGCGATAAAAAAATCTTTGTGCTTTTGCCTTAAAACAGGACCGTTGCAAGAAAAGAAGAAAAAAGTAAATCAATAACCACCCCCGACTGTCCTTTACCAACGCCAATGCAATGCTGTGAAATCAAAATGATACAAACGGATGGTCGAGCTTGCCTGTGTCCTGGCTAGCACCGACAACACCGTTCCGGAAAAGAGGTAGTCATGGGATCGTGACCAATAGTGTAGTCATACAAGTTGAGAGCGTAGACGTAGCATCTTGGAAAGCACCAAATAGGCGCGAACCTCCACGACTGGTCCTTATTAGACCTTGCGGAAATCTTGCAACACAGGGTAAATCATCTCGAAGGCCTGGTAGATTTCTTCTCGCACTTTGGCACCGGTCAAGACAATTTTGCCGCTGACGAAAATCAGGAGCACAATCTTGGGCTTGATCATGCGGTAGATCAGACCAGGGAACAACTCAGGTTCATAAGAACTGAAATTATGATGGCGCGAGGCAAGACCCTCCAAACGAATGGGAAACTTGATGTCGCAGGAGCCGACAATGTTTTGAATCTTGAAGTCCGTGAACTTGGCGTTGAAGCCGAGTTTCTGGATGATACGAGCGTACTTGCGAGAAGCGAGCTTGGAGTCATCCTCAGACTTGGCGCCAGTGACGACCATCTTGCCGGAAGCGAAGATGAGCGCCGTGGTCTTGGGCTCACGGATACGCATGATAACGGCCGCAAAACGCTTTCCACGTGTTAGCATCGCAATGAGATATGAAAATTATTGCAGATGAAGCCTGGTAAAAAGTACCTTTGGGTTATACTCGGCATTTCTGGCATGTAGAGCAATCGTCTTTAGATCCAGGCGGCAATCGAGATTGACCGTGGCGACAATGTTCCTTGAGCGATGTGAGCCTCAGCGAACACTACTAGAGTTCACAGGGTATACATACTGCAGAGTAGGAGTAATACCGCTAGGTCCCTGAGTAGCGGCAGGGGTAGCGGCAGGCGTTGCGGGAGTCACCCCGTTTCCATTTGCTACAGGCTGACCAGGGAGGTTGGGCCGCTGAGAAGCGTCACCATTTCCGCCAGGTGGAGTGAGCTCGTTGGAGGCGCCGGGAAAAGAAAGCGAGCCAGGCGCAGTAAAGGCCTTGGCCTGGGCAGCGTTGGAAGGGTGGGTTTGAATGCCCTCCATGATGGCGCGCAGTCAAGTAGCTGTCTGTAGGCTCAAGAGCAAGAAAGCTGAGCGCAACTGAAGCAAAAGTCAGCAAGCGAAGCGCGCAAAGCAAGGGGAGAAAACGGACAGCGGCTGGTGGCGGCGCGTGCGGGGAACAAAGATGGGATGCGTACCAATCGCGGGAGATGAACAAATGAATGTCTCCCCTACAAAAATTGCTGCTCGAGCAAATAAAATGGTCCTTGCGAGACGTGGACTAGGTAGTCAACAGCGTCGTCAAGGTGGCAGTGGCAACGAAGTTGTGTATGGAAAAAAGTCGAACACAACAACCCGCAGGTATCACGTTCAAAAGGCACAACTTGGTTTAATCTGGACTACACAAGCGTGCAACGACCCAGAATCGACGATGGCGAATATCGCAAACTAGTCTTCGTCGGTAGGATCGATTGCAGGCAGAGGGAAAGGCGTGCGAAGGCGTAAAGGAACGTGTTCCAGTTTCTTTGGCCTGATCGCGCGGAGGGAGAGCGTCGCGTCCGTTTTCTAAAGGAGATGAGGGTTCGCTGATTTGCGCTCGGGCACCGGCAAGGTCGCTTCAGGGTATAATAGGTAGAGAAAGTGGTTGAAGAGACGATGTAGGTGTCGCGTGGCAGAGATGCGATGATGATGAGAAGGGAATGAGGTTGGTAGCAGACGAGGCTATCCAGAGAGGAAAAGTGGAGACGACGAGTGAGATAAACTTGTGAGGAAATGGTGACCAAACGCAGGAGGAAGGTACGTAGGGCCGTAGATCGGGACTTCCGCACTAGAATGGCGGAACAGGCAGTTGGGGGAGGGCTGGGTACTTATATTCCTCGCCTGTGGGCACCAACGCTGGGCTCCCATTGCCTCCCAGGCAACAGGAAAATCTGTGGCGCATCCTCTGGCGCAGTTCTGGGGGGCCAGGCCTGAGCTTAGCTTGGGGCCGGCGGCCACGTGAGCCAATCAGGAGCCGCAAACCTGGTGAATTTCTCTTTTCTTTTCCACCATCCAACCCAGTCCGACACTAGCAGACCCCTGAGGTACCCCAGCAACAGCCCGCCGGAGAGGATACTTGGCTATCAACATTGGAAGCTTGCGCTCAAAATCTGCCTCTGCTGGCTTCTTCACAGTGGGCAACAGCAATTTCCAGCCAACTGCAGCAGCCTGCAGCGACCTGCAGCATCCTCCGCACACTGTCCGGGCGCTTGTCTCCCCTGTGGCCCGTTTGCCCCCTTCCCCCGTATTGTGATGCGTGTGATTTACGTTGATGGGTAATCAGATTTTTATCTCCCCTTTCCTCTCAGTGGCTCTCACCAGCAACTTGCACCCGGGACCACTTTGCCCAGCCTCTCTGCATTATTACCCTCTCACACCTTTTTTCTTCTTTCCTTTCTCTCCTTCTTCCTTACCCATGATCACCTTACCAACCACCCCCGCCAGCAGCTTTTCAGTCAGTCAGCACCAGTTCACCCAACTCGACACGGACCGCGACGAGACGAGCAACGACGACGGCTACGACACCCACGATACGGCTAGGAAAATTCAAATCCCGTTGTGCCATAGTGACGAATGGCTTCTCCTCCGACCAAACTGACCAAAGACAACCAACCACTCGACAGGCGCCCAAGTTGATCTCGGGCGGCTTCTCTCACAAGCCAACGAAAACTTACCTCCCACACCACACGGGAGACACGGGTTGCCGCCTAACCAACCAGCCATTCACCGATGAGCACGCCATATTCCAAAAGGAAATAGTGGGGGCGTGAAATGGCCGCGTAACTCTGTCTTCGGGTCGCTCGCGCCACCATTCGCCCCCTTTTTTTTTTTTTTTTTTTTTTCCCCCACAGGGAGGTGGGAGGGGACAAGCTCTGAATATCCACTCGCCTCACTCCGATATTGCCCCCTCCTCCCTGCAAACCCTTGTCAGCGTCTTCCTTCGCACATGCAAAGAGACGGGATACAGTCTTTGAAACAGTTAAGGCCCCTGACTACCCGAGGGCAAAGAAGTTTTCCTTCGTCGTTCAGGCCAGGTGGCCTTTCTACGCATCCGCATCATCTTTCAGACATTTCAAACCAACGACAGCTCGCACAGAAAGCATGCGACAACAACAACAAAGCCGTGGCAAAACATGGAATCAAATGTTTGCACTGCGATTTTCGCGACGCAACGCTATAAGTAGCAGTCCAGTGCTCGCACTACGCACGCAGCGCCCGCCCGCAAAGGAAAAAATTTGACCTCCGCTGCGCCTGGTTAGTCCGGCCCTCTTCCGCCAGCCAAGGGCAGGCAAGGAGGGCCCGTCGCCCTCGTTTGCGTCTGTGAGTCATGGATTGTCCTCCAACGATACCGCGACCAGGCTCCAGCCCTCTGTGGCCTTTGATTGGCTCATCCACAAAGTACCCTAGACCTCCACCGCGAAGGTGACGCGCCAGACGTCGCATCACCTGTTGGATAACTGCCTCACGCGAATCTGCGCGTCTCACCATTTTGGTGCCTATACGAGATGCGCGATGGATTTTGTCGCTGCGTTTATTACCTATTGTACAATTCTCTTGAGTCTTTTTCCCGCCGTTGGAACGCGAAATTTGCATCGCCAGCCTTTGCCTGTAGCAGGCAAAAAAATTTGCGCCAGGGTTGCACAAGTACAGGCGACTTGCAAAATGTCTTGATCCACCAGCCCCAGTAAAATTCTGCAAGTACCTCACTAACAATTCTTTTCATTCGCAACCTCGGTGCCCGCCCGGCGCGCGAGATTGCAGACGGGCTAAACCCTGCCAGCGCTGCAGTGATCTGCTTGGCAACTGTTCAAGCGACGTCATCCGCCTGAGCTGCACCGTGTAAATCCACAGGTAAAAAAAGGCAACAGATAAGGCTGTCCTAAATTTGGCGTGCAGCAATATTTGAGCATGATTTCAGTATTCAAATCACATCGTAAGACGCTTGGAACGCAGTTTGTATTCCTTGTGCTGCATGGAATGTCAGTGAGCCACGTCGGCTGAGGACGGGTCACCGACCGCAGCATGGAAAAACCCCTCCCTGCTTCCCTTATCATCCCTTGACGGGGATCCGCGAGAAAACTTTGGAGGCCGTTTCTTGTCAGTATCGTCAGTAAATGTGGTCATCTCGTGTGGAAGAGGAGTGACGAAGCAGATTTTGACAACGGCAGGCTGATGCAAATACGAAATGTTTTGTTGTTTTTGTGCTTGTATTCTTGTCACAGCTTTTTGTGCATGTGCTTGTTACCTGATGGATATTGTTTGTCGCTACATGAGACCTTTGCCTGGTACAAGTATAAAATAAGGTATCAAACACCGGGAAAAAATAATGAAAAAAAAAAATGCAAATGCAAAGTGCAGGCTGCCTCATCCAGCCTTGCCGTCGTTTTTTTGTACAAAATGAACAAATGAGGCAGACAAAGAAACACGTGCCACACCTGAGAGCGTCGGTTGTAACGAGCGAGCTCCCTTTCTTGTTTCCTTCTACGTCATGTAATACTTGGGGCCCTCGCCACCTTGGGGCACTTGCCAATTGATGTCTTGATGAGGAGCCTTGATGTCGCATGTTTTGCAGTGAATGCAGCTGTAAAAAGGTCATGTTAGCTACCCGTCTTGCTTCCATAAAACCAAACAAGTCAGCCCGCGGCGAAGAACTTACTTTTGAGCGTTGATTTGGAAACGCACGCCGTGGGGTTTGCTCTCGTCCTCTACGTATTCGTACACGCCGGCCGGGCAGAAGCGATTCTCCAGGCCCTGGTACGCCGGATACGTCTCGTTTGTGTGGGCGTCCCAGTCCTTGACCTGCAGGTGGACGGGCTGGTCCTCCTCGTGGTTGGTGCCGGTGCGGGAGACGCTCGTGAGGATGTCGAAAGTGATTTTGCCGTCGGGCTTCTCGTACTCAATCTTCTTGTACTTATCGGCGGGCTTGGTGGCGGCGTGGTCGGGCAGCTTGTGCTTAAAGGTCCAGGGCACGCGGCCCTTGAATAGAAATGTGTCGAGTCCCGAATAGGCCAGGCCGCCAAAGAGGCCGAGCGGGCTGTGGAAGGACGGACGCAGGTTGCGCACCTCCTTGAGCTCCTTCCAAATGCTCGATTTGCGCAGCGAGTCCTCGTAGTCGTAGAGGAAGACGGTGCCCGGGTCCTCACGTTCGAGCGCGCGCCAGGCAGCCTGCGCGGCCAGAATGCCCGATTTCATGGCGTTGTGCGTGCCCTTGACCTTGGGCACGTTGACAAAGCCGGCCGAATCGCCGATGAGGGCACCGCCAGGAAAGGCTACCTTGGGGATAGACTGGAAGCCGCCCTCGATAAGAGCGCGCGCGCCGTACGAGATGCACTTGCCGCCCTCGAGCACGTTGCGGAAGAGCGGGTGCAGCTTGAGCTTCTGGAACTCTTGGTATGGCGACAGCCACGGGTTCTTGTAGTCGAGCGAGACGACGAGGCCGAGCGTCACCATGTTGTCGCCAAAGTGGTACATGAAAGAGCCGCCGTATACGTCGCTGGGTAGCGGATAACCCATCGAGTGAACGACGAGGCCCTTTTCAAACTTGGCCGGGTCCACCTCCCATACCTCCTTGATGCCAAGGCCGTACGTCTGGTGCTGGCTGTCGTGGCGCAGATCAAACTTGTTGATGACCTGCTTGCTGAGGCTGCCGTGGCAGCCCTCGCCAAACATGGTGACCTTGGCGTGAAACTCCATGCCGCGCTCAAAAGCGTCCTTGGGCTGGCCATCGCGGCCGAGGCCGAGGTCGTTGGTGGCGACGCCGCGCACGGAGCCGTCGGGCTCGTAAAGCACCTCGGCGGCCGCGAAGCCCGGGTAGAGCTCGACGCCCAGCTCCTCGGCGCGCTCGCCGAGCCACTTGACGAACTGATTGAGACTGACAATGTAGTTGCCGTGGTTGCTCATTTGCGGAGGCGCCGGCAGCGGGATGGCGGCCGTCTTGGTCAGGAAGCGCATCTTGTCGGCGCCCGCGGGCGTCGCGTGTTCGAACCGCGCCGGGTTCTCCTCATCGAGCCAGTCCGGGAATAATTCTTCCACGGCCGAGGGTTGAATCACGGCGCCCGAGACAATGTGCGCGCCCACGTCACCGGCCTTTTCCAGCACGATGACGCGAAAGTCCTCATTGCCGGCCTCATTGGCCAGCTGCTTGAGGCGGATGGCAGCCGAGAGGCCGGCCGGTCCCGCGCCGACAATGCACACGTCGACCTGGTCGGATTCGCGCTCGATGCGGCTCGGGTCAAAGGCGCCGTTGTCGTCTTCGCGCAGCGCCCGGCCTGCTGTGAAGCGTCGGATGCCGGCGCCGCTACCGAGCGAGGAGCAGGCTGCCGAGGTCCTCGACGTTCTTTTCGTCGCGGTCAGAGAGTGGGTCCGGGAGGCTGTGAAGGGCATTGTCGTCGTCGTCGTCGTTGTCGCCGAGGCGGTGGTGGTGATGCTGCGGCATATAGGTCGGCCGCCGCTAGTGCCCAGCCGGCCGCCGATGGAGCGAGCACCGCGCTGGACGCATCTCGCCACGGGAGCTGGGGCCGACATGGTTGATTTCTTGCGTCTAGGATGAGAGGATTGCTGTCGGCACGCGCGAGATGAAGGAGCCAGAAATGCTGGCGAGAGCAATTGGAGCGGTCAGGGGTCTGTGGCTTTGTCTACCAGGAAGAGGCGGGGGAGAGGCAAGTGCAAGAGGAAAAGAAGGTCAAAAAAGAAGCCCGCGGGCAATACGTCAGACTAGCGACAGGCCCAGGCAAAATGCGGGTTTACAATTGTCTGGCTAGCAATTGGCCCAGGACTTGTGGAGAAGCTCTTTTCTAGTGGTTGACGACGCTCTCTCGGCTCTCAAACAACTCTAGGACGACATTCCAACTTCCAGCACACCTCGACTGAGCAAATTGGAGATTCTGGGAGCTGCTGACAATTGATACAGTGTCTTCCGAATTTTCAGAAGCACCCTCACTCGTAGAATCTCGGTGTTCCTCTTCACGATTTCTTGTAGGTGTTGCAGCAAACAACGGCTTGCGTTTGCTGTGCCCCGGCCTAGCTTCCGATCCAAGCCGGCGCCAAGATGGTTTGCAAGTGGCCAGTGACGAGTGACTTGCCCTGTAGGCTCTTTACATGGGCCGCTTGCGGAAGATGCTCGGCTTAAGAAGTACCTCGGACATCACACCGTAGTGGCACGTGCTTCACAGAGCCGTTTCGCTGACCCACTGGGCGAACTCGGTGTTCTGGACAGACAAGGACTCCTGGTAGAAGCGGCTATCGACGCATCAAAAGGGAATTTTGTCATGTGAACTAAATCATGGGACACGGATCTGTTTTGCAGTGCTTTGTCGATGCGCAGGGCTGAAGCTAGATCGACAATGTTGTTAGTGTTGAGTTGGTGTATGATACTGACGACAGTCCGTTCACCTTGTCGACCTTTTCGTCGCGAACGTTTACACAGACGCGACCAACGACGAATGTGAAACATCGAATCTACTCCAATAACAGGCACAGAGATACCGTTCGATTCATCACTGTTTCTACTTTTGCCTTCTAGGCGTGGACGTGGCCTTTCTCGACCGGGGGTTCCTACCCTGCACTGCTGTTGTGATGGCGCGCCTCCATCACGACACACAATGATCTAAACGCGCTGCGTTCCTCAGACCGACGAGAACATGCTCTGCCAAGATGACAACTCGCGCTGTCGGGAACTCCAAACATAGTGGCTACTGATCAAGGTCCGACACACGCCGCGCGCCTCTTCTCAAGAGCACGACGCGCCGGAGACAATGCCGGCTACTTCGGCCTATTGGCCGAAACAGTGGGCGGACCTAAATGGAGTGACCCGGCCGCTCTTAGCCCAAATGGCTATTTCTCCGCCGGAGCCATAGAACTGGACGGGGCAACTGGCGACGCAATGGAGACCCCACTGTTGCGCGACTTCGCGACTTGACCAGAAGCCCTCTTTAGAAAGGCTACAGCTCACCTGTTCGTCTGCAGTGGTTACCCAGCTTACAGCGATGGCTGAGCTGGCTTATCTTGACAGAGCACCCCGGTTGACCGAGTGGTGGCATGGTACACTGCCAAATTGCCGACCCTGATTTACTCAACCAAGCCAAGCTCCAAAACTAGAAGCACAGCAGGGACAAATGTGAGGAAAAGGAACACAACGTGGGTTGAAAGAAAAAGATGTTGAGCGCCGGCAACCCGTCCCCTACTTTATTATGCAGGCCAAAATGGTCGGTGAGGGCAGTCGGCAGAAAAGCAAAGACAAACAGCGCAACGTAGACTTTTTTTTCGTTCTGCGACCCAAACATCCTTAGACCTGGATGCATGATGGCGATTTCTTGGACCCCAACTCGACCGAGAGCTTTGCCCAGTGCGGCAGCCCAAGGACGACAAAACGGACGCCCTTACGATAGTGGCGGCGGCAGCGCCTAGGGCGAACGGGAGCATCGACGACGAGATGTACGAGGCTGCACAGAGCGACGTCTTTGGCTTTTTGAGAAGGGGTAGGGTGTCGAAGGGATCCATATCTCTGTGAAGGTGGTCATATTGATGAAGGTGAACGTTCGAGTGATGACGACGAATACGAGTGATGGACAACGGCAATAAATGGGCAACAATTGACCAGTGACGAAGGCTGAACGCAGATGAGCAAGCCTGCGGCTGTGGGAAGCAGACTGACGAAAAGCAAACTGGCCTGGAAAAGAAAAGATTGTCCGAGACGCAATGCTTGCTGGCGGCTTGTCTTGCCGAATTTTTTTTTTCCAGCAGCAAGCTATGTAGTCGTGTTTTAAATTGGTGTGTAATAGACAGGCACGACAGGGTGCATGAAAGGTGCAGCAGAGTTAGACTTGCAGTTTATATATTGTCTGACTGGCAGACATGTCTCGGACCGGGTCGTCGTTTCTTTCTGCAATGAGGGAGCGCCGATGCCGCTAAAAGGACTCGGCCAATTAAGCAACCACAGTCCACAGACGACCTACGCAATTTGTTGGCAGGTTCTGAATCCTTCTCTTTGCCCACGCCACTCAGCCGTTGCAATACGCGATTCTGATTGATTGTTTTTGCCCGCTGTTGATCAATTAGCACAAGAAGCAGATCCACCACCACCACAACAATTATCTCCCAAGACACAAGCTGAGAAAGGCGGACTTGCTTCCCGGGGCCGGGAGCGGCCCAGCCAAAGACATTTACTTGGTTCATTCCCTCATCCAGCCCCGGAGGCCCGGGTCTGTTTCCCTTTCTCTCTCTCTTTCTCCTCCTTTATCTCTATCACCCAACGCCGCAATTTCCACATCTGAATGGCGGGGGAGGGGAATCATTGCTAAGTTAATTATCTGGGATTTTTTTCTTTCCTTTCCTTCTTTCCCCTTGTTCCTCTACTTGCATTCTTCGAGTCTCGCTCGCAATACGCAGCAAGGCACCAAAGAAAAATGCATGTCAATGAGAGGACACCGCTACTCCCGGGCAACCCCGGCGCAGCAGAAGCGCCACCACCACCATCATCACCCGCAGATGGCCGCAATGGCGGCGCCAAGGAGCAGAATCGCTCGAGATCGTGCCTGGATTCCGTGTTCCACGTCGAGAATCGCATTCTGCTCGCCGGATTTCTGATTTCTCTGTCGTTTAACTTTACCCAAGTCCCGTACGCACCCAGCTCCTGTAGTAAGTAGTCTTGTAAACAGAAGGCTGACTCGAACCACAAACCCACATGCAGTCTGCTCTACGTCTTTCGGCTGATGACGTGCAACGCCTACTACGATCACCACCCTCCGTATACCGGCGACGGCGACCGATGCGCGCGCAACGAAATTGCCGCCGGAACGGCAACGCAGTTTAGTATTCTCGGTATTACGACAACGCTTTGTGGTGAGTGCGACGACTTGTTCCTTCTCTTTATTCGCACATGTGTGGATAACTGCCTGCAACCCATCGGTCGCTGACGACATGTCGTCTCAGGAACTGTGAATCTGTTTGTTGCCGGATGGGCCGTCAAGAAATGGGGTGCAAAAACGGCAATCCTCTTCCAGACGTTTGTGCCGGCCGTCCGTGTCCTCGCGCAAATCATTGGTGTCATGGCCGGCAAGACACTTGGCATGAACATCATCCAGGCCACGCAGCTAATTACTATATTCGGTGGCCCTTCGGGCTACATGTACGTTGTGCTCACCGCGCACCATGCGCTGATGCATGATTACTGACATGTTCAAGCCTCGTCATAAACATCATTGCTGGTGAGGTTGTCTCCCCGATGCGTCGCACCGCCGTCTTTGGCATGTTGCAGGGATGCTTCATGCTGGGACAGTCGTTGGCCAACTTTTGTAAGTATCACTCACACACAGCATTGCCCCATTTAGTACTGCATCAAGGCTAACGGCAGCTCAGCTGGCGGCTTGCTGGGAGATACACTCGGAATTCGAGCACCATTCGACGTGGCCTGCGGCTTCTTTCTCCTATCCTGCGTCTACTGTTTCGTGTCTCTGCCCTATATACCACCGCCTCCCAAGCCCAAGGCCAACGAGCGTTCTGCCGGCTTCCTCGAGCCATTGCGTATATTGGCGCCTCAAAACCTGCGATTGGCCAGCGGCAAATTTACCAAACATTACGGAGTTGTTTTCCTCTGTGCTGGTATCTTTCTAGGAGTGGTACGTCGCAGCCCATCTCCTGTCTGGATAAGCGATCCGAGCTCTGACATTTTTCTGTGCAGCTGGCCACCGATTACGCCCCTCTCCTGATTCAAATGTATGCCACGGCTGCCTTTAACTTTAACCAAGCGAGCAATGGCCTGCTCATGTCCGAGTTTGCGCTCATGCGAGGCATCTTTCTCTTGGTCATTTTTCCCCGCGCCATCACGCTCGGCAGACGATTATTGGCCTCGAAGCGGGCCCGCAGCATGCAGCAGCCTGCGAGGGAAGAGGGCTATGGCACTGATGGAACACTGACGCCCGACTCATTACCGACAGACCCGCGAGAATTCGACTCGAGCATGGGCACGATTCCAAGCGACGAGCCAGTGAAGCCTGCGCGATCAAAAGAGGAAGAAGAACTGGACCCCCAATTTGACTTGACCTTTTTACGCTGGAGTCTCATTGTTGATGGTGGCTTTACTATGGTAGCAGCATTTGCTACGAAACCATGGCACATTTATTTGGGTATGTCTGCGACGCATTTGCCGTCTTCCTCTGCTAATCAATCCCTCACTGTAGCCGCATTTTTGCTGCCTTTTGGATCGGGATCTGCGCCGGCCGCCAAGGGCGTCATCACATCCATGTGCCCCGACTCGCAACGCGCGGATGCTCTCAACGCCGTGACTCTAGTGGAAAATATTGCGCGTCTGTCCACACAAGGGCTGTTTGGATTTGTATTCGCCGCACTCGCCAAAAGAAGGGAGGCGTATGCGACATTCTTCTGCAATGCTGTACGTATCGATGACCTTGGGCATATGGGCTGGTCGCACTAACATGATGCTAGGCAATTGCTGTCGTTGCCACGAGTGTGTTGCTGCTCTCTCACTTCCCACCTGATGGTAGCGTCATTGTCGAAGCCGATTACGAAGGGGGCGGGCCAGTCGAAGAAGAGTAATGGAGAATAGGCGAGGGATTGGCTCGGACGGCTGCCGCTACGAATGGTCCGCATTCACAATGTTGGGGCCCATTATTGTACATAATGTATAGATTTATAAAAGGGCTGGATGTGACAGGATGGCTTTTCGGGATTACTTTTGATAGGCCCTTGGACGCCTTGTTGGCCTTTCGGGATTACTTTTGATAGGCCCTTGGACGCCTTGTTGGTCTTTTCAGGGCGAGTGGAGGCAGTGGGCCACATGAGAATGACTGTGGATGTCGACCTGTTGATCAGGCAGGCGTGGCCGATGCTGGAAGCCCTTTTTTTGCCCATTACATTTTGATTATCCTGCAATACCAAGTAATAAAGAAGGCCTCGCTGCATTCGTTAGCCAGGCTTCTTTCGCCACCCATTATCGAAAAGAATCACTTGCGCCGAGGTTGTTGATGGAGAAAAGCGGGACCGGAGATTGAAGACGGACTTGTTGCTGAACCAAAGAGCATCTCTTGTTCTCTTTTACGCTCATCCTGCAAGTTGACAAATGTCCGAAAAGCCCTCTCTTTATCAAATATTACCAGCAATATCGGTGACGGGCACCACCAATTGCCGTCTCTTCCACACACGGCAGGCGTCGGCACCACTCTGCATTGAAGTGGAGTGAGCTACCCCCAGACCTCTCGCGACTTCCCCAGAATCGAACTCCGCGGAGTCGTATCAGTCGCCCCCCGCCTCGAGGTACTTGAGGGCTCACGCTTCCACCTCCTCTTTCATCAATTGTTCAACGATTTCGTCATCATCAAACACCATGGCGTCGGCTGAAGCATCGCAGAAGAAGCCCGTCATCATTGTCGGCGCAGGCCTCGCCGGCCTCGTCGCCGCGTTTGAGCTCGCTGAGCGCAGCGTGCCCACCATTATCCTCGACCAGGAGAACCGCGCGAACCTGGGCGGCCAGGCATTTTGGTCGCTCGGCGGCGTCTTCATGGTGGACTCGTCGCGGCAGCGCCGGCTCGGCATCAAGGACTCGCGTGCCCTCGCGATGCGCGACTGGTTCGACTCGGCCCAGTTTGACCGCGAGGTGGAGGATTACTGGCCGCGGCGCTGGGCCAAGGCATTCGTCGACTTTGCCGCCGACGAGATGGAGGCGTATGTAGGCGCCCGCGGCATGGGGTTCGTTTTCAACGTCGGCTGGGCGGAGCGCGGCGCGGGGCGCGCTGACGGCCACGGCAACTCGGTCCCGCGCTTTCACCTGACGTGGGGCACAGGGCCTGAAGTCGTCCGCGTCTTTCAGGAGCCGGTTGTCGCGGCGGAGAAAAAGGGAAGTGTTGTATTTAAGTTTAGGCACCAGGTGGACGAGGTGATTACGGACGAGAGCGGGAGGGCGATTGGTGTGAGGGGAAGCATTCTTGAGGAGGACGATTCGGCGCGTGGCATCAAGTCGTCGCGCAAGGTCATTGACAGTTTTGAGATTTTTGGCTCCTCTGTGCTCGTTTCATCCGGCGGCATCGGTGGAAACGTGGAAGCAGTCAAAAAGGCCTGGCCAGTCGATCGCCTGGGACCCAAGGTTCCTGAGCACTTTGTCGTCGGCGTCCCTGCGCACGTCGACGGCCGCATGATTGACATTGCCGAGACGGCCGGCGCCAACGTCATCAACCGCGACCGCATGTGGCACTACACGGAAGGCGTGCAGAATTGGAACCCTATCTGGCCCGGCCACGGCATCCGCATCCTGCCCGCGCCATCATCCCTCTGGCTCGACGCGACCGGCAAGCGGCTGCCGCCATTTCTCTTTCCCGGCAGTGACACTCGCGCGACGCTCAAGCACATTTGCAGCACTGGCTACGACTATACCTGGTTCATCCTCGATCAGACCATTATCGCGCGCGAGTTTGCGCTGTCCGGCTCGGAGCAGAACCCCGACATTACCAACAAGAGCATCTGGCAGACGCTCACGCAGCGCATCTTTAGCAGCAAGGGCACTGTGCCCGTGCAGAATTTTCAAAAGCACGGCAAGGACTTTGTTGTGCGCGACACGCTCGAGGAGCTCGTCGAGGGCATGAACGCGTTGGCGAAAGAGCGCAACGGCCCGGCGCTCGATATCGCGGCGATGCGGGAGGTTATCGAGACAAGGGACAGCCAGTTTGACAACCCATACAGCAAAGACGCGCAGGCCATGCTCATCCACAACGGGCGCAGCTACTGGCCTGACAAGCGTAGCCGCATCGCGCCGCCGCACCGGCTGCTCGACCCGGCGCACAAGCCGCTCATTGCCGTGCGCATGAACCTGCTCACGCGCAAGTCGCTCGGCGGCATCGAGACGGACCTCGACAGCAGGGTGATGCGCGCCGACAAGACGCCGTTTCCAGGGCTCTACGCTGCGGGCGAGGCGGCGGGCTTTGGAGGCGGCGGTGTGCACGGGTATAATTCCCTCGAGGGCACCTTTGTGGGAGGGTGCATCTTTTCGGGGCGTGCGGCGGGCAAGGCCATGGCGGACGAGTACGAAAAGGCGTAGGGGATGTGGAGGGTCGAATCATGTTTGTAGTGTATTCCTCCCAATGCACATATGAATAAGGAACAATGGTGTTTTCTTTTACGCCGACTTGCGTACGAATGTACGAGAATGTGTGTATATGTGTGTGTGTACATGTGTGTGTGTATATGTGTGTGTGTTGATCATGGTTGTAGCGCATACATCATTACCGGCAGCAGCCGTGCCTTGCCCGTCTCCGGCAGCCCGCGTTGAGGTTCCTCCTTGACAATCCTGAGCCCAGCTCGCTGAAAGATGCTCTTCCAAGTCTCTTCGTGTCTGCATCATGGTCAGTCCCCCCCCTCCCCACGTTGCCCGGCATCAACACGTCCAAAACGATTCACGCACCTTGTGACGCAGCTATCCACCGGATCAAACACATCCACGCCGCTCGTGCTCAAATTCTCCTTGACCACAATCACGCCCGTCCCCGGCACCAGTGCCTCTCTGCACCGCTCCAGAAAGCGCCCGAGCTGCTCGTCCGTCAGGTGGCCTAGACACCACTGCGTCCACACCAAGTCGTACCTCGTCGTCCCGTCGTCGTGGTCGTCGTGGTCGTCATCATCACCCCGCCAATCCTCCAGCCCCATGTTGAAAACACGCCGCACACCCTTTTTGCCGCGCAACGCATCTGTGAATTTGGCAATGGGCTCCACGACGTCGACGTGTTCTGCGACATTGACCAGTAAGCCGTTTGTAATTCTTCCAATCCTGTGTTTTTTATTTTAGTCGAATCGAGGAAAAAAAAAAAAGACCAATGGTGGAGAGGAAACCGGTAATGGAGGGGGGGGGGGGGACAAGTCATACCCGGCGCCGCCTTCGAGACAGTTTGACACTTTGCGGCTGCGGCTGCCACTGCCGATGCCGAGACGCGCGAGAAAGGTGCGCGAACCTTGTAGGTCGACGCGCGAAATGGGACCAAAGATGGCTGGCACGCCGCCGAGCATGCCGTCGACGTCGGGCGTCGCGTTGCGCCAGTAGGCCAGGCCGTCGTCCTTGCGGATGAGGCTGTCCGGCTTGGCGGCGGCGGCGGCGACTGGTTTGTGTGCAGACGACGTCATCCCCGGAACCATTACACAAGCTCAATTACGAGAAACAATTACCGCAAAAGACCTCCCAGAACATTTTTTTTTTAAAAAAAGAAAAACCCGTGGGATGGTGATTGCACCGGCAGCTCTTGACAAATGTGAAACTCGTCAACCCATTTCCAGACCGCCGCCGCAGAGGGAGAATAAAGCTTATTATTTCTGGTCCCCTCTGTAAAAGACCCCACGCGATTCATCCCTAATTGCCTGCCCTGTAGTAATTAATGGACGGCGCGCTATTAATTATGCTCTTTTCTAATTAAACCAAGCTGCGGGATCGAGCTTGTATTAGGTAGGTTCCTTCTATACGCCATGTCTTGGGGGCCAAAAACCAAGTGCTTACACTTGAATATAGATGTGCTTTTTTGACAGCCGAGGGGGGCGACGACATGCACAACTTTCTTCTGTTATTGACCTGCCGTCAGTCCTGGGCATCTGGCTTGATACAATAAAACCACGACTGTGTTTAACAGATTGAACATCTCGATTATTGCTTCGACAAAGATTTGGACTGAAAAAGGAATCCGGTTGTTGTACGTCGCACAAAGAGAAACTCGGCTGCGTAGCATTTTCTGCATTGGTGGCCCAATTGTATCTCGCAGGTATCTTTCTGAACCAGTATTCACAGAAAGTACGCAGCGCACATTGATCAAACTGCACGTAAAAATGTATATCATTTTTTGCTATTTTCCATCTCAGCTGTACGTACAACTAATCCTGCATGATGCTCTTCCCCATATGAAGCCATTTCAATCTAGCAAATACAGGCTACACCGATTCGGTCCAACAGTAACATCAATATCATGTGAGCCTTTCCAATACAATCCTCGACAGCGCAAGCAAAGTCATAGGAGCCATAAACTTGTAAACAACATGAATTGCAATCTCTCCTTGAGCCAAGGATGCAATATTCTTTCGCTAATGCTTTTCTTTTGGAATCCTTCCGCAAAAACAATGCAACACAATGCAAAAAGAGTCATGCCAGAAAACGAGAAACAACATAACCATCCTTAGAAAAACAAAATGCCACCGCCGCAGAAAAAAAATGAACATCGTAATCCGTAACACATATGTGTAGTGAGAAATATACCGTATTTTAACAGCCTTGAAAATGAAAAAAACATTAGGTCAAAAAAAGTAAGCAAGTTTTTGATAGCCAAACGTAAATATTCGATTTTTGCCACGGCCTAGGTGGTGTTGTCGGTTGTCGCACCGTCCTTGTGCCGTCCTTGTACGTATAATGTAGTGGGTATCATAGTTTCGTTTTCGATTGCAGAATGGCCTCGTGTCGACTATGGCCCTTCTTCAATCATGCGTACTTCAGCCTCGTTGAGCACTCTGCGCGTACCGAGTTCTTCCGGAGGAACGCCATCACGAATGGCGCCAAAATCCAAAATCTACCAAATTGTTAGTGGTCGCTTCAAATCCAACACCAACATCAAAACATACCTCGACATAAGTCAAATCACCACGCTGCACAGCAGCTACGCATCGTCTCTCGTCAAACTTGACTTGCCACACACCGCGCAGGTCAGTCAACAAGTCCTGCACCCATTCGCCACTGCGAATATCCCACATCTTGACCGTCTTTTCGCTACCACTAATAACCTTGCGACCGTCGTGCTGAAAACATGTAATGGCTCCAGTGTGCGCCATCAGCGTATGTCTACACTTGCCATTTTCGGGATCCCAAATGCGCAAAGTCGAGTCTGCCGCAGCAGACACAAGACGCTCGTCGCGCAAATCGAGGAGTCCAACAAGCATATTGTGGCCTTCCAAATTGTACAGACATGCCCCCGTGTCAAGGTCCCAGATCTTGACAAACGAGTCCATTGAGCCAGATATGCAACGGTTACGTTCGTGGTCCAACACTACTGAATAGACCTTTTGTGCGTGTCCATGCAGTACATGCACAGCTTGGCCCGTGCTGATGCGCCAAACTCGCACAGTGCTATCGTAAGAACCAGACACAAGGGTGTCACCATGCGCGGCAATGGCGCGCACCGAGTGTGTGTGGCCAGCGAGAACTCTGATAAAGTACGGACAGTCGGATTCCTGTGCCGGCGGCCCAGTCTGGATGTAGCGTCTTGAACCAACCTCGGGCAGCCTCCAGACACGGAGCTGGCTGTCTCTGGATCCGGTAATGATCAACGGCTTCTCTGGCTGCATAATGGGCCTACCATCGTGGGTGCGGCCAGTTTCCGCAGGCATGAGAATTTGTAAACAGCGAACGGTACTGGTGTGACCGTAGAATACCTGCTGACACAAGCCTCGCTCAATATCCCATACTCGAACTGACCGATCCGTCGAGCCAGAAACAAGAATGTTGCCCTCGTACTGTAGAGCCCATACGCCACCTTCGTGTCCCTCGAGTTTCTTCAACAGCTTGCCTGTATGTGTATCATAAATATGGATCAGGGTGTCGTCGCTTCCAGTAATAATCTTGTCTTCGTCGAATTGCAGGCAGGTGATGACGTTGTTTGGATGCGCAGCAAATGCCACATGTTTAGGCTTGACTTTTCCGCTCGTCCAACTTTGGCGAATCATGTGATGACGGCGGTACAGAGACTTGTAGAGGTGCAGCTGTCGGAGGCTGGGCAACCCGAGCTGGGGGTCTGGTACGACTGAAGCAGCAGCGTTGGCCGCAGAGATGGGCCCTTCAGATTTGTGCTGCTTCAACCCCAACTCTGCTCTGTCGTCCCGAGAGGTAGCCGCATCGTTGGCATGAGCACGACGTTTCGATCGTTCGGCCGCAGTGTACACATTAATGCCTCGCTTTCTTTTTGCACCCCGAGTCCGGTAAAGCTTCTCATTCTTAACAGAGCGAACGAGATCCCGTTCGGAAGAAATGAGGCGGCTGTGCATGCTCAAATCGCGCTCATGGCCTGTTGGGCCGGCTGGGTCCTGCCAGCCCCATCCTTGCGTAATTGCCTTGCCGAGTTCTCCCAGTGGTAATGTAAAGCCGTCAGACTCGAAAAGTTCTTTCCAGCCAGTTTCGTTGCGATCGACAATGTTGCGCCAATGCCTGGAGACCTGAGCGGCACGGCAAAGATCGCGGTAATCGAGATAGGCCAATACGTTGTAACCAAGTTCAAGAGGGAGCTGCTTCAGAAAATCGCACTTCAGAGCTGGATTCACGGTATCAGCAATAACACGGAGCGTTGGCCGAGGACAGCGTCGTAGAAATTGGTACATCATAAACGTCTTCATCTCTGTCTTCATGGAATCGAACGCCTCCAGCAAGGACTGGGTATCAACCTGCAAGGGGGCGCGAGCGCGTCCCACTTCGCGACAGTCATTGTATACGTAACCCATAGGCGCAAGCTCCATGGAACCCATGTCGTCGGTTGATTGAGTGGCAGGAAAGGCGGAGTGATTGGAAGCATTGAAAATTGGGACTTGACCGTTATTGGTATCATCGGCCGCAGCCGGTAGTGTTCCGGCAGCCAAGGTGGGGGACAGTCGAGGACTCGGCAAGCTAGCATCTTGGGCGGCTACAATATCAATTGATGGTCGTTGATGTATGCGAATCGATCTTTGAAGGGACTCGTCGTTATCTCCAAAGGGCTCGGCATCGGCATCAGTTATGGGAGGTGTCGCCACGTTGCTGCTGAATATTGTGTGGGCGTCGCTTTCTGCGGGGCTGGCGGCATCGTACTGAGGCTGGGTCACGGGAGTTGTCTCTCGCGAATCTTGCACAACATCCAACTGACGACCCTTGCCCTTGGCAGGTCTTGATTGTGATGGTCCCAAGATGGCAGACGTATCCGGGGTAGCAAGGAACCCGGTATTGGTGTTGGCGCGAGATCCATCACTGGGCTGTCGGCGACTAGTAGCAGGCTGTAGTTGAGCGGCAGATCGACGAGCCCTATCCGACACGTGGTGAGAGCGGGAGGAGGATCGGGTCTGGCGGGTGGTGGAAGGTTTGACCTCTTGAGGTGCAGAGGTGGAGGACTCGGCAAGGGAGGGTCGGGATTGTCTGGTGCGGCGAGTGATGTGCTCGTGAGGGGAGACGGAGAAATGCCGGCTGGAGCGGCGAAGGGGAATCGGTTCTTGGGAAGAGGGTTGCTGCGGCTCCGAAGTAGGACGTGCATATCTGGCACTCTGCCGATGAGTATACTGACAAGAGAGAAGGTTAGTGTACAAAGGCCGCGAATGAAATGGTGAAACAGGGATTGCTTGCGTACGGGAATATGGCTGGCAGACATGGCGGCGTCGTCGTCGGCCTCGGACTTGACATGCTGGACCTGCTCGTCGTCTTCATGGGCCTCTTGTTTAAAATACTCATCATCATCGAGCTGACCCGGGTGCGTCAGGTAGAAGCCTGCCAACTCCGGGGGAGTCGGCTTCATGGCCAGAGGGTACTCCCTGGTGTCGAGAGTGGACAAGGGCGTAGGATCACGAACAAAGACTTGCGGAAATTTCCTAGTGAGGCGAGTGGTTGTTGTGACGGTCTTAGTTTCGACACATTCGCTTACATGAAGCTGAAAGTGATGGGCACCCTGCTGGCTTGGAGTCTCGACCATATTGACGGCAAGCGTCTGGGTATGGGCACTGCGCGGCCGGCGTGCGTCGAGAGCACGGGATGGACCGGCGACCGACGGCGACGACGAGGATCTCATGCTGCGTGGCGGCAGAGTCGAGCAAACTCATTCACAGCGGGTATTGAAGCGTATTGGACAAGGCTTGAGGCGCCGGGAGCCGCGCAGGCAGGCTAAAGGTTCGGTTGGCGAGAGTGACCGTCGTAGGCTGTTTTTAGTGGCGTTGAGGGGAGTGGTCTAGAGAGATAATGCAATGGCCATCAAGCCAACACACAAGCCTAGTTGCTAGCGGTAGATGGTGCGCGACGAAGAAAACAAGGCAGCGCGAATAGACGCGCCAGAGGACCGAAGTGACAGGGAGGGAGCGTCGGAGGTCAAGATGCGTCGGTAAAAAAGGTGTTCATCGGAGAGTCGGGGGTTTGCAAAATCGAGGAGGCGGATTGTGGGCACAGACAAACGGAGGTTGCTGGCTGACTGTCCGTCCATTCAGCCATTGCTGCTTGCAGGAGCAGGCGCTGGGCCAGGTCTGACTGGGATTGGGACTGAGTGCAGGCTGCAGGCCCAACCCAGCACAGACAGAGGTACATGGTCGGTGCGGGCAAACTGGCGCTGTTGCAAAGTAATTTACCGTTGATGCTAGGAAATTTCGGGCGCTGCTAACCATTGCTGGACATGGCATGGGGAATGCATGGCAGGGAGATGGGAGACAAGAGGAGCAGGCAAGGGGCTGCACCAGTCCAGTGAAGACTGAACGCAGAAGGATGGCCGCGAGAGTGGGCTTGGCTTGATGCAAGCAAACGGGGTAACCGAAGACACTGAATTTTAGTGGGCTGCCTGTCTGCCCACGCACCACGCTGCCCTCCAACTCTTGCCATGCCATGCAACCAATCAACCATGCAACAGCAAACCACAGCCCGACAAGCTGACAGTCGCTGCCACGATGGCGTGGATGGCCAAGTGCGCCGCATCAAGGAGGGGTTGTCCCGACTCCCTACCCAGAGGCACCTAGATACCTACCCGACCAGGTATGTCAGCTTGTGTCCTCGCAAACATCCCTCTTTGTAGACTTCTTCTTTCTGTTCGAGATGAATCAACATTCCAGAATGGTGCGAAAATCCATGACTAAACATAATTTAACAAAGAAAATAATGACTCGGCACGTACTAAGGTAGTGAAAGAATTTTCACAGACCAAGCACTCTGCCAACCCGGAGGGCGTCGTGTGGAGCCAGGTCCTTCCCTTGCTGCCCGCAAGTGCCCTAGGAACACCTGAATTGCGCTGGGCACGTCCTGCAATTTACAGCGCATTCTACTCCTCCCTTCCACCAAAATACAGCCCTGACTACCTAAGGTAGGTAGGTAAGCATCAGGGTGACAAAACAGACCGCCGGTAGCCTACTACGCACGGCAAAGTGTCAGGCGAAATTTTCAAGCTTTAACACGCAGTAAAAATATATAATAAATCTAGTAAATTTATGTACTCTAACTTCTATATTAAAATAGTATTCTAAGGACTGATAACGAGTTGTGGTTTAATTCTAATGTTTGGAAAAGTGAGTATTCTTAGCTATACCGGCGATCTGTTTTGTCACCCCGTTGGTAAGGTAGGTAGCCAGCCACTGCATTCATCCCACCCGCCCACACGCTGTTGACCTGTTAGTCTGCCAGCTGGCACTTGCCGCTGCAGCCATCCGAGACCACTTGACACTTGACCATCAGGATCATGCAAACCCTCTGCATCAACCAGCCAATCCTCCCTCCTACCGTACCGATACAGCACATACATGCGCGTGCGCAAGCTTTGTGTGTTTCGATAAAGCTGCTCCCCTTCCGCCGACACGCAATCAATGATAGAAAGAACGCCCATCTCGTGATGTCTGCATACGCCACGGCAATCTCCCCAACGCCAGCATCACGACGACCGTCCCGATACTAATTCACGGTCTGGGCGCCGAACGCTTATGTTGGGATCGGACAGACATGGAGGAAAACCCAAACCCGTGCCAGCCCAGACTGTTTCTGCGTCAGGACATCAAGGGAACAACACAGATAAAGCAACCCTTTGTCTCGCAGGCAGCACTAGCACTAGTACTCACACCCAAACCTCCGCCGTCTCGCGCCGCCGTCTGTGTCGCCCGACTCGGTCCGAACGAGAACATCCAAACAAGGGAATAAGAAAATATCTCCAGAGACCCCTCTATCATGCTCCCACAACCAGCCCATTATCATTATATGGAGATGAAGCCCGTCATCTGCCACCCGACTGTACTTGATACAGCTCATGGGCTCTTTGCCTTTGGGGTTCTAGGTAATGACTGCCAAGGATGGGCCTAGTTCATCTTTGTTGGCTGGATTACCTTGACACCATCACAGCACGCCCTCGTCTGCAATCCATTTCTGACAAAGAAAATCCACCGACCATGCTTGGTAGGCGCCTGCACTGCTCAGCCTGCTGTCTTGGATGACAGCGTCGAAACAAGGGCCTGCTCAATCCGGACTACGGAGCGGCCTCGGTTTGGCGCCGAGCTATAGTGCGATGGCGCTGCATTAGCCTGACGACAAGGCGGTTTTGCCTTGCACCATCCCGTCGCGTCGCGTGCAAGGGTGCCAGCAGGCTGGGTGCCAGGAACGGAAGGTTTTGGGAGCATGGCGGAGAGGCTTCCCCGCACAGCGCTACCGCCGGTCATGTTGGATCCGTGGCCGTGATTTTTCAATTTCGACTTGAGCCTGTGCTGCTCCATAATGCGTGGCTTTTGCCGTCGAGACTGCGCTCCTTGGCAAACAGGCTCCAGTCATGACACTTATAAGACCCCCAATATCCCCTGCCCCGAAGATAAGGTGTTGTGTGGGCTTGTAATCAATAATTCTCATGGTCATCGACGAGCGCTCAGTCAATGCTTGGCGCACACAGCTCTCTGCACTCGAGCTGCAGAATCACAGCGGCACCAAGCATGCAGTCACGCGAATGCTCCCCTTCTTGCTCTTCTACTTAGGCCATGTAAACTCTCCCGCGTAACATGATCCATTTTCCGCGATCCCATGTCCATGCACAAGTTTTATTAGTCGCTGTACGATACCCCTCACCTGGTTGCGAACATGCCGAGTCGTCGTAGAAAGCTCCCGAAAGCCCCCACCAGTGGTGATGCCACCAATTGGTAATGGCAGAAATAGTTATGGCAGAGTTGCGGTCTTGCTCCTCCCTATGCTGGCGCATACTATGATGGGCCTCGTTTACGCAATTTTACCTATTTCTCATGAGAACAGTCTATAGTGGGGTTATACGTGTTCTCAATGGTGAGCTAGAACACAATGTAACTAGTGAAGACACATGTTTTAGTTGAAACTATATTCTGCAGAAAACAATCGCCATGCTCTTATGCCAAAAATTCCAGTCATGCCAAAAGTCCAATCTTATGTCAGCTCATCAGTCTATGTTATGTATACGGGCACGCGGCTGCCGAGGAGCTCACTCTTGGGCAGCTGCACGTCCAACTTGTCGAAATCATGCAACATCAGCCAGCAAATCATTCGAAACACCAGCGTGCACCAAATATCGTCATGTGAGGCCATCTGCGCCGCGAGCGGCACCCAGCTTTTTTCGCCTTTTGCCGCGCTAGCAGCCACGCCGTTGCCGTCTTCCGCTTCCTCATCTCCGACGTCGCTGGCCACGGCCACATCGGCGTCGCTTTCGCCGTCGGGAGCCGCCGCCGTTGGGGCATTGTCAGCCGCGAACCCCCCGGTGGAGGAGCCGGCGCGGCTGGAGCTCGGGCGCGGCGCCAAGCTGTGGCCCCGCGAGATGCTCCGCGCGCCGCGCATGCTCGGCAGGCTCCGCGGGCGTGTCCGTGTCAGACTCGCCCTACGACTCGTCGAAACAGTGGCTTTTTCCACGACGCGCGGGCGCACCACTTCAAAATACACGTCCATCAGAAGCTGCTGGCGCTCATCCGGGCTGGCGTCGTCTACTTTGCTAAAGGTGGGTGGTGGCGCAGTGCGCAGCCCAACTCTCTCACGCGGCCGCGACTGCAACGGTGAGGTGGGGGACTGGTTGGCAGGATGAAGTGGCAGAGACTGCGCTTCAGCCCGCTCGTCCTGTTCGTTAAGCAGTCGGAGAACCTCTTGAAAGTGAGAGCGCAAGACATGTTGCACCGCCTCCCGACGCATAACCTGTCGCGAAGTCTCGCCTTGGTCATTGGAGTAGACCAACTGAGGTACAGCAAAATGACTAGCATTCGGGGTCTCCCCATACGGTTCCATCGAATCCTTGCTCTTTGCAGTCAAAATTTCGTCTGCAGCATCAATGGCCATGTGCAAGACTCGGAGACAAATCAGGCGCTGGGCACCGTCCTTTTCCCAGTAGTGCTCCAAAACTTCCTCAACATGGTGACGAATAGTTTCGACTATAATGTGATTGCGCGTGGTGCTGACGTCTGCATCAAAGTGCACGTTGAACGCTTCCAAGAGCTTACGCAGTGAGAATGAGCGCTTGTCGAGGCTGTACGGTGTCGGGTTCGGGATATACGTAAAGCTGCTGTTGTTGATGTGGAAGTTTTGGCTAAGCATGCCGAGCATTTCAAATGCAATGGGGAAAATGTGCGACGTGCGATGGCCGTCTTCCAGAAAATAGTTTACTGCATTCGTGTTGCACCCAATCACCGTCAAGCTCTCTGCCAGCTCTCGCTCGCGGCCCATTTGCAGCGAACTGAGATTCTCCGGCATGTCACTCGGTACTTTGAGCCGGCTGTGATCGATGGTGTCGCGATATATCGTGGGCACGTAACCAAAAGCAAGCTCCTTGACGTAATCGACAGGAATCACTCTGTTGCGTTCAAAGGTGGACTTGCCGTGGACTTGCAGCGAAAACACAATTCCCAAGTCATTTCGTTCGCCCAGAACAAGAAACCCGTTTCCTTCAGCCCAATATCGATCGCGACGTCGGTCGAATTCCTTCCAGTAAATTCCCAGCACAGCAAGCATTTCAATCATGTGGCACATGGCTGTGGTAGCATATGGTTTCGTCATGGACGGTGGCATGGTATCCCAGCTCTTCCTTTTACGTTGCAGGGCTACCGTCAGGGTATGATGCTCTCGAAGCGATGGGGGCGTGCTAGACAATCCGTACTTTGCCGTCGGCGATCCGGGAGGGGGATACTGGTTCTTCTGCCACTCGCGCGACTCAGCTTCCATCCCCTGAATGGCGTACAGGAGCACCGACCACGATACCCGCTCGTTGTCTGCAGTATGAACACGATCCTTGGCCGATAGATTCTTGTGAGGGTCCTGCTCAGGCGTAGTCCATGTGTCTTCCATGCTCTCGCGCGTGCCATCCAGAAAATGTATTGGGGCATCAGGAATCGGGCCGCGCTGGTTGAGTGGAGGAGAAACAAAGATGACGGGTGCATCATACTGCACCTCGTATCGAAGCTCTTCCCAAGAGAAGCGTCTAGTCTTGGTTTTGGCCCAGCCGCCCATGACCTTTTCATTGCACTGCGAGTAGCCAGCGGCGGAGGCGTAGTACTGCTGGAGAACCTGCATAAACGTTGCCGTCAATGCAATCAGGGAGATGATGAGAGCCACAATGGCTACGTTGACCTCTGAACTCGGCATTTTTGACTCGTTCGTTTTCGTTTTTCCGCTCGAGGTTCGATGGCCGCTTCCCCTATCCTGAGCGCCAGCAGCTGTCCTGGACAGCTCCGGTTTGTCGTAGCTGCAGCCAACACTGGAGCACCCGTTTGGTTCGGGCAAGTCGAGAACCTCTAGCGAGGGCTCAGAGTAGTTGCCGGCGCATTTGGAAACAGTCGTAACTGCAACAAGTCTCGGGTACTTGTCACAATTGCCCCAAAGGACAGAATTGGGAGAAGCTGACTGTTGCTGCAGCTGTGTGGGTTCTGGGTGGCCCGGCTGGCTTCCCGAGCCGCTTCACTAGTCAGACCACTTCAGCCTCACGACGGAGAAATTAGCCCTTTTGGATGCTGTGCATCCCGGTGGTTGACAGCTGAATAAAATCAGCATCACTGGCGATGAATACCGAGCCAATAGAACCCGGGCGGGGATTTGTGGTGCGATAAAGAATGCTATGCTACAGTTTCGACTCACCCAGGGTGTCAGGGTAGCATCGGACCAGTTGAGGGGGCCCTGAGGCAGGATCGACCACTCCATCCTACCTGATCGGCTAACAACGCTGCGTAACCAGCACTAGTAATGACTACTTGCGCTCTCTTGAATCGTCGTGAAGGCTATCTGGACATGTTGATGGATTCTTCTGTTGAACAATCTACTCAGCGTCAAAGATGCTCGTGCGTCCGCTCGGCATCAATGGCGGTGAAGCTTGTCCCGGGTATCGCCCGCCCGCACCTATCTCTCCCACTGCTTCTGTCGCAGACTCGCAAGTCAGCAACTGTATCCGTACGGTACGTCGGAGCACAAGAGTCTTGATGCGTATGCGCGCGCATAGGCCACGACCTATCGGGTTACTCATAGAAGACTTGTCTGGAAAAGCAGGTTTGCGTCGTGCAACTCTGTCAACACGGTTCTCAACCCATTGTTGATCGACGCGCAAACCGGCTGGTCGCACCCTGCCACCGCCCAACGAGCAGCGCAACACAGGGAGCGCCCAAATTTTGGCAAACGCCAGTCAGAAGAGCAAAAAGAAACGTTAAAAGCGTGGTCACAGGACAACAAAAGGTGTCCACCACACGCCCGCTCATGCATGCCCCCGCCAGCCTCGTCACATATAGAGGATGCTGCGACACTTGCATCCAACAAGAAGAACAACAAAGAGCCAAGTTCCGAGGACAAACTTGATTGGCTTCGAAAAGTTCTCTGGTAAGGCTCAGTCACATCTCAACGAGCCAGATTGATGCATGCTCCTCATCATGCTCACGTGCCAACGCACCAGCACCATGATACTCCGGGTGTGTGGCGCGCCATCTCATCCCGCAGTTTCCATCTCTCCTCCAGTGGGACTATCGACGTGATACTAGATGGTGCATTGTTCGCCAGTTTTTACAAACGCCACCTTGCAAGGATAGTAGTCTGGGCTGTGTCAGGCCGGCTCTGCCAGAGCAAGGTACCTTGGACCTTGTCCCTCTAACTACTTAACAAGCCGACCTGCATCGTTTCGAGTGAATCGCCGTCTCTCGCTTTTAACTTTACAGTGGAAAGAAAATATCGAAATGCCTGGCACTACTTCTAATGGTTCTCCACCAACAACAAATGGTAATGGCACAGCGCCACGAGGCTCTGTGACGCACCTTGCTACTCTGTCTGAGGCAATCCGAACAAAAACAACACTTCTCACCAATAGCCTCAATGAGAAACATCTGGATGCACCCTCTTTTAAGTTGGGTGGCTCTACAAGCTTTGCATTGGATGAGCTAGACCTTCCGGACAAGGCCACCCGGAACGAGCTGATAGCGCTGACCAAGGAGCTTCACGATTTGCTTGTTGGCCCTAAAGATACCCTCAAGAATTTAGCATGGAACGTGAGTACAATTCACTATCAATAAATGCATGGCAACTTACCGAGAATGCTAGTCGGTCAGTTACATTCCCCTCGAGGCCATCTGCGAGTTCCGCGTCGCCGAAGCGGTGCCTCCCACCGGATCCATACCGTATGCCGACCTCGCTCTCAAAATAGAGCATCTCACAGGCACCAAGGTGATTGTTTCCGATTTGAAGTGCATTTTGCGCCTCGCAATGGCGAACTACCTGTTTTCGGAGCCCATCCCAAACCACGTCGCACACAGCCGATCATCCCTGCTCATGTTGGAGGACCCGAGTGTGGCAAGCTGGGTCGGCATGTTCACCACCGATCTTCTTCGGCCTATAGTCAACACTGTGGAGGCTATGAAAAAGTGGCCTGGTTCTCAAGAGCCTAATGAGACTGTACGCATACCTGGTGAGAAGACCACCGATGCTGTCCGCTAACAATGCTCGACTCTAGGGCGTCAACATCGCATACCGCAACAATACTTCATTCTTCGAGTTTATGCAATCGGACCAAACAAGAATGAAGCGTTATGGCCTGGCGATGGAAGCTCATGGCGACCGTGATGGATTCGACCTGACGCATACCATCAATGGTTACCCATGGGCCGAACTCGGCGCGGCCAAGGTTGTTGATGTATGTGACACCTGATCTAAGATTATGCTCTAGTCACCGCTAACTCGGTTTACGCACAACAGATTGGAGGGAGTCAGGGGCATGTCGCTTTTGCGCTCGCAGAAGCCTTCCCGCAGCTGTCCTTTATCGTACAGGAAAAACCGCAACTGCGAACCGAGAAAGCGATTGGCCAGGTTCCCCAGCACTTGGCGGACAGGGTGACGCTGACGGCGCACGACTGCTTCAATCCACAGCCTGTGGAAGCCAAAGTCTACTTTTTCCGCCACGTATTCCACGCCTTTTCTGACAAGTATGCCGTCGCCACTCTCAAGGCGCTCGTGCCAGTGATGAAGCCGGGTGCTCGGGTAGTCATCAACGACTACGTCCTGCCACAACCTGGTATTCTACCACAGAGTGACGAGAAGAGTGTAAGAACCATGGACCAGCTAATGAGAACTGTTTGCAACGCACGGGAACGGGAGGCGGTGGACTGGGAGTCACTCTTTGAGCAGGCTGATTCACGATTCAGATGGAAGGGTGCTACCAAAACAGCGGGAAGACTATCGTTTATCGAGGCAGTGTGGGAAGAGGAGGCACGGCTGCCCTCGACGAATGGTTGTGACCGACTTGTTGTCGCGGTTACACAAGAGGTGGAGGGATCGTAATTGACTCATCATGTTCCAGGCAGCGCAGATGGTTGTACTATTGGGTAGTCAAAGATAATTACGTCCAATGTTCACCTGGTCAAGTTTGACATGTCACCTCAACTCTCACCAGTCGGGCCACTGAGCTCAGCATAGTACCGTGCGGTTACACAACATATCGTGGCGTCAAGATCTATCGATCATGGTGCAAGTTGAATACGATTTGTCCAACTCTAAAAATTCTAATCCGATTCCCGCAACTAAACAAATACCCCCGTAAAGGCGCCTGGTACGCTGGGGGTAACAACTCTATTGCCCGCCTCGTCGATGGAATCCATTTTTTCCCCTTTACAAATTCGACGTCTTTCGGCTCGCCGTATTACGTGACATGTCCACAATCATGGCCACATGACGAGCCTGGGCCACCATGCCGCCCTCGGCGTCGAAAATGTCCACGTCGCAGCCGTAGCGGCCATTCCTCGTCTCTGCAATCGACGTCCGCACGCGGAGCCATCGGGTCCCCTCGGCCGGCAAGCTCTTCTTAAAGTCCATGTGGATGTTGAGCGTCGGGTACCAAGACACAGAGGCCGGCAACAGCTGCGAAGCGTTGGCTGGCGCGCGCTGCAGGGCGTACGTGCAAATCGCAGGCGTCACGTCGGCCAGGTACGCGAGGTCGAGGTTCACGATGGGCTCCCCGGACCGGTACTCCACCCACATGTCGAGCACCCCCTCCGCCGAGGAAGCTGAATCGATCCTCTGCTCGTACATGTTCCAGTGCTGGTTTGGGCGAAACGTGCTGGGAGCTTTGAATAGCTGCCAGTGAGGATCCTGGCCGCGCGGCAAAAGCTCAAGATCCACCGGCGGCACGGGGGCGTACGGGCCGCTGCCGCTGCTTGCGCCGCCGATTAATGACTGGCCCGTCTCGGCGGCCATGTCTCGGCAGGTCACAGAGGCGGTAATGACGCGCCGGGCGCCGGCGGAGATCCAGGGCGCTTCGGTCAGTTGGCCGTCCTGGTAGAGCGAAATGTACAGCACCGACATGTTGCGCGCAATCTTGATCTCGTCAACAATCATGGTCCCACGACCGGGCTCTGAACGACTCAGGAAATCCCAGTGTGCAGAGATGACGTGGCTATGCCCGTATTGTTTGGCGACGTGGGCGAGCCCGACGGCGAGAAAGTGTCCGGCGACGTAGCCGCCGTTGGGCACTGATCAAACAAACATCGCAGTCCAAGTTAGCCCCTGCCTCAGAACGGCGGCTCCGGCGCGTGCGTCTATTTACAATGTTTGGCGCACGCGGGCCTTTTTTTTTTTGGGCTTTGTAAGTTGAATTTACCTGTGCCAATGTTAAAGGCTGAAGCCAAGTCGACAATGTAGGTTTTGCTGTCTACTTGCTGCACCTTGGTAGAAGCTGCGGCGTTTGCAGCGGCGTTTGCGCCTGTGGTGGTGGCACCGGCTTGGCCTCTGCTCGGCGTCTTGTCAGACATAATGGTTGGCTGTTAAATGCAAGATAATTCATCAAAGGATGCTTTGGCTTGAACCCAAGCCCGTTGGGCGCATCTACAACTTTCCATGTAGCCGCTTGGGCCGAGGATCACCGAGCGTCCCCGCAATTTCCCGTCCCGTTCTTTTAAACATAGTAAGTAACCTTTTATGCTGGAGTTTGGCCATTATGCAGTTTACAGACTACAATAATTCATCCTGTTCGTCTCAAGTCGAAAAAGGGTTTCTTTTTTGGTTCATGAGTAAATGCAATGTTGGTCCAGCTGCAACGTTGACGCGTTCGTCCCTTTTGCCAAGCAGGGCTATGGGCGAACTGCCTGAGACCGTGCGAAGCGATGTAACAGCGTGCGCACATATTCTTTATACTTTTTTTTTCCTGCTTCTCTGCGAGTCATCAGCCGGGGCAGGTATAACGAAGTTGCATTGACTCGAGTTCACCTGAACCTGGGACAAGAAAAAAAGTAATCATGGCTGAGAGTCGGCAATCGAATTAGATAGCCACTGTGAGGTGCTTTTCAAGAAACACCCGATTGGCTGGACCGAATAATACAGTGCAGCAGCGCCAAGATGCTCTTTGGTGGCAGTGCGGGCGGTACATCGTCATATTCGATACTTTCCACCGCCGTCAGGTAGAGTTTATCCTTTTCCAGTGCAACCTGTCCCACCAAGTGCAACGCAAGCCTCTGGCTCGGCTTCCTTGAACGGGTAGAGGGGATGCAGATAGTTTATCGTGTTGCTTGGCACTTAATGTCCTAGATTTTAGGACGATCTTGATAGTTAAAAACCTGATTATCATTGAATAAGAGCCACATGAACCCGTCTTTCCGGAGCCGTCGTGGTGGTGGGGGGGGGGGGACGCCGGCGCGGCAGCCACCATCGATGACGGGCGTCGGCGTATAGATTTCCTTATCGGCGGCGGTTCCACGGCCCCTCTTAGTCAGGTGGGCGCAGTTCACAGGCAGGGACGGGTTGCCCTGGGCTCGCAATTCTTAAATAAACTGAATACAACATCGCTTGGGCCAGATAATGGGGCCCGTGGAGCTCGGCCATGGGTACGGGATATAGAGCATGAGTGCATGCCGCACGGGAAACACTGACCCATTGCCAAGCTGGCCAGTCCACTCTTGAGAATTTAAATCGGACGCCCATCCGTTGCCGCGCAAAGATGAAGTTTTTGATGCTGTGGCCGTAACTTGGTGATAAGCCAACACCCCGGGCTGCGCGTCTAGATAGGTAGCTGACTGTGAACATGCCGTCTTTGTTGTCGCCTTTTCTACTACGTTGACTACACGTAGCCTGCCGACTCATATTCTCTGAAAAGTTGAATGCGTCAGCGGTACGCAACGCAGGCTTGGCGGTTTAGCAAGTTGGTCTTCCGGTTGCTCCGACATTTTCGGGAGGGCTTCGAGGATGCGCAACTAGTCGTCGACAACGGGTGTCTTTATAACTAAGCAGGCAATATTAATCAAGCTTGGCCGTCTCATCAATGTCCTGTCATCATCCCTGCCTTCAGCAACACGGCTCGTCTTTTGATTCGAGCCTGCAGATGCAAGTGTAGCGATAGTGCTCGGCGTTATTATTCTGTTCTGTGGAGCTGGGCATTCGCAAATCGGGCTTCACGCTTCGTTGCATCGAGAATATATGGGAATATTTCGTGACTAGTGAGCTGACTGATATATCAGCAGTATCCAATTTTTCAGGGAGTGGAATCAAGGGAGAAGGGAAGAAAAAAAAAAAAATCTAAAATCATGCATACATCAAGATGGTCAATCCCACCGCCGATGGCAGCGTCGCAACCCGTCTCGACGTTGTCAGTTTTGTCAACTCGAACAGACTGGTCTCGGCCCCTTGCGCGCATTGATAATAAAGACACGAGCTGAGTTTGATGATGTATGACAGTACGAGGCAGTCGCTGGTCTAGATATGAATATAGATGATGGACCATCAGGGGCTGTCGGTCGGTTTTGACGCTGAATCTCTAACCATGCCGTTGAAGGCGTCGGTGTCCTAGCTAGGTTCTAGCCTCCTAGTTAGTTTTCCTAGCCTCTCAAATAAGGTCGCTGACACCGGGAGACATTGTACCACCGCCCCCTTGACCTGGCCTGCAAATCCCAAGTCCCGCTGGACTGCCGCTCTCTGCCTAACCAGGAACAGATTGGACTGAACACTGGCCAATAGGGTTTGTTCCCAGCAGCTGCGTGTTATCTGTCACGGCGTCAGGGTGGTGTGCGCCGCGCACTTGCGACACTCGAGCAGGGTTACAGTTGTATTGCGTTCTAATCATGGCCATGCTCGAGTTCTTTTTTTTTTAATCGCTGTGGGTTCTGCGGCGGTGCAGAGGCCACGAAAGTGTTTCACTTCAAGATTGATCCTCATGAAAAAAAAAAAACACATTTGCATTGTTCAGAGATAAGGTTCTCACTCGGGGTCCCTTTGATGCGATGCACTCGACTCGACTCGACTCGACTCGACTCGACTCGACTCTGGTAGTTGACGACGCCACGTTCTGCACGTTCAGCGACAATCGCCAACTCATCTTGGAAAAGCGTGCCGAAGTCCGTTGATGAACTGGTGCGAGATGGGCCGTGGCGTTGACCAAGGAAGGGCGTGATTGGATAAAAGGGGGGTGACTTTGCACCGACTTGGCCGAGTCAAGCCCATGCCATGCCCAAGCCCAAGCCCGACCCCTTCAAGGTTGGTCCGCCAAGCAAATCGCCCGTCTGGACATGACAATCGGCAGCCCATGTACGCACACCTAAATCAGTGGCGTTTTCTTGCCAAGTGCGGTGCATGGCAACCGGCCCCCAAAAAGTTCAACCCCCCTGTAATTGGGCCGTTTGGGCTGTGTAGCGTACTACCTAGGTACCTAGTCTCGCCACACCCGGGCGGCCCTCGCAAAACCAACATCCAACGCCAAGCACGAAACGCAACGAGTTGCACGATATTTATAGCTTCGCCACGGAGAAAGAAAGAAACCAGCAGAGCCTCTTTTTTGAAAACAAGAGCGTTTGGAAACACGCAACCACATTGCACATTGCCCAACAGCCTTCCTTCCGGAGTCCCTGGGCGGAGATGCCGCCAGTTACCCATCATCGGCACGCCATGGGTCCTCGTTTCTGAATGGCTCATCGAGTGAGCCCCCCTTACCGTTACTGATACAACTCTAGCCGTCAAGTTGCAAATGGCACGCCAAGAAGCCAGATGGAATTTCTATTCGTGCACGGCCGCCGTCTCCCACCCCCCCTCTGCTTTTGCAAGGTTGAGTTTAACCAGGCGTGGCCCACAAACAACCTACGCTTGTCGCTCCTGAGTCCTACCTATGCTTCAGGCTCCGCTGTTATGAGGCTCTGCCTGGCCTGCGCACAGCGAATACTACTGTGCTCAGTAAGTATGTATACCATCTTTATCAGTGTCAGTGTCAGGATTGATTCGTTGGGTGTGCCGTTAAAAGTCCGTCTGGGCTGTTCCCAAATTGGCAAGGTCAAGCTTCCGATCACTTCAAGAGATTGTACGTACCCTGACAATGAATCCGCCTGATTATAAGGGATGGCCCTCCCCAGAGCTTTACACTTAACCTTCTTTTTCGTTCCCGGTAGAACCCTTTATAATTAACAATATTTTCTTGTTTCCTTTGTTCGAGACTGATTCATTCGTCTCTTTATAAACACATAGTTCACATCTTCTCTACTTTGGTCAGGAACCATGGATGAGAGGAACCGCAACATTTCCAGCTCCTCCTTTGGCAAGTTGGTGGCTTTTACTCCTTCAGCCGATGTCCCCGATTCGTTGAATCCCTTTTGGATCGATTCAAACACACCTACAAGAAGAAATTCCATCCGTTCTGCCATTTCACGATCCGACGACCAACATGACTCTGCCGGCCACCGACTCGACGAAGAGGCTCAATTGCCCAAGAACCACAAAGGCGCACACGCCTTTGAGCATGCGCTTGACATCTCAGACGAGAAGCCATCATCCTCAGCGGTAGACCCGTATGATCCCAACCGCCCCTCGCTCGGATTCAAGCAACGTCTGCATCACTTTACATGGGCTTGGTACACTTGGCCCATGAGCACAGGAGGCCTGGCCTTGCTCATTGGCAACCAACTGAAAACTTTTCCCGGCCTCAACACTCTTGGCTTTGTTGTATACTTTATCAATCTCGTCATCTTTGCCACCGTCACAACCGGTCTTTCCCTTCGCTTCTGGCTTCACAGAGGCGACTTTTACCGTTCCATTACCCATCCCCGAGAGGGCTTCTTCGTACCGACTGCCTTTCTTGCCTTTGCCACCATCATCACAAGTACCCATAAATACTGGATTCCCGACAACGATGGAGCACTGTCCTGGGGCATTCAAGGCGTATTCTGGGGCTATGTCTTGCTCACTCTTGCCCTTGCCGTCGCCCAGTACAGCTTTGTCTTTGCCTCACACAGTCATAAACTACAGACCATGATGCCCACATGGATCCTCCCCATTTTTCCCATCATGTTGTCGGGCACTATTGCATCTGTCATTGCCAAAACCCAAGCCGAAATCGCTATTCTACCCGTTGTTGGTGCCGGTCTGACCTGTCAAGGACTTGGTCTATCCGTCGCCATGCTCATGTATGCACACATGATTGGACGACTTATGCAGTCCGGTCTGCCCAACAGAGAACACCGTGCTGGTCTATTCATGTGTGTTGGCCCACCTGCCTTTACGGCCTTGGCCATAATTGGCATGGCAAATTCTCTGGAGCGATCCACCGCCCTCGGTGGCATGATGCTTGACAAGGTTATTCTCTACAACCTGGCCATCATCGGTGCAGTCTTCCTCTGGGCATTAAGCCTATGGTGGTTTGCCATTGCGCTGGTCGCCGTCATTCAGTCCCCTCCGCAGTATTTTCACCTTGGTTTGTGGGCCGCCGTCTTCCCCAACACGGGCTTCACCCTGGCCTCTATTTCCATGGCCAGAGAATTTGGCAGCGAGCCTCTCATGTGGTGCACCACCGTCATGAGTGTCATTATGGTCTGTGCCTATTTGTTTGTTCTTTCTTTTCAGATCCGCGCAGTCATCGTTCAGGACATCATGTACCCTGGAAGGGACGAAGATGTCGAAGATCACTAGCCATTACGAAGTGCATTATTCGGTGGTATCAGGACGAAATGCATCATTCGATGGCATCAGGATTAGGAAAAGGTGGCTTTGTGTATTCATTCGTTTTTCTGCATAGCCGGCATTCAACATTTTAGAGTTAAATAGCGCATTTACACACTCGTTTCCTTTCATCAACTTTGTTGACAACACAGTTGCTTCATCCACCGCACTCGACAATAGTGACGTTTCGTTTTTCCTGAATCATATCCATTAATTAAGCCTTTGACTTCTCCGCAGGCTTGCCAGTGCATCCAACTCCGGGGGCTGCGACATCGTACGCCCAAACATCAATGGCAAAATACTGGAGCACGTTGCTATCTTTGGCACTCTTGGATGGGTCCTTTTTTGCCAACGCCAGAATGCCATTGTAATCGTCCGCAAAATGATCCACTGTATTAACATTGATTGTCGGGACGTGAAACATTCGATGCAGGAGGTCGACGGCCCAAATCGTGTTTAGAGGAGATCCCGCGACAGTATAGCCAAGGTTGCAAACCGATGCGAGTGGGCGTCGGATCTGGAATGACAGGGGGCAGATGACAGTTTCTTCCGTAGCATTTGATCCTCGCCAATGGCCTCCCCAAGCTATAAATATAATTGTCAGTTGTCTCATATTCCTTGTTATCGAGGCAGTTTCACCTACTTGGTTTCGACGCGCAATTCTTGTCGGGATCATCGCACCGAAAGGTCATGGCGGCCTTGTCTGCCGCGACAACACGATCATACCAGCCAATGGGCTCCGCGAGGGAGCCGTTGCCAAAGTATTTCTGCACAAATTCCGACTTGCTTCCGAAACGCAGAATGTGGTTTCTAGCATGCTGGGCCAGCTGCACAGCGTCGTCGAGGCCGGTCTGAAGCTGCGCGCGTAACGTGCTGTTGCAGGACGAGTGGATGGGGAACGACTGCTCCCAACCATCAGACCAGTTGTAAGCCTCTGCCTTGGGGGTCGAAGTCGGCGTAGTGACCAGTTCTGTTGCCGTTGCCTTTTCCGCGGCGAGGGGAGAGGCCATGAGCCCGGGGGCAGCAAGCGCAACTAGAAAGCTCGGTGTCTTCATCTTGATTGTGATGTCTTGATTGATTGTGGTATTTTCAAGAGACGGACAGGAAGGTATTCGCCAAGGTATATATAGCCTGATTTGGTGACGGCCACTCCATTGTAGCCGGCGGCTACGGCGGCGTGCATCGGCAAGATAGTGATTGCGCCTTTTTATTCATCACATACGGATACAAGGCGCTCGACTTTCGACCCTGAGAGTTGGCCAGATTGGCTCGTGCAGCCGAAGATGGCCAGACATTGACGATGGACGTCCGGGCCCGTGTGGACAATAAATCGCTAGTTCCTCAGCCATTTCCGCTGCCAAGACTATTTGCAAAAAATCAAAAGAGTCTCGAACTCAAAAGGACCAACAGTTTGGCGGACATGCTTCAGCAAACGGGACATCAAGGTGTTTTGGCTTGCCAGCTGCAGTGCCAAGGAACGAGGCTGGCTACTGCCACTCCGCGAGGCTGGTTATTCATTGCTTTTAAGATAGAGTTATTTTCAAGCTTTACCAGGATAATTTGTCTCTCCGGGTGATGCCCAGATAATCCAGATATTCACAACCACGTCAAGTCTTGCAGCGGGGGGTCGGTGGCGGCTGAACTACGATGGACCTGACAATCACAAGTCATAGTCATTATGCAACGACAAAAAAAGATTAAATCAAGCCGTAGCGAGTCCCATTCCCATACTTGTACTAGACAACGCTTATTTTTATGCCTGATATGCACCCATCCCCCGATTTCCTCGCCTCCGATTGCCTCCCCCCTCGTTGCCTCGCCCCCGATTGCCTCGGACCACCTGCTCGAAAACCCTATCTGCCTCTAAGAAATTCTCATAGGCATTTTGAACATTCCGAGCATAGGCTTGGGCATCTTCGACCATAGCCCTGCGATAGTCGCGGCGGGCAAAGTGGCCGCGGCCCTGCTGCTGCGCTCCCCGTGGCCTCGGCTGGCCCTGCTGCTCACGCCGGCCGCGCTGCTCACGCCTTTGGCGCCGCTTCAATTGGTACTGAGACGGGTTTTGCTCAGGCCATGGCTGCGCGCCCCTCGACGCGTCTTGCTGCCCAGAAGCCGACTCGCGGTTCTCCTGGGTTTCCTGCTCCGCAGACTGAACTGGAGCCGACAAGCGGTTCTCCTGGACATTGCTGGCGGGAGCAAGATCTCTATCCAAAGGCAGGATGCCAAAGACATCCTCAGGGTAGCTGCTAAATATTGACAACTCGGCGGGAGAGACAGTTACGTAAAAGTTCGTGTTCAAGGGGACTTCCCTTGATTGCACGAGCGCGTCCCTGGCGGCCGCCGCGGCGGCACCAATATTCGGCCCGCTCGCGCGGGAGGATGCGATATCCTCATTTTGGGATACAGCCACCGGTCGCCGATTTACGTGGCCCTCGGTGTTTGGCCCTCCCAAGCCCAAGGCTGTAGCAAAGTCCAGCCGCCTACCTCGTTGTGTCTGGCGAGAGAACAATCTCCCGCCTACGGCGTCGTCGTTGCTGCCGTCGTTGCTGTTGTTTTGACTCATGTTGTCGAAATTTTGTAGTTGTTGTTGTTGTGATGAACCTTGAATATGGGTAGATGGAGATGACAAAATCTGCATAAAAATTTGCTCCAATTGACTTGCCCACGAGGTGAGAGTTGCCTGCCGGGTGCGCGTTTGCTATACTGACGCGTTTGTCATGACATGTGAGGGTCATGCCCTGATAGCAGCAGAGGCTACTACGTCGACTCAAAATTACATGACTGCTGTTAGGCTGGCACTGCTTGACCGCGTGGGACAAAGCCATAGCTTGGTACAGGTCACTTGAACGGAGCGCAGACGTGACCACGATATTTATTGGTAAGGAGAGTATATTGGCTCAATTATACACAGCGTCTATCCCTTGTCTATGACCGGTTCGCCGAATGTACCGTCTCTCAGTAGAGTAAAAAATCACGCCGTCCACCATCAACCTTGGCTAAAATTCCCCTCACTGACGCTGGCGACCCGCGCGCCACTCCTGCAGCTGCCTCTTGCGCTCTTCCACCTTGCGCTCAAACTCAGCCACCTTTTCGAGGCGCTTCTTTTCCTCCTCGATAGCCTTTTCGTCAGCGACAATCTTTTTGCGGGCGGCCTCGCGGGCGAGCTGATCGGGGCGGCGCTCGGCAATGTCGCGTGGGCGGTAGTCGCTAAAGAGGGACTTGAGAACGACCTCGATGACCCAGCAGACGATAAAGTCGAGGGCCATGACGACGGTCATCTTGAGCTTGAACTCCTCCGTAAACGGCACGAGCTTGATGCTCTCGTTGATCTCGGGGATCAGCTCCATGGCGCAGACGAAAGCGAGACCGGAGACGCCGAGGATGCCGTAAAACATGGCCTTATTCTCGGTGAGCGCCTCGCGGAACGGGCGGCCCTGGTAGTTGATGGCAAAAGTTGAGACTTGCTGCACGAGCTGCAGCAGGTAGATGGCCGAGTTGAGCAGCGATGGCTCAAATTCGGCCTCGAGATCGACGTCGTCGGAACGCGGCTCAATCTTCTCCGACAGGCGGGCCACGTAGATGAGCGTGACAATGTGCACAGCAAACTGGCCCAGGATAGACCCAATAATATAAATGTTGAAAATGTTGGGCTGCGGGCGCTCTTTGCTCAGACCCTCGACCACCTTGGCGCGCGAGATGCTGAGGAAGCAGACGGACATGAGCATGCCGCTAATGGTGTACTGCGTATCACCAAACTTGATGCCTTCGAGGTAGAGAACGGACAGGGAGTAGGCAGAAATGAGGCAGTTGAGCGCGAGAATTTTGTACATTTGAATCGTGGCAACCAGAGTGCAGCGGCCTTGACGGATAATGTTGGGAATGGCAATAACATCGCGGAGCTTGGATGTAAAGGGGGCGGCAACTGAGGCGTCTCCGAGCTTCAGCGTGGGCGGCTCGTCATCTCCAAGTTCTGCTTCCATCATTCCAGAGGAGAGCTTGTCGGCGAAGCTCGCGGCCTTGGCTTGCGCAGCGGCTTGGCGAGCAGCCTGAGGATCGTTCGAGTTTATCAGCTGTTGAGCGGCGGGTGTGGTGATGGTCTCAAGGGAGTGGCCAGCAAGCTTGACGTATTCCTGCACAGAGACGCCCTTCTTCTCGGCCTCGCGCTCAACGGCCTTTTGGTAGTGCGGGTTGGCAGGTCCGGGGGGGTACAGATGAGCAATGAGAACAGGGGCTGGTGGCTGGGGTTGGTTGAAACGCTTCATCAAATCGCACTGCTTCTGATACATGTCCTTGAGTCTGGTGTTGCGAGCATGGTCCGCAATGCGGGTCAGGTCCTCTTTTGTACCGTTGAGAAGAGCAATACCAATGTGAGCCTGCTTGAGGGCGCCAACATCATTGGTACCATCACCGGCCATCAAAGTGTAGTATCCCATATCCTTGAGGCTTAGCAAAATGTCTTCTTTTTGCTTGGGCGAAACACGAGCGTACACCCAAGCGTGGCGGATGAGAGTGTTCCATCCGGGCTGGCCTTGGAGTTTAGCAAGGGCGTAACCGGTCACGCAGAGGTCGTTGTCCTTGACAATCTTGGAGTCAATGGGCTTGGTGGGATCGACAGAGATGGTAATACGATCATCAACGCTGCGCCAGACGAGGTGCTCGGCTCCCTTGTCGTCCTCGGGGGCGTCAAGAATGAGAACATCACGATCAACAATCTCCACTTCACGAGCGACGTGCACGGCAGTCAGAGGATTGTCACCTGTAATCATGACCACACGGTGACTGCTCTCATTGAGCATCTGAACAGCTTCCTTGGCATCTTCTTTGAGGGGGCAGTGGAGGATCAGGAAGCCGGCAAACGTCAGATCAGCCTCAACCTTTTCGCGCTTCAGGTCGTTGATCTTGGCCGCGCCGAGTTCAGAATCGACAGTCAGTTGCTTGTAAGCGAGAGCCAGGACACGGGAGCCTTTGCGGGTGAAGTATTTGTACGTCTCCTCATAATCAGCGGGAACTTCAACAAGCATCTTCATAATGGTCTCAGGAGCGCCCTTGACACCGGCGAAAGTGCCCTTGAGCTTTTCACCTGTCTTGGTGTTGGTACCGTTGACCATGGCGATGGAGCTTTGACGCTTCAGAGCAGAAGAGAATTGAAAACGACGCTTGATTTGAACACTGCCAACAGTGCCTTTGGCCTTTTCAGTGCTCGAGAGAATATCCTTGCGTCCAAGAGTCCAGCCAAGAGAAGCAAGCGTGGCCTTTTCCATAGGGTCTCCGACAATGTCTCCTTCATCAAGCTTAACCAGCGCATGTGCAGTGGCCAAAACCAGCTGGGTTTCCAGGCTCGCTCCCTTGACAGAGATGATGGTAGAGTGAGCGCCATCCGATTCCTTCGAATCTTCCACATCGGAATGGTTCAACCCAAGTCCGGCAATACCTTCGACAACAAGATCCTCGCCAGTGAGGGTACCAGTCTTGTCAAAACAAGCAACATCAACGCGCCCGGCGTAGGGAATACGGAAAGGTTCGGTGCAGAAAATGGCTAGCTTAGCCAAAGCAGCCAAACTGGTATTGACAGCAAGACTAAGCTCCATAGGTAGCTCAGGGGGGACGACACTAGTCACGATCAAGACACAGTCGAGAAGCAGTTTGGAACGCTTGCGATCTTTACGCACACCTTCGTCCCAGACATACCATGAGGCGGCAATGGCGAAAATCAGTAGGAACAGGATAAAAAGTAAAGCCTCGACGTTGTTGGCAGAAACATGCTCCGTAGAGTAGATCATAGTGCGGACAAGGCTGCCCTGAGAAGTCTCGAAACCGGTCTTGGTCACAATAGCCATGGCGCCATTGTCAGGGGGGGGAGGAACTCCAGAAGGCAGGACAGGTTTCTCTTGATCGGCACTTGCGTGGGTTATCTGGAGAACCTTTGTGCCGCCCCAGAGGAAAGCGTTCTTGTCTAGGCCCTCTGCATCGAGTGTCGCATCGGCGGGGCGAAGCTGAATGGAGTCTTTGAGTAGAGGGGTACTCTCGCCGGAAAGCATGGCCTCGTTGACAATGGCGGTGCCCTCAACCAGAATCATGTCACAGGCAACACCACTATCATCCTTGGTACGGGTGACAGAAACCAAATCGCCAGGGAGGAGAGCATCGCTTTGCACTTCGGTCCAGGCGCCCAGACGGTACACCCACATATCGTAGGGCTTGATGCTCATTCCTCGGAACTCGGTCAGAGTGCGCTGGCGCTGCCAAACGACGGTGCTTTCGAAGGCGACAAGCATGAAGAGAGTGAAGAGCGAGTAGTACCAGTAGTCATCGAGCATCCAAAGACCAACGCAGAAGATTTGAAAGACGAAGAATGGCGCAACAGCGTGCTCTTTGAACAGCTCGGTAAAAGTTGGTACGGGAATATCAAAGGTGTTGGTGCCATAGTGGTGCTCCATGCGCGAAAGCTCAGACTTTTGCTCGATGCCGCGGGAAAACTGAAAGTCGCGAATGAGGGGTTGAGGCTCGGAGTCGATTGCATACTTGAGGGTATCGAAGGACTTGGTATCGGGATTGTACAGGAAGCGACGCTTTTGAAAAAGGAACGAGAGATTGGTCTTTCCACCAGTCTAGAATTATTCTATTAATAAATGATCGAAAAGGCCGACGTCAGTTGCGCCTACCTTGTCGCGAACCAACTTGCAGATCTCGGCTGAGCCGGCGTTGGCGACGGGAATAACCTTGATGAGCTGAGCATCTTCGACAGACTTGGCAGACTGGGCGGTGAGGATGGCATCAAGGTTGACGCTCCAATGAGTACTCAGCCAAACCAAAGACTGGACCGTGATGATGGAGCCAACCCAGACAAAAGTCCATTCGGGGGCGCCGATGTGTTTCTCGTAGAGCTCGGGAGTCAGAAAGTATCGAAGAAAGATGGGCCAGATTATGGCAAACGGCCAAATGTATGCGCGGAAGTGAAAGGAAAGCGGATTCAGCAGCTGCGCGTGCTTAATTTGCGCATTTTCAACCAGGGGCGCCATCTTGAGGCTTCGAGTGCCCGGCGCTGACCGGAATCCAGAGAGTCGAAACGTAACAACGCAGGCACAGCTCCAGGCTTGGGTCAAGAAAATAAAGGGCTCCGTCTGCGCCGTCACTTGCAGGAAAGAGGGCGAGGATCAGTTGTTCAATGGACCTGATGGTGATTCGGCGGCAAACCGGAGAATGTGGGAGAAGACTTTAGGTGGCGTCCCGCGATCTGTACTTTTCACAGCAAGGCGTAGCGCGCGTGGGTTCGCTGCCTGGCGTTAGTGTGGCTCAAGCAAGCCGAGAGGGCCACACAACGCGAGTATCCTCCTTACTTTACATGGTAATACTAGCGAGTATCCTCCTTGCCTCTAGTAATCCTACGAGTATCCTCCTTCGCCCACGTTAAATAATGAGTATCCTCCTTCGCCTACACTAATTCTGCGAGTATCCTCCTTGCTCCTAGTAAGTCTAGCGAGTATCCTCCTTACTATCTACGGCGCTGCCGCGCTGGTAACTATGCTGCTATCACCTACCTACCGAGTAACTTAGACATCCTGCTATTATTGGTCTTTTGTTTATGCGGGGTTCGTTCTGAATAACCCCCGTAATCAACCGCCCGCGGCTCACCATCGGAAAAAAATGCTGCAATGCTGCACTTGCTTCAATTTCAGGGACCATATATTCAAGAAATGCATCGATGCAGTCCGGAATGTATGCGGCCTGAACTCAGAACACAGCGTAACCAAGTCGGGCAAGCCGCAGTCTCGAAACGTTAGTAATCTCATCAATCACAGCTAATAGAGATGATCCTTGCCATCTTTGGATAGGCATATCACGCATCAAAGGTAATGCGACGCCGACTACTGACAAGGTCGGTATCGTGAACCCTTCCACGTCAACGACAGAGCAGTGTCCTCGGGCCAAAGAAGACGTGCTCTGTTCCTGGTCTGCTACCAAATTTAAGTCCCGTTACTACGCTTACAATTCTAAAACTATCGTCATTTTTTTCAGGAGGCCTAACCAGTGTACTCTGCTCTAGAGGCACCGACTCATTGACCTGGCAAATAATGTCACTCGAGCGCCATGTAGTGTAAGGAGTATACTCGCCATTTAGTGTGGGCGAAGGAGGATACTCCCTATCTTTTATTAGTGGTACAAGTAGGATACTCGCTAGGTCTCTTTAATCCCGTGTCGCCCAGGTGAGGATTGCCTGCCGGGTGCGCGCTTGCCATACTGACGCGTTTGTCATACCTACCTAGGTAATAAGTAAGTGAAAGCAATTGTTGAAATTCTTCTACTCTTAGACGTTATTTCACTCTTGGCATACTCGGAAACGTACCCCAACAATTCTTTATACCCAAGGTTGCCACCGTTTCAAACACTACTTTTGAGTGATGTCGCTAATCTCGACTAGGAATTTTAATCATGGTCAAACCCGAATCTTCTGCCCGCCCTACCGGCACCAGGCAACAAACAAGCGACTATCTTCAGAACTTGGACCAAGATGTCATCGAGACCATGACAGATAAACAGCGCCAGAGAGTGAAGGAGACAAACGAAAAGGTTTCTGTCCCCGCTATCAGTGTGGCGGACTCAACCAATTGGACGCCGGAGTTAGAGAAGCGCGCCAAAGAGGTACTCGAGAATACAAAAAACGTTTGGGTTCTACCCGATTCGCTCAGAAACGATTACTTGAGCCTCTTCCAAATGGCATTACTGTATACTGGGCGTAGCCCCCGCGACATCGTTGGGGTCCAGACGCAGCTCTGTTTCGCTTTGGATTCCAAGAGCAGGGACTTGGACTACACGCCACACCCTCTGAAAGCCTGGTCACGAAAGTTCTGTGACAGATTGAGTCAACTGATTACTCATCAAGCGTGGGATACCAAGCAACCCAGCGGTCGAGCTGACTGTCTTGCCACAGCACTCCAATACGCCGTGATTTTGCGCACGCGAGATAAAAGAGAGTGGTGGATGCGCGGGACTGACTCATTCTCGGAAGGAATCCAGAGCGCTGTCAAAAGCGGAGCATCTCCGCGTGAGGCTCATGCCGAAACGCGAGCATCTCTGTTTGTGAAGGGTGAGTATATCCACACGTACCATATGAGCAATGTATTTGATGCATTGGAAAATATTGTGAAGGAGAGACGCGAGCAAATTGCCGCCGATTCTCCGTACTACGTGACCACTGACGATCTAGCCGCTCTGACCCAGGCTCTCGACAGCTTGTCTGACTCGGAGACATGTTGCATTAGCTTGTCGACAGAAATGTACTACAAGATGGCAATGGCAGTTAGACCGATGCGCGGGATGCAGCCGGCCGGCAATGAACTTGATACTTTCCACGAGAAAGTCATGCTAGAGGAGTGTAGGCGAATGCTGCTTCACGAGCATGTTCTATCTCGAAACGATCGAGGTGATGACACTGTTTCTCTCATCGCGCCTCACAGTGCAGCTCAGACAGATGTTGGGTCTGATGCTGATCCGGCTCTCGATACCGATTCCGATATCTCTGATGATCAGGGTGACAATCTGGCATACGAATCATCTATGTCAGGCTCTGTTACTCCGGGACAGACGCGGTTGCTGGAGGTGCCAGCAACGCCCGAATGTCGGGCAGATGGAAAACGGCCGCAACAGGCCCCGGTGGAGAGAACTCTCAAACGACCCCGACTCGATTATGACGATGCGGAAGAAGTCGAGCTGGGGGTTTCTCTCACCGCGAGTGTTGAGGCAGAAGAGGCCGAAGAGGCCAGAAAGGCCGAAGAGGCCAGAAAGGCCGAAGAGGCCAGGAAGGCCGAAGAGGAAGAAGAGGCCAGGAAGGCCGAAGAGGAAGAAGAGGCCAGGAAGGCCGAAGAGGCCAGAAAGGCCAGAAAGGCTAGAGAGGAAGAAGAGGCCAGAAAGGCTAGAAAGGCCAAAGAGGTCGAAGAGGCCAGGAAGGCCAGAAAGGCCAAGAGGAAGAAGAGGCCAGGAAGGCCGAAGAGGCTAGAAAGGCTAGAAAGGCCGGAGAGAAAGAAGAGGCTAGAAAGGCCAGAGAGGAAGAAGAGGCCAGAAAGGCCAGAAAGACTAAAGAGGCCGAAGAGGCTAAAAAGGCCAAAGAGGTCGAAGAGGCCAAAAAGGCCAAAGAGGAGGAAGAGGTCAGAAAGGCCAAGGAGGCCGAAAATAAAAAGGTCTATGAAACGCTTGTCCCTGTTCATGAACCATGGGATTTCGAACTTCCATGCGAACAGGGATTGGACTTCCCGGTTCTTCTCAACGTCGTAGGCGACCCTCCGGGAGCGGAAAGAAGATTACCAAGACCGTTCCTACACGACGCGGAGTCAAGTCTGCTGCGATGCGAATTTAGACGACACTTGTGATCTCGAGCATGCAACGAGGAATAAATGTTACGAGGTTTGAGACTACATTTGGGGGAAACGATGTTGGCATAAACTGCTTGACATTATATTTAATGAATGCATTCCTCTTTCGTGGCTTCTCTCTGTGATTCCTTTGTTATAACATCGTAAGCTTTTATCTCAAGACGTCAGGGTGCGCGATCAATGAGCGGTCTTGCTGTTAGGAAACTGATAATGAGCTGCGGCGTGAATTAGGGCGCAGAAAATGGAGAAAAAACAGCTAGACGACATTGTAGCCTAATGCATCTGACTTTTCATTCGCTTCCGTTTGCGCACCTTAATCTTACCCTCACAACATCTCCCACTGCACAACATCTCTCACTGCACAACATCTACTTTAATCTACGAAGATCGAAATTTTTCTATGATATATAAAGTATTCTTCAATGATCAATCTACTCTTCATTGCTAACACTCTTCTACCAGAATGGCGACTCACACCAAATGGCTCAACGGCCCAGAAGACGTAATGTTTGCTTGGACCAAACTCCAGACGTATGTGGACCGAACTGGGCAATTACGATTGCTCTTGAAGGAATCAGCAGACGAACTCGATTCAAATAACTATTCGATATTTGTTGTGGCATCCGAACTCGAGCGGAGACTGCTCATCACGAGAGTCAACAAGGACGAGGGCGATATGCTGCGCAGCTGCACGCGCGTCGCCGTTCACAGCTATCAGTCCCTCTTGGAGTGTCTGCGATCGACAGACTGTGTATATTGGCAGAAACCATCTGTCAATTTATTCTGTCAGCACGACATGTATTATTCGGCAGTATTTTGTTTGGCAATTTTGCAAATCATGCATGCTGTCAAGACAAAGGCGTTCAAAGCCAAATGTCGATGCTTGATAATGATCACTTCCCCGGCATTTTTTGGGGCCATTATCCAATGCCCTGGGCCTGATTTGTCCGAAGCTAGAGTTTACGCAAGTGACTATTCCTCAATTCGACATGATGGCTGATAAGCTGCAACTCGTATCCATCGCCTCGAGCGATTTTGTCGACTATGTCGTCGAGAAGGCGACTGAAGTCATCAAGCGACGAAAGATGGTGATAATTTTTTGCACCAGGCGCACTGAGTATCAGATTTTGCGAAGAATGGCGAGAGAACTATTACAAGAAAATTGTCTTTGGAACGAGATAGCGCGCGCTGATTTTATCGCGAAAAAGTGCTTGCCCGAGCCCAACACAGAGGAAGGTGTCATTTTGTTCATGACCGAGAGCTGCCAAGTACCGCTCTACTTTGATCACGTATGCCACATTTTTATCGAAGGCTTGAAAGACAAGCCTACCTGGAATAGGAGCCGCATAGTCTACGAGAGGCAGGTGCTTATGAGGGATGAGGCAGAGTGCATGATATCATACTGATATCAATGCCACCCAAACACTAAAGTAACCATTACGGATCGGGATGTGGAAGATCGGCTTCCAAGACGTCTTGTGGATAGTGCACAGAGCTGGGGCTTTCTTGCAGACCTTGCTCTTCATTTCACAGAATTTAGATTGCCAGCTTTATCCAGCTGCTTCATGACGAAGCCCACCGTACTCCAAACGGTCATGCTACATTTCGCCATCTTGGGGTTTCTACAGGCAAAAATCGGGGGGCTCGAAAGAGCATACACTGCATGCGAAGACGCAGACACATTGGCCAAATTACTTGTGCTCATGGACCACGACTTTCATCTCGCGTGGTTCGTCTTTCATGGAATGCGGCTGCCAGACACCAGCGTAACTGCCAGATGTGCTATTCTACGCATCGGAGCGCTTGCAATGTGCAACTTTGGAGTAGTGAACAAACCCTTCTTCCGTCAAAATGCTGCCAGCCAAGCGATACCAACGCGCGGTGGATGCGCTCGTTCTGAAGCTACAAGGTCATGCCAACATGCCGCGCCACTTGTACAACCATGGCCTTCCCTGGATCACACTGATGATTTGGCATTTGGCTCAGAAATTGAATCCGGGCATCAGAATAGGCGAGCTACAGGATATGCTGGCAATATGGATGGATGTTCCAAACTGCGCCCTGGACATGGCCCAATGCGCTCATGTGTCCAACATTGTGTCCGCGTTGGAGAGTCATTACCAAATCGAGCCCGCGACGCAGACGCTGCATTTGACTGATGCTGACTGTGAGAACATTCAGCGTTCTATGGCCGCAGCCTGGATACACAAAGCTATTATGATAACTCATGACGGCGGAAGAACGCAGCTCGTAGACGTGGTGGTGGCGGACACGCTGGAAAGGGGATTTGGACCAGGTTTCGGCGAAATATTGCAGCCAATCTGGGTCCTGAATATTCCGGGCACGCTCAGAGACTTGGCGTTTTTCGCTGCGTTACATGTTCAAGTCGAAGACACTGGCCGACATTTATTTGACAACTCGGTTGTTTTGCCGGTGAAGCTTTTGAAAGCTTGGCGTAGCCCTTGTGGCGAAACTTTTCTGGATTGCGCTCGTTATTTCGGGCCAGACGCTCCTTGAACATTCAGATCCAGGATTCCGAGAAAGTCCCTCAAGCCTGTTAGCTATACTTCATTCATTACATTACTTGCATTTCTTTCATCCTCTCTATTATGTAGTAGAGAGTAGCGTAGAGTTGCAGTGTAAATAGAGAAGCAGCGTAATGGCGAAAGGCCAAGTTAGATATTTGTCAATTAAGTTTGTGGCTGGTGTGAGGCCTCGCTCCCTCATAATAAATTGGCTTGCAGAGGCCGCCGCCACTTGTGGGCGAAGGACTCGCTGGTAATTTATAATTTTTAGTTAGTACAGGTGGCTCCCTCCTTAGATTGATCGTCAACACCTTGAAGCTCTTGTTAATAATTCTTCTCTTTCCACCTTCACTTCGTGTCCACTCCTTATCTATTCATTTATCACATCAACATTTTCACCCTATTCTTGATTTCTCTTTTCTCAGCCATCGACATCGGGCATCCATTTCCCCGCATTCGCATCTGTGCGCAACAACTCTCGACAGGATAAAGCTTCGTTGGGTCCCTTGCTTCAACCACTACCCCTGCCCGTACACGGAACCATCGGTCGCACCCTCAAGCCGCCCATTCCGACACTGCCACTCGTTCTCGACGCCCTCCATAACCTTCGTCATCGAAGAGCATACGCACGTCAACATGTCTAGCCGCTCGACACGACGACGATCCGCGCGAAACCGCGACGCCCAATCCTTGTCCGATGACGAGCAGCTCAAGACCAACGGCGTTGTCGCCATGAACGGCAACGGCTCTGCCCACGCCGACCTCGTCGCCAGCAGTGCTGATGACAAGAATGAGGAGCGCGAAAACATTTTTCTCTTTTGGCCCAACCTCATCGGTGCGTATCCTGCGCCCGCCTTCGCTGCCTTGCCCCTTTGGCCGAGTATCACCCATTAACTGATATTGCTGCTCAGGCTACTCGCGAATCGTCCTCGCCATCGCCTCGCTTTACTACATGCCCCTCCATCCACGAACTTGCGCGTTCCTCTACAGTATCTCGTGCTTGCTCGACGCCCTCGATGGCTATGCCGCCCGCCTCTTTGAGCAGTCGACCCGCTTCGGCGCCGTACTCGACATGGTGACCGATCGCTGCACCACCTCGTGCCTGCTCGTCTTCCTCTCCTCGGCATTTCCCCGCTGGGCCATTCTCTTCCAGGCCCTTATCGCCCTCGACTTTTCCAGCCACTACATGCACATGTACGTCACGCTCGTCGTTGGCGGTGCTGACTCGAGCCACAAGAACATTGACAAGAGCAAGAGCTGGCTCTTGAACCTCTACTACACCAACAAGGTTTGTCCCCTTATAGACTAGCCTTGCCATCTCGTAGCTTTGCTAACCGCACACACATTACTAGACCGTCCTCTTCATCTTCTGCGGTCTCAACGAGCTCTTCTTCATCGCCCTCTACCTCTTGTCCTTCTCCTCGCCCCTCCTCTCTCCTCACCTCATCAAGTCAGTCGAGGAGTCTAGCGGCACTCATATCCAGGCCGGCGCCCAGATGAACGCCTCGCTGCTCAAACAGTTCTTCCCCGATCCCTACAGCGCCGCCGCACTCGAGCTCGCTCGTGCCAACAAGATGGATTCTACCGTTCCCTGGATCCTCGCCGGCATCAGTTTTCCCATCATGTTTGCCAAGAATGTCATCAATGTCGTCCAGCTGGTCAAGGCCAGCAGGTGGCTCGCCGAGGTTGACATCCAGGCTCGAAAGGCCCAGGGCCTGCCTCGCAAGCCCAAGGCCAAGCGTCTGTAAGCGTCGGCAGCTTTGTGTCGCAATATAGACCGTTTGGGCACGTTGGGCGTTATTTTGGAAACCCGATCTGGCAACAGGGAGCAAGCACTCCTGCCACAAGTCAGCTGCCCTCTGACATTTGCATTTTATCTTCATCTCGGGCTATCTCATGGCTGGAACTATAACAAGGCTTAATCTTACGCCAAACCAAAATTTATTCACGAAGGACGCTGCTTGATGGGAGAAGACATGGACGCTTGAGCTAATGGGAGATGGGATTGCACGATTTGGTGCATACATTAAAAAAAGGCTGGTTGGTTCCTTTTTATCGGCGGCAAATGTTTGCAAGTTTTCGGGGCAATTTCTTTTTGTTTTTCAACATTCCTTGCCACGTACTTTTCTGTATTCCTTCTTTACAAGCTAGATTTGTATACATACTGTCGTCTTTATAAACGCCTGTTGAATTGGCACCGACGTCTTATTACTTTTTAATAAATGGAAAAATTACCAAACTCGAGAAAGGTCAATGGCGCAATGTTTGCGACTTATGTGCAGCTTTATATGTATGAACAGAGAAGCAAGAACGCCGAATGTAATGCAATCATCTAACCTTATCCGCACTCTGGCTCGTCGCCGGCCGTACCAATCGCATGCCCGTGGATGCCGCCGTCCAGAATCAGCCCCTCATTGTCATCCTGATCATCCTGCACCCTGCGCCAGCCCTTGCGCCGTTCTCGCCGCCGTCTCGCCGCCTCCTTCCCGCCCTCGTCATCGGCAGCATCGGCTGTCGCGGCCGTGGCCGTCTCCTTGCCCTTGCTTGGCGTGAAGACGGGTTTCATGAGCGCGCCAAGCAGCGGATTGCTGCTAAACGCGCCGCCGTCTCTGTTACTCGTGAGCGCCGCGTGTTGTGAGAGAATTGTCTCCTGCCCGTTCGAATCCTCTTCGGGCGTGCGTGGACGCTCGACGGGAGCCATCTTCCGTACGACGCGCCCGTTGACGAGGTCGATGCTCATAACCTGCTGCCGCTTCTCGTACTCTGGCCGCGCGTTCCACTCCATCTCGCGGAGAATCTTTTGCTGCCGCTTGAGCTCGCGCGCGCGCTCCTCGGGGCTGGCCCACATGTTGCCGCCGGTGCCTGCGCGCGCCGCTGTCACGTCAAAGTCGGACGCCTCATCGCGGACCGTCGTGCGCTGCGCATTCTGCGCCTGAAAGTTGAGCAGCTTATCGCGGTGTTGGCGCGCCGCCTGCTGCGCGGCGCTGGCTTCTGCGAGCGACGGGCCGGCCTCGACGACAGCGGTGCCAAAGTTGCCGCGGGGCTGGGAAAAGGGCGCGGGTTTCTGGGAGATTTCCGCGCGGCGATGTGTGGACGCGTGCGCGGCCATGCGCTCCCGGCCGCGCTCGTCCTTGAGTGCGCGCACGAGCGCCTGCACCTCGGTGGCGGCGAGCAGCGGCGTGCCGCAAAAGGTGCAGGGGCCGAGGCCCTCGCGGACGCAGATGACCTTGCCGCAGGAGAGGCAGTTGGGGGCGGCCGTCTGCAGCGGATGGCGCGTAGCGACGCAGGGGCAGCGGCGAGAGGCAACGGAGTCGACAGACGGGTTCGTAGAGAGCTCGAGGGCGCGGATGGCGGCGTCGAGGTCGGCCGTGGCCGAGGCCTGCCCGGCCATGGGAGTACCGCCGGCGAGGGTGATCTTGGTCGCTCCAGAAGGCTTCGGCGTGGAGCTGCGCGTGCTGGGGTTGGATTTAGACTTGGGCTTGGAGAGGGACTCGGAGATGAGGAAGCCGGCGGACGAGGCGTGCTGCTTCGGAGCCTGTTGTTGATGCTGCTTCGGTGCAGCGGCGGCGGCTGTCAAGGGCGGCGTAGCGGCCCGTGATGCATGGTTGCTGGTCGGCGCGCTCGTCCGCTGCGAAATGTACTCGAGATCCGTGTCCTTTTTACTGTACGCCGTCGCGGACGGCCCAATGTACGAATCGACTAGGCGAGCCTGCGGAGTGTGCAGCGCCGCCTTTTTCTTCTTGGCACCGCCGCGCTTCGACTTTGGTACGGCGCTAGACGATGATGGAGTGATGTTTGCAGTGGATTCGGTGGCAGAAGGAGCCTCTCGACGGGCGTTGAAGGATGCGATAAAGTCTACGGCGAGGGGCGAGTCACCGAGCAGGTTGCTAAAGTGGGATGCGGCGTCGGGCTTGGAGAGCGTCGCGGCGTAGTCGAGGACCTGCTGCAGCTCGTCGTCGGGTAGGGGGAGCAGCTGCGACAGCTGGGCCCGCGACATGATGAACTGGCTGTGATGGGTGCGTAACGTATAAGTATGGTGGTGGTGTTGTTTGATGAAGTACCTAAAGGTGAGGTTGTGCCCCGCCGGTATGTGTCACTCGCCAATGACGCTAGGAGAACTGCTAAGAGCAACAGACGAAACCGGCATCAGCTGTATTTGCTGCATTTGCCGCATTTGTCGCATTCGTTATCATCATTGCAATTACTTTGATTATCGCGATTGTTTAATTGTTGCAATTGTTGTAATAAGCAAGCGTCACTCCTACCAGCAGTCATAGGCCCGCACCGCCCGCTCACGACCAAGGTATGCGCATCGCCTGAGATCAGCCTGGGTCAGGTGTAGTAATATTTTGTCTCAAGGGTCCGCTCAGAGCATCAGCTCTCAACCACTGTCGAGCATTTTATTCTTCCCTTGCCCGGTTAGTACTCCGTATGTTGGTGTGGTTGGGTAGCATAGCCGAGCACCGCCGAGCTATGCCCGTTGCTTCTTGGCTGACTCAGCCACGCAGAAGCTAGTTCCTGCGCTTTTTGTTCCCACCACACCCGAAAAGGCCAGGCCTACAGGGGCCCATCTGACCGAGCAACCAGACGCCGGGGACCAGACACCTTTTCCCTCAACCACTCCCGACAAGCACTTGTTCTCTTTCTCTCCAATTGCCTCTTTGCATCCTCTCACCACCATTTCCCCTTCACACCTCACAATGTTTGCTGCTTCCAGAATTCAGACTCGGGCTTTTTCTGCCTCGGCCCGCAACGTATGTGTCTTTTCCATAGCTTCCGGCCATTGCAGTCCCCAGTCGGCGCTACCCGGACGCTTTTTCTCTCCCCTGCGTCATTGGCCGCTATGGCTGCACGCATATTCTTGCCCAATTGCTAACAGTGACCTTTCTCTAGCTCTCAAAGGTGGCCGTTCTCGGTGCCGCCGGCGGTATTGGCCAGCCTCTCTCTCTGCTTCTGAAGTTGAACCCCCGTGTCACCGACCTCGCTCTCTACGACATCCGTGGCGGCCCTGGTGCGTCAAACACATAGCCTGTTCGCATCTGCTTTGCTTCGCATTGCGACTGCTCTCTCGATCGCAATGCATGCCTAGCGATGCGCACAGCTCCCTTACCATTTGATCTACCCCGACTTACCAGTTACTGCCAGGTGTCGCTGCTGACATTTCCCACGTCAACACCAAGTCTACCGTCACCGGCTACGACCCCACCCCCGAGGGTCTCGCCGCCTGCCTCAAGGATGCTGAGATCGTTCTCATCCCCGCCGGTGTCCCCCGCAAGCCCGGTATGACCCGTGACGATCTCTTCAACACCAACGCCTCCATCGTCCGCGACCTGGCCAAGGCTGTTGCCCAATCCGCCCCCAAGGCCAAGACCCTCGTCATCGCCAACCCCGTCAACTCGACCGTCCCCATCTGCGCCGAGGTCTTCAAGGCCAAGGGTGTCTACAACCCCAAGACCCTCTTCGGTGTCACTACTCTCGACGTTGTCCGCGCCAGCCGCTTCGTCTCTGCCCTCAAGGGCACCGACCCCAAGGACGAGAACATCACCGTCGTTGGCGGCCACTCCGGTGTCACCATCGTCCCTCTCTTCAGCCAGAGCAACCACCCTGACCTGAGCTCCAACGCTGACCTGATCAAGCGTGTCCAATTTGGTGGTGATGAGGTTGTCAAGGCCAAGGACGGTGCTGGCTCTGCCACTCTCTCAATGGCCATGGCCGGTGCCCGCATGGCCGACTCTCTCCTCCGCGCCGCTGCCGGCGAGAAGGTCATCGAGCCCACCTTTGTCGAGTCTCCCCTCTACAAGGACCAGGGCATCGAGTTCTTCAGCTCCAAGGTCGAGCTCGGCCCCGACGGTGTCAAGGAGATTCTTCCTGTCGGCAAGGTCGATGCCACTGAGCAGGGCCTCCTCGACGCCTGCATCGTCGACCTCAAGAAGAACATCGAGAAGGGTGTCTCCTTCGTTGCCCAGAACCCCGGCAACTAAACCCATCCGTCCTCTCGACCTGGTGTTGAATAGTCGTGGCTCGCTGGGCAGCGAACCGCGGCGAATAATCGCAGTGCAATCCAGCCTCCACGCACAAAATGGATTACCTGCCTGTATGACAAAAGCGTATTGTAGAATGAAAGGAGAAAAAATGAGAGATGTAAACCTGAGTTCAGAATACCACGAGCAGGAATGGGCTCTTGATTTGTGTGGGAGATCGTGGCACATCCGCCTCGACTCTTTCTCAATTTCTGTTTAATACGTATTCAAAGCTTAAAATTCTAGACATGATGAAGTCTGTGCAAGATCACGAATCTCGGTCCCCTTGTGTCGTGCTAGTGTAATACTACGTGTAATACTCGATAAAATAATAGAAGGAATGTATGAACAATATGATCTCGGCAATTACCTACTAAGATTGTATCTCGCCGATTGATGCAACTATAAATCGCAGTCACTTATCTGCAGAGGGTGCCCAAAGCAAGCATTCAGGCGCGAGAATACACTCAACGCTGCCCTAACCCAATATCCAGCTACATATGGATTGACAAGTCGTGTGTTGCAGTTGACAATTAGAGTGGTGCTCTTCTTGGTGGGTTGAACCTGGCAACTGGGAGGGCGAGATGAAAAAATGACATTTCAAAGGTTTAAAATTATAAGCCTTAATACATCAATTTTTAGCTATAATTATATAGGTCGATCCGCTGTCAGGCTTAATAAAAACTTATTTATAGCTCATAATAATATTCAGGTGATGTTCCCTCCTGCAAATTTGTTCGTATGACCGATCTTTTCTTGATGCGGTAAATTGGATGCATCCTAGGGTGGTCAAAATCGCTCCTACATGTTAGTTACGGGGCTCCAAAAGCTTCGGCAAGAGTCATCTTCGCGTGTTCGAAGTTGTAGAGCGCTGCCGCCGGCTTAAGATCCCGCGCATCTTCCGGGTAGCTTGGGTCGGTCTCAATTGGCCCGGTCATACTTACCGCGTACAACGCGAAGAAGGATTCGCCATTGTGCAATTGAGATACGCACACAGATGGCCAAGCATATACGTTCTCAAACCCAACGGTAGCTCGAGGCATTCCAGTAGCCTCGTATACGCGGATGCTGTCGACGTCCGTCGGCTGCTGTCTTTGAAAGACAATGGCAGCCAGATTGTAACACTCGGTTCTTGCATGACGGGCCGGCAAGTCATCTTTCGCGGCAAATGCTGGAACGCGAAACGTGAAACTGCGTATCTGCTCAAAATTCAACACGCGGTCCCGAGTGATACTCTTGACATCAAACGTGGCAAAAAAGAAGAAAGACCCAGATTTGGGAATAAGAATTTGCAGATCGCCAATCCGCCAACAGCCAAATCGGGCCTCAACGGCTGCGCTGAGGTCCAATTCTGGAGTTGCATCAAACCGAAAGGTTTCGGGTGTGGCAGGACATTTCTCCTCCACAAAGTCTCGCACCACTTTCGGTGCGTCTTCGTCAACTTTGTGCCATGGCTGTATATCGCCGGAAGCGCCAATGGGGTTGTTTCGCCAATGCGGAGTTGCAAATGGGCGAAACCACCCGTTGGACCACAGTGTTTCGCACATCATCGGAGTGCTGACAATACTCTTGAACGTGAGATCGAGAGGTGACATACGAGATATTTCGCTTCCCCAGATTCGATTCACGACATCTGTCATAGCTCCAGGCTCAGTGCTTGACAGGTTTTCCCATGCCAGGGCCAGAAACGCGTTTTGCTGCTCCCTTCTCTGATTGGCCTCGTCATCGTAATTCCAAAAATCGCTGGTAAAGCTGTAGATCTCCTTAATCAGAGCTAGCATACAGCATAGACCTGATGAGGCCACGGGCAGTTCGTCAGCAAAAAGTGGCCAGCTATCTCTGACCGCGAGGACTCTCTGCGCGGTGAGGTCATTTCCCCGTGGCACTCGCAGGTCGGCGTTTGTTCTCTGAGACATTGTATTTGTGTTCGTGTCTTATGTTGCAGTAGTCGAGTTCCTCTTTCTTCTTTGAGGAGGGACTATTTCGAAAGTCAAGGCAAAAACGTAGTTCTTGTTTTGTTGGATAGATGATGGGAGTGAAAGCAAACGAACGCAAAAGTACATACGTTGCACCCGCAATTGATTGATACCCACTTTATGTTCACTCTCTTAATTTCTTTCGAAGCGGCCGCTACTGGATTTGTAGGCAAACGGCTTCTGCATATGGTCTTCTGATTTCACTGTATCTACATCTACAACCATTACGACGACAATATGACAATCGAAGTCGGTTCCGCGGACGCTCCTCTCGAAAATGTCTCTACCAAGCTTCTTACAGTGTACAGAAAAGGGAAGAGCATGATTCACTTATTATGCTCCTTCGGCGAGCTGACCCGAAATCTACGCGAACCTGACGTACAAAGGCGACTCGAACTAGCCAAAATAAAAGCCAACGCTACTATTGACTGTTTCGAGCAGGATATGCTGAAAGGCTATATTATTCCAAAGTTGACAGTGGCGATGAATCCCGTCATTATCGAGTCTCTGCTTCTGGGCACAATCGCTTACGACGCCCAGGAGCTACCAAGGAACGCATGGCCAGATTGCTTTGGCCCTGGCATTTATGCCGTTGGACTCGCAGTAAGAGGCCGAAGAGGCAAATTCTTACGCGGTCGCGAGCTTCTCTTAGTCGCGGACGCAATTGCAGAATACGCCGACGGCTGGGATAGCTTGCAAGCCCCAGATCCAAAAACGCTGCAACAGCAGGACAAAATCAAGCTGGCACAGAGTATGGAAGACAGGATTATGCAAACAACTCGCATTTCCATAGCTCCAAGCTTGCGATTCATCACAAACTCCGCTGATGCTGCAAGAGTCAGACTTCTTGCTGAAAGACTGCAATTTCGCGCCAATGCTTCACTAGCCGTCGACCCTAACAGCACTACAATAATGGTCCAGAGTCCGCTGTATATCGGTTGCTCTACCGATCTGAAGGATTGTACAGCTAAATTTGAGCTGTCAAACGTGACTCGTATCAACAAGCTTCTAGGACTTACTGTCACAGCCATGGAGTACTGCCGATACGATCCGGTTTTGGCTGTCAAGCCTGTCTTGCGTATTTGGGATAATAACCACTTGCCAGTAGCTGAGCGAATGGTCTCAGCATTTGCAAGCTCATTGGTCGCCTTGGATGGTTTTAATGCAACTGAAGCTGGAGGCAAACCATCCAATGTGGGTGCTTCCATGCTGTCAGCGATCAAACAAAGTGTGTTCTATTATGAGCGCTTCCACGCCAATAATGTCAGAGAGGCCAGGAAAGCTTTCCAAGATAGAATCGACTACTTGGAAAAGGTTTCTAAGTTGGATCAAGACCAACGCCGCCTCATAGACAGAGCTGTGGCCCTGAAGGAAGAATTCGAGTCTGCGATTCGAGGCCACCGACTTCGAACATCGAGCGAACGCATTGCCGAAGTGGCCGAACTGCAGCGCCGGCTGGACGCGATCGAAGCGCGGGTGGATGCCTTCCAGAAGAAAGTAGACCTGGCACAAGGACACTTGCAAAACGTGAGGCCGATCATAGACTTCTTGATCAAGAAGGGCTTACTGTCCGATGCGGCCGACGTTGTTGTTCCAAGGTCGCCCGAAACCACGAGCGACGACCTTCAGTCTGCCTCAGCGAATGACAGCATGATCATTCAGTGCACTGATGACACGATCATATGTCGCACCGACAGCCCGAGCTGATGTATTGACTTGTAAATTCTAGCTTCTATAGGTGCCAGGCAGTCAACAAGTATATATTGCAATCAATTTCAAGTCGTGTAATACAGAGACATCTGCTGGTACACCGCTCTTTCATTTGCTAGCTTCTTCACATTTGTAGGCCCGACATACCAAGGCTGCCATATCATGTGATACCTGGTGCCGTACGATCGTATTTTCCGCTGGGCTGTTTCCCCTAGAAAGCCTCGCACACGCATATGACTTCTTGACGGAATATGTTCCACTTGTATGTCTTGCGCAGAAAAAGTCTCAGGACTGCAGTACCGATGCGTTGACATGGCACGGCAGTTGATGCCGTCATATTTGAGGCTGCACCGGAAGGGAGCTTATCCATTGCCGGCCCGTCCATATCACGACATGTAAATCTATTCATCACCGCTTGCCGCAATGTGCTATTCGAAGCCGCAACTATTTTTAGGACCGGCTCACAGACGACACTGGCAGACCTTAGCAATGTCTCAGCTTACACCTGAGGTGTCACACAGCTGGCGCAATATTGCAATGCATCAGGACACGGGTAAATCTTGGTTTGCGTCTTTGCCTGAAGATGACTGTAGCTCGAGTTGACGGACACTTTGTTTCACCAGACGTCGAAGATAATATGGGCGTCGGATTAGAATCGCTACTCGTAGGAGGCGTAGCCTGGCGCTCTAGCCAGCATTTCATGGCTTTAGCCACAATGATCACTGCGTTCAGAGACGCCGTTTACGCATGAAGCGTTTAGGTTATTATGCCATTGGCTTACACTGACATATCAGTGTTGCGTATCCCTGCCCATTTCGGGGAAAGTAACAAAAATGCGGAAGGAGAGCCGTCAGGTCCGGAACACTATACAGGAAACTAGAGGTGCGTCAGTGCGTCATGTGGTGTTCCGAGACTGTTACACTGCTTTGGCGTCAGAAGCAATGACTACGTGCATCACATTGGGTGGCAGAGAGACTCGTCGAGAAAAAGTCGGTATAAAACCGCCATCTTGTGCGATGCGACGGGACTATGGGGAGTACGACAGCAATGAGGCTCCGGTGTCGAAATGGAAATTGCAACTTATATTGGGCGACTTCGATTAGCGGACAGACCAAGTCGACACGGTAGCGTCGCAATGGTGAAGTAGCGATTGGCTCCTCGATTAGCATTAGCAGTCATGCCAGCCCACCAATGCCGTGACTCCGACTGTAATAACTTTGGTGAGTAGTAGGCCGACGGCAAGTCATCTGCCATGGTATGTGCATCGATTGGAATCTGGACTACACCGGACACAAGGTCGACGGACGGTGGGAAGTTGTCCTGACAGCTACTGTAATTTATTCGCGCAAGCCTCCTATCGAATGTCTCACATGGCGAAGCATTGCTGCATTGGCATGGCGATTTCTGGTGCAGCTGTATCGCAGAGGCGGCATAACTGATCGATCAGCAATGTTGAGTTCGTTGGTGGCGTACGAGTGTGTGAAGTCACGGTGACTGGTAGCGGGTTGCACCGCTGCGATAGCGGGCAAATCTGTTATCATTTGCGTGTATTGAAATAGTTCGAGCCTGACAAATGGTTCGTGGTTGAGAATTGTTTTCCTGCTGTCGAGTTTGCAATGTTTGGAGTTTCGTAGCTCTCTGGTATGCGCCTTGCATGGATTAGCGGGGCTGGGAAGCCTGACCTGTTTGGAGAGGCGAGTTCTGGATATATGAGAAGCAGATTTGAATTGCTGGCTAGATGGATAGGAATGCGGACTGGTCCGAAGGGAGAAGAAGCTGGTCGCCGGGGCGGGAAGCAAAGCTGAATATGCGCATGGAGTGTTATTGTCAGGGTGAGGCGACGGCGGCGGGCGGCAGTCTGTGTGGTGGTGCAGCACAGGTGCCGCCCCCGCCGAACGGGCACATTGGCCAGATTCAAGTATCAACGGATGAATAAGGGTAAAAAGAGAAGCACTGTGACAGAGAGGGGTCCAGAATGATTGCAACACTGAGCCAGGACAAGATGGGATCTGCAGCATGCAGCAGACGACTCGGAGTCGAACTGCCAGCTGCCAGGTACAGACGACATTAGAAAGGAGCCTCTGAGTGGTGAGGCGTTCAAAGTGGCGCACGGTGGAGTTCAAGGCCTGAACAACGCTGGACAGGCCTGGCCTGGCCCGGGCTGGCCCAGCACGCTAGGCCGGGTACCCTGGTGGGGCTTTCAGGCGGCTGGTTCGACCTGCCCAGCCGTCTGCCTTGCAAGGTCCAGACTATATCATACTTTGCTGAGCTAATTAGACAATTGCAAGAGTTGTCCGTAGTGTTTAGTGATGAAGGGTTCGGACATTTGCCGACGGTGGAGGAATTTTTTATTCAGTTCTTGTTGATCGAGAGTCTGGGGTCAACGCCTGCCCTCAGTCAATAGAAGTGGGCCCTGGGTTATGGTTGGCACAACCTCAACCCGCTGCAGCTGCACCTGCCAGTTTACGTAGCCTCCCATGTCCCTTGTACCATGTACCTACCTCCTAGCTTGGCCATAATCTACATTTTATCAATAATACCTTTTCTTTTTTGCGACGCTCGCCACTCTTTTCTTTCTTTTTTCTCATTTTCACTTTGCTTTCTAAATTGTTAATTTGCCATTGCCACTCCTCACCGGTGCCAAAAAAAACTCATCTGCCCTGGAACGCCCGACTTGCACTTTGATCGATCCCGTCAACCCATCTCCAAGGCTGTTTGTCGCTGTTTGTCTGCCTGCTATCCGCACTATTCTCAACACACCTTCAACTCCAGCTTCCCCCCGGTAGCCTACCGTTCATTTAACGAGGGCATTCCAGCGTTGACCAGATTCCACCAGGGCTCACATCTCGATTCTTATTACACCGGCCTGCGACACCGCGACCCCTCCACGGTAACCCCTCCACGGCTCAATTTTCATCCACTTTTTGTGCGCGCCTCGTACCATCTTAATTAGCCGCGTTGCTTTTCATTGTACAGACCGAAGGAAAAAGACGCCTCAGTGGACAGAGGCCTCGCATTTTTGTGACACCATCATCAGCCTTGTTTCTTTTTTTGCTCTCCATCTGGTCCTACGATACCCCAGCTTGGACTGGCATCTTGGTCCCTGGACTAATCCCGGTTTGCCTCTTGTCCCCAGTTTCTCTCAATTATATCCAGGCCCACTCGCTAAGACCAACAAAAGTCGTCGAAAAAAAAAACGCCCGCTGCGCCTGGCCAAAACTCTATCCTTTGAGGCTCTCTTCCTGCCATCACCTTGTCGTCTCTTCTATTTACTTTGCCCGCGTTTTACTCTCTCGAACTTGTTCTACTCTGTGCATCGGCAGTACTCAATAGCTTTGGCCGTCTTGGTTGCCCGATTCATTGTCCCTTGTCCTGACACAGCCTTGCTCCACTGGCCTCACAGTCCAAATCTCACCTCAGCGCCTCGTCCATTCGCTCTGCTGCGACTCAGCCACAGATAGATATCTCGACTCGACATTGACCCGTCTCATTGTATCAGAAATCAAAATTGGCTCAATTTTTGCCGACATGCCTCATCCCACTCTCAAGGCCACTTACGCCTCGAGGGCTGCCACGGCCACTCATCCTCTCAATGCCTACCTCTTCAAGTTGATGGATCTCAAAGCCTCAAATCTCTGCCTGAGTGCTGATGTCGCCACCGCCCGCGAGCTTCTCTACTTTGCCGACAAGATTGGTCCCGCTATTGTTGTCCTCAAAACACATCATGACATGGTCTCGGGCTGGGACTTTCACCCTGAGCACGGTACCGGCGCCAAGCTCGCTGCTCTGGCGCGCCGACATGGCTTCCTCATTTTTGAGGATCGCAAGTTTGGAGATATTGGCAATACTGTCGAACTGCAGTACACCAGTGGCTCCGCACGCATCATTGAATGGGCTCACATTGTCAATGTCAACATGGTCCCTGGCAAGGCTTCTGTCACTTCGCTGGCCAATGCTGCCTCTAGGTGGCTTGAGCGTTACCCCTGTGAAGTGCGAACATCGGTCACCGTCGGTACCCCCACCACGGAACAGTTTGAGCATGAGGACGAGGAAAAGAATGTCGCCCCCGCCACCCAAGATCCTCCCCCTGTGCCTCAACGAGAAGATGGTCGCAAAGGGAGCATTGTTTCCGTCACCACAGTTACACAAAAATACGAATCCGCTCTATCACCCCGCATGAATAAGGGCATCAGCGAAAATGATGAGGTGCTGTTTCCTGGCATCGAGGAGGCCCCGCTGGAGCGTGGTCTGCTCATCCTAGCGCAGATGTCGAGCCAGGGCAACTTCATGAACAAGGAGTACACACAAGCCTGCGTCGAGGCCGCTCGCGAGCACAAGGACTTTGTCATAGGTTTTGTGTCGCAGGAGGCTCTTAACACGCAAGACGACGATGCATTTGTGCACATGACACCCGGCTGCCAATTGCCACCCGCAGGCGACTCCGACGGCACGCTCAAGGGCGACGGCAAAGGCCAGCAATACAATACCCCCGCAAGCATCATCGGTGTTGCCGGCTCCGACATTGCCATTGTCGGTCGAGGCATTATCAAGGCCAACGATCCTTTTGAGGAGGCTGAACGGTATAGGTCAGCTGCGTGGAAAGCGTACACAGAAAGAGTGCGGTGATTGCATCACTTCGCCTTTGATTTGCATATACTTGGCTTGCTTTGGTTATACTTATTAGGCTGCTTTCATATTAACGACATGGTCTTGAATGACTTGCCTTGACGGGGCTATATACGAGTTTTGAGCTTTGTCTTGTTTCGCTTCCTCCTTGTACATGAAAGATGGAAGACGTTGTCGCCCAGGCATGAAGCATTTGAAAGGAAAAAGCATCGTGATGATTCGTTTACTGAGTAGAATGAGAAATCGAGAGATATGATTTAACGGTTGTATTCGAAGTGGTTTTCGCACGCTCATTGGTTGCCTTGTCATATATTCGGAACCTCTTTTCTTCAAACTTTATAATAAGAGTCTTGGCCATCAGCTTGGGCCAAGCGGCAGTTCTCCCGCCCCACCCAACACGCGGAGTTAACGGCTGTACACAGATCCAACCTTTTTTGAGATGCAATCGTCGAGTCACGTCATTAATAATACAATAATACAGGATGGAGCTAATTTTTCTTTGCAACAACCGATTTCCGCCTTCTTCGTTCATCATCTCGTTCTTCTCCCTCTCCAGCGACGTAGGGAAGTCGTCTCGTAGTGCAATACCAGCTGGCCGTTCGCGACAGACCGGCACTACCTAGAGACCTTGAGTCGCTTGGTCTGTTTGCGCATTGTTTCGTATTCACGGCGGTTCTTCTCGAGAGATTGAATTTGGTCTTGTGACAATTCGACGTACATTGTTGCGCGTACACCACTACGAATTTACCTTGTACGAGGAACCTCCCACTATGGCCGATATGATTGGATTAATGGTCGAGTCGCGCCCGCCAACGAGAAAGAGGAGACGAGTCGTCATTTCTTGCTTCGAATGCCACCGGCGCAAGCAAAAGGTACAGCAAAGACTATCCCCGGCACTTTCAGGCTTTCTTTTCCAGCTTGCATTACCTCTTGCTAACATTTCTGCCTGTGATAATACAGTGCGATAGAGAACTACCATGCGGAAACTGCATCGCTCGCAATCGAGAAGCGAGCTGCGCCTACGAGGCCGCTGCGCCGACATCAAAGAACCTTAAGGAAGTCGGCGACGTATCGACAAACTCGTCCGACGGATCGCATACCACGGCGCGCACTTCGCCCAGCCAGCAGGCCACCGATCGTTGTCACAGCACCGGCGACGACCCGACGCTGTCCTCCATGGCCGCGGCGCTGGGCTACTCGCAAACGCGGCCCTCGACGCTGAGCCTCCTACGCACAATTGAAACCGCCGACCAGCAGCCCGGCCCCGGAGGTCGCACATCATCATCACATCATCAAACCGCCGCCGCGGAGAGTGAGCTGGCTCCGATCCGCGAAAAATACAAGGGCCTCGTGCGGCAACTCCCCGCCAAAACGTACGTGGACCGGCTGGTCGGCATGTACTTCAAGGACTTGCACCACCAGTATAATTTTCTCGACCAGAGCATCTTCTACGAGCAGCTTGAAGAGTGGAACCGATTACCGTTTGCGTTGCTATCGACGCCCGAGCGATTGCCGCTACGGATGCGCTTCTTCCCCGCGCTGCTGTTCCAAATTCTCGCCACGGCGTTGCTGCTACTGCCGCCGCCGGGCACCCCAGATCCCGTCTTTGACGCGCTCAAGTACGCAGGCGGCATGACGTTTGAGAACCTGGCGACGGATTATAGCGATTCGGGTGCGGCGATTGTAAATTTGTTCGGCAAGAGCGCGCTCGACGAGGTAACGGTGCAGGCGCAGTTTATACGAGCACTGTTTCAAAAATATACGGCTCATGTAATTGAGTGTGTAAGTGCAGTCCATGGTTTCTATATTAATTTTTTTGCGGCTGGAACTGACATGGAATAGTGGCATGGCATTGCAGCGGCGATTCGCGATGCTCAGGAACTGGGCATGCACCGCGATGCTCTAGATCCGAAACCCGAAGACTCGAGTGTGGAGAGCATACTCAAAAACCAGTGGCGTATTTTGCATAGAAGGAAGATGTACATGATGCTAGTGACCTGGTAAGTGACCTTTTCCCGTCTCCCCTATTCGGCGAACTGACTGGTGCTGCGCAGGGACGCCAACATGGCCGTCTTCCTAGGCCGTCCGGGCAGCGTCGTCTGGTCCCACGGGCTCCCCTCGCTACCGACCGACGCGTCGACCCCGACTGACTTCTCCAAGATGCCGGTCGAGCCGCGTGACGATGCGGTTGAGCCGCCCACGCTCATCACCCGCCAGCTCCTCCTCTTCAAGCTGGTCGAACCGCTGCGGCTCGTCCTCGACCTCGAGCCCGACGGCTCGCACCCCAAGGACTTCTCCAAAGTCGACCACGTGCACCAAATCATGCGCACCGTCCACTCCGAAGTGCCGGCCGCGTTTCGCCTCGCCAACCCGGACCGCCGCTGGGACGAGCACCCCACATGCGCGCCCTGGATTCATCAGACACGGTTGCACATGGAACAGATGTACTACTTTGGCGTCATGGCGCTGCACCGGCCCTACATCTTTCACCGGCGCGCGAGTCGCGAGGCGGCGCTGCGCGCGGCTGTCGACATGCTCGGCATTCAGCGCCAGACGTTTGACAGGCTGCCGCTGGTTCAGTGGCGCGGCTTCCACCTCTTCTTTGGAAGCTTTGACGCCGTCGTCGTCGTCGCGAGCATCTTTATCCTGTTCCCGCGCGAGAATCCCGGGCTGCGCGACAGCGCGGTACGGCGGTTCCACTGGACAATTGCCAAGTTTGAGGCAATTCGCGAGCACAATGCGGTGGCGCGCGCCGCGCAGGGCGTGCTGAATGCCATTCAGGCGCGCTTCATCAAAGCTGTCGGCAGCTCGGTGCCCGGGCCGAGCCCCGACGCGGAAGCGCCGCTGGATGAGCCGACGCCGCCAGACCAGACGGCAGACGGCAACCGAGCAGGTTTGGTCATGAGCAGCAACACGTCGACGAATGGTCTGTCGCTGGGCATCTCGACGAGCGATGAGGACAGCGCGGCGGGATCGTGGGCCAACGACGTGAACGCGTGGTCGCTTCCCGAAGAGAGTCTGTCCGCGCTGGCGCCCATCTACCCCACGTCGGATCTGGTCTTCAACGACCTGGTCGCCAAATACGGCGAGTCGGACCTGGAAGGCTGCGCATTGGGCCTGATCGGCACGCAGCAGCAGCAAGCGCCAGGTGACGGGTTTGGCATGTCGTGCCAGTTTGACGGAGACTTTGCGGTGGACAATACGTTTTGGCAGTTTATGAATCAGTTCAACCCAGAATTTACGGGTTGAGCTGGCACGGCAAGATATAGAGTGATTTTTTCGGGCCGACGTGGCATTGACCACGAAGCGGGTTATGGCAGCTGAGTAGATACCATATAGACGATGACAGCAATCCTGTTTTGATTTCAAATAGGAAGTAAATACTGCAGATCGGACCCAGACTTAAAGAAGATGGAAAGCGCAGGGGGGCTACACATCGAGGGATTTGTGAAAGGCACATTTCACACATGATATAGCGCTTGCACAAACACATGCCGGTGCAAACCAACAATCAGACCGGCATGGAACGGTCCCTGGCAAACAAGCAGCTAATAACTAAAAAGAGAGTGATGCAAAGAATGAAAACCTGATCAATAAATATGCAAAACCACAACTGGCCCGTGGATGTATGTCATGTCATTCAGCTACCACCTTTATACCCATTGTACAATGAACGTTGGCGCCGCATAGGACAAACTGAAGTGACTAAACAAGTATGGCATGTTGCATTGGCGGGGCGATTCTTCCTTCTTTTGATACACGTGCCACACACCAAACACTTCATTGTGGTGGGTTATGCATCGCTTAACGCTGGTTGCCAATTTCATTAGGGGCTAGCTGATTGGCAAACCGGCGTGGAGAGATGAAACAGTATAGAATCAGACAAACGCCACAAAGCTCCGGGGCTAACATAATTTAAGGGTGTAGTTCGCCGTTGACAAGTAACCCTCGTCCGAGAGAGCCATTGAGCGTATTAGCGCCGAGCGTAACAGGAGGGTGTTGCGGCTTCGCAAGCCATGCAAATGTGTCTTGGAGACTAGCTATTTCTCTCCACACAGAGCGGGATGTTGCTCTGTCTGAAACCCTACCATTCTATAATTCGTTCGAGGTAAGAGATGACCGGTACTCTTATCAAGTGGCCCGTCACACACCCCAACGCTGCTTGTAAGTCAGGTTATTATTCATTATCGCCGTTGTTGCAAAGAGCAAAAATAAACTGGGGCGTTTTTAAGAGAATTGGGTCAATTCTCACTCTCTTCTTCATTTTCTGGGGCGGAATCGCGCTAAATCGATTCGACTGTTGGAAAAAAAAAGGTAGAAAAAAAAACCACCAGTCACGTTGAGCCCTCGTGATTGGCGATTTCAGGCACGGCGCTTAACACAAACCTGCAACAGAAATTACGCCCTGCAGCTTTCATGTGCTGGCTGTTTCTGACGGGTTAATTGATCTCGCCAGCCTCACCTGCGGCTCAGTTTCCCTCTCTTTCTCTCTCTCCTCTACAGCCGTTTCCCCAGACGAACCAACGAACGAAAAAGTCTTTACTGTTTCCACGACTTGTCTCGATTTGATATATCTTTGATGCCGAGCGCACCTTGCACGTACGCACACGATTTCACCCATACGAACCATCATATACCTACAAGCGCAAAATGTCAAAAGCGTTACCCTCCAAACCCGCCCCGAGCCAGGACAATATCATTGCGTTTGTCCACCGCTATAATGACTTGATGCGCGTCCGAGATTCCACAGATAAACTCATCGAGGTATGCAAACGGCCCATGGTTGGCGAAGTTGGGCGATGCTATCGTGGACCGCAGAGTGGCCCGACTGACGCACAACCCTCTTTTGAACCTGTAGGATATTCTATTATACTGCCAGGGCCTCGAGCGTGCCCTAGAACAGGAGACGGGCCGCCTCCAAGGCGAGCTGCACAGCTGCCAGATCGACCTCGCCGACGCAAATGCCTCGCGCCGCGAGCTCGAGCAGAAGTTGTCACATACCGAATCCGAGATGCTCTCTCTATATAAGGAAAATGATACATACAAGGTGGGTGGTAGTGGTGGTGACAGTGGCCGTTGCGCCCACTTAGGCAGCGATGCAGTGGCATCGTTTTGTGCGACATGCCAGAGCATTGAGTGCCTACGGTACGGTAGAGATATTGGGCTCTAACACGAACATTTGCGTAGACACGAAATCCATATATTGTAGTCCTGATTGACGGAGATGGCCTACTGGTAAGCTCACCCGACACCTGCTGCAACGAAGAGGGTCATGAAAAGACTGACAGTGCTGGCAGTTTCAAGATGCTTGGATACGACAGGGCGTCGAGGGCGGCAAAAAGGCGGCCAATGCCCTGCGCAGCTCCGTCGCCCGGCAGTGGACCGACAAGAGCAGAGACACGCAAATTGTGGCCAAGGTGGTAGCTGACTGGGCCGGTCTCGCTCGCTCCTTCCGCGGCTACGACTTGCGCGACTTTGCCACCGGTTTCACCCAGGGCCACGTCGCCTTTGACTTTGTCGACATCGGCAGCGGCAAGGAGCGGCGCGCCGAGCCCAAGATACGCGGTTCGTCCACATCCCCACGCTTCGTCGTACATGCCACAAGTGTCAAACATGCTTTACTAACACGGGCCTAACAAGACAACACCCGCTGGCACCTGCGAAACCAAAATTGCCGGCAAATCCTGCTCGGCGTCGCTCCGGAGGGCAGCTACTCTGGCTTCCTCGAGGACCTGTTCCGCACCGACCCCGCGGCCCGCGACCGCGTCAGCATCATCGAAGGCGGCGTCGCCCTCACCGCGGACCTGAAGGCGACCGGCGCCAATACGACCCGTCTCGACAGGGACCTCTTTCGCGCCGACAAGCCCGTCGAGCGCATCCCAGTCCACGCCGTCTCCGCTGCCGTCGGCCGCACCGCGAGTCCATCCGGCAGCGTCACCTCCAGCGGCGGCGGTGCCAACTCGTCGACGTTTTCGTACGCCCATGCCATTACTAACGGTACGCCGCCGCCGACGATGAGCATCCCCCTCGCGCCCAACAAGCCCAGCCCACGGCCCCCCAGAACCAGCCCCCACGGCACCACCACCAACATCCCCTCACCGTCGTCCCCGTCCTCGCCCCAGTACCAAAAGATTCCGCCTCAGCAGCCTGACTGGAATCCCGGCGCGCGCGGCCTCGACGAGCCCATTATCGTCAACGTTGCCGTCATGGATGCCGTCAAGAAACGCAAGGACACGGACAAGCTCTGTAATAATCATTTCCTCCGCGGGCCCTGTGCCAAGGGCGACGGCTGCAACTTTGTGCACGTCTACAAGCCCAACGCCGAGGAGATCAATGCCATTGCTGTCCTGGCGCGGCAAAATCCGTGCACGCACGGTCAGGACTGCGAGAACTGGGAGTGCATATACGGACACCACGTGGGTTTTCCCGTGCCAAAACGGCCGTAATTCGTGTGTCGGATGGCTAACACTGTACAGTGCCCGAGTATCAGAGATGGCGTCTGCACGCATCCCTATTGTAAATTCGACGAGGATCAACATCCTCCCGGAACGAAATTCACCTTGGTCAAGTCTGGCCGATGAACAGAAAAACATATTGTCAACCCATCTCACGCACAGTTCGATAAAGTACTTGCATCTTCACGAAATCAACCAAACGGTGCTGAAGCGAACCTGAAAAATTGTGCCAGCTCCTATTTTTTTTTTCTACTATCATGTACAAGTCTTGCTCAGAAGAGAAAAAGCGGCGACGAGGAACCCGCATACCCTGGATTGCTTGTCCAATCTTGCTTCTTTTCTCTGCTTTGCTGTGTATCTGTACACACTTCTCATACTTTTATTAGCCCTCTTTCGGGTATTCTTGTCGCTTTTTCGCAATCTGGTCAGGATAGCATTTTTGCTGGTTATACCAAGGGGCTTTGGCATATCGTGTAGCCTCGCTTGGCTTTGTATAGCTTTCTGCCTGTACTAGTACTGAAACAGTAGTGGTTCTCCAGAGGGGTCACATGTGCTGAACAATAACAATTGCTCTTCCTCATTTTGCTATTTCCGAGGTTTCGTCACTAATTTCGCAGTTTGAATTGATGAAGCAAATACGGGATGGTGGCTCTCGGAGCCCCTCCGACTTACAGATCGGGGCCTGTAGGGCGCGCGAGCTACTACACATCCGCCGCCAACGGCACCTTCCAATCCTTCAACTACCATCCGTCTTTCACACCCTTCAACCACGGCCGTGAAAAAGGAATTCTTGCCCGTTTCTGGTTGCAGCCATGGATTGCCCTGTCCTCATACTGGACGGCGGCCTCGGCACGTCCCTCGAGCAAAAGTACAGCTGCAAATTTGACCACCGCACGCCGCTCTGGTCCTCGGACCTGCTCGTCTCGGACCCGGCGCTCCTCGAGCGGTGCCAGGCCGATTTTGGCCGCGTGCCCGTCGACGTGCTCCTCACCGCAACGTACCAAGTCTCCGTCGCAGGCTTCGCGCGCACCCGCACCCGCACCAGCAGCCCAGCCCACCCCGACGGCATCCCGCGCGCGCGCATCCCGCACTACATTCGCGAGGCGGTGCGCATCGCCCACCGCGCCGCCACGGAAGGACGCATCGCGCTCAGCGTGGGCCCGTACGGCGCGTGCATGACGCCGAGTCAAGAGTACAGCGGCGCGTACGACGACGCGCACAGCAGCGAAGAGGCGCTGTACGCATGGCACCGCGACCGTCTGGCGCTCTTTGCGGCAGCGGTGGAGGGCTGCGACGAGGCCGCCCGCCGCATCGGGTTCGTGGCGCTGGAGACGGTGCCCCGCGTCGACGAGATTGTCGCGATGCGTCGCGCGCTGGCGGCGGCGGCGGCGGCCGCCGCCGCCGCTGCTACTTCTTCCGGACCGCTCGCCGCCGTGCCGTGCTGGGTGTCGTGCCTGTTTCCCGGCGACGACGAGTGTCTGCCCGACGGCAGCAGCGTCGAGGCAGCGGTGCGCGCGATGCTGGATCCGACGCCCGCGCCGCCGGCGTGGGGGGTGGGCATCAACTGCACAAAGGTGCACAAGCTCGACGCGCTGCTGCGGAAATACGAAGCGGCGGTGGAAAAGCTGAGGAGGGAAGAAGAAGGAATGGCGACAGAGGCGTGGCCGGCGCTGGTGCTGTACCCAGATGGGACAAACGGCGAGGTGTACAATACTGTGACGCAGACGTGGGAGTCCAAGGAAGAAGCGGGCGCAGCGGAGAGGGGCCCGTGGGCAAAGCAGCTGGCAGAGGTGGTGAGGGCGACGAGGAGACGAGGCCGCTGGAGGCAGATTGTTGTTGGGGGGTGCTGTATGGCGGGCGCGGAGGACATTGCGGCCTTGAGGGCCGAGCTCTTATAACCCCGGCATACTAGCAGATACAGACATACAAGGTTGGCATCGATAATGATAAAATAACACGTGCATGTAATCCGACTCTTAAGGAACCCTCATAGACCGTTTTCTGTTCTGTGAATGCAAAACACCTGTACCAGATGATGCCTGCCGTGCCGTTGTCGTGGCCGTGATACAAACTAAAAGTCCGAATCCACCCCACAATTGCGGTTCAAACCAGAGGGGCGCGAAAAACGGTGAACCTGGCACCAACAGCTCCAGAGACCATCTGAGGAAACATGTCCAAAGTCTTCATCGTCACCGGTGCCAGCAAGGGCATCGGCGCCGCCGTCACGCGGCACCTCCTCGGACACCAGCACAATGTGGTGCTGACGGCGCGCTCGGGAGACCTGCTGAAGCGCGTGCAGGCAGCGCATCCGGGCCAGGTGGAATACGTGGCGGGCGACATGGCGGATCCTACGGTGTGTTTCTTCTTAACGAAACGAGAAAACGGAATCAAAAGAAAGGATCCCGAGGCTAATATGCCTGCCGAGCTAGATTGCCACGAAGCTGGCCGAGGTAGCTGTCGCCAAGTTTGGCCGCATAGACGGCGTCGTCATCAACCACGGCGTCCTTGAGAACAAGAAGCTGGCCGACATGAGCGTGGAGAATTTTAGAAGCATGTACGAGATCAACGTCGTCAGCTGCTTTGCCATGGTAGGTACAAAACCAGGCACCGTCATAAACAGGCTGACCTTTTCATAGGCCAAAGCAGCACTTCCTCAACTACGCAAGAGCAAAGGCTGCATTGTCTGGGTTTCCTCTGGCGCCGCCGTCAAAACATACCAGGCTTGGGGCGGCTACGGGTCGTCCAAGGCGGCAATCAACTCGCTGTCAAGTCATCTGGCTGCTGAGGAAAAGGACATTACGAGCATTGCCATCCAGCCCGGTCGCGTGGACACCGACATGCAACAGCTCATCCGGGACACGGGGTCCGACACCATGGACAAGGCCGTCTACGACACATTCGTGCAGGCCAAGGAGACTGGAGGGTTGTTGAGGCCGGAGCAGCCTGGTAACGTCATAGCACGGTTTGTAGCCTCTCCGCACAAGGAGCTCAGCGGCAAATTTACAGGGTAGGGTAAAGAGAATCGCAGTCGACGAACCTGGCTAACATGAGATAGTTGGAACTCACCTGAATTGGCTGCCTACCAAGAGTAGGAGCAGATGCGTCGAAAAGGTCATAGACACTATTAGAATACTTGTTAGCCGTGTTTCAATCATGTAATGGCAACACAGATAGACAAGGGGTTTTTTGCAATCAGTCGAAAGATGAAAAGCTCTTATTTTACTCCACATGGTAATTCGGTATTAGCATGGAATATAAGATTGTATCATCACAGCAAGGGTTCACGGCAGCAATGCAAATGTAGTCCTTACCATTTCAAAATTCATCGGGCGTTGTCGAGGAGTATCGATGGCGGTCGTGTACGAGGAAGCCTAGTCATGGATGATTAGCTCGAGATCGACAAACGCACGAGACGACGCGAGCAGGGTAGCCACAACTACAGTGTAGTCGTTTCAGCAAGTGTCATTGGCTTGACTTGGTCATTCGGCATTGGAAGCTTGTCGGACCTCCTAAGCCTGGGGCGACAACATATCTCATCATAGAAGACCAGACGTGGCAGGACGAAGAGGATGCTCGGGGAGAAGCTGAGGCTTACCTGTTAGAGAAAGAGAGGGAAAGAATGTCATCACAGAGAATGGCACACTGCGTTATTGCATCTGTCGAGCTCGTCAAGAGCGACAGCAAAGAAGCGTGTACGTGGCATTCGTGGTGATGGTAAGAAGTGAAAGCAAGTCAGAAATTTCAGAGCCAAAATTTCTGTCTAAAAAGGGTTCAGCGTGGAGCTGGTCCGTGCACGACAGCTTTTTGCTGATGGTACCTGGGTGGGCCCGAGGATATCTCGGTGACAGATGAAAAGATGAAGATATTCCAAAAACCTTCGAAACATTTGACAGGGCGATAAATTTTGAAAGAATTTACCATCTACGAGACCTTATCTGATTATGGCTTGGTTCAATGACGATAATTCACTGTAGGACGTACCGATGCAAGCGGTGGGCTCAAGGTTTCCTGCTCTCTCATTGGTCACGTCCCTTCACAGGGCTTAGTTTTGTTCGGCTTTGACACCGAGGCCAGCTCCTTCATACAAATTTGCTGTAGTAGAGGCCACTAAATACGTCCGCGGTGTACTATCTGCCACCTAATTCACGTAATTCTGAAGCCATCGTTATTTTTCTTTGGAGGCCTAGCCGGCGGGCTCTGCTCTGGCGCTCGCAGCCTCGTCTCAAGCCAGCTCGTCACAGGCTGGTGCGTCTTCAGCCGGCTCGTCATAGGCTAGCTAGATGCTTGATGATTACTTTCTTTAGCTTGATGATAGAAAAATAAGTTAGATATTATAGCAGTGGTATTTTTATCTTGTACTTGATTTTTGTATAGTCAGTGGTGCTACAATAAACTTCTTCACGAATGTTACGTACAATCAAGGCCAACGCCACAATACGCACTTCAGCCACAAATTGTCGACAGACCCGTTTTCTGCAGCCTGGTTGCCACATGTCGATAGCTGCACTGTAATTAGACAACATCTGCACGTCTGAACAACTTTAATCATCGGATGCTTGGGCTTGTTCGACTTCCTATCGAGAGATCTATTCTACTTTCGAGCTCTCGATTTCATGCAGCTGCCTCTGCAATAAAGCTTATCTCGAAGAGCAACATGATTGGAGCCTGCGTCAACCGCAATTTGGAATCGGCAGCCACCCCGCCAGCTTGGTTCACGCCCACCGGGACGCCGAACAGCCCGAGTCTATCTCGCTTTCGTAAATAGAGACCAGGCTGCTCAGTAAAATTGCTCGAGCAAAACTTCTTTGATTGTCTCTGCTAGGTCCTCTTTTGGCGCATCACCCGCTTCACGGCTCTCCACAAGGAGCTTGCTAGTGCCGCTATGCCGCATGCGCCAATGCCTAGACTGGTCACAGCACAGCAAAAAGTGCGCCACCGGCCAATCACCACAGCCATCTCACCAATGGCGCAATTTTGTAGAGGCAAGTCTCGGTCGGTTCTTCTCGTCCGGCCTCTTGGTGTGTCGTGTGTGTCAATCCGTTCCCTGGTTGTGCAAAAAAGAGGGGGTGCAGGAAGCAAGAGCCAAGCTCGATGCAGAAGTTGATTCCATAGAGCAAAATACTATATATTCAGAGTGGTGCCTGGTTCGCATTTACCCATTCTTCAACGTGCCCCGACCTAGCCTTACCCCCAACCGCCCAGCTACGACATATTCAACCTACCACGTCATAGAGCGGGCGGCGATATAAAAAATGGGTGGTGATCAAACATTGTCCGACGACTCTGTCGTGGACCACAGGCAGGCAGACTATGGCAGTATCGATCTGAGCGATGATGATACCGTCATTTCCAAAGGCTCGCTGAATCCCGTGTACGAGGCCAAGGCCAAGATTCTCAACCGCGCAGTAAGTGATTGTCAGCTTCACGTACGGCCACGAGTAGATATACACTCGTGACGGTCGCGCACAGCAAAGACAATCACAATACTAATTATGCGCCTCTAACTATAGATTCAAGATATTGGCATGGGTTGGTATCAATGGCAGCTCTTCGTCGTCGTCGGATTCGGCTGGGCAAGCGATAACCTGTGGCCCGTCGTCACCTCGCTTATTCTCAAACCGATTGCCAACGAATTTCTGCCCACCCGCCCGCCGCTGCTTGTCCTAGCCCAGAACATCGGCCTCCTCGCCGGCGCTGCCTTTTGGGGCTTTGGCTGTGACATCTTTGGTCGCAAATGGGCTTTCAACCTGACCCTCGGCCTTACTGCATTTTGGGGCCTCATCTCGGCCAGCGCCCCGAATTTCGCCGCCATTGGCGTGTTCAATGCCCTATGGTCCTTTGGCGTCGGCGGCAACCTACCCGTCGACTCGGCCATTTTTCTCGAGTTTCTGCCCCAGTCGCATCAATACCTGCTGACGGTGCTGTCCCTCGACTGGGCCGTCGCGCAAGTCATTGCCAACTTGATTGCTTGGCCGCTGCTGGGCAACTTGACCTGCCCCCAGGATGCCACGGTATGCCACCGAAAGGACAACATGGGCTGGCGCTACTTTCTCGTCGCAGTGGGCGGCCTGACCATGATCATGTTTCTGGCGCGCTTTTGTCTCTTCAAGCTGCACGAGTCGCCCAAGTATCTCATTGGCAAGGGCCGCGACCAAGACGCCGTTCGCGTGGTTCACGAGGTCGCACGCATCAACGGAAAGACGAGCCCCCTCACGATTGAAGAGTTGCGCGCCTGCGAACCCGACAACTATGTCGCTCAGACAGATACGGCCGCTGCTGTCCGCAGACATTTGAAGAAGCTGGATACGAAGCAAGTCAAGACGCTCTTTTCCACCAGACGCTTGGCAATCAGCACCTCGTTGATCATGCTCCTTTGGGCACTGATTGGTCTTGCGTTTCCGCTATACAATGCATTCTTGCCTTATATTCAGGACTCGCGTGGCGCCGATTTTGGCGACGGCAGCACCTACATTACATACCGCAACACCCTCATCATTTCTACGCTTGGTGTGCCTGGCGCCTTGATTGGTGGTCTTTTGGTTGAGCTACCACGACTCGGTCGCAAGGGCACGTTGTCAATCTTTACGGTGCTTACTGGTGTTTTTCTCTACTGCTCGACCACCGCTACCAAGAGCGAGGCGCTTCTTGGCTGGAACTGCGCATTCAATTTTTGCAGTAATGTCATGTATGCTGTTTTATACGGCTATACCCCCGAGATTTTCCCAACCCCACAGCGTGGTACCGGCAATGCACTGGCTGCCATCTGCAACCGTGTCTTTGGCATCATGGCTGTAAGTACAAATGTCATGTCATTCTTCTCTCTCAAGCTCGTCTCTAACTCGATTCTAGCCCATCATCGTCATGTTTGCGAACCTGCAAACCTCTGCACCTGTATATACTAGCGGCGCTTTGTTTCTTGCAGCAGGAATCATCGTTATACTGCTACCATTTGAGTCGAGGGGCAAGGCGGCACTCTAAGCGGGTGTGGTTTGGGTATGCAGACTGAATTTCTGGGTTTATTGCTTTTCTAAAAGTAATGTGTTTCTGGGCGTCATAAGTTTGTCTAGAGTGATTTCAGCACGCGAAAGCAGTCGGTGCCATGAGGCAGGCAGGCTCAAGGGGCATAGGAGCAGATGAGGGCCGAGCATTTGTCCGGCATTCCGCATTTATCAGGATTAGGAATACCACAATCTCTGAATTTTCCCAGCACAACGCACGGGAAAGTTCACGCCGCTCTAGATCCTACCGCTGTGAATCGGAGGCAACAACTTCACCACGCCCTTGGAGCGATGTTGGTTTTCATCTAGTCTCACCGGATCGCTGCAACCGATGGTATCATGAGCTTTCGCAATCGACTCAGGGTCAGTGTTATGGCGACGAGTATGGTCCTCGAATCCCAGTTCGTAGGAAGGAGATGAAGAGCGCCCAGTCGACTTTGTTCAATCGGTTGGCATTGATACACTGCGCAATTATCAGCACCCTTGTACACGCATACCGAAGGACTGTCCTCGGACATTTTTTTTTCCGGTTAAGAACAGCAAAGCAAAAGGAAAAAAACGCTTTGTCGACTTCTTTACAGCGACCGGAATGAGCAAACGAAGAGATAAACAGCCAAAGGCAACATGCACACACTGCTTCTTTCGAGAAGAAGTGGTTTGGCGCAATGGAATCGGAAAAAGTCGCTGAAGAATTATAGACTCTATCTAAAAAGCATGCTTGAGGCTGTCTGTGATGAGAATTCCCGCTGTTTTTGCAATCGGTTACACAATCACAACCCAGTCTACATGCCCGCGATATGGTGTGCGACTGTGCCTCTGCATTCGCTTGTAGAGCTTTCCCAAGGAAACAAGGACAAAGGAAGCAGTGTTTGATAAAGGTTCTGTCACCTTCTTTCAGCACGCAGCCCTCCCTAAATTCTTTATGGTATCGAGACTGTGCCCGGCTGCGACGGCCGCCTCTTTAGCTGCTGTTTGCAGTAACACTGTATCCAGCCCGCGTCCACGGCTCTGTACTTTGTCTCCCCCTCGCCGCAGCAGTACCAGCAGATACCCTCGGCGCTCTTGGCTAGCAATTTCACGATCCCCACACCGTTGCAGAGCGCGCACGTCTTGATCTTGTCCACGGCCTTTTCCCGGTACACCATGCCCAGGCTCTGGCACGTCACGCACAAAGGCGGCACCGCTACAGCCGGCAGCGGCGGGAGCATAGCACACGAGGTCGTCGTCGTCGTCGGTGGCGCCATGACGGATGTCTTGCCGCGTGGCCGGGGGGCCTGGGGCTGGCAGCTCCTCGGGCGCGGCTGCTTCTGTTCGGTGCCGGCGCTTGGCTGCCCAAAGGCAGGACAACTGATGTACGTTGTGGTGTAGGGACTAGAGTTCGTATTCAGCCAAAAAAAATGTGTTTCTTGAACCCGTGTTGGGAGTCTGTTGCGCTTTTCTTACTGTTGCTGCATGATGAGAATGTAGGATGGAACAAAGGGAAAAGGGAAGAGATTGCCCTCTGATGCGGCCAGGCAAGTAGCGGGCTGCAGCTGCCATTGGTCTGGTCGCACAAACAAGGCGCCAGCAAGAGAAACAAATAATCAGGCAGAAAAGGTCGAGTTTGGAGGTGAATCAACTACAAAGACTTGCTACAAGATATTGGAATCTGCCTGGTCAATAAGGAGACGAGCTGTTTTAGATGGCAGGTTTTATAGAAGCGAGACAATGTACTAGAGTAGTCGAACAAGTCATTATACGACAAGAAATCTGTTACTACGTCACTCGTGATACGTTTTCGAATAGAAAGTGCATTCGAGAAAGTTAATTCTCCGTGTGACTAGAGACGATATGCTATTCTCTCGCACCGGCAAGTATTCGAGCAAACAGAGCCTCAGCGCAGCGTAACTGCACTATATACCTTCAATTACAGTACATCAGTCAGTCAACGTTCACTATAATCGATTTTAATAACGCCACAGTATATTATGAGTCAAAGACAGCCCAGTCTCGCTTGTCTGTGCCGACTTACACGAGCTAGCGTTAGCACTGACTAACCTCACGCGCAGCCTTAGTCAATCTCTGGCCGGCTGTCGCAGGCTGTTGTCTTTCAACAGTAATGTCTTTTAATTTGTAGCGTTTGCCACAATTCTTGACAGTAACGTACGCTTGCTCCGGCGGCACTGCTGTCCTGGGCTTACCGCAGATATCGAGAACGTCGCGGGGGAGCGACCATGCCGTCAACTCTTTCAATGCTTGACGGGCACTATTAGCGACATCGCTTTAGTGCCCTTGACAGAGCCGTCGCAAAATATTACAAGTTTGTGTTACCTTCTACAGCACACTACCCGCCTCGTCAAGGTACCCGCCGTTATCAGACCAGATCTGCGGGACGCCACGCGAGACGCCACCAAGCCTCTAGATCGCTTCTACAACTACGCCACTGACTGTAGCGCTCATGCTTGTCAGGATGCCGCATTTTCATACTTTTTCAATCCAGTCTGCCGAAACCGTAGATGGTCTCATTAACATAGTAGACGTCTGTACAAGTCTTGAAGCGCCACTGAGAATAACAATGAAGTACGCGCAAAAGTCGTGCAATTGGTGTAGTGCAATTGTCGTGAATGCACAGCAGCTAAGCAAAAGCATCAAGTATGGTATCTTCTTCATGCATTAAGGTCAAAAGGCGGACACAAAACAACGCAGAATGAAATCTAATCAATCGCATCCTGATAATCGGCTGTAGCCCTTCCACAATATCTCTTCTTGGTTTTCGTTTATACAAGGTTCTCTTTATCCAACGTCCCCCTCGTGCCATAACAAAACGTCAAACAATTCGTAAGCAGGTATGAGCTTGACCACCAGAAATAGCAGGTCAGGCACTAGTCTGGGCCTGCTCTCTTTGCGTATCATTTATGCCGTGTAATCCCATTCATGTTAATCCCGTGGTAAAGAACCATTCGTCGCATAATATGTACATGCTAGCAGACGCCAAATACCCAGATAACGTCCTCTCAGAGAACGAACATAATAAGAAAGCGGTTTCGCCGAGATCTAGGCGAAAGAGTAAAAACAAGTGCGAGGAAGCAAACCCTGTTTGCATGTTTATGTCGGATTCATCGTCAGGTTTGGGAATAAATAGAAGAAAGCAGAGGAGGCGGGTTAAGCAATACGCGGGTGTGGCAATGACAACCCAGCTCTTTCAATTTACTCTTCGATGGTTTGGCTCGGCGTTTGCTGCGATCCCGTCTCTTCCTTCTTGGCCCAGCCGCCCCAGCCAGTCATGCCAGTGTACCAGCTCTGGCGCTTGTTCTCCTTGTCCTTGACAGCGTCGGCATTCTCTTGCACGAGTCGCAGAGGGCGCGGAGTGCCACCGACAAAGGTAGTCTTCTTCTCGTTGATAGAGCGGGGAGGCGACTGGGAGGGCGGCGTAGTGAGATCGGCAGATTCGCCGCTAATGCTTGACGTCTCGCTGCGCATGCCGGGAAAGTTGCCAGTCGAGGACGGCGCTTGGCTACTGGTGCTAGGAACGCGTGATGTGACACTACCAGCGGCACTGGCGCCAGAGTAAAAGCCTTGTGAGTTCCGAGGGTTACCAAGAGGGGGCGATAGAGGTCCATCGGGGCCCTTGTACATCTGGCTGACCAGGCTAGCAGCACCCGCAAACTGTTCACTCTGAGGGCGAGACCGTCGAACACTAGTAGAGCGGCCAAGATTGCCAATAGGAATGCTGGGCGCCCGCTCCGGATCCATATGCGCAGAGGTGGCTGTGCTGGCCTGTGCCGTAGAAGAAGGGCGAGGTTTTGATTTGCTGGCCGGGGGGCCCATGGCCATGCTTTTGGCACGTTGCAGAAGAGATGAGCCGCTGGGAGGGGCTGGCAACTCCTTGTTGACGTTCCCCTTGGTATCGCTGGACTGGTCGAGGATGGACTCAAAGTCCTGATGCTGCAACAGGCGCTCGATGATTTTGTTAATATATAGAGTTAAGGCCTTGTTCGACTCTTTCAGAGACTTGACTTCGGCCTCTAGGCGGCGGTCGCCTTCGCCTTCAGCCTCGGTGGCATCAGAGAGCTCATCGGCAAGCGACGAAGCGCCAGGGGCCTTGCCTTCAAGAGCGGCGAGGGCATCTTGATTGGAGCTCATGTAGCTAAAGTCACTTTGGCCAAAGTCGCCCTTAAGCGTCTTGTCCTTGAGAAGTAGCTGATAGCTTTCGTTGTCTTCCATCAGCCTAGCGTTGGCCATGCGAGCCTCCATGAGCAGGCGCTCGACTTCTTGCAGGCGGCCGCCGCCTTGGTTCTCGGATTCAACCAGCTTGATCTGGGCCTCAGCGAGTTCAAGTCGTAGCGATTCGATGAGCTTATCCTTTTGCAGGATGAGTTTTGAGCTGCTGCGAGAGTCACTTCTTTGCAGCGAGGATGGTGGAGCGAAGCTGCTGCCATCGATGGAGGGCGAAGCGTTTGCTGTTGAAAAGTTAGCGATTGCGTGCTAGAAGACCATGATGCGTTGCTGCACTTGCCTGTCCGGGAAGGACGTGAGTCCTCATCACCGTGATTACGTTGGGCAAGGCTGTCTTTCAGTCTCTGGATGATGGCTTGCATCTCTTCCTCCTTATTGGCCATGTCCTCCTTTTCCTTGAGCATGGAGCTGCGTTCCGCCTCGTAGATGGTTTCCATTTCGCGGATCTGGCGAGTAGCCTCTCGTTTATCATTGGCTAGAGCTTCGAGCTGCTCCTCGTACTCGTGGACCCTTTCCTCAAGCTTGGCAGACTCCTTGCCTGCATCGTCGAGCTTGGTCTGGAGGACGCCAATCTGCTTAGCAAACGACTCTGATTGCTTCTCCTCCTTTTCCAGACGCTGCTGAAGGTCCTCGACGGCGGCAGAGGCCTCAGCGTGGGCATCTGATTCTGCGGCAGTGCTATTTTTGCGAGCGGCGGCAGCAGCCCGGGCGGAAACCGGGGTGCCCATGCGGGTAGAGCGTGTGCGTGCGTGGCCAGCGGGAGATGAAGTCGAGTTGCGTTGGGAAGTTGTTCGCGAGGGCGATGCATTAGGAGACGTCGTGGTCTCGGTGTGAGAAACTCGGCCGAGGCCACCTGGTGGTGGCTTCTTGGCGATAGCAGACATGATGGCGGCAACTTCGAAACTCTGAACAGCTGGTGTCTAGCGGTGATGCATAAGATGTCGAGTAATGTGAGGGTATACTGGGGATTTCGGCGCAGAAAATGCACAGGGCGTGCGGTAATGATTCTCAGACGACAACAGAGGGGCCACCAGTCTTCGCAGGTAATGTCTTGAGGGGGTTGATCAGAATGTCAAATGTCAAAGGAGGAAATGGAATAGGAGGACAGCGTAGTACGGTCGAGGTACTGACTGATAAAAGGTACACAACAAAAAACATGGGGTTCTGACAAGACAGCGCCCTGTGCAACGTCTCCACATCAACTTGGCCCGTGATTCAGGGACGGACAACTGGGTGTTTGTAACAGATGTATTTCATCAAAGTTTGGTGGTTTTCAAACAACAAGTTTGCGGTACCCGCTACATTTCTGAGAAATTAATTCGAGGCATTATTCCGCGCCTGTCTCATCGTGGCGAGTACCTGTTACCTGCTCGCTCTGTCCACCGCTGTACTGGGTTGGCGTCTAAATAATAAGAAAGTACCTACCTAAGAATGCACCGCTTTGTTGCCACGGGCACATGAAAGAGGCATGGCGAGTATGTCTCGGACGTGGCAGCGCCTCGTAGAAGCCCCAACACGTCTCTGGCCTTCTAGACACGGAAAGGGGATCTATTTCTCGACGCAGGGCGCATAGTACAGTCTAGTCATGCCGTGGTCTGATCTGGCCGGGCCAATTTACCGCCGTCCTACTAGTACGCGGGATGGATGCCTACGGTCGGACATGTTCCCCCCTTTGTCTTGGCCCTACAAACGCTGATAAAGATCAGCCGACGACGCTTTTACTGTCAGTGGCGTGGCCTTTGATATTGTGTCCCTTGGTAATGAAAGTGATACAGGCGACTACCAAGCGGTTAAATTGGCTCATGGGCAAGCCTCGCGGAGGCTATTTTGGGGAAAGTCTATATCGCTTCTTGATTTATTGATTCGTAACCTTTGTTAAACATCCACTGCATGACGGCGAGTTACGGGGCCATCCCCTGTTTCCATGCACCCAATCTCATTATGCTGATCAGGGCTAGAGACCTGGCGGTAGTTTTAAGTGACAGCGACAGCAGTGTTGACATCTCGAAAGGAAAGTTCAGACCACAATTGAATCAGAAGCTCAAACGCGCCGATTTGAAACCGCATTATGATCCAAGAACCAGAGGTGTTCAGAGATAGACATCTGAATATAAAGATGAGTGAAACATGGCGCGCGCCGACTGACACCTGCACCGGGAATCACGACTACAAACAGGAACACAAAATCGAGCTTTAATTCTTCATTGAGTCGTCTTTTCGGCTTTTCTATACGTAGAGCAGTGCAATTGCACGACGTGCATACAGCGGCTTTCAAAGAATGTTTTCATCACATCAGCCCATGCGAGTCGTTGCCTCCTGTCGCATTACATCGACTGGTATATGCCAGACCCGAATTACCCCAACGCCAGAAAAAATGCTTTTGTTTTCGACATAATTGGCGATTATCTACCGCTTAAGCAGCCTGGTCGCTGAGGATGTCGGAGTCACCAGCGTCGAGGATGGCAAGGGTCGAGCAACGGAAGAGCTTACCGCAGGCGGTACCAAGATCGATCTGTAGAGAAGAGAATACGTGTAAGCCAATGTGAACCCTCCAAAGTCAAAGGAGACTTCTTCGCTGGGCAGACCCCGAGACACCGGACCTCATCAAAGGATTGGAGTCTCTCTCGGCCAATCGCACTCGTATGAGTTGGGTTGTTACGATTCGGAGCGTAATACATCACGTTTGGTCTGGGCGAAGAAGTCTGCGACGGAACGCGCCGGTAAAAGAACTCACGTTGTTCGAAGAAAAATGATGGATAGGCGCCTTGGACAACATGCTGTAGTACTCGAGCTCGGACTTGCGGAGAGGAGGAGTGTTGGCAGCAATGATGATCAGCTTGGCCTTGCCAGATCGCAGGGCCTTGAGAGTCGACTTGTATCCAAGAGTGACTGAAAAAATTAGTATTCTGACTGGATTTGATGGCGGCGGCGGCAACGAACCCTTGCCAGACTTCATAACAAGCGCCAACTTGGAGTTGATGGTGTTGGCATCTTTCTTATTCTTCTTGTTAATGGGAGCCATCTCGACGGTGTTGTTCGGTATCTGTGAAATTGACCGTGTCTTTGATGCAGAGCGGAATCTCAGGATGAGTGGCAGCCTGTCGCCGTGAATTTTGGGTAGCCCAAATTTTGTAGTGGGGCGAGGGCTGCACTTTGCATACCCCCGTACGAGCCAATCAGGCCTTTGTTGCTCTTTGGCGTTAGCCCTAAAGACCCGTGGTTTAAGCGATAACACCACCGTTCCAGATTACCAAGCACGCTTTGAAATCAATCCTGGTGGCACTGCGAAGGAAAGTGTTCTTGGTTCCCAGCTTTGACGCCATCTTTCCCCCGTTACCAACAACCACTTTACGGAAAGATCACGAGAAATCCGACATAATGGCTCGCCGTCCCGCTCGTTGCTACCGCTACTGCAAGAACAAGGTGAGATTATGATTGCATTATCGTCGCCTGCGAATCGACCCGAACCCACCGAAGAATGAGACCTTGGACGCCCAAGAATGGAATGACGCATGGCGCAAAAAATCCGGAAGAGGGTCGAAACGCAGGGTCACGACGACATGGCAGATTGCAATGCGCGGTCAGGATACTAACATATTTACGTCCAGCCGTACCCCAAGTCGCGCTTCAACCGTGGTGTTCCCGACCCCAAGATTCGCATCTTCGATCTTGGCCGCAAGCGCGCCGCCGTCGACGACTTTCCTCTGTGCATCCACCTCGTCTCCAACGAGTATGAGCAGCTGAGCTCCGAGGCTCTCGAGGCCGCCCGTATTTGCGCCAACAAGTACCTCGTCAAGAACACCGGCAAGGAGGGTTTCCACCTTCGCGTCCGCGCCCACCCCTTCCACGTCGTCCGTATCAACAAGATGTTGTCTTGCGCCGGTGCCGATAGACTGCAGACTGGTATGCGTGGTGCCTGGGGTAAGCCCAACGGCTCCGTCGCCCGTGTCAACATTGGTCAGATCATCATGAGCGTCCGCACTCGTGACTCTAGTACGTCTCCATGAAAGCTGCAATCAGACACACACGTTACTAACAAAGCCATCAGACCGTGCTCTCGCTCTCGAGGCTCTCCGCCGCTCTCAGTACAAGTTCCCCGGTCGCCAGAAGATCATTGTCTCCAAGAACTGGGGCTTCACTCCTCTCCGTCGTGAGGAGTACCTCGAGCGCAAGGCCTCTGGCCGTGTCAAGGACGATGGTGCTTACGTCCAGTTTCTCAGCAACCACGGTTCTCTTGCGGAGAACATGCGCCGCTTCCCCGATGCCTTCACGGCTTAGATGAGGTAGCGAGGTTTGCATTTGGAATTCGGCTGGCGTCAATGTGGCATGTCAGATAAATGACGTTTAGTTTACATGGTTGTCAAAATGGACGAATTAAACTACCTGTACATCTTGTGGCTTGTGCATGTTTGCCGTTCTGATCTCGCCCAATTCGATACAGATTGTCCAATACGTAAAATGTGCCTTGTTGTCCGAGCTGCCCTCCGCAGCAAGGACAAGATTGTGTCACTTGTATAGGGGGACTCAAGAAGAGGAACAGCTAAGCTTGCAACAAATACGCCGCCACAACCTCATGCGGGGCGGTCTCCAAAATGCAGAGGCTCTGTATTTGAGTTGCAGCCAAGCAGCATTCGGCCATTACAGTTTGGATGTAGCATCTTGCGTGCGTTGCCCGTCGAGCTAAAAACAAACGAAGAGAAGAGCAAAAGTAGATCAGCAGGATGCCGAAGAAGGGGCAAGGGAAGCAATGCACCAGTTCAGCACCAGCCAATGGCAAAACGAACGGTGCGTGCTGATTTCACGTCCACGGCTGTGCTGGGACGCATCTAAGATGAAGCTGACGTTAAGCTTTCCATAAATGTGATGGAAACGGGCACCTAGATATTGTATTCGCCCGCCATCAACATGTGCCTGTCACGCTTTAATCTATTTACAGCAAGTTGTCTGTCATGATTTAAAGCAGTCGAGCGTTGCTGATTGAACAAAAAGCCCAGCTAATAATAGGACTGATGTGGTCTACTACGTGGTCACGGAGGCTTGCATAACTAGAATGGGCTCGGCACTGTCCCGATTGGCGTGTCCTCATGGAGTCGCGATGCAGTTGGGCGTTCCTTTGTCCCGACTGCATGGCAAGGGCAGTACAAAGTCCGTCTTGGAATCGGATTACCGGAGAAAGAATGACCAGAAGATTCAAGGTAAAGAGTCGGCGCCAGTGGCAAGTTGCGTGCGAATGGATGAGGAAGTTTCAGGCTGGCGGGATGTGGAGCCAGTGGTGGTAATGGCAACGAAGAATGATGGCATGGAGGTGTTGGTCAGAGTACGTTGGGAGCTATTCAGGCCGTGAATTAAGGATCGTTAGACGGTACAGTCATTCTGATGATCAGTAGCCAGTCGTCGTGAAGTTGGTGAACATCTTACAGCCGCAACGTCCATCAACAGGTGAAGTGTGAAGTGGCGAGTGGATTCAAGTTGGCGCGGCGGGCAGGCTGGGCACCTGACCCTACAGCGGGTGACGCTATTCCGTCAGCACCCTCTGGACCAGCCAATGGACGCCAGCGATGGGGGTCCAAGGGGAACAGGACATTGATGTGCCGTGTAGGCTGCAAGTAAGTAGAGCAAAATCAGGCACGATGACTCGAGGCCCCTGTTCTGTTGGGCTATGTGGAATACAAAGGTAAAAAGGGTTCAGCGGGCGCCGGACCAGGTCAGTGAGCAGGCGTCGATACAACACGAGTCGGGCGTTGGTGGGAATCAACAGACCGCCAGGCTCGGTTTACGGTGGATGGCACCTGTGGGAATTGGCCCGATCGCAGTCGGAAGTCATGATGATCGAGGAGATGAGAATGTGACTGGTAGTAGGTCAATGAGGGGTATGACTTTGACGCCTGGCGATACAGGCCGGTGAGATAATCGATACAGTGCCAAAAGTGCCAGCCTATCGGAAAGACGCTGAGAGGCGCTAGCATGATAGATGGCAATTGATTGCAGGCCGCGTTTAGTCGTGGTGCTCACTCAAAAGTGTAATTAATGAGCAAGGCAATGAGCAGACAATGAAACGCGGCAGCGCCGTTGCTTACGAGTCATCTACCGTTCGAGCGAGGTAGAGAGGGTGACTTTGGTCAGATGCAATTGGAGGACGGTACATAAACCTCGAGACCCTGTTCCCCGTCAAATTTATCACTGAAACATAACGGCAACGACCAGATGGGAATCACATCGCACTAATCCGTACAGACAAGTGGCAAACAACGCCAAGTAGCTTTAGCGCTAGTAAGTTGTAAGATAGCTATCTTACAAGCGCTGGTGGCCAACCATGGGTGGTCAGAAAGAGACGGAATGAACAGGGGAATCGCAAAAGCAAAGGCTGCAGAAAAGGCGGCGCTGGCAGCACGCGAAGCAGAAAAGGGCGGTGTCTTTCGACTACTTCTTTGGGGGCGCATCATTCAAGAGACGTTTGTTGTTTTGGGTTTGTGCAGCGCTTCGGGGCGTGCAGAGCCGGGAACGGACCGAGGGTTCATGTACGAGGGGGAACAAGCTTTGACTGATGAAAGATGCTGATGCGAGGAATGATACATTGATAACTAAGGATGACTGCCCCAAAGCAGGACGGGAATCAAGAGGGCTGATAACGACATCTGGCACTGAGTGATGCCACCATGATGTCGTCTAGTAAGACCACTCACAGCGCGGGAGCCACTGTATCTCGGAAGAGGGGGCCAGTCGGTCAGCCCAGCGGTTCAGCAGGACAGCGTCATGGTCATGCGATGTTGGCAAGGTTTTTGAAAGAAGGCAGCTGGAACAAAAACGAGCAAATGAAGATGGAGAAATAGTAGTGATGAAGATGATGATGACAAGAACTCACCATCAAAGGCGCGAGCATTTTCCAAAATTCTACTCTTGCTGCTTGAACGCATGAATGATACCTATTTACCAGTAGACTCCTGTATCCGGCACGCGAGCAACGCCCATCGCAGAGAGAATCCACTGAAAGGGACCCACCATGACCACGCCTGCCCAGTCCAAGTCACACATTGTGCTGCAGCTTGCTGCGTACAGTGGTCGATCTGTCGTCTTACAGGATAGCACGCACCAGGTTCGCCCTCTCTGTGTCGCCTCTGTCGCTCTCTGTCCCCCCGCCCCTCGACGCCATCAAACGCTCCCGTCTCCCAACAAAAGGAAACCTGTGCCCAGCCCAATTCACAGATCTCTTGCATCCTCCTATTCCCTCTTTTCTTTTCATCCATAATCCCCTGCTCCCTAAAAATCCCCCCTTTTCTCAACCATAGCGTTTTGCTTGACTCGCCGCGTTGCCCACCTCGAACCCCCGAGCTGCCCAGCGGCGCTCCGACAACCGTCCGACCTCGCCCCGTCACGCCTTATCTGTCTCGTCACCACGCCCCACGTCTGTCCCGACTGCACGCCATATTTAGCACCCATCGCCACATTGCACAACCTCATAGCCACTGCCATTCTGATTATAACCTCTTTTTGAAAGGCACGGCACTTTTCAGTGCTGCCTTTAAAAAATCATGGCCTTTCAGCAGCCCGCACGGCAGCCCGCCCAGAGGGTGACCCGCCCGTCTGTCGCTGCAGAGTCAAGCCAACAGCCGCTCGCAGCTCTTCAGGAGAGAGAGCCCGACCAGTCACAGACATCATGGGTACTCTTTTCCCCTCCGACCGACATCACCACTGCCTCCTACCTGAGCGAATCTGAACGCTCCGTCGAAACGCCTGGCCGCTCGCGCGTCAGCCTCCACACGGCCGCCAGGTCCTCTCAGACTGACGACTTCCGCTTATCGCTCGCCTCCTCCGCCGTCGACGACATCTCGGTCGACGATGACGCGGAGCTCGACAGCCTCGACAGCCACCTGCCCGAGTTCCGCTCCCAGCCCGGCGATCACGTCGCCTCTCACAGAAACAGTGTGCACGGCGCCGTGCCCGTCTTTCCCGCCCACGACGGCTTAGGTTCCTTCCGCCTCGACAGACCCGCGCTGGGCCGTGACGCTCAGGAGCAAATCTACCAGTTTGAGCGCTTCAATCCCAAGAGATTACGGGTTGACCATGAAGATGCCTTTATGGAGACAGATGCCGCTGTCGATGCCCAAGAGGCGGCCAAGCGTGAACGGATCGAGGCCTGGCGCTTGGAACACAGCCGCGTGCTCCTCGACGAAGTGCAGCGTGAGACTAGACGTCGCCGCAAGTCGTTCGTTGCCAAGCATCGCCGCCAAAAGTCTCAGTCTTCCGACGATAACATGACCTGGCATGATGATGATGATGTCACCGCCACCGAGGCGGCCAGCGAAGACCGGGGCTTCCTCGCCCGAATCACCCGCACCGTGGTCAAAGACATTTTCGGCATCGACGAGAGGCTGCTGGACATTCTTCTCGGTGAAGCCGTCGTCGACGATGATGATCTATCCAACACGCCGCGTGCATCGCAGCTCAACACGGCGCAACCACCAACGTCGCTAGACGAAGAGTCGTGGCAGCTACGTATTCTCGAGTCGGTCTCGCGCGAGCTAGGCCGGCTCGTCAACCACCTCTCGCCGCACCACCCCGGCGCCTTTTCTACCTACACTCGCATGCAGCAGATACCTCTCCCCTATGCCGGCCTGCCCGCTATTCCCGAGGCCGCCGACCAAGCCAGCCTCGATCTTGCCGCCAGTACGCCACCCTCTGCACCTGAGTTCAAGCCCACGATCAACCGCCACAACACGCAGCCAATTCCAATCCCTATTCCTGGCAAGGCCGCCAGCGACGAGGCCGAGGTAAACGGCGCGTTTTCCAAGGACGAGTGGGAGCGGGATTTGGATATCAAGCTCGTCTTTCGCTACCTCATCTCGCGCTTCACTTCGCGCAACAACTCTTCGTCATCGTCATCGTCCAGCAGCGCACCGGCGCACCTGGCGACGACCAGCATGCAGGACGCCGCGGCCCGCGTGGCCCGCGTCCGCCAGCACCACCCACTGATTGCGCGCGCGCGGCCAATGGAGCGGCGCTCGTTTCGGGCCGTCGTCACCCCGAGCAGTCCCATTGCGGCGAGGCCGCGCAGCAGCTGCGCCAGCCAGAGCACACGACGGTCGACGCGCCGAAGCAGCACGTCGTCTCGGCATTACTGGGATATCGGCGGCTCTCTCGGCACAGGCTCCATGGTCGGGCCGCAAGGTCCGACAGGGAGCTGGGGAGAGGTGTGAATGGGGCATTATATACACTTTTAACGGACATGACGATCGCATCTGGGGCCGAGGCTAGGCCATGTACATTAGCAAAGGCGGCGTTTTGGTTTATGTGCTTGCATTTTCGCACCGTGCATATTTTCTATTCACATTACTTTCTACTCCAACTACTTTTATAGCACTTTTGTCAGCATTGGACGGTTTATTGGTCTCTTGCATACAGACAAACGAGGTGCATATTATATATACTCTACCTCCAGTATCTATAGATGCCGTTCCTATGAGTATTATAACCTTGTTACTTCTACATTCGCCAAGACGACTGACAGACCGAGTAAAATTGAGGGAATTGGGCTGCTAGAATACGTAGTGTTCGAGCTGGGATGTCAAGGATACACTTATTTGTACTGTTGATTGTGCCGTGTAAGTCATGTCCGCGCGTATGTGTTGATGCCTGTTAGTAGCGCCGAGATGGACATGGACGGCGAACGACGGCGGCGGCGCAACGGAACGCCTCACCGCCATCGACACAGTTGCGCGCGGCGCATCTGGGAAGTTGTGGGTATTAACGGTTGAAAGTGACTCGAAATGTCATATACGCCAATTGCCGAAAAAAAAACGCAGTTCACGATGTGCGTGGATGTGATGTGTATGGTATGTACTAAACATGGCAAAACGCATAACTTGGGCTTAATAACGAAGCAAGCAGGTATTGGGTATTGGGGGATCAGCTCATAATTTCTGCATCGTTGATGATGCGTAGAATCAACATCTTGTGCGACGTGTTTTCTGAGTCACACAGATGGAGGAGAGTCGACAGCATTGTGAGGGTGTGTGTACGTGCGCGCGTCGTGTGTGCGTGCGTGTTCCGACGTGAACCGGTTTGCGAGGCATCGATGAGTTTGCTCGAGAGCCCAACGCCGCGCAGCCTTGGTTTGGCCGCTTCTAGCTTATTATCGAATGGATTGCACTTGCCACACCCCCCAATGCTTAGATAGCGGTGCTTGTGCCGGCAAGGTGAGGCCCATTTGCGGTTATTGTTAAAAGGTGGGCAGCCAGCCAGCCATCTGCGCCGCGAGTGTGCCTTGCATTGGGGCGTGCTGGCGAGTGTCCTATCATGTTGGGCGTTGGCGACGACACGCAAGGGAGGCAAGGAGGGAAGAGTGTGCAGGGTTGTCTCGGATGATTTGGTGGTGGTGGACCACTGGTGCTGGTAGTGTTGATGGTGGTGGTGGTGATGGTGGTGTGGTGTGGTGCTATGCAAGCTTGGTGGAGGAGCGTGAGGAGGTGGATGACGGGAAGCAAGGGTGGAGAAAATGACTGCGAGTTTAACTTGTACTCGTCACGCAGCGCAGAGTGATTCTTTGCGCGGTTTATGGAGAATGCACATGCATACAATCTTGATGTTGTCTTCTTTGATTCTGCCGTCTCGCTGCCCGGAATGGGCATCGCCGTGTTACGCGGGCCGATGTTGTCAGGGTTGTCAGGCGTTGCTGTGCGAGATGGGGGGGTGCCACTCAGAAGATGGTGTGGAGGAGATGGCGCCGTGCGGGAAGACGCGTGAAAGCGGGCAATCTCGAAGCTGCCTGGGGCAGGACAGGAGACCATAAGGGTGTGATTGTTGACCAAGGAGAGAACGGGAGTCATGGATTCGAGTCACGATCTAGGCAGAGCGTGTGTGCGCCTTTTTTTTTTGCTTGCATGTCAAGACAAAGTTGGGCTGTTCTACTGTACACGCTATTAGAACCGGTTTATGAGCTGCTTGGGTGGCCAAACTGATAGTTTGAACGGGCGAGACTTGCAAAACGACGAAAAAAGCAGAAACACTTTCTGATTGGAGGGACAGACGCCTTTTTTTTTCTTTTTCTTTCTACGGCCTACTTATAACGTAAATGATAAACTTGTTGGGGTGGCCGGGGAAAGCCTCAGAGGGAGCCGGCCGGACCAGTTGCGGCGCCCACATCATCACTTCCCCGGTACAAGCCTCGATTAACGGCATTGTAGAAACGAGGCCCGCGTCCCTGTCTCGTGGCTTTTTGTCTTGTAGATGCCTTGCTTGCTACCCGACTTCTTTCACCTGTTGGGTGTTAGCTTCATTCTATGCCAGGTCAGTGTCAACGTTGTGGTCGGGTTGCTTAACCATCCGTCGAACCCGCCAATCCGCCAACTTGCATCTCTCCACCTCCACCATGCACCATCGAGGACCACGCCCTGGTCGTTCCCAGCGCTTGTCGGCTTCACTATCTATTCTACATCTTTCCTTCTCACACACCTCTTCACATCATCGTCAAGCTTTGCACGTCTGATCTTCCTTCCATTGCCGGCGCTCTCCACCGCCCAGCGCCCAGCGATAGGTTTTCGTATATAAGCAGCAACCCCCGCACCCGCGACCGCGACGCCAGTTTCCCACCTAATTTTTTCTCGCTCTTCTCGCCCATCCGTCGCAGCAACCATGAGCTGCGCGCTCTAGCTGGGCTCATTGGCCGAACAGAGCCATCTCGCCAGATAGCTACCTTCATCATACAGTAATTACCTTTTCAGTCAATGCGGCACCACACTACGCTGCCACCATCATCTTCATCATCACCACGCCTTCCTCCGCATGAATTTACGCCGCAACGACTTACCCGCAATATCCTGCTCAACCATTACCACCCATCTTGCTGTACCGGTCCCGATACCACATCCATCTAGCATGTCATTGCCGCACAATTAGCTGCCATGACCACCGCTCCCCTCCCCAACTCTCCCTCCCGGCTCTTCGACGTCTACACCGACAATGCCCCGAAGACCAATCTCTCCCCGATGCCGCGCGGCGGCTGCAATTTCGTCGACCTGACGCCTGGCACCGCCGGCTCCCGCTGCGGCTGCCGACGCTTTTGGAAGCTTCATACCGCCGATAATGCCGCGCCAAGCTCGGCCGGCTGGTGCATGTGCAACCATCACGCATGCTACCACGACGACCGCGCTCCGGACGAAGCTCTCGCGCCGCCCCCGCCCACGCCCGTTACGGGTCAGGAGAACGAAAAGCCCAAACTCGCAGGGCGCCAACCTCTCAGTCCAGTCGTTGACTTCTCATTCAAGGTGCCACCCGCCATTCCTGGGCTCGACATGGCCAATCTATCAGCGGGGCCTCCACCGCTTTCCTTCCTCAACGACTTTCCCGACGACACGGAGATGATGAATGTACCCAACGTAGCTCCTCCCATTGCCCCGTCCCTACCGGACACTCTCAATTGGGCCGATTTTGTCTATTCAGACAATGAGCCTAATGCGCTACCCTCTATACCACCTCAATGCCTCTTCTCTCAAAAGACAGCCTCGACCACATCCTCAGTACAAAACAAGTACCTCCGACCATTCGCTGGCAGAGGCCTGCATACACTTGCCACTGCAAAAGAACCCAAACAATCACCGCTGCGTCAGACAACCAGGCCAAATAGCCAAGCCACGCAGCAAGCTCCCGCTCATGCGGAGCAGGCGCCTGGGACACCTATGACTGGTGTTTCTACGATAGTTGAGCCCCGTGTCTTGGAACGTGATTTGGCTTCCAAGGAAGGCTTCAAGAATTTGACTGACGCCTTGTCTGTTCATGAGCAGCGGCTGGACAAGCTCGAAACGGGCTCTTTTGCTGCGACCGCTGCCCACGACGACTGTGTGGACAAGCACGAACATCTTGACCTACGCGTTACCGATCTAGAAGGGAAAGTGGAAGAGTTGGAGAAGCTTGCCAACGATAATGACACTGTCGCCAGCCGCCGGGAGCGCCATGATGACGATGGAACTACGGCCAGTGTCATATCTGCTACTACCAGCACCACAACGCGTCCTGCTAATGTGCGCGAGTTTACGAATCAACTGCAGGCTCTTCAGACCCAAGTTTCACAATTGCACTCCATTCTACCCTCTGCCAGCCAACCGTGGGAGGTTGAGGTTGTCTTTCTGCCATTTCCACTCAAGAAAGTATGGCAAAACATGCACCAATTCAGACGAGATTCTGCTCTCAGCAACGACGACTGGACCCAGGTACCACAAACCAACAGCGCCGCCCTGTTTCGGTCTCAGTCTCCCGTCTTTGGTGACTGGGCCACGCCGGACCACGATGCCGAGTGGCTTCTGCCCAAGGCCTGCGGCGACAAGAGCGTCACCAACAAGCGCCTGCGCAGCCGCGGTCTCGTCAAAACCATCTCTGTCCACGGGCCCGATGCCCGCAGCGTGCATATGGCCCTTGTATCGGCCTTTGGCAGCGTCTTCAGCGAGATGCAGATCCTACCGCGCCGCCAGGACACGGCAGACCCCCGCTACGAGCGCTTCATTGGCCTGCAGTCGTCGTGGCTGCCCCTGCGCAAGATTCACCGAGACTCGCGTCTCCGCTTCCTGAGCCCCGCGGAGATGGTGACACCCGCGCTGTGGGATGTACAGTTTCTCGGCTCCGTCATGATGCGGTCGTCTGAACCTAGATTGTTCATCACCCACCCGGACGCCTACCTGCAGGACTACGCCGCCTACGAGGCCGGCTGGACCTGGCAGCGTGTTCGCGAGCTGACGCGCGTGTACCCCGATTTTGACGATTCGCAGCAGGTGCCCGAGGCCGACGCCCTCGAGGAGCACTGGACTTGGAGCGACACCATGGACGAGCCCCCCAACGTCAACACATCGATGAGTCTACGCCAGTCGCGGCCGCCCGCCACCATCTCGCCCTCACACGCTCGCTTCCCGCTCATTGAGCGCTGGCGATCGCAGAGTCCCGCCGTCATCCGCGAGCACTCGCCACTTGCCAACCACAACAACCGCTCCCGGTCGTCCTCTCGCCCACCGCATGCCCACAGCGGCTCGGTTCCCGTGTCCGCCGCACGCCACCCGTCCGCTGAGATTCAACGCCGCGTCTCTACCAACAGCCGACGTGCATCCCCCGCTACACGCGTCAGCGTCGTCGGCGGCGGCATCATGAAGAATGGACGCGGCACTCGTTCCCCCAGCCGCCCGCTGCATACACCGCGCTGGACGCACTCTCCCAGTCCCATGCCCTGGGGTGGCGGCGGCGCGCAGGACCGCCAGCCGGCACGCGGCATGACGCCGTTTGCCTACGCCACGCCCTACAGCAACGCCCCCGCACCGCAGCCGCAGGAAAATGGATACCGCGCGCGCAGCGGCAGCGCGGTCCGCTTCGAGGTGCATCAGCAGTATTACCGCCACCGCAGCAGTAGCAGTCGTCCCGCGCCTGTTCCAATGTTGATTGACCATGATGAAGAGGGTGACATTCAAATTTATAATAGCGAGTCGGACGACGACTATGAAGAGGACGAGGCTGAAGAAGAGGGGGACGCAGACAGCGTCGATATGGTGACGGATGCGCAGCCACGCCATCACCACCCGCTGCGGCTCTTACCGGGCTCTGGCTGGCCCGGCATGCCTGAGGACGAGCCTTGGCCCGGCATCGAAGATGAAGTGCCGCGGTCCGGCGACGCGGAGAATATCGATCCCGACGGTGGTGATGGCGACGGCGGGCTGGGGGCGCAGAGCGACCATAGCAGTCAGCCGAGCGAGTATCCGAGCACGCAGCTGATTAAGCAGGACGAGGACGAGGAGGAAGACTTTTTGATTCATGAGGATTAGCGAATTCACTCTTTTCTTTTTTTTTTTTCTTTTCTTTTCTTTCTTTTTTTTTCTCTCTCTTTTTTTTTTCTGGTTTTTGGACACATCATGATGGGTGACTGGTTTTGGTTGGTAGGAACGGTGTGCATGTGATGAGATACCAAGGGTCATATACATATGTATCTATGTATACATGACGCGGATTTTATATAGGATATTTTAGCATGGGAGCAATGTATACAAACGACATTTCAACTCCAAAACATCTGTCAGTATAGACTGGCATGTATTCACAAATGACAAATCAATATGTCCACCTCTTCACCTGTACCTAACTCGATGGCTGACTGTGTGATAATATGGAGAAATATATCTCTTCTATTCCTTTCTGCACATTCTATAAACATGTCTAGGTACAGAATATTTGTCTTTGCTCGCTCATCAATCCAAAGATTGCAACGTTTGGGAGGGGGGTATCAAATAAAAAGGACAAACATTCGCTGAGTCAATGTCGTCCATGCTGCTGCTGCTCTATATATTCTTCAATATTCGTTACTTGTCAGAGACTTGCCACGGATGGGTGGTTAATACCACGTTCCTGAGCCATGGCGCTCGTGACGGATGCGGCACCTCTTCGCCAGACACATTTTTTTGCGCCCGAGATTCTTGAACTTTGGGCCCTGCGGGCCGGACACGTAGTGGTACTGGCCAAAGAGGCGCCACTGGCGGACGTCGGCGAGGGGGTAGACGCCGTCGCCCCAACGGCCGCGGAAGTGGAACCACGAGGTGGGTGCGTCGGGGTTGGACGCGGCGGGCGTGAGGCTGTCGTAAATGTCGCCGGTATTGGTGGCGGACGTGTGACCGAGGGCGACGGCGGCGTTGTCGGGACGATAGTCATGGTCGGTTGTGTAGTTGTAGAAGTAGGCATAGCGGTTGAGGGCCGGGTCCCACACGGGGCCTTCGTCGGTCACGTCCTTGAGCATCTTGAAAGGCAGAATGTAGGCGTGGTCCCCGGGCGTGGCGTACATGGCGTGGGAGCCCATGGCCGAATAGATGACAGGGCGCTCAGCGGCGTTGGGGACGCCCTTGAAAGTCGCGTTACGCTTCTCCATGGCCTCCCAGGCGTAGGCCTGGCCGCCCTCGTGCTCGGAGAGGTACATGCCCTGGGGCACGCCGTGGCGGAAGCGCACCATGCAATGCTCCCAGTCGGCGACGTGGTTGCCAAAGCGCATGGTGAGGACCGTCTGGCCGAGGTTGTATGAGTAAAAGAAGAACCAAAAGGCGTCAAGCACGCCATCGTCCTTGTCGACAAGCACCAGGACGGCAGGCGCGGCCGAGTAGCCATGAGCGTCGGGTTTGTGGCCCTGGGCACCGGCACCGGGCTGCTCGTGCGCGGCACCGGCGAGCACTTTTTGGCGCGTGGGCTGGCCGTGTACACCGCGCGACTGGCCGTAGTCGGAGGGCCGCGTGTGCGGGTGGTGAGGCGTGGTGGTAAAAGCACTCTCGTTCGGATCAGCGGACTCGTACGACGCCGAGCCGGCACCACGGGAAAAAGCAGAGGGGATGTTGTAGCGGCTGTGTAGCCAGGAAGGACGGCTCTCGACATCGTTTTTGCTGTAGAGGAAGACGCTGCCATCGAGCTTGTTGAGGTTGCCCATGGTATCGAGGTCCCAGGGCGCGGCGTCGTCGAGGAGCGTCGAGTTGAGCTGGACGTCCATGTGTGTAATGTGGTCACGCATGTCTGAGGGCCAAAACTGCTCGCCCGAATAGAGGTGGACGAGCGGCGCGTGTTTGAAGACGTAATCGGGGATCTCTCGACTGGACGTGGGTCTATCGCCGCGGCCGACGTCGGGGACGGGAGGGTTGAGCGGGTGCTGGCCATGCCGCTTGTGACGGTAGTCTCGGCTGGCCGGGTCGGCACGGAGGTGATGCAGTCCGCAGAGGGTCAGCCAGCGGCAGGCCTGGCGGTCGACAAAGTAGGGGCTTGTGTTGACCCATCGGCGGTCGCGCTCCTGCTTGACGGGATCGCTGCCAGTGGGATCGAGGTAGCGGGGGGCAGCCCAGAGTACATAGACGAGGACGGCAAAGGCAATCGTCGCAATGACAATGCGGTCTATCCAATACATGGCGCGGTATATAAAAAAAAGAGGTGGCTGAGTAAGGATGGATGGTGATGTTTGTCGGGTAACGACTGTGTCTTGATGCAGGACAAGGATGTGTACAAAAAGTCGCGAGTGACGCTACCTCATGGCTATGCAGATGATGATGGAGAGGGGCAGTCGCAAAAAACGTCAGAAGCGGGCACAGGATATGGCAAGAAGTGGTGCTGACGGGCGAGGGAAGCCGATGACGAGAGATTTGTAGAGCGGGTGCCTGTGCACCGCCTTTTGCGTTGAGTGGTGCTGTCGATCCAAGTTAGGACGGAGCGCAATCTGTTGGGGTGAGATGAATTGTAGAAAGAGAAAGGCAAAATCTAGAGGATAGTATTAAAGGTGTAAAAATAGGGACTGGGTGAAGATGGCGGCTTGCAACGACAGAGTAGCCCACGTTGTGGAGGGAGACGCCGGCGATGGTGGAAGAAGGAAAGACGCAAGACGGTCTCGACGGTTGACGGTGTGGTTGTGTCTGGTGCCAAGTGTGCGTGCCTGGTGAGTGGAGAGGGTCTGGACGCTGGGACGGTCAAAACGGGCTGGTGGGGAATAAACCCGAGTGGCCGCTGCCGGTTGTAGTGGGGAACAGCACATCACATACGGAAACTGCATATCCGTGTCCGTACATGTACGATTAAGTGCGCATCTCAGTAGACTGCTCTCATTCTAATAACAAAATGTGGAAGAAATTATGGAAAACCCCCCAATTTCTTTCAATGACTGCCCATGCCGAATTACAGCAGCTGCGGCAACCATTGTCACACAGCCACCACTGTACTAGACAGCACCAACCCACTCAGAGTTTCAACTGCCTATATCCCTGCTCCACTCCACCCAATGTCTGCCCAAATCGGCGGCACCTGTCACCATCCGTCCAGTGTGCTCCGTACTGGTGACTGGGAACTACCTAGTAAATCTCGCCGCCGCACAGATGCGATGCGCATCGGACACGTCCCTCTCTTCACATAGCGAAAGAGCTGTGCTTCACATGTCAGAACCCTTATTTCTCACAAATGTAATGCTCAGTATATCTTTCCCTTCTTCACCCGATTTCCCTCCCTCGTCACTCTGCGAGTCAATAACTAAGTAGTTAGAAGGCACCCCCCTCTTGGGCGCGCCGCAACTCTATGACACCATCCTCGTCGCGAAAATGTGGCCCTTGCTGCCAACCCAACCCCTGTTTTCTATCCCGTGTTCCTCGCCGTGTGCCGGCTTATATACGCCGCCGTTTTCATCACTCGCCCGGCCCGGTCGGCGAATCATGGCCCGGCGTCGCGCCACATGGCCGCCCCCCACGTTCTCAGCTCAGAGGCTGTCGTCGCCGGTCGGCGCGTCACTAAACCTGACGAGGCCGGCAAACCAGAGTAAAATCACGACAACTATTTCATTTATTCATTTTGGTTCAATTCGGTCATCGCATCCGCTCGCAGTCGGACAATTACTGACCGCATTCACTGCTCCTGCCCAATCAACCACTCCCGACAAAATCTCGTACATTGATATCGCTAGTATACATACATGGTCTTCGTAAATCGTTATTCCACAACACACTTTTAAACCATAGACATCTCTTCATCCTCATCTTCATCCAGTGTGCCTCCCTCATCTACTCCCTCCTCTTCCAAATCCTCCCATCGCACCGGCGTCGGCGTCGACTTGGTCTGCGGCATCACCGCCCTCTGCTTCCCTCTTCCTACCCCCGCCGCCGCCGCCGACCGCCGCCCACCTCGTCTCGCACCGCCACTGTCCCGTCCTCTCGCCTCCACTTCCTCCGCCTCCATCTCCGCCGTCGGTGGTACCGTCTTCTTCCTTCTCGGCTTGTAATCCGGATCCTTTTTATCGTCAAAGTCCTTGCCCTCGCCGTCGAGCGCGTACACCGTCACCTCGTCCGTCTGGCCTTTGATCCTCTTGAGCGCCATCAAATTCTCCAGGAACCGCGCCTGCTGCCGTCGTGCCCCCGTTCGGTCCTTGCCCCCGCCTCTTGCCGGTACTTGAATGTTGCACGCGGCGCGCGTTGCTGCCAACGTGTCGGTGCCTGCTCCGCCCTCCTGCTGCCGCCGCGCCGTCGCAATCTTCTCCTTGGTGACGATGCGCGACGACACGGCGCCCAGCAAATCAATGTCGCCAGGGACGCGCCGCAGCGCCGGTAGCGGTTGAGTGGAGTCGTGCTGCGTGAGCAGCGCCTCGGTGCCAATAATCTCCGCCCACTCGCCCTCAAACAGCCGTCCACGGTAGGAGATGAGCGGGTGGTCCGAGTGCAGCTCGAGTATTTGTATTTCGTCTCGTACTTCGGGCTCCTCTTCACGAGTAGGCAGATCACCAGTCGCAGTGGGCTCTGTAGTTGGTTCTCTTGCTGTTGACGCCCGCGTCAAGTCAATGTCCCGTACTGGCTCCTTACCCTTGGAGCGCAGCGCCGGATCAATCATAGTGCCTCCATCTTGGTCGTCTGGCTCAGCCGTGGCCGATTCCATCTCATCGTTGCTGCTGTCCTCTTCCTTCATCTGTGCATCGCCGCCCGCGCCTGCGCCCGCGCCGCGAGAGCCCACCGTGCCGGACGGACGGTTGGCCGAATCCGCACCAGCAGGCGTATCCTGCCAGTTCTTATAGTATCCGCCGCGCGAGTGTATATTCATCTTGGCAGACGTGCCTTTGAATTCGGGGTACGATAGCTCCAGCGTAAGGTAGTACGTCTGGGCAGCCTGGCGTTAGCATGTGCACGGCGCTCCGATCAGTCTGCCACACCCACCTCGGTTTCTGTAGTAGAGTACTCGTATTCCCACTCCTCCTGGTCGTCTTGCAGCATCTGCTCGAGAGCCTCGTCGAGAACCAGAGGCGCCGACGCATCTTGAGCACTGCCCGAGCTCTCTGCCATGATGAGCTGGTGCTGGCGGTCGGCGTGTATAGGCGTCGAGTCGTATCGTGTCGCGTCGCGTCGTGATTCGAATGGATGATCGTGGCTTGTGGACCAGAACATTCACTGCTTCAAAAGCAAAGTCTGTCAAAGGTAGAGCATTTTTCGAGTTCTCATTCATGCATTCATCAAGATGCTGCGCTGTTGTGGAGCTTGCCAGAGCGCGCCGATGCAGGCGCTGTTCAACGCCAATTTTTTTTTTTCTCGCGCCGTCTCCCAGGCTGCTCATCATCCAGCAGCGAGCAACTGCCCCGCTATCCGGAGCGCAAATTCAGGACCCTTGATTAACGCCAATCTTTGAGTCACCTTTTTGGTGACCTCTCATCCTTGCACTCGACAATCCATATATCCCCAACCCGTGCCTGGTTCGATTTTATGCCTTTGTCATCATTCAAATAGACTTGGATCTCGGATCTCGTCCTGCACACCCTTGCGCCTTCTCACAAGTCTTCGCCGCTGCCCCTCCATCCAGTTCCATCACCCCGCGCGTGCGACGACAACGAACCCGCCCAAGATGCCGACCGTCCACCTGCTCGACTACGTTGCGGGCAATATTCGCAGTCTGGTGAATGCTATTGAGAAACTAGGATACCAGGTTGAGTGGATCAAGTCTCCCGAAGACGTGCCCAAGGCCGAGGTACGGCCACCATCAGCAATCACTCTGCAGCTTGCCCTCCCGTCACTGACGACCGCATAGAAGCTCATCCTCCCGGGCGTGGGCCACTTTGGCCACTGCCTCTCACAACTCTCGCAAGCCGGCTACTTGCCCGCTATCCGACAGCACATCTCCGCCGGCAAGCCCTTTTTCGGCGTCTGCGTCGGCCTGCAGGCACTCTTTGAGGGCTCCGCCGAAGACCCCGACGTGCCAGGGCTCGGCGTCGTTGCCGCGTCCCTCGATCGCTTCGCCGACGCCGACAAGCCCGTTCCGCACATTGGATGGAACAGCGCCGACACGCGCGGCCGCCACATGTACGACCTGCGCGCCGGCTCTAAGTACTACTACGTCCACTCCTACAAGTGCCCCTACACGCCGGGCGTGCTCGAGCGCCAGGGCTGGTCCGTCGCCACCGGCGCCTACGGAGACGAGACCTTCATCGGCGCCATTGCAAAGGGCAACGTCTACGCGACGCAGTTTCATCCGGAAAAGTCGGGCGTCGCCGGCCTGCGCACTATTCGCGCGTTTCTCACCGGTGCCGGCGCGGAGAGCCTCGGCACGCCCCTGGACAAGACTGCCGCTGCCTCTCCGACAGACGGCCTGACGAGGCGCGTGATTGCATGCCTCGACGTGCGCGCCAACGATCAGGGTGACCTCGTCGTCACAAAGGGTGACCAGTACGATGTGCGCGAAAAGACAGAGGGCAACAACGTCCGCAATCTCGGCAAGCCTGTGGAAATGGCCAGGCGCTACTACGAGGACGGCGCCGATGAGGTGACATTCCTCAACATCACCTCCTTCCGCGACTGCCCGGTCGCCGACCTGCCCATGCTCGAGGTGCTGCGGCAGACGTCGCGCACCGTCTTCGTGCCGCTCACCATTGGCGGCGGCATCCGCGACACGGTGGACACGGACGGCACCAAGGTGACGGCGCTCGAAATCGCCACCATGTACTTCAAATCCGGCGCCGACAAGGTATCAATCGGTTCCGACGCCGTCATCGCCGCCGAGCAGTACTACGCGCTCGGGAAAAAATTATTTGGCGACACGGCGATTGAGCAAATCGCGCGCGCCTACGGCAACCAGGCCGTCGTCGTCAGCGTCGACCCCAAGCGTGTCTACGTGCCCAAGCGCGACGCCACGCGGCACGCTCTCGTCGAGACGCGCACGCCAGGTCCTCGCGGCGAGCCGTTTTGCTGGTACGCCTGCACCATCAAGGGCGGCCGCGAGATCCGCGACATGGACGTTGTTGAGCTCGCCCAGGCCGTCGAGGCCATGGGCTGCGGCGAGCTGCTCCTCAACTGCATCGACAAGGACGGCTCCAACTCTGGCTTCGACCTCGAGCTAGTCGCGCAGGTCAAGGCAGCCGTCAAGATTCCCGTCATTGCGTCGAGCGGCGCGGGCGTGCCGGCGCACTTTGAAGAGGTGTTTTGCGAGACCACGACGGACGCGGCCCTCGGCGCGGGCATGTTCCACAGGGGCGAGTACACGGTTCGACAGGTCAAGGATTATTTGGAGGAAAAGGGTCTGGTCGTGAGAAAGTTTGAAGAGGATGATTTATAAGAAATAGGTGCAAAATGCAAGAAATGGATGGAATGATATTATGGACCGGGATCCGCAGTTTTTAATGATATATAGACACGTTGACTACGAAACACTCGCACTGCGAAATTCGAGCTGCATTCACGACGAAAGCATCAGCATGGTGCCGTCACTCGGAGGTCACGTCACGTAACGAGCACGACGATTATTGCACAGAACGGTATACCATCAGCAAGCCATGTTGAAAAAGTAGTCAGTTGATAATAAAACGCCATTTTCGTGTTTCAAGCACTTCATTTTGAACCAAGTACAAAAATTAGTCAATCTGAAAACAGAGAATTGCAAAAACCAAAAGGCTAGGGTACAGCTGAATTCAGTCGCACAAGGGCTTGTGCAATCAGCCGTCAGACTTGCCATTATAACACCGGTAACAGAGGATTAAAGACAGCAATTGCTCAATTGACTGCAAAGCAAATGTAAACAAAAACATGGAGTCTTTAGTTGCAAGAATAAAAAGCAAATCGGCAATTTCATCATATTTAAACATTCAGTCAAATAGACTGCCAACAAAACAATGAGCCACTTGGAGCGTCACCTCTACAGCTCCATGCCCATAAAGAGCCACTTTTTACTGGTCACGTCGACTTCGTTGGCCCAGTGGTCGAGCGTCGTCATCTCAAAGCCAACCCACTGAAGGCTCTTGGTAAGCTCAAGAGCCTCATCGACGGGCATGCGGCGGTCCATGCACGTCACAATGCTGCGGCAGCCGAGAGGACCGTCAGCGAGCTCAATGAGGGCCATGAGTGCCTTTTTCAGATCGCGGCCCATGACGCCCTGAAGGTCGAAAAAGACAAAGAGCGTTTTTTCTCCGTCGTCGTCATTGCCGCCGCCACTGCTGGCTAGAAATGCGCGGAAGCTGGCGCCGCCGACATAATCCCAGACCTCCATCCAGGCGTCGACCTCGAAGCTGCCTCCATTGGTGGACGGACAATGGCCAGACTGCCAGGAAAAGGAATCGCTGCTGGTGCTGCTATCGGCACGGGCGCGCAGCTGATTCTCTGGCGGCGGCGTTTGCAAGTAATGAGCACCGGTCAGGCCGGAGCCATGCATCGACAGGTTCCTCTCACCGCGGAATGCTGTCTTCATGGTCTCGCAAAAGAATCTCTCACATTCTTCCCTGATTACGTGTGCTGCCCCCCCTCGCCGATCCCGGCGACGGCTGCCCGGGATGTCGCGCCTCTTGCTGGTTTGCTGCTTGGGCAAGAGGGCGAGCTCGTTGGTCGAAGTAATTGCGGCGAGGGGGGGGCTTGTTGGTGGGGAGGGGAATCCTGAGGTAGGGACCTCAGGAATACCACTCCGCCCCTACGGTTGTTTGTCAGTACGTTCGGGTAAAATGCGGTGCAAGTTGGAAATTGGTGATGATGTGCGTACCTGTGACCCCGGTAGTGCAGTAGTGGAGGCCCTTGAGCTGGGCCGCGGTACCGACAATGTAGCAAGAGGCAAGGACGTTGACCTGGGGAGCAACGTCCTCGCCACAATTACTACTACTGTGATTACTCTGTTTGTTCATGGGCGACATTGTTGAGGATTTCCAGCGTTGCGTCTGAAGAGGGTTCGTTGATTGTTCGAGGTGGAGTGGTCGATGAGGATTCGGTGGCGATTGACTTGTTGGGCCAAAAAAATCGGTAAGGTTGGTTTGTGCTTTTGGATTTTCGAATTGGATCGATCCTTTTACGCAAGTGCAGCCGTATAGCAGTCACAAAGTGACGATGCTTGGAGCAATGTAGAGCGGTTTGGGGAGGGTTGCGGTGCGAGAGACGTTGTGGTGAGAGGAGAGAAGAATTTCGACGTGGCGGACAAGACCCCCCTAATAAAATGGTCTGCTGACCACACTACATACCACACCTACCTACACAGTCAGGCTAGCGAGCGGGGGCGATGGATCATGGCGCCCGCCTAACAATTTAATAGGTAGTACTGACATTTTTGCAGCGGTCTTTCAGACATTGATTGCTTCGGCTGCCGCGGAGCCCAAGCAAACGCTTTGTACCATTCACGCTTATACCACTACAGAAGGTACAAAGAGCCAACGTGCTCCAAACTCTATCGGTGCTGAAATCTGCCAATCGTCTGGCACCGCCAAGACACGCTGCAATGCATCGCCTAACCCGGCGTTTTAGAGTCTCGTGAGCCAGAACATAAGATGACACTATTCCAGTGCCAGGGGCTTTCATTTTTGACCGTTAACGTCCTTTCTTCTTCAATTGTCTGCGCAATTGGCATCATGCTGACCAGAGCTTGTCACACCTTAACCATACCCAATTGTCTTGGCACACCAGTATTTAGCCACCATCATTGCCACCTACGCCATGCCTGTGACTACACCAACGTGTACCAATGAGTGTCTCTCACATGCATAGCAGGGGCCTGTCTCACACCATCTCACCGTTTATCTCCACGTCCAACCTTTCACATCAACCTTGATGGCGCTTGATTACACATTGTTGGTATTATTGGTATCCTATTCTCATTATATCATACATGCCGCGCGCTCAGGCTTGCAAAAGCATCAGGGCTGTGCCGCCCATTGTTAGTCCACGCCATGTCTAGCCCCAGATTCATGCTTTCGCGGCTGATTTGCCGCCCAGTCTTGTATGCGTCCGTCGCAGCGGCTGCCGTCGGAGCGGGAGCCGGCTGCATGCTGGCCGCAAATGGATTGGTTCCAGGTAGCGGTTGTGATGCGCTGCGTGGTTGCTGTATTGTTGCAGGCATGGTCGGCGCTGCAAACGCACTCACAGCCTGATTCTCCGGGATGCTCTGCGCTTGAGATTGCAGTTGCGGCTTTGGCGATTGACCGTACAGAGCCATGATAGATGCCTTGTCGTGCCGTGGGGCAAAATGTTGCTGATGGTTTTGCTGCGGCTGGAACATTTGCTGTTGCTGAAATACTTGCTGCTGGAATGGCTGCTGCGCGTACTGTTGCTGTTGCTGTGGCTGCTGTGGCTGCTGTGGCTGCTGCTGGTACACATGTTGTTGCGGTTGCATATACTGCACATGTTGCTGCGGCTGCATATATTGCACATGTTGCTGTGGTTGCATATACTGCTGCTGCTGCTGCTGAGCGCCGGGCGATGGCATACTCGACTGCGCAGCAAAGAATGGGTTTGTCCCAGGTGAGGCAAGTGGCAGAGGTGAAGTGCTGAAAGTCGCCGTCTCGGAGATTTGACCCAGCGGTGGCGGTGACGCTACTCGCGTCGGTGATCGCAGAAACGGGTTCGAAGCCATCTGTCCACCCATCTGGTTTATGTTCAGCGTCATGCCGTGCTGCGCAGAAAACTGTGGCTGGTACTGGTGCTGTGGCATGGCATGTCCCGGCTGCGAAAAGTATGGATTGTACCCGGTCTGCTGTGGCTGCAAGCTGCTCTGCTGCTGTGCATGAACTGGCAAGCTTGCATTGCTAGACAACCCGAATCCGTGCTGCGGTTGCGGGCTGGCTGGCGCAGAGTGCCCGTACGTTTGCGGCAGTGGCGGCATTGGCACCGAGAATCCAGTCCCGTTTGAAGAAGCCCCCGTCTGCTGCCGAGAGATCGTCAGATTTTGGAAGGCCTGGTCAATAGGACTGGCCTGCGCAGACAGGAAGCCATAAGGATTCGTAGGGGCAGTGTAGGCATTCGTGTTTTGCAACGAGCCCGTAGAGTGTGCTGTTTGAGGTTGTGCGCGGTTCAGCATGTCAAACGGATTCGTGGACGTAGTCGAAGATGTTGTCGGACGGTCAGTCTCGGATCGTTTGACGACACTCAAGCCCCCTGTAAGTCCGACCGAGTTGGGCATCATTGGGGTGAGGGATCTCGTGGCGCGAAGGGTCTTCTCCTTCGGCGGCGCAGGTGGAGGTTGATCTCCTTCACCAAGTCGCACCAGGGCTTCGACAGCCCGCTCAACGTTGCCACTTACCCCCTTAAGGACAATCAAGTTTCGCTGATCATTTTGGAAGCCCATGTCTCGTAGCTTCGCCAACTTCTTTTCCGTGTCATCCGGAGCTTCATAGTCTACAGTGGCGCCAAAGACCTTCGATGGCTTGTTGGTTAACGGGGGTGAGGCCGGCGCATAGCCGTTGGGTGATTTGTCGAGTACGTTTTTGGATCGTGAAAACGCTGCGCGAAAGCCAAACTTGGAGTTCTTTGGCGGCGGCGGGGGTGGAGTGCCCTCGTCGGATATCGGGCTTCTTGGCTTGCTGGTCTGAGCTGCGACATTGTGCATGTACTTTTGTCGTATGAAACGCTCCATGGCCGAATCAGCCTCGTCGGCATCGACTGGTACAGGGGCTTTCTTGTTGTCTGGGTTGTATATTCGATTGGAAGCGACATTGCCGACTTTGCGCATATTCTACATGACATGGTGAGTTTGTGTTACCGACGCAACTTGCACAGATTTCAGGTGGCTTACGTCGACTTGTTCGTTTGACCAACTATCCATACTCAGTGATTTCACTTTGGATATGTGGGTGCCGAGCTTCCGGTGAATGGTTGCACATCGCATGCAGAGGAATACGCCCAACTAAAGGAAAGAGGCCATTTGTTAGTCGGGTTTTCATTAATAGTTCATTCTTGTGAGTCGACAGCGAGAGAGTTTCATACGCTCCAAGACGCCCATGCTAGTGTCCGTTAGCTTAGAGCATCAATACGATCAGTAGCATCTATAAAGCAGCTACATACCTGGGTTGCGCGCATAGCAGTCGGCACAGATATTATTGCCCGTTATAGTCTGAACCAGTTCTTGCAGCTGCTTCTCGTTACGCGCCTGCTGGCGCTTGCTGATGACTCCGGACATGGCGGAGGGAGATCCGGCACACGGCCACACGCGGCCCAGAAGCGTTCCGAGGGACGAACTTGAGATGGACGGTGACAACGAACAATGTATTTGCGTAGGATTGACGAGAACCAGGGGGCTGAGATGCGTGAGTCAAACTAAGAAAAGTGGTCGATGGGCTTTTGCAGACTCACGAACAAGGTGGTTCAAGCAGGTGACGCCAGCATTATCGTCGAAGAGAAAAGGAGCGTGTGCCGTAGCGTCGAGGAGGGGGTACACCGGCCATACAAGGAAAGTAGAGGGAGCAAAGTGACGGGACAGCGATCCAGGCCGTTACTGGGGTAGGGATACAAGGCGACGAAATCAAAGGAGATAGTAAAAAGAAGAGGAGGCCCACGAGGAAGAAGGGAACGAAAAGGAGGGCCGTCCGAGGCCGAAAAGCGAAGAGAACGGTCGGTGGGCACGAAGTCACCAAGTCGATGGCTTAAAAAAGGAGACGACAGCTGCAAGCAAAGCTTGACCACCAGCAGCCCAGTGGAGGTGATTTGGGGGGGTTTACTGGCTTTTTTAGGCTTTTTCCAGGTGACGTTTAGAGGCTAGTCCACTGTAGGATTGGCGTGCTGCTAACGCACCGCCTAGCACTGTCAGTCACCGTCACAGTAAAAACCTAGTCGTAGCCGCTTGCCTACCAAAAACGGCAGCCCGCAAGAGGCGCCGTCGTGCCTCCTGAAGAAAGTGTGGATCTTGGGCTCCTCAGGTTCAAGGTTTGTTTTTTGAAGGGCAAAATTTCCGTCGGCCTTGCAGTGTATTCATTTGTTGTCGATGACATGTCTTGCTTGCAGAGGCTGAGAGGGCGCTCCGTCATGAGTAGAATCAAGGCTGCAATGACGATGCAGTTGAAACGTGGATCCTATCGGTATTAATATTCCTTCCTCCTTGACATCTCATGCCCGTCATTGACCTGTTTGTCCGTTCGTCTAAATAGATCCATCAAACACATGGAGCACGGGGGTCACAGGTTTCCTCCATCTTCCTGCTACGGACCCTGTTTCAGTGCACAAGCGTGGTGCAGCAACTAACTACGAAGTATTGCAACAATTCTCAGTTTACTCGGCGGGCATCTTACTACCTATATGCATGTTTCTGCAGCTTGCAGGTATCCGTGGACGACGATAGTGCCGCTGCTAGCTGCCCTGTGTGTTGGCAACAGAGATGGCCTGATGCATTACCAATATCATAAATAGGTAGGTACCTTAGGTGAAGCTCTCTCCAGCTGGTTGCCATCGCTATTTAGGTAGGTAGGTAGGTACCTACCCCACTCAGCCCACTCAGTGAAGAAAAAGTACATGCATCTTGGCCTGCCATCACACGACCGACGAGGTACCTCGACCACTGTAGCCATGCCCGTCAGGTCCCTGAATGTCGATGCCTAGCGCCCCCGACACTTGGTACCTAGATATTGAAGGCACCTGCTCACAATTTTAGGTATCCAGCGTCCACCTAGGTAGCACAGTCGACCCCAACCAGCCTCAAAGAGGCTACGTGCGCAACTGCGTAATCTCTCAGTCAACGCCTCCAGAAACGCATTTCCTCCATCATCACCGCCTGTGTCTTTCGCACCGAATTTACCCATCCGCTTCACATCCATACCGTTAGCTATTGTCGCATCGTCGGGTTTTGTACAAACGCCACCATCTACAACAGCCTGCTTTGCAGCTCGCGCTCAACAGTCCCACCCCTTCGCCGAGAGGACACTCTGCAGCTTCCTAGAGCTAGAGCTCCCGCCAACCGAACCCACGACAACATCAACACACAGTCTCGCCCAGCATGACGCTAAAGGAGGAGTTTCAAACGAGAAACTTCAGTACGTAGCTTCATTCTATCAGAGCTCTCATCTGTCCTTACGGCTAACCGCTCGCTCTCCAGGCATCTATGCACAATGGTAGGGCATCCCTCTCGACCCGCGCTGCGAAAAAACACCTGGCCTTGGCGAGCCCGAGCCGGGACTGCCGACCGAGAAACTAACTACCACCGCGGGAAGAGATACGCAAGGCCAATATGCTAATCTAGCTCATCTAGGCTCGGAATTCTGTCCATGATTCTCTGCGTTGCGCTTGGCATCGCCAACATCTTCACCATTCACCCCCTCAAGATAATCTTCTGCGCCTTAGCTTTGTACGTTACACGCCCATGTTCATAGGCGCCCACCGCTAATCTTGGTGCCAATAGGGCCTCGGCGCTATTTATCCTCTTCATCGAGGTGCCCTTTTTGCTGCGCATCTGCCCCACGTCGGGCAAGTTTGATGCCTTTGTCCGCAAGATTTCGACAAACTACCTGCGCGCTGCCGCCTACGGCATCATGTCCGCCATTCAGTTCATCAGCCTCACCGTTACCACCAGCACACTCATTGTTCTCGCCGTGTTCCTCCTGCTCACAGGTCTCTGCTACCTCCTCGCTGCAATTCGCGGTCAGGCCTTCATCGGCAGCAAGACGCTCGGTGGCGCCGGTGTCGCCCAGATGATCATCTAAGGCGCTGCATGGACTGGCTGGGGGCACATTGGCATGAGCGAACCGCAGTAGTGATTCGGATGTGCGACGAATGAAGCGCATGCATGAGAAGGATGGAGAAAGATTGTCGGAGGCGGCGTACTCGGAAGCATGCCGCTACGAATCCATGTTTTATTTTGCCTGGGAATGAAGCAAGAGCGGCCATGTATTTCTCTACTTGGAGCACGACTTTTTGGCGTCTGGGACAAACTCGTGGATCTTTTATGCGTATTTGGTTTTCTTGTCTGCTTAGTTGATTACGGCTGGCCATGTTAGTATTTCCGCTGCCGTTTTACGGATATGACTTGTAACACTTATCAATACAAGCATAAGACAGAATCAGTGCAATCGAACGTGTTTTTGAACCAGGATAATTGACAGTTGCAGCTCTATATGGGACCCAAATGCCCCGAAGGAACAAGAAGCGCTGATGTGCAGGGTATCACCGCCGTGTAGCAGTACTATAAGTCAGCATACGCGCCACGCAGTCTTTCACTCAGCTACGAGTTACTGACCAAGGTGCACAACACAGCAAAAATACAGCCAGGCAAGAGAACCCGAGTCATGGGTTAGGAGGGAACAAAAAATCAACAGAACTATGAGTCGAGGAACTTAGTTGGCGATAGGGCAAAAAGAATATGCGATGCGTGATCTGGGAATCGAACCCAGGGCTCCCCGACGTTGCTGATGGCAACGGAGAATTTTACCACTAAACCAATCACGCTTCGGTGAAAGGGTCTGCCTTTTTTGATACTATATGGGCCAGGGAGATGTCCACTCACACGCTCAAGCTTTTATGCTCACTGTGGCGCGCCATTTGAAGACACTCTGCCCTACCCGAGGAGTTTGACATATTAACCATTGACCTGTTTATGTAGATGCAATGATTCGTAAGAAACTCACCAGAACTTCCTGAACTCTTTAAGAAATTAGTCGACGAGAAATATTAAGATCACTATCAGATTTAATATATAGTTACTGGGTGGCTCGCCAATTCACGCCACTCCCTGAGACGACCGATACAAATTTTGTACGTGTAGCATTCTCGCAACAGCTATGTGTTCTGGTAGAGGCAAGAAGTCACAACAGGGCAAAAATACCCATGAGGACTACCCACGTTTCCCATTTCTTTTTCCGAGGCTTGCAAGCCTCTTGCGCCAGGAAGCCAGCGATGTGGGCATGACTCCAAGTTGATCATGAGAGCGCAAGTCGCAAGCTCGTACTGTCGCTGCACATTTCCGCAGACCCGATTCTGTCGTAACGGAGTATTCAAAGTTTCTTGAGATTGTTCTACCAACATATGAAATAACTCGAATGATCAAAAGTAACTCAAACTGAACGTCATTGATTGCGAGCCCCGGTGTTTTCTCGTCTTTCAAGTCTGGTCCACCATCTCCGCACGTCTCGTAGGTTTTTTTTTCTTCTTTTCTCCTTTGTTTAAGCCGCAGAGGAAAGAAATATAACATGTGAAATCAATAGAGGGAGAAGGTGTGAAGATTAGACCATGTAGCCGACGTATCGAGGGCTATCGGTCGTCGCCGCAGGCGTGGGCGGCTCAAGAACGCTGTCTTGCAAAACCCCCGAACCCGAACCCGACGCGCCAGCCCTTCTTTCGGACAGCTTCTCCCAAACCTTTGCTCTCCAGTGGAGCCTGCGCGACTGCTCGGGAGAGGAGTGACCATCGCCAGAGGGCAGATTAGTGTCGGCAGTCGATTGCTGTGGCCACAAGTTCCGGAACTTCTGCACGCCGTTTAAATGCGTGCGGTTGCCTTGCCAGTAAATCTTCCACTTGCGCCAGAGGTAGCTGATCAGCAAGTATAGGCAGAAAACGATAATACACAGAAAAGACGTGCTTAATATCACGAAGAGCGCTATTTTGGCGGCGTCACTCTCGGGAGTCATGTCGACCATGAGAGCGGTGAGATATCCAATGGCGTTTATGAACTCGCCCGGGCCGTCCGCATCAAAGTCGGTGTATGCGTTGTATCCAAAATCTGTCCCCTGTCCAAATGGGAATATCTCGAGTGGAAAGAATGCAGTATCGTCTTCCATATAACTCTGGGAGTTCTAAGAAGGCCTGATGAGTTTTTGAGTGCAAAGCAGAAAGAACAGCATACTTTGCCTGGTTTCCGTACGCTTTTGAGATGCCTCGAGAGTATAGAACAGATCCTGGAGTCGATCAATATCCACCGAATGAGACGAAACAAAAGATACAGAGCCAAGCAGAGTTTCTCAAGACGTGAGGCTCCCCATCCAGGACTGGAAAAGTAATGTATTACTCACCGAGAATAAGGAATGAAGATGAAAATCTTCTCGGTTGTGGTGTGAAGGAAAAAAAAAGGAAGATTGTGCAGAAGGCGGCAGACGCTGTGCTCTTCATATACCTCTGGGTGTTTGGTAATCGAATGTTTAGCTTTCGTGGCTGCGCTCATGAAGGCGTCGCGTTGTCGTGGTGGCGTACCTAAACTCTACACATTACAGCCCGCTCGCGCCCAAGGACGGCGCGAAAAGAGCCCCCAGCTCGTGAAATACATATACAAAGTTGGTGAGGCCTTTGTTTTGTCTTACATCTCCTGGGACAACCGTAATCGTAAATGGTAGCCACCGTAAAGTAAACCAAAGAAATGGTACACACGGTTTCAATCAACTGTGCACGCTTCCTAGTGAATAGCTAGCATTTCATCCTGCTCCAGCACCGCCTGTTTCCACCCATTCAGCCCTATGCTGACCATGACAGTGCCTGTCTGCTGTGCAGTGATGCCTGGTGAGACGACAGTCGCGAGGCGGATCGCTGGCGGCGGGTTATTGGGAATGACCAAGCCCGGGCGCACAGAGAACGCCTCGAATCTGCCCGGGTGCTGCTTGGCTAGTGTTTGCAAGAAGGTTTCCGTCTCGCCCTTCCACCGGCGCGAGTCGCCTAGGAACCAGAGATGCTTTGCGGGATCTGGCTCGGCAAACTTGCCGCTGCAAAAGACGAAGCGAATCCTGCCCGAGGGCGAATCGTTGCCGAGGTGCTGGACAAAGGCGGAGGCTGCTGCGCAAGGATACGACACATTGGCGGCATAGGCAAGCTTCTTTTCATTGTTGAACTTAGACAGCACTCCGCCAATCGCCCTAGGATGGGAAAAAGGGTCTGATGTTAGTACTGCCGTAGACATGATAAAGTGAGATGCGGCGGTAATTGCCTCCTCTCTGGCTTGCGTACCAGAGGCACAGCTCGATGCCCTTGAGTCTGTCCAGCAGCTCAAGAGGGTAGTGCGCAAAATCCGAGTGCAAAATGACATCGACTTTGGGGTTCTTCTCACGGTCATCCTCCAGCGCTCTTCTCGTGACCACATAAACTTTGGTGATCTTATCGGTGGCGATGCAGGCATTGAGAACCTCGTTCCCCACAAGGCCTGTAGCTCCAAATATGACAGCCTTCATGACTGGGCAAAAACGAGAAATATCTGTGTGTGTTGCCGCGCTTCTTCCAAAAGTCAATGTAGAAACTTTTGTCTAAATGAGGTGGTGCTAATAAATGCGTAGAAGACGAGGGGCATTACGTACGAGGCTATGCTGTATTTAGACTACGCTAACCTCGACGGCGTGTTTCTGGTGTAGTATCCGGTGCCACAGTTGCTTCTTGATAAGAAGTCTGTAGCGCTTTGCATGTTTCTGCAAAGCCATGTGACCGCAAACACGGCAGTCTTGATATTAACCGGCAGACTGGCCAGCATCAGTAGCTAATGCGGTGGCTTCGCTCGGCTTCTTTTCATGCCATGGAGATGGCGTCTTATGCACGTTCGCCGACTGATATGTTCGTCGACTAATTTGCCGACAACCTGCTGCCAATCTTGTCTTGTTGTTACTGGTATAGACTCCCATATTTCTTGCTTCAAGGTACACCCGCCGGAATAACAGACGGAAGCTCATCTCCACGTATCCTTCCACCGAGCTGGGTCGCAAACATCCATGCTGCGCGAGACAAATCATCAGTCAAGTCTCCGCGGCGGAGAATTTTGAGCCGCGACTGGGCGAGCACAAACCCGCCGCAGGAGATCTGAGTAACTCGTACGCTGGGGTGGAACATGTTCAAGGCCAAGTGGTGCTGCAGGTATCGCCCCAGCGCTGCTGTGAATGGCTGGTCCCCAGTGCCGGTGGCAGTTCTCCAAGCCCATCCGTCATCCATGTTACCTCCAGCAAGACGCCGCCGCTCACGGGGATCCTTTTCCCACAAGGCGGGCGTGCCGCTATTCTCTGGCCGCAGCCGCTCGCCTGTGCGTAGAAAGCGGCGGAGCTCGTGAGGCGGGACCGCGACGCTCATGCTTCGCAGCCCTGGGTCCATCGTCGCCTCTGCATCCGAATCAGAATCGGAGCCCAAGGTACCCTCGCTATCGCGAAGCGGTGCGTTGAAGGCCAATGTGACCACAAAGTCGGGCCCCTTGTTAGACAAGCCCATAGTCTCAATCCAACCTTCCCAGACATTGACAAGTGTTTTTGTCCCCAGTGAGAGCTTACTCACGCGGCAATCGAAGGTCGTGGAGAGCCAATCGCCGATGACGTGCTTGAGCGGCTGTGGCATGCGCAGCAAAAGCAAGGGTAGATGAAGAAATCTTGACTCATCGAGCGCGTTGTCCGTGGCCACCTTTCCAGGCCGCATAGCCCAGTCCGAGGGCTTCACCGATGAGTTTGGTGGTAGTGTTGTGTATCCAGGTAGCAGGAGAGCGACGTAGGCCGCATTTTCGTGTCGGATCTCGACCCAAAGACCCTTGTCTGAGCCATCACTAGCATCGCCTCGTGCGCGATCCGTAGCGTCGTCAAGAACGTCTCGGTCACCAAGTACGTCCGATGGTGAGAACCAGCGGAACTTCACGTAGCGCAGTGAGCCAACCTGCCCAACAGGCGTTTCAAGAGATTCCAGTCCGATTTGAATTCCGCGTACAACATCTCCGACAAGAGTGTCTCGCAAACGATGGGCGAGTAGATCAAGTCGGGCCTGGTCTAGAGACTGTGGCCCAATGAAAAGCGGCGATACTCGATGTGTTGAAAAAGTGGTGTTGAAAAAGGGCGGAATCACATCTTCAACAATGGGGCTCTCGCTGGAGAAGGTCTCTGAGGTGGAAACATCCTGATCGGCCATGATGTACCGGGACCAGAGTCGTCAGCCGGGAGATATATGCCGGCACGACCAGTAAAACAGAATTGACGCGTCGACCTTACAAATACCCGCTACTTGGCGAGTGCCATGGTCGTGCTCTGGCGTTTGGCGCGTGTCGATTGTAGTGGAGCGTGTATATATGGGTGAAGGACATTCTACAACAAGTTGTGGAGATGACTAATCACAAGGCGACAGCTTTGGGCGCACCCGAAGCACCAGCAATGCATGTTGCAACTATATTTTTCTTCTATGATACAATATATACAATTTGTTCGAATGCAGTGATTACCAGTCAGTCCAAAACTGGGAGCGTATCATTGTCATGAGCGCGCTCACTCGATGTGGCACAACAGTCACTCATACGCCAATGCTGAACCCGAATGATCCTTCGAATATATCGAGCGCCTCGACATCACGCACATCTCGTAGAGATTTGATGATGTCCATAGAGGGGGCCTTGTTTGCCGGATAGAATAAGAGCAAATTTTCCATGTCTTCGTGTGTCATCTGGCACATTTCCTCCCATTTGTATGTGTCGCTCACCTTGGACATCCTGTCGTCAAATTAAGTTAGCCGAACTCGTCAATCTCAAAGTACTAAGAGAAGAAAAAAGGTGTCGTCGTCGTCGGGGACTCACCAGCGCATCCTCTTTGGACCGTCTTCGACCCTTGGGGCAACTTTGCGTAGCTTGGCCCGTAGTTCTCCAATAACATCTATGGCATTGCCAGCATTGTTGGGGAGCTTGCTAGCAATGAAGCGACGGATGGATGCGGCAAGCCGAGGTCCGCGACCGTTGGTGCTGACCATTATCTGAAGGGGGCCGTCTCTGTGGACGCTGCCAAAGTAGAAGTCGCACTCGGGCGGCACATCTGCAATGTTGGCGGGAATCTTCTTTTCCTTGCATAGTTTCCAGATCACTGTGGATGCATCTGGATCGTCAATGGCCACTAGGACCATGACTGCGTCGTCGAGATCGGAGGGTTCGAAGACTCGGTCGATGTGTATGACTTGCTTCTCGGAAACGCGATAGGCGACTTCTTTGTTCAGGCCCGCTGCAGGGCATACGACGGTAACGTTGGCGTCGGCATTGAGGCAATTGAGGATGCGGCCTGCGGCAACCTGTTGGAATTAGCATCTCGGAGTTTATTGTGGTCAAAGAAAGTTGGATTGGCGAACTGTACCTCGCCGCCGCCGACAACTAAAACGTTCTTGCCTTTGACCTGCCACGCGAGAATGAGACTACCTCCGGGCTGAACATCCGGAAACGATTTGGCCATGATGAGCAAGTTTCGCGAGATTGGGTTGCAAGGTTCAAGATGGGCAGAAATGAGCCGGAGTCGGAACAAGTAGCAAGTATTACGGTAGTTATTAATAAGGTAAGGTAGGTCGAGCTCCGATAAGACGGCGATAAGGCTTGAAGCGCTAGCTAGGCCTGCCAGGGTCTAAACGGTCACTGGAGTGGGCATCTGTCAGGCTTGCAGCGGGTTATTAGTGGACTTGCCGCTGGCCGATTAAGTGCGAGGAGAAGGGATCTAGAGTTATATTTAATTATTTCTGATGATTTTCCAACACTGATTCTATGTATAGACGAAATGGATGTGAGAATCGTCTGACTCCTCTTGAAGGGCCAAAATGGCATACAAAAAGAGGCATTTGTTAGGACAGGCCGGTATAGCACTCTTATAGGCCCGCCTTTGATAATTATTAGCAAGCAGCCCAACCGCCAGCTACAAGTCAAGCAGTACACATGACCTATACCACGCTTGGAAGAATAATCCCGGTTCTCTTAATTGACGACATCTTTGTAAATGTACATTTACCATGGATTTCGTTGCAAGCCAAGATTGGCCTTCCTAACCCCTCCTACTGGCCACTCAAAGACTGATCCCTCGCTCCACAGTCTACACCCACAAGGCGGCCTTCTGCAGGGGTCTCCACCAAGCCAGCTCTGCTGGTCACAGTTGGCCGCCACCTGCCATCATCATCCTACCCTCTGCCAATCATTCCGCACTTCTGGATGCCAACAGCGCCAGAGGCAGCTCGAACACCAAAGGTCGTCTCGGGTTGCTGCACTGGCGGGTCTCATTCCAGCGACGCACCAGAAACTTAGCTCACGGGAACTCGCAAGCGGCAACACGAAATGTCCGGCCGGAAGCTCGGCGGTGGTCGCATCCTAGGCAGCGGCAAGGGCCTTGCGCCGCCTTCCGTTGCCCCTCGTGCCTCCAGCCCATTGGCACCGTCCGAAAGCACTGTCTCGATTGGTTCCTCATCGCTGTCGCCGCCCATAAGCGGCAGTTTACCGGAGATTGGCCATGACATCGGATCCAGCATCAGCGTCGGCGCGCAGCCCAAGGCCGGGCTATCCAGCGATGGTGGCCTTGTTTGTCCGATTTGCAACGAGGAGATGGTATGCGCCAAGGCGCCCAAGTCAACGGCCACGTGCTCACAAAACAAATCATTAGGTCACTCTATTACAGCTCAATCGACACATCGACGACAATCACCAAGAACTACCCGCCGAGGAGCAAGACGAAGTGAAAACATGGTTCGACAAGCAGGTGCTAAAGGCGAAACGCTTTCAACCGCTGTCCCTGATTAACCAAAAGCTTCGAGGCTTGGAAGTGTTCGAATCCAACGAGACGGTTCAGCCCATTCAACCGGTCTCGCATACTCCTGGGAAGTCGCAGGAAGTCCACATTGATCCCGAGGAGCTCATCACCAGGTTCCACTGGCAGCGATCAACAGGGCATGATCGGTGTACCGATCCCACCTGTGGAAAGAATCTCGGGGCTATGAATGGTAGCATCAATTGTCGAAAATGTGGGCGATTGTTCTGCGGAGAACATACCATGTACCAAATGAAATTAAGTCGGAGCGCGGAACACGAACCTGTCCGCGGTGTTTGGGCCCGTGTCTGCGAAACTTGCTACAAGTCTCGAGATGGATACAACGACCACACAGGGGTCTCAAAGGACCACACAACTGCTTTCTCGGAAATTCGAAGAAAGCGTGTTGAGCGACAAAAGCTCGAAGTCTCTCGACTGGAGAAGCGACTGACCAAACTGACCAGATTACTGGTCGATCCATCTGATAAACCAAACGGCTCTATACTGTCGCCAGTCAGCCAGTTGACGGGACAAAATAATCAAAGAAAAGCAATTGAACAATCTGTCGTGCCTTGGGAGGACGATGAAGCCGTATCAAAGTGCCCATTCTGTCAACAAGAATTTGGCACCTGGACATTTAGAAGACACCACTGTCGCATATGTGGTCGAGTAGTTTGTGCCGACATACAGACGGGTTGTTCGTTCGAAGTCAGTCTTGAAGTTGCACCACGTGAGTACACCCGACAACGACACCCTTTTCCAGTTAGAGAGCAGGTCCTGACATATGCAGCCTCACAACAACCTACTGAGAAACCAGCTCCCGCGACGGGCCTCGTCAAGGTCGACATTCGTATGTGTCAGGACTGTAACCACACGATATTCTCTGGTAGAGATTTCAACGCCTCATTAGAATTAAAACCCGCAGATCAGCGAGCGTATGAGACCCTACGGCAGTTTGAGCGAGGCATCCGTCAGCTTCTGCCATCATTTCACCGCGTTCTGTTGGCGCTGCAGCCGGACAAGCTAGAATCTGGCGAAGTTGATCTGAATAAGCCGCCGCCTACGCGGGCGCAGATCCAAGAAGCAAGTAAAATCAGAAAACGTCTGATTGACAGTTTCGGGAAATACGGCATCGCCGCGAAGCGTATTAGAGACTTGCCGACGCAGAGCCCAACACAACAACGGTTGCAAACGGCCATCTACACATACGCGAGCACCTTTTTGCACACTAATATGCTGCCGCTAAAGAGTCTTCCGCAGCTCCTGCGCAACCAATCGTCCCGATCCGCGCGGTCCACGCCGCACCTCTCCGTGCACTCCGCCTCCTCAGGCCTGCGACACACGGAGCTCGCCGAGTCTGACACCGCTTCGCAGGCTGCCAGCGAAGCAAGCACCGTCGTCAGCCAGCTCGAGACGGAAGAAAAGGGTCTGCGCGAAGGCCTCGCCGTACTGGAGGAACAGCGCTTCATGGTGGAGGAGATGTTGCGGGCAGCCACACGCGCGCGGCGCTTCGAGGAGATTTCTGCATTGAACCGCAACATGGACGAGCTGGAGGCGGAGATCACTGCGCTCAAGGGCAAAATTACGAGCGTGGAATCTAGATGGGAAGGCGTATATCGGGACGGACTAGCTTCGTGATGGAAACGCCAGCGTATCTAGCACGAAGTCTTTTGTTTTTATGTTTATAGGCATTGCGTGGGCGTTCATGGCGTGTGCGCGGCAAATCATGTCTGCAAGAATACAGACAGTCTCTTTTCTTGATATCATTCTGTCCCATTTATCATGTCTAGACGGGCAACATCTCGATAGACACTACATTCATCGACTGAAATCACCAGAGCAGACTACTACAAGACGTTGTGAATGAGATGCGCAGTAAGGCTTTAGATTTTAAGAGAACATGACGGTGCATCAGCATCGTGATGAGATATCACAAGGATAGTCTGCGATAATAGACCGCAGATGAAGAGCAGAAGAAACCTACGCCTTGGCCGCGGCCGGCTGGCATCACACAAAATACCCCATAAAACAGTTAAACACCAGAGCTTTCCCTCCGTTTGCAAAAAACAAGCAAGGCTCACGCAAAGCAGACCAAAATAAAACAAATTCCCAACAATGTTCTCACGAGCGCCGTTTCCGCCGTTTCCAAGAACCCCATTCCCGAAACCCTGTTATAAATTATGCAGCGAAATTGTAACAACACCCTAGTATAACAAACAGTTGGAGAAAAATGGCGAGGAGGAATATGTACAGATGCCGAAAGTTGCTGAAGAATGACAATTGGATGGAGACGCGCATTACTAGTGCACGACACCTTCGACACCGCCTAAGAAGCGTCTGACGCGGTCAATCTCCAGCTCCTCGCGTTCACTCTCAACGGCCTTGAGCAGGCCGTCAATGACGGCATCGACATCATTCTCGGCAACGCCGGTGCACAGAGCCACGACGCGGCGGTACTTGACTTCCACATCCCGACTGCGGCCCTGGAGGGCCTGAACCATCTTGCGGGTGACGTCACGACGGGCCTCGATGGCCCGGATGCGCGCTTTGAGGACGGCGGTGGACGGCAGCATGCCCTCGGCACTAAATCCGCCCGCGGCGTTGTGCTCTTCGGCTGCCTCGAGCATCGCGCCTAGCTCAGTCTCCCATGATGACGAGGGGTTCGGTTGCGACGAGCGCGACTGCTCATTCATCAAACGCGTTTGTTCGTCTTCGCGGGCGTGCGCTAGGTTGGCGACTTTTCGACGGGCGAGCTGCTGCCTGGTCACTGATGCTGTAAGCTGCTCAATCTTGCGGCGCGCATCGCCGAGCTGTGTGGAGGTATTGCGGATGTTGGCGTGCATCGAGTCAAGGCTGACTTGCTTCGTCTTCATTTCCTGCTGGAAGGTGGAGCTGGTCTCTCCCAAGAGGTGCGTGATGGAAGCAATAATCTCGTCGCTGCTTTCGCGCATCTTTTGGCTTGAACCAGGGGCGCTTGGCTTCTCCGAGATCGCCTCAGCGTTTTGCTTTTCCTCGACACTCTCAACACCAATGCCAAAATCAACCGGCCGAAGACCCACACGATTGGCAATGTTGGGGTCAGCGCCGACTTCAAGGAGTTGGGACACGATGCTCTTGTTGCCGATTCTGGCAGCAATGTTTAAAGCAGTGTCGCCGCAGCTGTCCTGGGCGTTGACGATTTCACTCATGAACCGAGCAATGCCCATCTTGGGAATAGTAACTTGAGCGCCGTTCGGTGCGGCACCATTCATGCCCGCATTCTGGCTGCTGGGCACGCTGCCTTGACGAACAACCCATTCAAGCAAGCTCTCCAGGTAATATCGACTTGCTGCATTACGACCTTTCACAGCACTTGTGACGGCAATGTGATGCAAGACAGTGCGGCCTTTGTGATCCCGGGCCTCAATGGTCCCGCCCAGTACCTCTAGCAGATCAGGGAAGGATCCGTGGTCCATTGAATTCGTTACAAGGCAGGCGCGTATGAGCGGGGTTTCGCCAGATGCATTGACCCGGTATGGAGAAGCACCAGCGGAAATCAAGGCCCGCAGGAGAGGCATACGCGACAGAGTAGCGGCCCAATGCAGAGCAGTATGGCACTGGGAGTCTATAGGCATGTCGAGCTCGCTTTGGGTACAGGTGAGGAGCATATCGTGCTTCGAAGTATCGTCGGCGGAAGTGTCCATGAACAGACCCATAAGCATATTGCGCTTCGCCTCGGCGCCTTGAGACAGCTCGAATGGAAGTGGTGCTTGTGATCCGCTGGCTTCCTCAATGGGTGATCGGTCCTGGATGGCACTCTGGGGGTACATGAAGGAATCGTTGGGTTCGGTCGGAGATCCGGGGAATGCGTTCGCATAGGCGTCCATATTTTGACTGTAGCCTCCAAAGCTATCAGCCGGTGTCATGCTCACTCGCTGGCGCTTCCGGGGCGGTTCAGCCTCGGGCATAGGAGCTACGCCGTTGGGCTGTTGCGTCGAATAAGCGGAGTCGACGTGTTGGCTGTATTCCGAAGCAAAACTCTGTTGCGAATTTCCGGGAAATTCATCGCCATTCTGCATCGAGGGCTGTCTGCTAAAGCTGGGTGGTTGGGATGGGCCGTTTCGGCTGCGCGGGTTGGGTGAGTCGAATCGAGCCTTGCTAATGGCGGCGACAGCGTGTGAAGCGGTGCTCGAGATATTCTTGAAGAAGGTGCCGTTGACGCCATTGGGTCTCCCCTCGGCGCTAGAACTGTACATGCGTTTCCTTTGCGCAGCCATAGCCTGCTCCTTGGTAGGTGTGTTGAGATCACCTTGGCCAGCGACGCCGCCGTCCTGGCCCATATCGTAGGTCAGCAGGGGGCGGAGAAGTTCCTCGACGCCATATGAGCGGCAGACTTCGACGCCGCGCTCGAACTTGATCCAGGTACCCTGATATTTTCCGTATCCTCCCTGCACCTTTTCATGCTCCCCGGTCTGGATTTCCTTCTCGAGGATTTTGGTTCGTTTGCCCTTGTCGACGCCTGCGACCTTGAGAATCTGGGTGGCATTTAGACAAGAGTCATGGCGCCGTCGCATGACAGCGATACCGTTGACTTCCATCTCGTAGACATCGACTCCGGAGTAGGATGCCTGTAAACCTCCATGTTAGCAAAAGGCATTTCGGGGAGTGAGAGCCTTGGAAGTTGCGTATGGTACCCACCGAGTAGATTTGAGGAGCGTTGGGGTTGATCGTGAAGCCGCGGTGAAAAGAAGCGTTAGGGGGCGCCTGCTGCGACTGCTGGCTCATGGTGAAGGATTGCTGTGAAGATTGCGAAGCGGACGGCATGATGGGCAGCGACTATACGAAGAGATCTCAGTGGTGATGCATATAGCTGAAAAGTACGCGCGATGCGTGCCGCGGCGGGCGAGTATCGGTAAGATGGAAAAGTGTAGACAATACAGTCGTCCGGGTACAGAAAACGCTCTTGTGCGAGAATGCGATATGACCTGCTGTGATAGAGAATGAGATGACAAGGGTGAGTGAGGACTGCAGAGAATGAGGCCAAAGTGGGCGGGTAAATGAAGTGGTTAGAGCTGGTCAGAGGTAAAAGGTACCTCAGCCGAGGGAGGGGCTTCAAGCGTGGTTGCCCTGTGAGTGTGTGATCACGGGCGGAGCCTAGACCAGCAAGCAGCGCTGATGAGGAAATACCAAGTTTGTGGCGTCGGTGGTGTTGCAGCACTCGTGCGCTGTAATTCTCTCGTCTTTTAATATTGATTCCCCAAGAAAGGATTGGTTCAGAAAATCGCTTCTGTTTCTGTAGATCCGACGAGAGGACTATTGGTCCAAGGCTTCGAAAGCTACAACCGCAACGCTCGCTTGATAACTCTGCTTGTCGCAGGTACAAATGTCAGGTGCCGCGCAGTGGAATGGAGGCTGCCAAGGGTCGTTAATTGATTGCAGCAAAGAACGTGTCCGTTTCGTGATTTCGTGTCTGGTCGTGTCTGATCGTGTCGCGTCCGACCGCGTCGACGTGTCTTTGCTGTGGGGCATTCTAAAGTGGTTTCATTTTTTACCTCTGCATTCACGACACTATTACGCCTATCAATCTCCATCATGCTGCTGAGTACAGATGGATGTATCCGTACTCCGTGGATACTTGACACTGAAACCAAAAAGCCATCGTTTTGTTGAATCTTACTATTGGCCTGCCTGCCAGTGGCTGGCAAGGTCACCCATGTGGATCTGGGCACAAGTTTGAGCATCGCAAACGGTACAGGGCCATGGTAGGCTGGTACGCAACAAGCTGACACGGACACTTGCAGGTGAAATGCTTCTGTGTTTCAACACACAAATTAATTCCTGGCGTATGAATGCTTTGACCGATGAAGACATCTGTTCTACTGACGTTAGTCAACTACCGTCCTCACATCCACCACAGCGACAACGCCGCGCAACAACATCGGGGTGCTCGGGACGACCAACATCATTAATCATTACATTCACTCTTCCTAATCATAAGTGAAAATTTAATTCAAATTGGTCTACGGATTAATTGCGTCACCTTATGGTGTAAATTCTATTAAACCCTGTCGCTGCTCGGGGTAGGGTTTTGGCTAGCGTCAGGATCTGCTTTGGCGGTACTCCACATGCCACCCGATCGGAAAAAAGAGCTTCACTCCGCTTCACTCCTCTATCTACGGCCACATTAACCCCGTCAAGTGCAACAGACAATGCCGGCGCCGCATGCAGCCGCCGTGACGCCAAAAAAGGGTCTTTCCATCTACCGTCGGCTGCTGCGCGAATGCTCTTATCTCCCTCCCGCCGTCCGTCCGACTATTCAGCACCTGATCCAGACGCGATTTCATCAGCATCGCAAATATGACCCTCGGGCCGAATCACACTGGGGACGCGCGCAAAGAGTGCTGCGAACGTTGTCTGCCGCCAACACGGGAAATCGAAAGTGCATGGAAGGTCTCATCTCGAAAGCGTTTGGCCGGTCCGGGACGCGCCGGCGGCAGCTGATGAGTGAGTTTGTCGTGCCGCAGGGCGTCAAGGACTCCGAGGCTCTGGAGGCGCTGACGAGCGGAAGCGACCTAGCAGATACAGCGGATAAAACCTCGGCCGACGCGACAAAAGTAAAGCAACCGATGGGAAATCCCAAGAATCGCTTTTTCCTCAAGTGGGATCAACCGAAACTCCTGCAGCTACTGTCATCGCTGCGCCAGCGTCAAAACGAAGCGAGGCCCACCTCCCATTTGCTGGGATCCGCGGTCAAGACGTTGAACCCAGACGTTGACGTGCCCAAGGAGAACATCTGGGGCAACCCGCCGGCGGAATGCGTCGTCAACGCCAAAAGGGCAAGGTGGTGGCGCCGCGCCGCGGACAAGATGCCGCCGCCTCTGAGCAAGGGTGAGTGGGAGCTGCTGGGACGCTTGAGTCGCGGTGCGCAAGAATCGGGCGAGTGGCAGATGCCGGCTCGACGAACATGCGTCGGAGCTGCTTCTGAACACCCTAGGGAGAGTCAAGCGGTGGCGTTGATGCGATATGCAAAACATTCTGCGGCCACGGTGGAGCGGGAACGCGGCTTGAAGCGCATCGCGCGGTCCGGCCAGCAGGACGCCGGGCCGTATGGTCCCTCGCACTCCGGCAACGGTCTCTCGCCGCGGTGGTTCCGACGAGCGTATCAACGTACATGGTTGCTCACGCCCAAGATGGAGCAGAACCCGCGGACGCTGCAGTACGAGTTTGTCTTTGGAGATTTGGCCAAACTCAGAGACGCTACCCCACAACAACAGTGCATCTTTGACGGTGTTGATGCCAAAGGCCAGCCGTTGAAAAAGTCGGCTAAGTAGCGGATGCTAAAACATGACTTTCTTGTACATTTTGAATTTCTACTACATTGCATCTGCCGGAGTTTAGTCAACCACATCTGCTTTTTCACAACCATCTCTTAATCCAACAGTCCTGCGAGCTTGGTCAGGCCATCGTCGGTGACACGCATCGTCATCCACTCATGCATGCCCTGCGCGCCCACACTTTCGTAAAACTTGATGCTCGGCTCGTTCCACTTGAGCACCGACCACTCGAGGCGCGCGCCGCCGAATGCAACGACCTCCTTGGCGAGCTGCACCAGCAGCGCCTTGCCGTAGCCGCGGCCGCGCTGCGACGGCCGCACAAACAGATCCTCGAGGTAGATGCCCGGGCACGCGCGCCACGTGCTATAGTTGTAAAAGTAGAGCGCCATGCCGACCGTCTCGCCCTCAGGGTTGGTCAGCAGCAGGCAGCGCGCGGGCCGGCTCGACGAGGTGGGCTCGGTGCTGGGCACGTAGGCGGTGGTGTTGGGGTCGGACGGCGCGCCCGACGGCGCAAACGCAATTGTGTTGCTAAGGGTCTCGATGGTGGCCTTGTTGGCGTCGGGCTCCTTTTCGTAATCAGCAAGCGCCTGGATCAGGTCGAGGATGATCGGAACATCTGTAAGGATCTGGTGTTAGAGCGGTCGCGGGGTTCACTTGGCGGGGTCGGACCTACCCTCCTTGCGAGCGTGACGAATGACACCGTCGGACATGATGAAAGCGACTGGATCTGGAGATTATTGGGATCCTGTAGGTTCCTGATGTGATTGAGACAAGAATAGATATCTTTTTATGTAGCAATGGATGTCGAATCGAAACTTGTGGAAGCTGTGGAAGTGGTGGAAATGGGTTCACGCCGCTTGCGATGCCGGCCGGCGTAGTGTCAAAGGGCGTGGCGGGGCGTGGAATGTTTCTTGTAGGGCGTGCCTCGGCAAACTTGCTAGGGAGCATGCGCAGGCTTGGCTTCCGACAACTCTGTATGTGTGAATATGTTTTCCAGACTGGTCTATTTACCGGTACCGGATCGAGATATGGTCTTCCCAGCGTGTTCGATCGCATTGCCTGCTGGCAACGTGACGTCTGCAGACGCCACTTTTCTGCCTGTGCAGTGCCGGCAGATTGAACAGCATGACCAATTGTAGACGACTTGAGTAGAAGGTTGGACCTGGACTAACGAGTCTAACTGTCCATCATGGAGATGCGTCTCAGAATACATCGTACATGCGGCGATGAATTACCAACTGGCAGTAAGTTTTCGGGTTGATTTGCCGTCTGGGCCCAGAAATATCTGCACTGTTGAGTCACTCGCCGGGCTAACTCTCTATCTACATTGAGTGAGAAAGGGATGGAAAAATGCTTTCTGTTGCCAAATTATCAATAGACCTTATTCTGACACTATCAAGACCTTGAGAGTACACATCTGGACGCCATGATTTCGTTGACACAGCTTCCATTCGCCTTGCCAGAGGACAAGGTGCCTACCCAGCAAATCGCCAAGGATATCATCGCCACGTTTCTTACCAAAGAATGGCCGAAACAGGATTCCGAGTCCATCACCGTCACGTATAGCACCTCGTTTACCAATCCTAGCTGCGTCGTGGAGCGGCCGGTGCCAGACGACGACGGCCCACCCGCCGAGCCCCTCAAGCTCTTCATCAAATTTCACCGCACGACCGGCTCCGACTTTGAAGCTTTCCGGCACCTCGTGCCCACCAAGCAGGAAGAGGCGCTGCTAACGTACGAGTACGGCCGGTCTGGCCTGGGCGCTCGCGTCTATGGCATGTTTGAGACGCAGGACGGCACGCGCGGCCGCCTCGACGAGTTTCTCGACGCCCGACACCTGGAGCCTGAGGATGTCGAGGACGAGGCTCTTCGCGCCGACGTGGCCCGCGGCCTCGCCACGTTTCACACCATCCGCGCCGCGCTGCCCAAGAAACCGGTTGCGAGCTACTACACTTCCATCGGGAAAGGCCTAAGAGCGTACCACGGGCTGGAGAAGCTCAAGATGCTCGGCCGTGAGGGTGGCGTGCCCATCGACGACCTAATCGACTACGACATTGCCGGACGTTGCACCGTTATTGTCGCCGCGCTACAGTCCATGTCCGCCAAGACGGGCTGGTGCATCCACGACATTCAGTCGATGAACATCCTCGTCAAGAACAATCCCACGCCCGACGAGAGCCGGATCACCCTCATTGACTTTGAGTTTGTGTTTGAGAATTACCGCGCGTTTGACATTGGCGGCCACTTTATGCAGAAGTTGTTCAAGTGGTTTGACACGGAGAGCAAGATTGCCCACTGCCGGCCGTACTCGGAAGCAGAGGAGCGGCACTTTTGCGACGTGTACGCCGCGCAGTGGAACGCGCGGACAGGCGAGGCGGACTCTGGGGCGCAGGTGCACAGAGAGGCGCAGCTCGGGTACATGCTGGCGACTGCGTTTGACATTCACAACATGCTCTGCTGGATGGAGCAGGAGGGTGACAAGGATCCGCTGAACCTGGCGGGATTGAACAAGTTGTTTGCTGAGTTTAAAGGGCGGTACGAGAAGCTGGGCCTAGAGGTTGCTTGATGACGAACGAGGCGAGAGATGTCTAATTTAGCCTCTCATCGAATGCAAGGCGGCGATTCGCCGTCATCCGTCAAGGCTTCCTATATCGGCCAAGCGAATTGCAACTCTTGTGCTCATCTTCATCACATAGGGAGCAAACATGCTACACCCGACTTACACAGCATACGGCTATTAAATAGTTATGGACAGGTTGCACAGCAGTTGTGCTCACTCGGGCCGCGACAGTCAAGGAGCCTTATACTACTCAGCGTTATCGGTATATAAACCATTGAATGCACTTTATATAACAGTAGAGAGGCCGTAAAGCCTTGTGCATGTTACGAGGACTCTGAAACCAGGCACTCAAAGTAACATCCCATCATCATGGCCGAGGACAACCCCTCCTTCAGCACCGACAGCCATCTCCAGATTGGCATCGAGATTGAGTTCGTCGCCCCCCGCAACACCGCCTGGGAGGATGAGCATCTGCCGTTTGTGGAACACTGGAACCACACGAACCTGTCCAAGGATGCCTGCTTCCACCGGCTCGCCGAGGCGCTCCACGCCGCCGGCCTGCCGTCCTGCTACCAGATGAAGACAACGCCGCTGCGGTGCTCGCGCAACCCGCTCCTCGCTGCCGCACCGCGCGACGCCGTCGTTCTGCAGTCGTGTCGGCTGCTGGGCGACCCGCTGCGGTTCCGCGTGCGCGACGGCCGCGCCGGCATCTTCCGCTACTGGCTCGTCAAGGGCGAGCACAACCTCACCGACGTCTCCGCCTACAAGACGTGGATCGAGTGTGAGCTCAACACACCCATCCTCGCCGAGGCTGATGTCGCCGTCGGCCCCATGCCCCAGCTCGGCACCGCGCTCGCCGCACTCCACGCCGCCGCTGCCAACGCCCCGCCGCACGTCTGCCCCCGCCGCTGCGGCCTGCACGTCCACCTGTCGCTCGCGGCGCCCGGCGGCTGCACCCTCGACTACGCGCGGCGCGTGCTGACGCTCGCGCTCGTCCTCGACCAGAGCGTGCTCTACCCGCTCTGCGACCGCACCCGGCGCGACTTTGGCCGGCCGTTTCTCTCCGCCGCCAGCCTCGCCAGCCGCGCCGACTTGCTCGTGCCGCACACCCCGCGCCTCTCGGCCCACGCGCTCGCCCACCTCCCGCGGGGGCTCGTCGCCGCCGAGGGCCGCGCGCTGGCGTACCTCTGGCACGCGGCGAGCTTCGACGAGCTGCAGCCGATGCTCGAGCACCACCGCGCGGACCTGCACATGGTCGCGCCGGTGCTGTGCAAGCACAAGCATGCAGCGCCGGGTGCGGCGGATGAGCCTCTTGGCGGCGCGACGGCTACGACGATCGAGTTTCGCTGCGCGCAGGCGTCGTTTTCGGCGCGGTTCGTGCGCGCCTGGGCGAGGCTCGTGCTGGCTGTGGGACGCGTCGCGCTGCTGCCGACCGACGAGTACCGCGCGGCGCTGGGCCGCATGTGGGCGGCGGCGCAGGTCAGCGGCGGGACGGTCGTGGAGCGCGAGGAGGCGACGATGGCGACGCTGGCTGAGCTGAGCGTGGCGGCGGTCGGGGCAGGGATGCTGGGCGGCGGGCTGGATCTGGCGTATTGGAGAGTGAGGTACGGCCTGATGCGGGCTGGGCGGAATCCGGACATTGATGAGGAAGGAAGAGCCGTCTTGGACCAGGACTAGTGCAAGCCAGGGTACGTAACAGCATAAATAGTGTCGTTTTCTTTTTCTTTTCTTTGCAAAGAAAAATTGGCCCTAGCAAGTATTGAAGATACTTTTGGTGATTTGACGCTTTACCTTTCATCCTTCCCATTTCAAAAGTTTGGCATACCTTGCGGAAGCGTTGACAAACTACTCCGTAAACCAACACACGTTCACCTCAGAGACAGCGCTCACCAAGAGGGACCCCCTCGTCAGGTCAAGAAAACGAACATGAAAAATAAACCCATTGTCGTCCTGCTCGTGAAGTGCGAACCGGACGAAAATCAATCGTGATTAATGTCGTCGTTCACCTCCGAAGTCGCGCGCCTTGTCCCAGTGTCACCGGCACCGGAGTGCCAAACGGGGCCTTTGGCGGAGTATCGTGAAATTCCAACGGGTCACACCCGCCACTCACTCCACCAACTCGGATGAGCATGGTCTTGAACAGTCAAATAAGTGGCAGCGTGCTCGGGACAGTAGTCTTCTTAGTTCCCTGTTTTTCTTTGCCTCTTTTCTCGATAAAATAAAGTATGGTGAATGCCACATCGGTAGAAAAAAAATAGGACTACCAAAGTCCTGCTTCAATCGTGTTTATAGGAAAAGCCCGATGCGGGGGTCGAACCCGCAGCCTTGAGATTGTGTGAATGCTCTTTGTTAAGAGTCTCACGCTCTACCGATTGAGCTAACCAGGCCAAATCTTATGATGCACTCGACATAGTAATTTTCGTTTTCGTTTGTGGCTCCGTTCACGCGATCAACAACGGAGGGGCATAATCCAAACAGCAGTTATGCCATGCATCTTGTAACTTCGCACTTGGGGTATATAAAATCGACAATTAGCCGGATCTCTTTCACATGGGTAAACATTTTGTGAGTGCCGACATTAAAAGGAAATACAGTTTGTCCATAATCCAGCCCGCGTACCAAAAATACATGCTTTGTTAGAGCAAATAGCGATAGTCGGGCGCGTTATCACCAAGATCGTCCTTTTCCTCTTGCGTCAGCGACGCCCCCGCGTCAGGCGGCAGCTGATTGCGTTTTCTGTTCGCATTCCAGCACATGTAGCCGTAGACAGCGCACGCCGCGGCCGACAAAATGAACCAGGCGAGACAGACGCTGTAGCCGGGGATGAAGCGGGGCGAGTCGCGCTGGAGGAAGACGTAGACGGCAATGATGCCGCCGAGGTTGCCGAAGCCGACCTGCCAGGCGCTGCCGATGGCGCGGCGGTGGTGGCCGCCGAGATTCATGTTGAACCAGCAGACAATGATGGGCATGGCGGTGTAGGCGCCGCTGGCGACAAGGAAGAGGGCGGCGTACTGGACGCTGGTGTTGTTGTGGACGCCGAGGAGGATGGCGAAGCCGGCAATGGCGATAGAGATGGTGGCAAGGGCAAAAGCGAGACGGTGGCGGATGCGGTCCGAGACGTAGGCAATGGCCATGGAAAAGACAAAGGCGACAGCCCAGGGTGGGACACTGCGCAACTGCGTCTCAATCTTGCCGTAGTGGAACGTCTGCAGGATGCCCGGCGCAAAGTAGGCGTAGCCGTAGGCGGGCACGATGATGCCAAAGTAGGCGAAGCCGCCGGCAATGACCTTGGGGTCCTTAAGGACAGTGAGAATGTCGCGCAGCTTGATGGGGCGCTCGATGGCGTGGTTGCCCTGGTCGGCGGCGAGGCGCGCCTTGACGTAGGTGCGCTCCTCCTCGGACAGCCACTTGACGTCTTCGGGAAAGTCGGGGAGGAGAAAGTAGATGAAGAAGCTGACAAAGACGGTGAGGGCGCCCTCAAGGATGAAGATCCAGCGCCAGCCCTTGTAGCCGCGAAGGCCGTCCATCTTGCCAATGGCGGCGGCGAGGAGACCGCCAAAGGCGCCAGCGAGAGTGGTGCTGTTGAAGAAGAAGGAGTAGCGCTTCTGGGCTTCGGAGCGCTTGTACCACATGCCGATCAGGTAAAAGGCTGGACATGGTCAGTAGAGAGTCAAATTGTACAGTTGTCTCTGCTTTGAAAATAAGAGAGAGGTAAAGGGCTCACCTCCGGGAAACATGCCCGTCTCAAAGACGCCGAGAAAGAAGCGCGTAGCCAGGAGCCCGCTGTAGTTGGTGACGAGACCCTGCATTATGGTGGTGAAGCCAAAGAGCAGCATGTTGATCGATAGCCATACGTGGGGTTTGAACTTTTTGAGTAGGATATTGGAGGGAATCTCAAAAAGGCAGTAGGGAACAAAGAAGATGACGAGCGCCGTGTTGTACTTTGTGCTGTCAGGATTTCCTGGCTCCTCGAGGTGGAGGTCCTTGGCAAGGTCGAAGACTTTGGCATTGGCAATGTTGACACGATCTGGCGGGGGAAAACGTCAGCGAACCGCGCGCAGGTAGTCGAAACAAAAGAACGGCGCAGATGGATGCGCAGCAACGTACCCAGGAAAGCGAGCAGGTACATGATGCAGAGAAAGGGCACGACGTGGAGGTCAATCTTGGTGAGGATGCGGCGCTCGGTGGTGCCCGCGGGGACGGAGATCTCGCGGACGGGCTCGGCGGCCTCGAGGACAACGGCATTGTCGTTGGAGGAGCCGTTGAGCGAGCCGGCGCTCGACTTTTCGTTGGCGACGGCGACGCCCATGGTGAAGGATGGGCGTGAGAGGCAAGTGTTGGTCAGCCTTGGGTGTTCGTGGATGGACAAGTGGTGAAAGCGGGAGAGAGGCGCGCTTCGGGGACCAGGCAGCTCATATTCATTTCCAAGTACCCAGCAGGCAAGACATTAATAACTCTGCGATGTCGGTGCTCTTTTCGCTGATGGGTTCCTTGTTAGTTAGCTTGGGAGCTGGCTGGCTGGTCAGCGGCGAGCCTGGTCGGGTGTGGATCTGGTGGCGCACTACTCCACGCCCAAAGGTTTCTGGGGCGCTGGGGATAGGGCCGAATTTTACACTCTTATTTGCTCACTATTGAGTGTTCCAGCCAGCCGAATCAGAGGGATAAAGTTTGACCATACTTCCCCACGGGCTCAGTGTAGTAACCTGCGGCTGAGAAGGCTGGACTGGTTTGTGGCTTGCCACCCCCGCGTTGGGTTCAGTTCCGAACCCATTGACGGGAGGAACCCTGCCCTGTAATAATAGAGAGAAGAAAATTCTTAAATCCCGCTAGGGTCGGTTCCGAAGCTCTTGCAGCGGCGACACATGGCTGTGCCAACACTTGATGCCTTGGTGGTTCTCAATGCAACCACACTTAACACGACAGCTGCCGACCCTTCCGCACGGTGGTAGAGGCACGTCCTAGTCTACAGGCAGTTGTGGGACATCGAATGTTGAAACTAAAAAAAGGCAGAATTCCGCATTGATTCGTTCGTACGGGCGTCGCAGATAGTGGGTGCGCTATCCAGACACTGGCCCGTTGGCCGCGGACCCTGACAGTCTCAAAAACAACCCTTGGCCGCAGACAGTTACCTAATTCTCACCAGTGGCCGCCAACGCGACTAGACCGACCGCCCCAGTCTGGGCCACGCTCTTGCCTTTAAATCCTCGCGGTAGCTTCAAATGTCTGCGTTTGCAGTCCTACAGCTGCCGCACGGCACACGACTGATATTTTTCTCTTTCCCTCTTCTTTCTCTGCAAACTTTTCTTCTTTGATCCTGCATTCTGTAAAGGTGCAAACAAATCTTGACTTTTTCATTCCCCCGCCGCAAGCCACCGTTCCCCCACGATGACTCCTTCAGTCTAGTCCACGTTCCGCCCTGGCGCCACCAGAAAAATCCAGCTTTGTCCGTCTCCTTTGTTCCGTCCGCCACCAGCCCGCTTCGGTTCAAACACGACATCGTTGCCGCCAGCAATCACTCAATAGTTACCTTGCGATGATATACTTTTTTTTTCGAGCATTATACGAGCCGCTGTTCAGCAACATACTTCTCTCCTGATTCATACATCAGCTCACACGTAGCCGTCCCATTCCCTCCGCGTCTTGATGTCTTTCTACCACCGCCGAAATACTTCCACCGCGGTAATGCGGCGATCCGGCTTCGGTGCTTAGCCGCTGGTTAGCTGCTTCTCTTTTTCATTGTTGACGCATCTTGCATTTATATCAACGTTCATCGCATTTCAATCGCTGATCCCATTGGCACCCATCCTTGCCCACCACCGGACAATGCGGCCCTGCATTGTCGCGACAAAAGCGTCACCAAATAGCATGCATGTCGCAGGCCGAGATCGACACTACCGCTGCATGCAACCCAGATTTCTGGGCCACATTGTCTTTGTACATAATTCGATTGCCTAGAAATCGTGGAACAGCGGAAGAAGCATGGAATGCTTGCATCAGAACCGCTGCCAACTGGATAGTATAGTGCTCACCGCCGGCGCACATAATTCCGTCGGGAACGCTTGCGTGTGATGAATGGAAGGCTAGAACAAGGGAATGCAAAATACTTTCAAGTAGTTTGATGCATTGGATTTCGCTGGCAGGAACAACATTACGCCCACCAACGTCAGCCTGAACGTGTAGCTTGACCAAACACCTCTGCCGGCCAGCCCATCATTTTTCTTTTTGACCCGCGCCTGCATGCGCACGCTCGCATTAAAGAAGAAATTTAGATTCACATCATTCTCACCTTTCGCATACCGACACTATCACGGCAAGCTGCGCCTCGATAAAGAACCCCACCGAGCCAAGCGCCGTTTGCACCGTGTAAGTGAGTGCACTGTGAGAAGACATAAACAGACTAACAAGACGGCAGTTGCTCAGATTCACGGCTCTCTTCTTTTTAAGCGTTCACCTATAATACCGCGAAATCTGTTAATCCGCTTCACTATATCTCAGTTCACTGATTCATCTTTCCACACACACTCTCCCTCTTCTGAGTTACTCTCTACTTATAGCTTCCATCTCCCTTTAGGACTTGGATCCGCAGCCCTTTCTGGCATAACGAGAGCATCGAAACCTATCCATTCTCTGCCTCTCTATCTTACTCCTTCTAGCTTTTCTTTCACTATGGGCGGCTTTGCGGCGAGTGGAGGTGCTCCCACTCAAGGCTCCCTTGATCAACCCTCGGAGTTCCAAGAAGACATCCTCTGGGACTTAGAATACGACTACTACTCGATAAGTAGTGATAGTGGCCCATCGATCAACTTCAACGGCGGTGACGGTGATTTGACGATGGCCTTTTCTGAACCAAGCATCAAGAATGAAGCTGGTTTTGACGAGTTCAGTTTAGACGGGAGATTCTGGCCCGGCTATACTCGTATTCCAGGCCTCACCATGCTCGCGCAGAATTCTCATCTCCCCATATCGGACCCATCTCAAAGGTAAGTCAGGGTGCCGAGGACCAGCTCACCAACGATAAAGAAACGACTGACAGACCTGCAACTAGTCACGAAGTTTCTTCTTCATATTCTCTCTACCAATCGGAAAATTCAGTCTTTGAGGCGCCAACGCCCCCAATAAACTATACCACCCTGAATACCGACACGAGGGCCTACCATAGTCCCACAAGCGACGTCTTCTCCATCACTCTCCCGCAGGCTCCCTTTGCCACCGTTGTTGCGCCATTGCCCACCTCGCCCGTCCGTTGCAAGCGGGAATCGTCTTCCGTCTCTTCCACGTCCACCGTTGACGGCGGAGGCCGCATCAGCAAACCAAAGCAGAGGGTGATCAAGCATCATCCCAACGGCGGCAAGGATCCCACAACGCCGCACCAGCAGAAACTGCGAAGCCTCATCGACGCTTCCGCCACCGGCGTCTACCAAGCACACATTGCTTCCGCCGAGGCCGCGGCCGCCGACCAAGCCGAGTTGATGCGCATGTTTCGCCTGGCGCCCAAGCTCTGCACCAACCCGTCGAGCGACTCAACGTTTCCCGTTCGTGATGCAGACAAGCGAGAGTACGTGCGTAACATGTACGACGCCATCTGGGATTGGTCCGACTACGTGGAAATGGGAAAGACGCTCGGCTCAGCCAGCATAAGCGCGAGCCAACCTGTGCCGTCGCGCGCGGAGCAGCAAAAAAAGGTGTTGAGCAACCCGCTCAACGACTATGTTGTTGAACAGCTCTGCTGGCGTTTGCTTGTACGTACCACGACCCCCCGTCGTCGCATTGCGCGGCAGCTAACCAGAGAAACTGTTGTTGGTCGCAGAACTTTGCGGAAAACGCACAGCAGGGCATACCCACTGTCGACTTTTGGGCCGGCGCGGATGGGGCGTGGGAGTCATACGCGACGTTTGGGGATCGCGTGGCCGCCATTGGCGACAGTCTGCGCAGCTCCAAGCAGCTGGTCAAGTCGCTGCTGACGGCCGGCGACCGCTGGTGCGCGCGCATCGCCAACAACCCAAGAGGCGAGTACACGCACAAGGTGAATAACATGAAGGTCAATCAGCGCAAGAACGAGCGGCTGCGAGAGGCGACGAGCGCGCGGCGGAAGAAGGAGGAGGAGGAGGAGGAGTAGAAGTAGCGATAGTGGAGATTGGGAGGAGGGCAGGACGAGGGCACCTTGGGAATGTTCTTCTTTTTTGGCTTTATATGAGGACATATGTTAATGACTTGATGAGGCAACGCCCTGGGAGATACGATCGGCATTTTCTTTGGACTTTTACGGAGTTTTGGTTGCGAGGCCTAGAGTAATGCAGGCGCAGAGTAATGCAGGCGCAAACGCAGGAACACACACATTACGAGTTAGACACTTGGCATACATGACAGTTAACGAAAACGGCGACAAAGCATGGCCGTCAATACTATATTGTCGTAATGTATGCTATACAGGAGAAAATAAATCATCGCTATGCAATCTTAATGGAAAGTCCTCTCAGGAGACTCGATATGGGTGCCCAGCGGCTTCTTGACGAAGCGACTACGCTCCCATCCATCGATATCATCAATGTACGTCTCGCGCACAAGCTGATAGCGACCAATCTTGGGTAGCAGCTTGGTCCAAATGAGCCAGTAGACACCACCAGCGCCAATGACGCCAAAGCCGACGACGCAGTGAATCCAGTACGGCAGGTTCTCGTACACGTTTTGCCCGTCGGAGGGAGGTACAAAGGGCGCGACGACGAGGTAAATGTTGCTAAGACAGAAGAAGGCGGCGACGGGCATGGTGGCCTTGAAGGGCGGGTGCCAGTTGCGCTTGTCCTTGTTGCGGTACAGGTAGACAAGGCCGGCGCCGACAAAGGCGTTGATGATGGCGAGCGGATAAGAGATGAGGTTAAGGACAAAGTTGTAGGCGTCGCCTTGGGGCGGGGCGAGCATGGTGATTGTGGTAATAGCCCAGTGCTCAAAGAGGCCGGCGAGGGGCGCGTTGAAGGGGCGGTTGCTGGCCCAGAAGCGGGAAAAGGGCAGGACGCCCTCACGGCCGAGCTCCTGAACGAGGCGGCCCTGGGAGAAGATGACGCTGAGGACGTTGCCAAAGGCGGAGAGGGCGACAAAAACGGAGAGGGCGCGCTCGGCTGACTCGCCGTACATGTTGCGGAAGAGCGAGGCGGCAACGAGGCGCTTGGACTCGAGCATCTCCTCCTTGGAGACGGCGGCAAAGTAAGAAATGTTGGCGAGCATGTAGAGAATGGAGATTGTGCCAATGGCGAGGGGCGCGGCGCGCTTGAGCGTGTGGGCCGGGTTCTTGGTCTCACTCAGGGCGTAGTTTGCGTTGCTGTAGCCGACGTAGCTCCAGATGACATTGTAGAGGGCGGTTACGATGCCGTAGGCGCTCGAGTTGGTGCCCTCAAACGAGTTGTGGAAGCTGTTGTTCTCGCGCACCTTCTTGAGGTTGGCGAGCGGGGCGACGATGATGAGAATGATGACGAGGATCTTGATGATGCCGAGCGTGTTTTGTAGGCGGACACCCCATTTTAGGGCACAGCCGTGAATGAGAAAGGCCGTGGTGAGGCAGGCGAGGGCGATGCCGCGCTGGTTCCAGCGAGTGACCTCGACGCGGGCGGCATGCAGGATATATTCGCCAAAGATGACCGAGTTGCCGGCGGCCCAACCGAGCAGAATGACGTACCCGGTGTAGAGGCAAGTGGTAAGGAACCGCGGCCGGCGGTAGACGAACTCGAGGTAGTTCTTCTCGCCGCCGTTGCGGGGCATGCCGGTGCCAAACTCCATGTAGACGGCGGTGCCGGCGGCGGCGATGAGCATGCCAACGACCCAGACGAAGAGAGTCAGGCCGACGGAGCCGCACAGCCCGAGGATAGTGGCCGGGGTGGCGAAGATGCCGGTGCCGATGATGCGGTTAAAGATGAGGAGTGAGGCCGAGGGGATGCCGAGCTGGCGTTTGTTGTCGCGGGCGATCTGGTAGCGGGCTGACGGATTAATATTAGATGAGGGAGCTTTCTTCGGGCAGACGATTGCTAGAGAGAAAAAACTTACCGCTATCGTCATCGCTAATGTTTCCAACGACACCGACTTCAGTATCGCTGGCGGCCTTGAGAGGCGTCTGCGCGCCCGAAGGCGTCTCTTCCTTGGAAGAAGCCATTTTGGTCGCAGTTGGAGCACCGCACCGCGCCAAGAAATATTAAAAACGGCAAAGGACAAACGACGAGAGATAAAAAGTTCCGGGCCAGGGGGAAATACGCTTGGAAGGGGAGGCCCGAAAACAAAGACGAGGGGAATGGGGCCTATTTAAAAAAAAGAGAGGTTTTCGCCTTCCCTCTCCCGAGTCGGGGGCCCCGTTGATGAATCCATTTTCGAATTGCACCATGGGGAGTCGCTGGGCAGGCTGCTCAGCTGGGTCAATGGACCAGGGGCTGGATCCGCTTAGCTCAATTGTGCCATCGGACCCTAAACTTGGATGATGGGAGCACGAGCAAGGTTGCTGTTTCTAGACGATGGAGATATTTATGGAAGGAGTTGACGTTGCATGCCAGACGATCCGCAGGCAACGGGGGCTGATTTTGACATGTAAAATCGGGTTACGAAATACGGTGATTCATTTGATGCGATCAAATAGACGGTGTCCACGATCTACAATTCTATTTACGCATCGGCGTACAAAGTAGAGAGACGAGGGAAAGACCATATATCAAAAATTTTTAACGTTCTTGCCTTCTAGAAGGGGCAAGCCTCACAAGACGCCAATACTAGCATGGTCGATGACGCGATCGTGGCTGGACTCTACACAGCCAATTAAAACGGCCGCCTCAGCAAATTTAGCTGGATATGCCCCACCATGGCGGATACGAATTTCGGGCCTGTTTTCTTCGCCGGCTTTGGTGGCTTTTCTGTGGCTTGCACGCTAACAGCTTACAGGCATGGCTCATGAAATAAGGTATTCGTATGCCCTGCTGAATGTTGTTTGATTGGTTGCTATTGGGTGCTATTGAAACCACCTTCTTTCTTCTTGTCTTGCAGCAGAGCCATCTTCTCTTGTTCCCGCATCCGCATCCGCATCCGCCAGCTCGGGACCCTCCACAGACGCCCATGCCGCCCAACTCCCTTTCCGTTCCGCCACGTGTTTTGCTGCCACATCGCCCTCCATCGTCCCAGTGATGTGCAACCTTGTCGTTGTCGTTGTTGTCAGCGTTTGCATGCAAGATCGCCGCTTCTAGCAGCTGAGGCGAGCGCTCCATTCGTCCTAGAACCAAGCATGGCGTCGCTATTTTGCGTTTCGCTGTCTCGCTATAACCTCACCAAAAAAAGAATCACAAGGCCTGGCCCATGTTGCGTGATTTTGCATTAAAACGGTGACCTTTAAAGACGCCACCTACCTAATGGAGACAGTCTTGGCCGATTTCTGTCACAAGTACGAGTCGCTTTCGAATGTCAACCTTCAATGCAAAAGTGCAGCTTGCAGCCTCGTCACATAATGCCTCACGATGCCTATATTCGACGATGAGAAGATTTGATTTGAAATGTATTAGACTAATACCCTGTCTATAGAGGCAGTTGGCGCATTATTATCAACCCCTGTGGCGTAAATCACCCACTTGACGCCATTCTTGCCCGGTTCCTATTCCCACGTGTCGTCAGAGTCATAAGGAGAGTCGTAGACCAGCACAGTATGGCTTGGTCGAAAAAACAAAACAATTAAATAACGCTTGAGTATGCTGTCTTTTGACTTTTTTTGGTCGTGAAAAAAAAGCGGAAAAAAATCGAGCGAAACCATCCCTCGATGGTATCATGAACCAATGGCAAACAGACGCTCTTGCCGCGACTACGCAATAGCGCGCAGGCTCTTCAGGGGCACGTCCTGGTTCACCTTGTCGCAGCGAATAGTGCGATCCGAGTAAATCTGGCCCTGCTTCCAGTCGGGGTTCTCCCACGTGGTGTCCTCGCACTTCAGGTCGAGCTTGGCCTCGCTCTCGGCCCAGAAGCGGCTGCCCTCGCTGTCACACGTCCACGTCTGGTTGATGGCGAGCGTGTCGGCCGGGCGCGAGTAGCTAAACGTGCCCGAGGTCGTCGGGTTGCCGGCAGCGTCGGTGCAGTTGTAGTCAATGTTGCCGTAGAAGAAGTCTTGGAGCTGGTTGGACGCGGCCGAGCACTGGTACTCGTAGTCGACGGCCGGGTTGGCGAGGGTAAAGTTGACGTAGCCCCACGAATTTTGGTGCGCGGGCGTGGTGAAGGTATAGCTCGCGTGAAAGTCAAAGTCCTTGATCTGCAGCGCCGTGACCTTGCTCGATTTTGTCGTGCAGGCCCAGTTGTCGGGGCTGGTGGCTGGCGCGGCGAGGGCCGACGCGGCAAACAGGGCAGCAGTGAGGCCGTACATGGTGATGATGATGTTGATGGGTAGTGTGATGAGGGTTTTGAAGTGGGTGTATGTATGTGTGGAAAGTTGTATATGGACTTGGTAGATGAAATAGTTTGTTGGGAATGTGTACAAGATGAAACAAGCTGTCTCTGTGTCGTGAATGTGAAGAGTAGTGTCAAGTCATCCAACTACGAGTGGTCGCACTCCCCCTTCTTATACATGTTTCGACGCCAACCGACGAGCTCTTTTAGAAGCGGCGCAAACCCCGACAACCCGAAGAGCTGTCGACTTGAAGTGGCCGAGTCCACAATCAATGGAGAACTCGTAGAGACATTGCCACAATTGCTCATGCGCAAGAATACGTCCCGTCCACAGCCGTACGGGTGTGCAGGTGTGAATGCGCCTGCGCAAGGTCGCATTAGGGCCAAGCTTTTCATGACGTAGCACTGGGCTTTCGTATTTGCTTGCCCACCAGCTTTTAGTTGGTTGGTCAGCTAACTACCTTGCGGTCTAACTAGCGAACCGATTCGTCCATGATGATACCCGCCTAGCGCAGGGTCCTTTGTCCAATTTTTTTATTATGATTTATTTTATCTTTCTTTTTCGATGCTCCGTTGCAAACATCATTCGATTCATGGCAAATGCCTCGTTCACGCGCGACCACGGACATGCCGCCGCCACTTTGCGTCGTTGATGCTCGGAACCTGCCCTCAGGTCTCAGCTGCGCTGGGGACAACAGCAACAACACTCTCTGAAAGCTCCCTTATCTGTTCTCCCAGAATTCTTTCAAACGAACAAACAAATGTCTTTTTTTTTTACTTGTTTAATTTCCAAGGAAAACATTTCCTATGGCTTTGGCCAGAGCGAGACCACGACTCAGACATATTCCATGTCGTTCCCGAACCCTTGTCTGGAGAATGTGGCTTCTCCAAGAATAGATCACCGCGATCTGCGGGACCCCGCCCAAAAAAAGCTCGTATTGAAATCGGTTTCTGCGGGTGAGAAACTCATCGTCATGCGCTTGCAGATTTTTCTTCTATAATTATACCTTGGGCTTCGTTTTTCTCTGCCCGTCAGAGGAGGGCCAGAGCTGAGTTGTTACCGACCACCAAAAAAGCCCAATTGTTGTAATTTTAACCTTTCTCTGGACCCTAACCGCATTATGCACGTCGCCAAGACACCTCCTCCATCTACCCAACCAAGTTAGCCTCGGGATTTTGGAAATTTTGATGGATCATCTCCATCGCAAACAAAGCTCCTCCTCCAAAAAAAAATTCCGATGGTACCGAATAAGCCCATATTCACCCCTCAGCCCTCAGCTGCCATGGGGCACAGTTCAGCTCACCTCGTAAACCACGCATGTAATATATGCTTACTTGCATCACATTTGCGAATATATGACGCTCAAAACTGGAACTGTTTATGCACCTCTAATCCGTTCGCAAGCCTTTCTGCTTCAAGCCGGTACTTCGCAAACAATGCCAGTCCATCGCGTATTGTCTTTTGCCGCCGTGCCAAGTGTAGTTCATGTCACGTTGTACCGAGCGTATGCACGAAACATGCCCCCCGGTGCCTTATTTTTGCTATTTGGGTATTTGGACCAAGACACTCTTCGCCGTCACTGGTTGGGCGGCGGTGCATGTCGCAGGTTGTTCTACTGCACTACATACTCTTGCAGCTTTCAGCAGGGTTATGTCGTTGTCGCCTTGTCATGTGTCGGTAACTACCTAGTGGAGAGCATCTAGAAACTTGACAAGATTCCACAAGTGGCAGTGCTTCACCGTCATTACCGTAAGGCTGGTACTGGCTGGTACTGGCAGCTATGTGCGCACGGTTCTCGACTATTACGTCACATTGGAGATATCCAGCCCACCTAATCGGAACTGTATTCGTGAATTATACGTTGGAGTATTTTTCAGATCTCGTTATATTGGTGATTATTGCTCTTACATGCCCTGTTACTGCTTCAAACTTTGACTCGGTGGTACCGAGACAGCACGAATTCTGCATCATCGGTAATTATGTCGCCAGGTCCATTTTTACAGGTTCAATAAACATGTCCATAGAAATGCACGCTCATGTATCCATGGAGCTTCAATCGCATGTTTCCCCTCCCAGTTGCGGCTCGGCGCCGTCGGGGAGGGGGGCTGGATCCTCACTGCTTGACTGCCTGACAATGCGCTCCGTCTGCCGGCATTGCATTGCAACCTATACGAGGTTTATCAGCTAACTCGAGATGTATATGGCCCTGAAAAGTACACCGAAAATGTGAATGCATCGCTTTCAATAGCTTACACCAGCTTCTCCGCACCTGAGCATCGCTTCTCCATTGAAAGCGGCCTGCACGCCGGCCGTGATTGGCAGTTGACCAGTGATGTGCAGCAGAAACAACGCCACACGATGTCCAAGCTCTTTGGGCTGTGCAATCTATCTTCTACATTCAGGTAACACGAGAAAAATAAAACTCAGCGTCATCTCTGCGAACCTCGAGCATCGAGCTTAAAACCTTGCTGGTATGACGTCACCGCCGGACCTTGCGACGTATCCGCGCCCAGATTTTGTCCGTCCGGATTTGCCGTGGGAGTCGCTCAACGGACCCTGGGACTTTTTGTTCGACGATGAAGATGTCGGGCTTGATGCAAAGTGGCATATGCACGGCCTCCCCGATACCGTGACGCTGTCCACCACCTGTGATGACGATTCTACCTTGCAATTTGATGAGGTTGGCAATCACGTCACGCAGAGCATCGTATCTGAAACGCAGAAACACCTAGGGAATAATGCGCTTTACAAGACGTCTAATCAATCCGAGAACGCAAAGACCACTATACAAGTGCCTTTTGTATTCCAGTGTCCGGCCTCGGGCATCAACGATCGGGGTGTCCATGAGGTGCTGTGGTATGAGCGAGGCATCAAAGACCTACGCACAGACGACGATCGATCTCGGCGAGATGTCGTTTTGCTTCGCTTCGGCGCTGTCGACTACGAAGCCACCGTATGGGTCAATGGCCGCTTGAGTGGGCGACACCGCGGTGGCCACGTGCCGTTTGACGTGGACATTACCGATGCGCTCGACGGCTCCGCTCAACAAATCTCGCATCGCGTGACCGTGCGCGTATACGACTCTGCATACGACCTTGCCCAGCCGCGCGGGAAGCAGTACTGGGGCGCGCAGCCCGAGAGCATCTTTTACACGCCGTCTGGCGGCATCTGGCAGTCTGTGTGGACCGAGGTTGTCCCTCGCGCACGCATCGCGGACAGCTCCCACGGAACTGTGCTGCGATCAAACGACATCGAGGAGGGCATTCTACACTCTACCATCAATGTCTTGGGGCGTAGGGTGGCCGAGAGACTGGATGTCGAGCTGGAAGCCTGGTACAACGGCCATCGCGTCTCTACTTCAAATAGGAGACCTCTGCCAAAAGAGACGAGTTTGGCTGAGCTGGACCTGGACATGAAATTTACTCAATCATTTATTGAAAAACACCTGCAAACTAGTGTAGAGCATGTCAGTTACCGAAACGGTCCCCTGGCCGTGTGGTCCCCGGAAAGCCCTCTACTGTACGACGTCATCATCAGACTTTACGACTCAAAGAGCAACCTCGTCGACCAAGCCAAGACGCACGTTGGCATGAGATCCATCGAGTGTTCAGACGGCCTGTGGAATCTCAACGGCAAGCCATACTTTCAGGCGCTCTGTCTGGATCAGGGCTACTGGCCCGACACCTTCATGACGCCGCCGTCGTCGTCAGCGCTCAAAACGGACATTGAGCTCGCCAAGCGCATGGGCTTCAACGGCTGCCGCAAGCACCAAAAAGTCGAGTCCCCGGCCTTTTACCACTGGGCCGACACGCTCGGCTTCCTGGTCTGGGGCGAAATGGCGAGCGCGTACCAGTTTAGCAGCGAGTACGCGGACCGCTTCACCCAGGAATGGACCGAGGCCGTCAAGCTCGTCATCAACCACCCTTCGGTCGCGGCCTGGACCACGGCCAACGAGAGCTGGGGCTATCCCTCGCTGCAAGACGATGCGCAGCAGCGCAACCACATCCGCGCACTCTACCACTTGACAAAGTATTGCGCAGGCCCCCACCACCCTGCCCGCCCCGAGAGAACCACGTCACGATCTGCAATGCTAACAACTTCTCCCCTTCCTGCAGGTCCCTGGATCCGACGCGTCCCGTCAACGACAACTGCGGCTGGCAGCACGTCGCAACAGACCTCACCACGTTTCACGACTACAGCGATGGGCCGGAACTCGAGGGGACGTGCGCCAGCCTCGACCTGATCCTCGCTCCAAAGGCGGGCCGGGACGTCTTTGTTGGCGAGATACCGGGACAGGACCCCGGCGCTGGGCACGACGCCAGCAAGCCCGTCATGTGCACCGAATTTGGCGGCGTCAACATTGCGGCGGCGGCGGTGGTGGGCGATCGGGACTGGGGCTACACGACGGCGCAGGACCCAGACGACTTGCTGAAGCGCATCGAGCGTCTTGTGCGGGGCGTCGTCGAGGGCGGCCACTGCTGTGCTTTTGTATACACTCAGCTGTACGTCCGGGTTTCCCGTGGCTGCATGAGTGCAGACTAACGATGCTCTTTTAGAACGGATATCGAGCAAGAAGTCAACGGGCTGTACACGTTTGATCGAAAGGAGAAGCTGGATGCAAGCAAGGTAAAGGCTGTAATCGATGAAGCTCTCAAAGTATTCTACGACAGAGTGTCTGTCAAGTTGTGAGTTTGGATTCTGGATCCAAAAGTACCAATCTATAGTAGATCACAGTGTATAGGGCCAGAGCTCATCGACCAACGGTCTTCGCAAGGTATAAGATGACGCGCTGGCGCGAGCTTCTCTAGATACTATCATCCAGGAAACTCTTTTAGTTTCTGCTTCAGTATGATGCCGCGTCTCATTCATGTCATATGTGCTGATTGACAGCTTTTGCTTTATTCATCGCTCTGAATATGTATCACTTTTTATCTAATGCTGCATTCCTTGCAAGTGTACGACTGTGGCTGCCACATCCTCATCATGGCAGTCAAATACGAAATCTCAAACCAATCCACATCATGGTCGCTTAATCCAAGTAAATCGCCGTATCCGGCCCAAAATGGCACTACCTGGCCATACATAGATTTCACAGGCAGTGAACTAGCCTAGGAAAATGGCAAATCGCTGCGCCCCCTCCCCAAAAAGTCACTCTCACTCTCACATCTACTTAGACATGATTGACTGACCACCATCTTGCGTGACACGTTGGCGGATGGAAATCTTGAGTACTCCGCTTCCCAAGCGAATCACGTCTGTTGCACGCCTTTCTCTAGAAGCAGCGGTTTCCACACCATGTGCTATCAGCACTCCAGTCTTCGGATTTCTCTTGTAAAAGGTTGTCAAGTCCCTGGATGGCCTCCAACTCCCCGCTGTACTCTCCGATTCATCGCCACTCGAGGACCCCACTGATGAATCATCCGAATCATACTCTGAGCTCGCGTTTTCCAGACGGACACCAATGGCGGCGTTTGGAGCAAAGAGTAGCGCCTCTCCGGTGCGGAGCGATACAATCTGTTGAAAAATATCCGCCAACAAGTCTTCGGAGCCACCAATGCGCAACGTTGGCGTCACAAGGGCCTCATTGCCATTATGGTCCGGGTCAGTGGCTGAACCGGCACCCAGCTTTGAGGCACCGGCGAGATGCGACTTGAGTGTGTTGAGCCACTCGGGCGACGTGAAGCGATGCACAATGGTTGCGGAGCACAGATCGAGCAGCTTTGGCGAAATGGTCGGCTCCTGTGTGGAGATGAAGACGCGCGCAGCAAGGTGGCGCTGCAGTCGAATCGCCGAGAGGAGCCTCTCGGTGAGAGTCTCACATTCGGCAGAACCTGTCATGTACTTGTGTGCCTCATCCAGGGCCACAACACGACCAACATCAGACTCTTGCTCCAGAAACAAGCTGAGACAGATGGTGAATAGCGAGCATGCCGTCACGTCTGTGATGCAGGGACATGACAAGTCAACAATTGTCAGCCGACCGGACTTGAGTAAGCTTGTTAGCTAATTTTTTTTTTTTTTTGCATTCTTCAAGTTTAATCGTACCTTTGGAGTCCACGTTGTATCGATTGTCTTGGCTCCCTTGGCAAACTTTCCAATCTGGGTTCTCTTTCCTGTGCCTGATCGAAGCCGGGTTTGGGTAGCATGGTCGGGCACCATGAAGCTCTCGAGAGCATCAAGGCGCTGCTGAAGAGGACCTAGCTGCGTGCCAACTAGACCCTCATCTGTGAGGCGCCTCTTGAAATCTCCGTAACTGAAGCCATCTTCGCCAAGTGCCTGCTGTTCAAGACGCATGTTCCGCAAAATACGCGTCACGGTATGCATGTACAGAGGCCATGCGTCTCCCGCAACCGAGCCCATGGCCATAAGGTCAAGCATGCGCTTGGTGTTGAGCTGGGAGTCGTGGATCCGGAATTCCTGGACGACGACATTGGGCAGGCAGCTGTATATTTTCTGTTTTTTGTAAGAATCAGCGATGAATGCCTGATGTCGTGAAACGGACAATTTACCTCGATTTTGACCCGATTAGTTGGCGCACATAGAACTCGCACCTTGACAGCAGGATTCGACGACAAGTATGCAGCTTCAGAAGGTGTGCCGCCGGTATCGGAGTTGAAGGTATCGTAATGAAAGACGACGCCGGTAAGGGGCCGCGGCAGTTTATTCGCATCCGAGGGCAGCAAGCAATTCTCCAGCAAGCAGCTCAGAGAGTGGCTCTTGCCTGAGCCTTGGCTTCCGCAGATGAAGACACTGGAAGGGCTCGTCACGTTGTAAAAGATGCGGGGGTCGCTTGCTGACGGTTGCCGGCCGTTTGTGCCCTCTCCGATGGTGTCTGGAGATACGCCGCCCAGCAGACCGTATTGACTAAAAGTGCTATCGTCAGACGAGCCGGAGAGCTGGCTGGCCCGGTTCCTGACAGCCGTGTTGAATATGGGCGTGTTTTGCAGGTCCAAACTCGTTCCGCCAGTTTGGGTGGTGCGAAGTAGGCGCATATGGCGGGCAAACTCTGTAGAGTCGTCCGATTCTCCATCAAAGCTAGGCATCTTGAGCGCTCAATAGCAAGCGGGATACTGATGCAGAGTACAAGGAATAAAGGAATAGAGGCAGAGTCTTATAGAAAAATTTCCAAGCTGGAAATACCAGTGAAAGACGCGAAGATCAAGCTCAGCTCCACTATGGCCGTTTGCATGAGAGTCACTGCAATGTGACCTTGACGCAAGGCACGCAGTGATGGTTTCAACGTATCGAAATATAAATCATCGTTATCTTCATGGCCTTTATAGCCTCAATTCTCATCTTGAAACCGTTGATCTTTCCGACGAGTAGATGCTTTATAAAAAAAGGGGGGGGGGCCTCGATCACAGGGCAACGCGCTCCTTGAGCAGAGGGATTAGTGCGGTGTTGGCCTGCCTCCTCCCTGTAATTAGCAATTAGCACGCAGCCTCGTTTGTCACGGCAAGCAGTGAAAGTGAAGCAGTAACTCAGGTCGCAAACATTCTAGCTCTTCCTTGTAGCTGTCAGTTCGTGATTTCACACCGGATGGAGCGATGATTCGTTCGTTTGCGATTAGCAGCCTGTCACTCAAACGTCTTTCCGGTTGCGACATGGTACGTGGTCATTTTCAATGATCCAATGAGGTTTTGCCATTGACAACGCAACGAAATTGTGTCATCACTGAAAAGCATGTAGGCTGGAGAAAACTGTTCAATAAAATTCATTTAAGCTGTTTTTTCGTCCGTCTTTTCCGGTTCAAAAAAGGCTACTGGGACACCACGCCCTGGGCACCCAACAATCTCTGCCTTGTGAAATTGCGCATTCCAATCATCACGATACTCTAGCCTTTCGTATTTCTGCAACAATTTCACCACTACGCCGCAGGGTCAGTAAAGGTAACGGCCACGCTTCCACACGAGGTACTTACAGACGTAGCCAATCTCAGTAATGGCAAAGTTTTGGCCAATGCAAATCCGCGGCCCGCCATTAAACGGCACGTACTGCCAGGGCCGCGGCGTCCAGTGGTCCCAGCGGTCGGGGCTGTAGATGTCCGGATCCGCGAAAGTTTCCGACACGGGCGGGTAGAGGTCGCGGCGTCGCTGCATGGCGTAGGTGCTGTAGATGACGTGATTTCCTTTGAAGCATGCAATATCGGGCTGACCAGGCGCTCCAGTCAGTGTAGAATCCTGCACTACGCAAGCGCATCAGTATCATCACGCTTTTTAGAACTCGAGTGCAAGTAGCTTACAGCAAGATCGGATGTTGTAAGGCACAGCTGGGTACAGGCGCAGGGTTTCACTGATGGCATGAGTCAAGTAAGTTATGCCCTTAATGTCTTCGTATGTCGGGTTGCTGTCCGGCCCAACCTTTTCCAACACTGTCTGACGAAGCTTGGTCCAGACATCAGGGTAGTTGGCTAGCTCGTAGATTGTCCAAGAAAGCGTCGCGGCCGTGGTATCACGGCCAGCCAGAAGCACAGCCATGATCTGGTCGCGAATGACCTTCGGATCGCGGGAGAAGAGCGCGATGTTGTGAAGAAAGGTGAATTGCTTGTCAGACTTGGACAGCTTTTCCAGCTCCTCTGGCGTCAGGGACAGCGTCTGCTGAATGTATGGTGTCATGAACTTTTCCAAAGTCTTGATGCCGTCACGGTATTGCTGCTGCGGAATGAAGCGACGAAACGGCCTGTGATATCAGCGGGGTGAGCAATGCAAGTTGCGAATTGTACATACAGCATGATTGTCAAGATCATTTGAAGTCGCTGCACGACCGTAAAAGCGTTGGAGAATTCACTATTCGGGCTGGCAAATGTGAGCAAAGCATTTGAGAGTGTCATGCGAGAGAACTTACTTGTCGAGGCTGCCTACGCCGCTGCCCAGCAAAAAGTCGGTGGTAAGATCAAGCGTCATGCGATAAAACAAGTCGCACATGTCGACAGTCTCACCAGAGGCTGGCAACTTGGAGATGAGCTTGTCTGACCAGCGCTCGAAAATTCCCATGTCACGGACTCTGTCCTTGACGAACATGGGCCGGATCAGTGTTCTGCTATCGTGCCACTGCGCGCCGTCGGTCGTAAAGATGCTGTCACCAAGGAACGGCGCCCACACCTCGTGGAACTTTGGCCCCTTGCCATAGTCGGCAAACTTGGCTGTAAGGACCGTCTTGATATGCTCGGGCTCCTGGGTGAAGATGATACGACGCCCGAAAAAGAGAGCCTCTACAGCATTGGGACATTCTGGGGTGCCAGCATCAAAGATGCTCTTGAAGAAGTCGTAGAGACGATTCTGGTTCTGGTACTTTACTGCAGTCAAGGAAACCCGGATGGCTATTTCAGAGAGCGTCAGTAAAAGAGTCTTCAAGTCCAATTTGTAGTTGCGATGGAGTGAAAGGATGGGATACGTACCGGAGATGGGGTTGTCTCCGATTGAGGGTGCTCTGACGCCAGACGACTTGGCAACCTTGTATGCGACCGTGAGCCAGTTGACAATGACAAACAAAAGCAGACAGACAGGAATGGCCAGAGCCACCGTCGTTGTATTGACAGCCTCGATAAGCATTTTAGTAGATGCAAATACTTGGGTTGATTATGTTTGCCTTACGACTTCCGTAATCCCGGCGAGGGGAAGACTTTTAAACCGGCTGTCCCGGCCCAGACAAGCAGCCCAGTCTCAATTCAACAACACGGTTTGAGCCTAGACCGGGGACGTCGACCCATCGAACCTCGTCATCGCTTCAAGCTTCCTGACGAATCAACCAAATCGAGCCGGCCCGGAAAGTTTCCCAAATTCCAGCGGTGCGGGGGAACCCTTGGCTTGGAGTTCAAGCGAGGCTTGCCTGGTGCTGCCACCCTCTCTCTCTTGCGACAAAGACCAAACCCAATACCGTTGAGTATACGAGCTTAGTGTCAGCCCACCGGCTTGCCTAATGGCTGTAATAAATGGCACGCCTTTCCAGCGGTTTAGCGCTCAGCATGTGAAGCGGCCCACCACCATCAGCTTTCCCCGGACTCTCGAGTGGGTAGGCTGTGACCAGTAGGCCAATGGCTAGCTGATGGACTGTCAGCCGACCATTTAACCAGTTAGCTGATTTCGCAGTGTCAAAGCTCCGTCTAGTGGCAGGATTGGGCTGGCAAGTAGAGACTAGATAGCTGGGAGCCAGCAATTAGTGCTGCGGTGTCAAAAGTGTCATTTCAACTGTAACACACTAACGAGTTAGCTATTCAAGTCCAACAGGACTTGACGCATCTCAGTTTACTTGAAATCAGTCTTGGCCAGAGCCTAAATATAGCCTTGATCAGTATCGGAGCAGAAACACACGGACCTCTGAGTTTCAAATGGGAGTAGAACAGTGGCATGGCCCTTGTTCAGGCTGCTCGGATCGCCATCCTCCCCCCGGCCCGGAATAACTGGCGATCCCTAGTTCTGCCCAGCTCGTCCACCAAATGGCTGACCCCCTTCTGTAGCCATCCAACAAGCTCGAATCGATCACGCGAAACCATACCTTGGAAAATGTAGAGTCGAACACTAAACGTCAAAGATGGCATAATCACACATACAGCACGCTGCACCCTACAGACCAACTAGTCAGTCAATTACCTTGTGTGGGGAGCTCTCCTCGTAGCGCTGCAACCACAACCCAGTGCTACCCCAACTGCCGATCCAGCAATTATGCGCTGCAACTGTTGATTATCATCTCGTCACACATGTCACTTGCGGAAGACCGGAACAACTCTGATCCCGTTTCTGCATCACTGCCGCAAGGCTGGATGAGATTCCGGGGGGTACACGTTTCACACATCGGTCGTCGCGGAGCACGCGCGTATTGGTAATTTGATTCTGCGCTCATCATAGGTGTCGTCGCAAGGGCCCGCCATGTCACTTCTGCTGGCAATGCGACAGCCTCACCATCGAGTTCGTTCCAGACCCACATTGGAAGCCGTCGTCTGAAGATGCGGCGGCCGTGCCGGGTGCCTTTCCCTTCTGGGACAGTGATTGCGCGTGACAGCAGCCATTGTTCAGGTTCGACTGCGCTGTCTGCACGCTGCTCACGGCATCGCTGCTCCGAGCGTGGAAGGCGCTGGAGTTGCCAGACAGGCTGAGCCGCTGCTGCAAACACAGAGATACTCTTGAGACCTGGAGCCGACGTGCACCGCCTAGCATTTCGGACCCAACGTCGGATGGCCTGTAAATTGGCTGATTTGCATGTGATTGCGACCACATCCACACTGGGGATCCAAAACTGTTGAGGGCAGAATCCGCTTATTCAGAGAGGGCCGTTCGCCGTGTAAGTCAGCAGTCTCCCTCTCAACGTTTTCTTATTACATCCGCGTCAACGTCGCATATGCTCTCGCCCACTAGTTAATCACTCCTTTTCAAAAAGGATAGAGGCGTGACGTCACTGGCCGTCCACAGCTCTCGGCTTTGGCATGTGAAGCCACCACCTCTGCCGCACGCGAAGCGACACACAAAGAGTTGCGAGACTCAGTCATGCGATTTAATTGGCGAAAAACGACCAGCGGAAATCCTACCCGGCCAGCTACTGCGTATCGATGAGGGCCGGGTGTGCGTTTGCAGAGAGGTCAACGACGGGGGTCCGTATGTCGCCCGATCAGCACGCAGGCTGATCCGACGCAAGGACGAGGCGGAGTGACGGTGCGGCGGTCCTGTTATGTTCAAGCAGCACCATAGCTCTTGGTGCCTCGTCGTCCGCAAGATGCCTAATGGTATGTTTAGGTTGCAGGGCTGGCGTAGGGCAAGTTTGACCATCGTGATCGGCTTCATGTCGGCCTGCAAAACGTCAACACTATCATGAGGGGCAACTTACCATGTAGGATCATCTTCATCAGCCCTGTCACATTACCTGTCCCGCGTAGTCGCTCCAACGTCACCCATCGCCTCCGCCACCCACAAGTCCTGCTACTCCCGAACGGCAACCCTGTCGCCACCCTCCATGACATCGCTCATCACCCTGCCCACATCTTCATTTCTCGCCAGCCCCGCTGCGCTCCCCGCTAGCAGTCCCGTCGCCATTGCCAGTTTTTAGCCCGGCGGTGCTCGTAGAGTCAAGTTCCGTGAGGGAACCTTTCGGTGACAATGTTGAGCTGGAACGCGGGCTGGCGGCTCTTCGTTGTCGGAGCTATGTCACAAGCAGTGTGTTAGGTCGAAGAAAATCGATACCCGTAAATGGACGGCTTGGTCAGCGGAGAATTAATATTATTCGAAATATGTGAATAGTTTGCTAATGAGAATAAGTAATGCTATCACTGGCGCTGCAAGTGATGCCGAGACGGGTATTATCAAGGCCAAAAAAACCATTAAGCTTGCTTCAAATAGTCGCGGATATCGATACTCGGCAACTCGGCAGGCAAGGCTAAAAGGATGTAATAAGATGGAGGTGGCCAGATGTACAGTACCACGATGCATAAAGGCTGTAGAAATAATATGTATGCGTGCAAACGTTTCCAGAAAGAAAGGCCGGGGCCCGGTCTATGTTCAAAACATCATGAAATGTCGTATCGTCGTGGAATATGTGTAGTGTACATTGTGAACGATGAGCATCGAGAGAGGATTTGTTTAGTCGTCGTCGCCCCACCATCCCAGCTTGTTCATCGTTGGGCTTGAGCCAACAGCGCTCAGGCGCGCCAAGTTGGTCGGTGTTGTTCGCATTTGAGGTACGGTGGGGAAGATATCGGGGGATACGGGACTATCCGGTCGTGGGGTGTCTCCAGAATCATATTTCGGTTCACCATCTTCCGGAACAGAAACCATTGCGCTCGGCGAGGAACGAGCACAATCCAACTGCTTAGTTTCCGACGTTGTCATGCTGTGAGACGAAGAAGATTGCATGAGCATTGTTTCGCTAAAGGAAGAGCTTAAGTGCAAAGAGGTTTTGTCGCGTCCACTTTGCAAGCACGGCATGGTAAGGTACCCAAATTCCGAGAAGTCTGTCATATCTGAGTTTGATTCAGTGTCATCCAAGTAAAGCGTCATCTCCCGTTGCTCCGCCTCTTCGCGCCGAGGACTGGGCTTAAGTATTCCCTTTGAGGGCGTTTCAGCTGTCAGTGCAGCCAGAGATGGCTGGATAGACTCCAGAATGCTATCGGTGTCCGCGATGCTGGAATGGGAAAGTTGATCAGTTGTCGCTGTGAATGCACGACTCTGACTGGAAGATGCGGCAAGAGCGTTCTGAAAGAAAGGCTTCTTTCGGGTCGAGGGCGGCGCGGGAAACCCAAACTCAATCATGGCTTCTACTGCGCTGATTTCTGCTGAAGAGACGCTGTCGGTCTCGTCTACTTCCACCTCTTCAGCTGTGCTTGCTCTCGTCGATTCCAATGTATTGCACACCTCCGCTGGCTGCTGAGGCGCCTCGCTGGGCCGCTCTTTGTCGTGTTGCTGCTTGTTTCTCCAGGCAGAGAGTAGCATTTGCTCTTGTCGAGTGACAGCCATGTAGCGATTGTGGCTGCCAAAGTCATCAACCGAGGAACGGGTAGAGCGAAGAAAAAAGTCAACAGAGGTGGGACTCAGAGGGGGTGTGAGTTCCTCTGGTGGCGTATGTGCTGGAGTTGGAAGTTTTTTCGCAGGCGGTAGATTGGTCAAAGGTGTCGCTGCATCTGGGCTACTTTCCGCGTCACGCTCTAATCGAGAAGGCCCTCGGCCAGCCAGCATCTTCACTGCTCGTGCCTCCTGAATATAGTTAGCACTAGAGTGCAAGGTCGACATATTGGAGACATTTGACATTAATGACGTGCGGAGTGAAATTGTGTCGTTAAAGAGCGTGCTCGATTTTGAACCAGATTTTCTTGAAACCGAAGTGTCGTTGCTCAGCCTCCTAGTATTGGGAAAGGTGACGTATTTGTTGGCAGATGCAACGCTGGCTTTTTTTGAAAGACGTGTTGGCCGATAGTCTGGCGCTTGCGATGGAGCTCTGGAGGGTTGTGTGTGTGAAGAAGTACGAGTTGCGACGGTAGTTGGTAGGTGGCACTTTGGATTGGTCTGAGAGTGTAACACAAGTACAGGCCCGTCATCTTCTTCTGAATCGGATGATAGCATCAGCATACTTGTCTCTTGAAGATCAGGACGGGCAATAGTCTTTGATGACTTGGTGCTTGCGGTCACTTTGCTGGCTGTACTATTGGATCTGTCGTGAAAGGCTGCCGGAGTCAGTCCGGTCATGAATGCTGTCTGAGGGGTTGGTGGTAGAATGTCATGTAGCCATGGCAGATTTTGACCTGCTTCTGTCTCTTCGTCATCCTCTGTACTGGCCTCTTCCATAGCTTCCTCATTCCTTTGTTGGTTGCCCATCCGTGTCTCTGCCTTTTTCCTGAGCTGGCGCAGAGTCATTTGCTCATAGTGATAATAGAGAGATGGAGCCTCCTTCATCAGGTTTCCACGATGTTTTCCACCCATCATGTGAGCATGCTGCGAGTCTTCCACAGCTAGCGAAGGCATCTCATCCTTGGTGTCGCGATTGTGATTTTTTGCCGACTTGCGGTTGGGCGTCAGAGACGTGGAAGGAGACCTATTAAGGCTTCCTACATCGTTTTCAACAGTCTCGTCGGTACGCAGCTGACTATGCGAGGCCTTGCGCGACAAGCGAGAGGCATTGCGTAGATTGGAGAAGTCGAGCATGGGTGGCTTTTTCTTAAGTTTGGTATCATTCGAGTGGTTTTCCAGGTCGAGCATCCTGTGGATCTTGGACGGCACTCCTTTCACCATGACAGGAGCTGGAGGAGGAATATCGTAACGCAATCTGATGGTGGATGAGGACTGCGTCTCTCGCAAGCTGCGAGTCATCTTACTCGTGCCACGGTCGCTGTCACTCTCAAGTCCGCTAGATTCGAAAATAGACGGCAGCATATCCGAATCACTTGCCCATTCGTCTTCTGAGGGAGCGATTGCCACATGGACATCGGAGGAGTCGTCTTCTGTGCTAGCATAACTGGTAGCGGTGCCGCCGCTGAACCCCGAGGAGGCGTCGTCCCATGGTTTGGGGGAATCTATGCTGATGGGAGTTGAGCCAAGGATTTTATGTGCTTTGCTCAAGGGTTCGGCAATGAGGAGCTGAGGCGGCGACTTCTTGCGACCCTTGACGAAAGTGAATCGGGCCATCCTATCGAGAGCGAGAGCAAATTTAGGGGCCGAACAGCCGCGGCTTGCACAAGTTGTTTACGCCAACAGCCTGGTTCGCAGCATGCGTGTCGAGTGCAGGTCTCAAAGCATAAGCTGCAGCTTTTGGCCGCGATCTATGTTGTGTAATAAGCAATGAAGGTGAATGAATGGGGTCGTCTTTCTGGGGGAGGGGTCAAGGCTGAATCATGCAGCCGCAAAGCCGATGATTGCGTGGCGCAGGCGGACAGTCGTGGTCAACGCCGTCTGATATGGCGGGCGCTATTGCAAGTGCGTTTGTGTAGGTATGCAGCGGCACAGACTGTAAAGGCGCAGAAAGCAGCAGGACCCAGCTAGTTATGAAGAATCGGGGAAGACATATCAGAAGAGGAAAGGAGCGGAAGTAGAGATGCAAGCGTATTTCAAAGAGGGTCAGTGTCGACAACCAGACGAATAGTCTCCACCAGCAATTTATTGGCGCTGAAAGTTGAACATGCGGCCAGCCGATCAGGCGGGTCTGCCAGACTGGCAGCTATTACCTAGCCTATTAGTCGGTCGGTAATCAGCGGTCCTTGGGGTCCCTGGTGGCGCGTGGGTTACTAGGTATGGCCTGGGTCGGGGCAATACATGTGTGTCTGGGCTATCGGCAAAGTTCGTATGCGGATGAGGCTTGCAGAGCCAACGGGAGTCTGAAGAGAACAGACGATGGGTCGCTCCGCCGAGGCCCAGCCAGCCATCATCAGGCCAGGCTGGGCAGGTCCTTGGCTGCCCCATGTCCCCCTGGTCCCTTGTAAGTTTGTCCAGCCCAGCGCCCTAAAATTTAGAGAGTCAGGCAAGCATTGACAGTTTGACAGCCGTCGTCAGCCGTCATCTGGAGTTTTGCGGATATGGCTTGCGGGCCACAGATCTGCGAGAGCGAGGACCGACAGTTGGAAAAAGTTCGACGCTTGAGTTGCTTATTAGACCGAGCAAGTCGAGACTGTTGGTTTCCAACATATAGGGCAGCGTGTGTTTTTTTCTCTTGTGCTTGTCTGGCGGGTATTAGTTCCGCAAAGAAAACCTGGCAGCCAGATGAGACGGCCCAGATGGTAGAACATTTAAGGAGACCACCCACTCCTTCTATCCCCGTCCATCCACACAACACACGCCATTGTCTTCCCGCGTCGAACAATGGCCCGCGTCAAGCACTGCTCAAAAGTACTCAGTAAAGGTCGCTTTAAAAATCGGGTCTCGACGTGCTCGGGGTGAAGAGCAGGGGCGAGTAAAACAAATGATGGTACTGGAAGAGCGCTAGCGAGTTGACTTGGTCTAAGCTCTTCTTTTCCTCGGCCCCAAAAGCCCCATTCAGGCCCTATGCGGACAAGAAACCTCGGCGATTCGGAGCGAGCAAGGGTATCCTTGGAGCGTGCATATCGACAAAACTCTGACTGTGGTGGTGCAATAGGGGGTGAATCGAGGCCATCACAACGAGACAAAGGATGTATCCGTATGTAGGTGAGGAAAAGGGGTGTTCGGCATTCGCGTTTGTCGGTGCTCAAGGTTGGTTGTTGGCGGGCCGTCAACGGGAGTTTGCCTACAGACAGGCGCCTCAGGCGGCAAGTGTCTGAGCATGCAAGCCTGATTGTATGCAGAGTTTGACAGGGGCTGTCGAGTAACCCCGGGCAAATTCAATTCATGCATGAACGAATCCGTAAATCCAGAGCATTAAAAGATATTTGCTCGCTGCTTGAAATTGCCGGAGCTGGCAAAGCTGGACATGGCTTCTACTGGCGGCTGATGGGTGTCAAACGGCTGATTTACCAGTAGCCTTCCAGCACTAACAACGACGCAAGGCCAACTAATTATGGCTTGAACTCCATCGTCAGCAAGATTAACCGCGCCACACAGCCGTCTAGTTAATCCTTGATCCTAGACCCTGGCCATTGCGCTGTATCCCAATCACGCAATCAGTACTCGACCATGATTTATCCCATGTTGAATCAGGGGTTTGGCCCAATCCCGTTCGCATCCGGAACTTGTTGCAAACCTGAAGCAAAGATAATAAATGTTCACCGTCTGTACCTGAGAGCCGTGCGTCATGGTCTGTCATACAACATGCCGTGGCCCTCAAATCTCCCATCGCCGGAACACCATGTGCCGTTCGCATCACCCAACATCATCCCTTCTGTAGTGATCTTCGCTCTGCAAAGAGCTATGGGATGAATACAACGTCGTTATCTTCCATGAAAGGCCGCTGGCCGTTTTTTTCTGCCTTCAATCCCTTGCATAGCCACCGTTTCTACCCAGCAAAAAAACTAGCAGTATCTGCATAGTATTAAAATGACATGTGGGGGAAACAAGAGCTGCTGTCCAATATTGTTCAAGATGGCCGGCAAAGTTTTCAAGGATGACTGCAACACCGCAGAAAAAAACCCCTATGGACCTATAGAACGGTACACTTTACAGCAAGGCGCGTCAGCAGGGAGCACACATAACGGGGACCGACCCCTGCCAGCCAGCTGAGCTGACTCCTTTCGTGCCTCTGATCCGTCATAAGAGAGAGTCGAGATCTGATACGTCATCAGAAAGAGTCAAAAATCCCAACCGTCAAAAGAGAGATGAAGAGGTGCATTTTCAGATAGAGTTATATAAAAAAGAAACAGTGTTTCTCGCTTATAAGGATTGTATATAATGTAAAATAAGACAAAAAGAAGGTTGAGCCACTGTGCCACTTAGATTGACTCAGTTTTCAAATCAATCTCCGGCTGGGTCTCCGCCCCCTTTCTTCGCGCATATCAGTGAATATCTTGCAAATGGAGAACCTTAGCAGCTGCAGGTCAATACGTTGACTGATCCCTGCGAGATCCTTGAAAACTCTCTCGCTGGTTTCTGTCTCCATATCTCCTTGCAGAGTGGGGTTACGAGCGGCACGGCACTTGGCGAAACCAAAAGGAAGACATTTGGAACTTGCGATACAGTCTCGGAAAACTGTGAGTTTCTGGGACGTCTTTTCCCACAACCCCGCAGCCGACAAAGTTCTGGCCTTCCCTTTCAGTGATCTCGATGATGGCGCATCGTCATGATGGCTCTACTCCGTAGAAGCAAGTGGTGGCTGTGGAGAGACCGATCTAAGTTGTCCAATGGCGAAGAATTCCTTTGCGACGATAGATAGAACAATTTGTTCATAATGAGATCAACAATTATCTGCTTTTCTTGACTTTCACAACGTCAATGTCTTCCAAGTACTTACATGTTTATGCTCTGCGCTGACACAGGAGAGGGGCACGCCAACACGCAGCTTTGCCCCACTCTCGCCAGAAGCCCAAAAATCGCCGACTTCAATTCAAAGTGTTCACACATTTCGGACTGCTCTTCAATCACCACAACACGCACAAACCAGAGCCGCCACAATGTCGCATCCTAGAATAGAGGAGGTGTCCGACAGCGACCCGGACATGGTCTCGGACCCCGAAGAAATTGATATTGACGACTTTGACGAAACCGACATCATGCGACGGCTGGAGCCCAAAGCCCCCGCCGCACCCTCCTCCTCCTCCTCCGCCGCCGCTACGGCTGCGCAGCAGGCCATGCAGCAAATGATGATGAACCCCGCCAACACCCGCTCCGTCACGGCCGACGAGCGCGCCGCCTACGCTGGCTACCAGAGCCTGTACCCCATCTACTTTGACGCCTCGCGCACCCGCGCCCAGGGCCGCCGCGTGAGCGCCGCCCTCGCCGTCAAGAACCCGCTCGCCCGCGAAATCGCAAACGCCTGCTCGCGGCTGCGCCTGCAGACGGTCCTCGAGCCCGAGAAGACGCACCCCAAAGACTGGGCCAACCCGGGCCGCGTCAAGGTCGCCCTCAAGCCCGCCGTCGCACCCGGCGCGACGCACAAGATTGCAAACAAGCACCACCTCTACATGCTCGTCGCCCAGCATCTCAAGGAGAACCCGACCACGGAGCACTCTCAGGGCCTGCGTGTGCGCATGGGCGGCCAGATTCACCCGCCCGAGGACAAGCCTTACCCCAAGCCCGCCGTGCCCCGCGGCTGGAAGATCAACGAGTTCGTGCCGTACATGAGCGCGGCCATGACGGGCGGTGGTGTCTCAGAAAACCTCTTCAAGGACATTATGAAGGAAATGCAGGGCGGAGGGGACCCCATGCAAGCGCTGCTGGCGAGCCAAACAGGTGCTGCCGGTGGAAACGGCTCAGACGACGCTGGGAAGAAGAAAAAGGACAAAAAGAAAGGCAAGGCGTAAACAGGCCATCAGCTACAACGTAGAAGACATTTGGACCTTGGGCCGCGAATCGGAAAAAGGTTTGGCATACACATGGTCGATATCTGACTTCGACAGGATACGAGCATCTCTCGATCAAGGTCGAAAACAGCGCAGGTACATGACATTCACTCTTGCTACAATACGCAAGACATGATGAGAAAGGAAAACAAGATAATTGTACATGATATAACGCCAAAAGGGTATCTCCCGTGTCCCTAGCTAGCCCATGCTTGTGACCAACACGATTCTTATATAAATCGGCTTATTCCATGAAAATATACATACCACAAGACTCCATCTTATACAGCGGCAACTCTTGCGCTCTGCAGCGCATCCCACTCACGCGATCCTAAGATTTGCACTCTGTTTCGAGAGCCGGATTTAAGCACCTTGCCGTCAAGCCCAGGCAGGCGGATCTGTAGCGTTGCGGCTGGGTTTGGCCGAGTGGGATTGGCGCCGCGGACAGTGGGCGCAAGAAGCGACTCGCTCTTCCTCAGCACCGAGTCTTGCCACGACTTCCATGCGGCAAAATCTTCAGTCTGCTTTGCCACGTGGTACTGTGGCGTCGTCTTGGCCGACCGCCATGCCAGCCTGTCTTTGGGAATCGAGCCGTAGTTGAAGATGCCGGCCGAGGATGTCATCTTGACAAGCTCACTCAGCACGTCCTTGCCCTCAGCAATGACCAGGGCTTTGCGCTGTTCAGTAGCGCTGACTGGTTTCTTCAGTGGCTCGGAGAGCCAGTCGTAGTTTGGCTGCTCTGTTAGTCGAGCCCGACGGTTGTCCTCGCGCAAGTAGCGCACCGCAGATTGCAAGCTTTCAATATCATTCTTAAGCGCGTCCATTTCACGTGCTGTGGCAACGGCGCGCTCCTGCCCAGCCTTGTTACCAGCTGCATCAGCACCATCGGCATAGGCGCGACTGTCGCTTGCAATCTTCTTCCATTTGTCGCGCTCCGATTCAAGCATCTTCAATTCTCGGTCCTGCTTCTGGATGTCGTCCTTGAGACTGGTAGCCTGTTCTGTAGAAATTGCAAGGTCCTGTTGCAGAGCATTGATGCGTTCTATGTTTGCCTGTGCATCACGCATGCGGGATTCCAGAGTCTCAATCTTAAGAGCAGCTGTGCTGAGGTGCTCATCGCGCTGAGCAATAGTTCGGCGAGCTTCGCTATGTTCTTCCTTGAGGCGTTTCAGCTCTTCCTCGGCGTCAACAGGCACAGCCTTCAGAGCTTTGAGCTCCTGCGAGCGGAGTTTCCACGGTGCAGGGCTCACATCAAACTCGCGAGTTTGGCCAAGATCTGTGGCCAAGCCAACGACTTCCGATACAAGCGCCTGCATGCTGCGCAGTTGCGAAAGATACTGAGAGAACATGTCAGATTCGCTGCAAGAGGTAGCTTCTAGCACTGCGGTATGAATGGCGTTTTGCACATCAGCGTGTGTGTAGGAGGTACGTCCCTCGTCCTGCGTGAAAAGTGCATGGAGACTTGTGCCAATCTTTCGGGAAAGTGTTGCGATGCCTTCGCTGGCTGTTCGGCATGATTCGAACAAATCGCGGCTCTCTGATGGCAGAGAGAGCGATCTTGTCTTGAGGTCCTCTAACGCGCGAACGGCCTTGCCGGCAATAACCTTGATACTTCGCGTCTGTGTGACGACAGTCTCAAACTTCTTCGCGAGCAGCTGTGTCATCTCTTCATCAGCACCCTCAACTGCAGTGACCCGCTCGATCATGGCACGAGTGGCATTCAACGACGTCGCAGCGGATTCCAAGTGGCTCTGAACAACGACGGCCTTCATGTGAGCTTCGTCAGCGTAGCCAGATGCGTCATCGGTGAGATGCACTTCGCCTAGGTGTGACATCAATGCAATGGTTCGCTGTAATGCTTCGGCACACTGTTTCTCCTTTAGTTCGTCCTTGCGCAGACTGTCTATCCAACCGTTGAGAGCACGCTCGACAGGCTCAACTTCGAGCAAAGCATTCCGGTAATTAGAAAACTGTGCCATAGAGCAGTGGTTCATATCGTTGAAAAATCGCTCGCACATTGTCGCAACCCATGTCAGCTTATCAACGGCATCGCAGCCGGCAAATATATCGTCCTCGTGGCCTGACTGGGGTTGTCCGTTGAGCTTCTCCTTGATAAATCCGCCAAGCAGATTAGATTTGAAGGCAAGTCTGCGGAAGCGAAGTAGTGCAAGAATAGAGTCCTGCTCTTCCCTGTATGTATCGGGGAGAAAGAGCTTTACAATCTCAAGGTGCTGCTCAGCCTCTTGGGCCTCAAGACGTCGCATCTCGAGGTCGATTGTTTTGACTTGGGCCTTGGCAGCCGAAATCTGCAGCTTCATATTAAGATCCATCATGGCGCGCGATCGGTCATTGAGCTTCTCCGATTCACCCTCCGTGACAGCCTGCGAGGCTCGCATGTCGTCCAAATCTGTCTGCAAGTTCGTGACCAGCTCACGGAATCTGGAGAGGGTATATTCCATGTCCTCAAAATTTTCCTCTTGCTGCGCGAAACGGCGAGCTTGCTCGGCGATAACACTGTCTCTGAAATCAAGCTCTTCTTGAAGCTCTTTCTCATTCTGTACGTGGTTGATCTCGAGTTCGTCGTTGATCTCTTTTAAGCTCTCCAAATCCTCAATCACAGCCTTCAACTCTTCCATTTGCTCCGACAGACTCATATTCCGTTCTGTTAGATCTTCAATCATATCTTCGGCACCAAGAGCAGTATCCAACTGCGAGCGTAGATCATCCACTGCAGCTTCGGACTGTTGCAGCTTCTCCTTGATCTTATCATGCTCTTCCTTAATGGTGCCAAAGTCGCGAACATCCTCTTCAAGTAGAGCGATTTGGGCTTTCAAATCTTCTTCTTGCTCATGAGTAATGTCTCGTAGTCGAATGAGGGCCTCACGGAGACGCTCATTTGTCCGCTCCATCTGCATCCAGTTTGCGCTTGTCATTTCCTCTGGCGTGATTCCTTTGCTAAACTCTGCATTTTCCTCTCGCAGGATCTCGACTTCCAGTTCAAGCTCCTCAACCTTTTGATGCACGGCTTCAAGCTCAACTTTCGCTACCTCATAATTCTCCTCTGCCATTTCGCGATCAAGAGTTGCCAATTCCAACGCAGCGTCGTGATCGGCCTGGAGAGCTTCCACCGAGTCAAATCGATGTTCGGCTTCCTTCAGCTGCTTTCGGAGCTCCAGCAGTTCTTGTTGCTGTGGTTGGTACTTCAATTGCAGCTTCTGAATGACGTCAGAGAACTTGTCTCGTTCTGCCTGTATCTTGTCCAATTGTTTTAGTTTATCCCGGTCCTCCTGGCGTTTTCGCTCCAAAACTTTCAGCTTCGCCTTCAAATCTTCGACTTCTTTGTTCAAGAGGCCGCCGGAAACTGAGCGAGGCATGCCTGCCGGAGTAGTTGGCTTTTGCGTTACTGAAGATGCAGCGGCCATTTTCTCCAAGTTATTCGTTCTCGCCATAACGGGACTCTTTGGCTGAGGCGACAATATCCCTGCATCGCATTTCAAAGGTGAATTTGGAGCAGTCTCGCCACTCCGTGAGCCCGTATTACTCTCGTAGCCAGCTTGCGAGTCTGCCGAAGGGCGTCGAGCGGAGTCTGTATGGCGTAGACCAGCGACGTTTGGAGCTCTACCGCTCGCCGAACGGGTATGCGATACGCTTCCACGCGAAGCTACAGAGGATACTGAAGGCTGTCTCGTGGTTCGTACTGCAGGAACCGCGGGAGGTCCCATAGACGTCCGCTGTGCAGGAACTGTGGTACGAGTGCGCGCTCCGGCCGATGCAACTCTGGCGTTCGAGGGTGTTCCGGTTCGCGAGGCTGTGGCACTAGATGCAGCACTCAAAGGTTTTGTGGGAGATTTTGTGGGAGACTAGCATACATTAGCAAGAGACCCGCCATATGCATGTATGTAACCTACAGCAGAGCCTGGGAGTCTTCCGATGCTAGCAGGACGTGTTGTTCTGGAAACCGGGCTCGGGCTCGGGGCATTAAGGCTTTTCCGTCTGTTTAAAGAGGCATCATTTGCAAGAGAGGGGCGGTTGGCGGTGCCATTGATAAAGCTGCTTGGACGGGCGGCTTTCTTTACTCCAGGTCTGACAGCAGCAGGGGGCTGCGCGATGATCGTGGCCATCATAGGCTTGACAAACATGCCATAGCCCATCGGGCAGTCGAAGTAGCGCTGTCCCTGAACGCTGCCATCGTTTTTGCCCGTCTTGGCCTCAAGTTCGACCCCTATCCACTCGCCCACCTGGAAGCTGGTTTGGCCGGCAAATCGCACCGTGGCTCTCCGGCCATCATTTAGCTGCACAATCTGACCTGACTTGAAATCAGGCATTATGAAGACTCGTCGGGCAGTGGGCGCATGGTGGCGCCAAAAAATTCGATTTGGTTATGGATGTCGTGTTGACAAACAGACGTAGAGCGGCGCTTGATTGGGCTCCGCATGTAATGAAGCTCCCCAGCTGCAAGTGGTCACTGAAGCCCACTAAATGCACTGCAACGGCGCGTCTGCCGCCGCCAGTCAACGCGCTCCACTACACGGAAGGTATGCATGTGTTGCCTTGAATTCGAGGCAGCCAGATAGCCGATGTCATGGCTGCCACACCACGCCAAGCCACACAAACGGGGAGAGACACCCTGCGAGACACTGAAGGATAAAGGGTAATATCACGAAATTCGCTGTGATCGAAATCAAAATAAGCATTGTGCTTTTCTTTTTTACTCCATTCGCTAGCCCAATCCGTGATACTACACAAGTCAAGATGTATCAATGCTACAGCAGGCTTCCCATAGCCAAAGTATCGAACCGCAAAACCCCAACGCCTCTAATCACAATTCAATCAACCATCCGTTCGATCAGCAGGAACAGAATTTCGAAGAGCACCATCTCTCATCCATTCGACTAGTTCAAACGCCATCCGACGCTCGGTCGCTTCGTCAATGCTCGTACCGATGGCGACTCTCACCACAATGAGACCCATGCGCTTGTCAATTTCCACGGCGCCAGATTTCTCGATTTCGTCTGCTTCGCTTGGCTGTGCATACACGACTAAATCGGCACTAGGTATCCCGCGCCACATGCTCGCCATCCATTGCCAGTGTTCTTCTGACGAATAGCGATCGGGATTGGGTGTGCTGGCGGCAAACTTATCAGAAAGTGTCAGGCTATAGCCTTCCTTCAAAAGTGCCAATGGCACCTTCGAAAACGCTGATGGTACCTTTTCTGTCTTGATTGACGTCTCGAGCCGCGGATGACCACCTATCCCCCTACTTCTAGTCTGGCGGACATCGGACGTTGACGTTCCGCCACTCGTGCCCGTGACATGGGATATCATTTGCCTAGACTTTTCTTGCCAAGAGATCATCATACGCAAGTATGCAGAAATATCGTCTTTCGATGCCATGGTCTGAGATCCGCCTGTTTCGATCGACTCCGGGTCTGGTACCCAACAGCGAAGTGACACTTCGTTGCAGGCAAGCAGGGCCTTCTCGACAGCCTGTCCGATACTCCGAAGTATTTCGGGATTCGGTCCCTCGACGGCAACTATGGCACCTCTGGGCTTGACTGATGATCGGTTTTGCTCAGCTGATCGAACTGGAAGAGGTCTGGTGATTCTCAATAACTCGCCGAGTTTGTGCTTGAAGGAAAACAGCGTCACAGCGCCCTCAGTACTGCTAGATCGTCTCTCTTGCGGGGCAGGATGAGAAAACACAGGCGAAGGCAGCACCGGTTGTCGAATATTCAGACTCTGGGTACGGGCCGGTGAGGGTGATACAGCTGTTTGCAATGGCGGCAGCCTCAAAGATTCGTCATAACCACTATAACGTCGACCAGTGTCCTGCTCTGTCCAAGATGCTCCTCCAGGCCGGCGTGGCGGTGGCGGCATTGGCCCGCTCGGCATTGTCCCGCTATGTGACCTAGGAATTGTGCTGAGCTCTGGGAGAGTTGTATGAGGGTAGGTACGCATTGTTTGATAGGGGCCGCACTCAGGAGATGTGCGCATCGAGTCAGGGGGCAAGTCACTAAATGCTCCATGCAGTCGGCCCACGGCGTGATAATTGCCAGCTCCGTTAGCTCGACGACGCTTCGCATCAGGTGAGGTCGGGTCATCCTCATAAGCTCTCACGGGGGGTAGTTGCCGAGGGTGGAGCGGGAGAGTGCTGACTGGCGACAGATCCATGCTCAATCTTCGAGATGCTGAGGTGTCTATACTGGGCAGAGCGGGCTGGCCATGAGGGCCGATTTTGACTGACGGGGGTGTTGCGACTGGTGTTGAAGGTGTTCTTGGTGTAGCAATGGTTCGCCCGTTGCATTTCGTGCAGCGGCCCGGTTCTTCTCCAGATGCTGTATTTGGCCAACTGCCTTGGACTTTGCTGCCTCTTCTGGGTTGGTATCGATAGTTTGGGTATTGGTGTTGGTGTCGCTGCTTCTCTTCTTCCGCCAGCTTCTTCCATGTTTCTTTCACGTCCTCGACCTCGTGTTTCCATTTCTCGCCAATGATTTTAGAAATCTCTGGGTTTGACAGCTTGGGGTTGTCAGCCGTTACTTGAGACTGGTGATGCTGCCGATAGAGGATAAATGCTACGTTTCGTGGTTAGTCTGCAAAGCGATGGATTATCTGCTATCAAACGTACCGTTGCGAGGGCGGGGTATCTTTGGTGTTGGTGCGCAGAGACATATGGCTTCTTTGGAAGATTCTGACTTCATCACCGGTCCGGATGTGTTGATGCTCAATGGAGCATACAAGCCATGATTCTGGTCCGCAGAAGTCAGGGAAGCGGTCCGTTTTCTGGTAAAGCTTGAGCTACCAGGGCTCGGTGAGCGAGCAGGTGCAAAGACACCTTGTGGTCCGCCTACCCTGACAGCCCTATCAAGATCCATGGGCAGATGTGGCGCCGTATCATGTATGGGTCCAGGTGCAAAGGACAAGACTTGGGTCATATTTGAATGCAACAAGAGGACGCTCAACTGATGTTCAAAGAACGGCAGGGATCCTGCGGCCCGGTACGCGAGCTATCCGAGGTGTGGATGATGCTAGGTCGTGTTGAAACGCGCTCGGATTTGGCGGCTGAAGGCTATGATGTAGAACTGGGCTGCGGGGGCTGGAGGGAGAGTCTTGGTACGGTCGGCGATAGCTGTTGGGGAGATGGACCAGTGAGACAAAGCTTGCGGGTGCACCAGGCCGGTCCGTTGCAAGCTTGTTAACAAGGCACAAATAACGATGCTTGACTGAGTGCTGTTATCGAGAAGCGATTGGCACACTATCCAAACGCTCCAGACAAGGCGACCTATTGGTGTGCGGTTGAGTCGACCGGGGTGAGAAGGCTGGACGTCGACGCGGAACCAACGTTTCTTTGTCCGGGATATGTTTGCACTACACCCCTGCGCCGGCAGGATGCGTCAAGGGTAAGGATTGGAGGGGCCAAGAGCTGGTATAAGCTCGGATCTAGGGGATGACCAATTCTCGCGTGGATGAAGTCAGGAGCACGAGGTCAACGAAGTGGGCGCTTAGAAAGAGAGGCAGTGCCCTTGGCTGACTAGGAAAGGTGAGGACGAGGCTGAAGGGCCAAGGCCGCCGGGAAAATGTGCCGGGAGAGAATGGACGAAATAAAAAATACGGCAAATACCGACTTTGCTGCTGATCCGGCAGGCAGCGCTCACTTGAGAAGGGCGAAGTGAAGATGGAGGGGTTATATTTGACGAGGTAAGAAAAAGAACAAAAGCATTCATGGACAAAGGTGACGCAGGAGACAAAAGGCACCATCGCATTATATCATCAAAAGAAGAATGAAGGAGGACAGGTTTAGGTTGCGTCCCAGCTAAGCCTACCGGGGCCAGCATACCCATTCTTCGCTCTACTCCGCCAAGGTGCCTTTGCCTGGCTGGGTGAGTTCTTGTTGCCAGAGAGTATGGAGAAGGCTAGACGGGATAAAATAACGGTGTCCAAGACAGCACTACTCGTCGGGCTGGGGCTCCTCCTTGTCGAGCAATTCCCTTGTCTGCCGATTTGTCTACCATATATCACCCCAGACTATCAACACAATGTGAGATTTTTTTTTCTCCTTGCCGTCCGACGAATCTACGCCCGAAAAGCCTTTCCAAATAGCTCGTTCAACAATCTGACCACACAGAGGCAAGCCCCCAGCCTCGTCAAAGGACGACAATGTGGGCGGCCAGGAATGTGCTGCGTGAGACCCTCTGGAATGCGCGGCCCTGAGACAAAACGAAAAGCCTCACACCCCAAGTGCCAGGCCCACCGTCCGCGCCCCCGAGAGGGTGTGGAAGCGCCCCAATTCTTCTTTACTGTTTTTGCCAGAAAAGTTTACTCACACGTGATGAGGTCGGAAGGTTTGATGCTCTGCCGGTCTTGCTTCTCATATCGTTTTCAAATGGTTCGGCGGGTAGCTTTTGCAGTTCCGGTAAGAAGAGGGGCGGGCCGGATGCGGTTAACGTTTTGCCTTATCCGGAGAGCTTGTTTCTACGACGCAATGGGCAACGTTCTTGTTCTTCTCCAGTTTTAAAAATAAGATAAAAAGCCAAAAGAACTAACGATGGCCCATGGGTCAGCAGTACGGGAAAGAAATGGGGAAAAAAGGCCGAAAGGGAAAGACACAGTGGGTTACAACTTGGCAAAAAGGTCTGTCTGGTAGCTACTAGACACCCAACAACGTCGCGTCCAAAGTCGAGAAGAGCCATACTAAATACTACCCAGTTCCAGTAGCCTCAAATCGTCCACAACGGGAGAAGGTTTCTTTTTGACTCACCCACTAGCATGCTTGTATGTACTTGTTGTCTTTTCCGGATCTTTCCAACCGCCCGTCCGTTGAAGAAGGCAGCAGCGGCGCAGAATTCAGCGACATGGCAAGAAATAGACGAGAAATGAGTCGGATGCCGGCGTTGCCCCAGGGCCGTTGGCTATCATCCCGCGCGTAGCCGGGGAGACTCTGTAATAAACGAGTATTTGCATTCGTGGATGTATGTGTGTTGTGACTCGATCATTTCTTTCCTCTTTGCCCCCCCTGCCCGTGTCTTGGACAGCTGTGGCGCCATTGGGGGGGAAATGGGCCGTTGTTCCTCTTTCTCACTTGCAGTTGCATCACACGCACACGCCCATCCGTCCCATCTCTTTCTCTCTCTCTCTCTCCTTCTCTCTCTCTTCTGGCCCCAAAAGGGCCCTTGTCAATGGTGTGTGTGTGTCCGGTCCTTGTTTGCTGCGCCCCTCCCCCCTGCCAATGTGATTGATGAGATCGGGTCCAGGCCAAGAGATTGCCGCGGTCGCCGCCTGCGCCGCCCTCCCTTGTTGGGCATGGTGCACACCAGAAGAAAGAGAGAGGAAGAGAGAGAGAGAGAGAGAGATAGTTGGAGAGACGGATGGGGCCGCGCCCTTCTTTGTTTCGGCCAGTTCTTTTTGCGCCCTGTGCTCGTCTGCCTCGTTCTGTCGTGCATGAGTTTATTTTTAACTCATCGACGATACGGCTCGTGATGCAGAGCACACAAAGGGAAGAGCCAAGGAGGGGCACACACGCGACAGACCGCTGTCCGCATATCAGCACGATCCAGCGTCGTCATTGGACGACGCGGTCCAAGGCGAGACCTTGTAAGGTGAGGCTTGATTCACCGTTGTTGTTGTTGGTATTGAACCGTGAGGGAAAAAAAAAGTCGTAACAGCCGTTTCATTCTTCATGTTGTGATTTCCTCATTTCTCTCTTATTGCTCGTTCTCCCCTTACTTCCATGCCGTCCTCTCGCAACCTTCTTTCACCTAGGCAACCACGCGGTGGCATCGCCAACGATACTGAGACGAAGGGGTTTCAACTTGTCCATGCCGTCTCTGCACCTCATTATTTTAGCGTACATGTGTTCCACATTAATTGTTGGTAATCAGAAACATAATACAAAGAGCGAATAGGAAGTAAGATGGTACAACAAGATCTCCATCGGGCCGTGCGATTTCTCTTCTTCTTGGGCGATGCCATCTGCCCAGCCGGGCATTCTTGCGTTATTCAAGGCCGCCCATCCCTATACACCGCCCCGTGCGACTACCATTCTCTATGAATTTCCTGTTTCGTAAAATAGTTTTCCACTCCACGCCTTCTAAGCGTATAAAGGGCATGGAAACCCGCTTTTCGACTACTTGTTTCTGAACACTCTTTGCTGTTCAAACAAATCCTCACCATTGCAATAGGTGACTTTATCGTCGTCTTCTTATTTCTCTAGTTAGAAACCCAAGAAGTTTTCCCAGTTGCCTAGTCTAAATTTCCGTTCCGCAGGGTCCAAAATTCAAGACAAGTAGCCCCGTCCTGCTTCACTGCTGAGCAGCGTGGCACTGCGGCGGGCGTCCAAGAAAAGGTCCTCACATTCTGACACATCCTGGACGTCAATCTGAGTGCGACCGTTGGCTTTTGCAAGAATGCTACTTTAGTTAGCGACAATGTCTCGGATCCGAGTCCTAATTAGGGTTGAGATGGAGGGGCGATGGGACACGAGTAGGGAAGAAAAGGGGGGGGTCGGATAGAGCTGACAATAGTAGCAGGAGCAAAGTGAAAGCACAAGCCAGTTGGAGGCCGGCGCGAAATGATTCAAGAAGGGGGCTAAGGGAAGTGACTTTGAGTGTGCGACAGACGAGTACAGCTCGTGTAACATGACGAGGCAATCTGAACGACGAAACCGTCGAACGGGAGTCACCTGGACCCTGACACATTGCTTGGGGCTTTTTGGTGAGACGCCAGATGCGGGAATAGCAGTCGTGCTCCCCGTTCTTCCGTTTTGAAACATGATTGGGAGTAGACCGCATTGAGCACCGGGCGGCTCACACACAGGTAGAGAGCGAGTAAGGAACAGAGAAAACTCACCTAGCAGGAGTCAGGAGCTGTAAGCAATATCTCAGACTGATGCGCACGCCGTGCTCCGCGATCTCATCAAGGGCTGCATCGGTAATGGCCACAGCCTCGGTTGTCGCCCGTAGCTTAACAATGCGTTTGATCTCATCAGCCTCGTAGGGTGCAGTGGGGATAATAAGCAGGCGGGCCAGAAAATCGCTAGGAATGCCGTGGGCCGCAACAATGTCATCGGTGCCTCGGATCTTGCACATTCCGCGGTTCGACGCCAGAACCACGATGGGCGCAATTGGTGATTCCAGCGCCCGGTTCAGATAAGTAAAACATTCCACATCGAGCATATGCGCCTGCCGTCCCAGATATGTTAGCCACCACAATCATAAAATGAGATTCACTTCCAGCAATGTGTTTGCCTTTGTCTCCTTTCTCCTATATCTTCACTTATTTCCGTCCTAGCAACGGCCGCAGATTGTTCTGCAAGTGGTCGCAATAGGAAAGTGACACAGGAATTGTGCGCTTGGAGACAGAGCGGACCATATTGAAATCAAATATCTGCTTTGTCTTACCTCATCAATGAATAGAACTCCGGGGACGAGCTCGGCGACACCTTGGTCAATATATTTGCTGACGACCTTGTTGATCTCCATGCGTAGCTTCTCGGTAATCTCAGTCATCTTGGGCTTCATCAACTGCCCCATCATGCTCATGATATCCTGTCCGCCTTGCGGTCTAGCATTGGCGACATCGAGGTCGTGCAGCGTGACATCCTGAACAATCTCCTTCTTCTTATGCACTTCACCCTTGGGAATGGGTACGTACTCCTCAGCCTCGAGATCAAATTCGGTCGCATAGGCATCGGATCTGCCTACGCGCTTGCAGGCGCCGGTGTTGGCCTCGATGTAGATGACGTCGCCGACGGTGACGCGCTCTTTCTGGATCGCTTCGTAGATGCTGGGGTCCAAACGCAATTTCTTCTGACCCTTTGCACTCTTTAGACCGATCAATAGCGTGCTGATTGTCTTGCCGTAGCCACCGAGCGGATTCTCCGCCTCCTCGGGAGTGAGCTCTGTGACTTCGCCTTCGTAGACCTCCTTTGTTTCGCGGACCTTGAGGCCAATGGCTCGACGGAAGTTTTCCATGAGCATCTCTGTCTTCTTCACTTCGGTCGAGTAGATTTCGCTTCCGACGATGGGGCAAAAAGGGATCTTGGTACCCAATTCTTGGCTGATGGCAAGCGCCAATGCCGTCTTCCCGGTTCCAGGGCCACCAGCAAGAAGAACACCACGTCCGGCCATCTTATGAGCTCGAATTAGATCGACGACGACGCCGCACGACTGCGAGACTTGTGTTAGCTGCCTGCGTCTTCGCAGCCAAGAAGATTGTAGAGTAGCGTGTTTGTATACCTCGCGAGCCTGGGTTTGGCCGATAAAGCCACTGGCTTGTGTCTCAGCGCGTCCATCTGATTTCAGCCCAAGGCCTTTGATGTGAGTATGCGCCGCCGTGCGATTGTCGCGCTTGTTGCCCTTGACTTCGCTGATTTGAACCATCTTGGCAGCGGCTTAACGAAGCCTGTATGAGTCGAATTAAACCTAAATCGGCAAATTGGCCGTAGATTATAGAATAATCGACGGATTGCTGCAGATGGAGACGCGTTTTCGATGTTGGAGTGCGGTTGCGAAGCGACAAATCGTTTGCGATTTGCCTTCCCGTCCGCGGACGTTTGAAGCTGTCGCGACGCTGCGCAAACCTGTAGTGTCACGTGACAGCATAGCTTTGCCCAACCAGTAATTATGTGCAGCTTTGCTTCTACGCCTACCCGGTATCACAACTAACTTGATTCGTTTCTATTTTCCCGCGTGCATATATACGTTCTTTCTAGTTTTCCGTTTTCTTTGACACTGGAAGAGTCGCCTCTCAATATATTTGCCAGCCTTCTCTGTATAATGCTGCTTGGCAACATATTCACCCAGGCCTTAAAGTAACGTCTAGCAGAGACAACAGCACAAAACTGAGCGAGCTGCACAGGTCGGAACGAACATTAAGAAAACGATAGCTCTATGAAACATCTCTATAGAATCAGTCTATTGTGGGCGGTAGACGTTTAGTTCTGTATTTGCGCCTGCGCCGCCGCCATCCATGAGCATGGGTGCGCCCTCGGCCTCATCAAGTAAATTTGGTTGCGCCTCACAATCTTCCACTTTTGCTGCAACTTTAGGTGCCCTTTTCAGCAACACTACGCCGATAGCGCTGCCGAGAATCAATGCACATCCCAGGAAACTGACGAATCCCATCCTGTGGCCGAAAACCCACCAGTCAAAGCTCGCAGCAAACAACATATGAGTGTATATCATAGAATTGGCCTTGTTCGATTTGTCTTTGCTGAGACCCGTAGTGAGCAGAAATTGCATTATCAGGCCAAAAAGACTGATCAAGATGATGAGAAAGAATTGCTTGACAGAGTATGTAAATTTCCAGCGTAATGTAGGCTGTGAAATGTTGAGTGCTGGTGCTGCGCAAAGTATAATCGCACACATCAGAGTACTGATGACTGCAAAGGCGTTGACGGAGACGAGGGGATTGGCTTTCTTGCCGATGGCTCGCAGACTCGTAAAAGCACCGGCCGCACCAATAACACCAAGCATCGCAACAGCGACAGCGACGAGACGCTCACTCGCCGTTGCTTCATGGTCCATGCCCGGAAGAGCCCCAACTGCACGCTCCTCATGGCCGGAGGTTTTGCCTGAGTCGACAAAAAAGGTGGCAGGCTGTGCAATGAGAACAACGCCAAAGAAAGCTATTAGCGTAGCCAGTTGCTCCATTTTCGTAAATGGTGTGCGCATCGCAAAGTAACACATAATGCCGGCTACGCCGGGAGCCAGGAAGGTGATGACTGTTGCATCGGCCAGCGGTAGATACATCATTGAGTACCACATACCGAATATTCCAAAAAAGCCAGAAAAGGAACGGAGGAATAGTAGTAACCGAGCACCCTTATGCGGAATGGGAAAGTCGGCAAAGCCGGCCCTCCACATGTATATCGAGCAACCAAGTGCACTGAGACCTTGCCTGTAGAACAACAGCTGTACAGGATGCATGCCATCACCTTCTAGCTCCATGAATCTGGCGCTGAGGTTCATGAGGGCTCCAAATAACTGGGCTAGCGCAACACATATTGACGGGAGATTATTGTGCCAGAATTTTTGTATGAAGGACTGTCGCTGAGTGAACCCGGGCTGCCCGTTGTAAATGTCGGCGTGTGACAGCGGTGACAATCGGCCGCTAAGAACTGGACTTGGAGTCATTACTCGTATAGATTCTGGCATAAAGGCTTCAGACTTTGGACCAAGCAAATTTGACGATAAGCCATTTTGCCCATCGCTCCTCGAATTTGTTGTTGTGTTGTCGAGTTTCGCCTTGCCGTGAGCAGTAAGCTCTACCTCGGCGTTGGTGCCGCCCCCGTGAGGCATGATGTTCGAATTTGAATGAGAGGTTGGCGGGGCGAAATGAATGGCGCCACCGGACGTTGCCGATTTATTAAGAGCAACGCGGTTGATGAATTCTTACCGTCACTCGCTTGAACTTTTCCAGTTGCCAACTGATTAGACATGTCAACAGAGTCGCCCAGAGAGAGAGAGAGAGAGAGAGAGAGAGAGAAGGAGAGGAAGAAGAAAATGAAGGCAACGCTCCGGACATCAGCGAACCGGCAGTAGACTAGGATTTGGCCGGTGGCGGGCACCGGCCTGGCTAGGCCGTGCCGGTGGAGTCGGAGTATGCATCTTGGAAGGCGAAGTTTGGTTATGGTTGTGTGGAATGGTGGGAGAGAGGAGGAGAAGGAGGAGACGGTGGAACCGTTTGGCTGCAACGACAAGTGATAATGCAACTAGCGAGAGCCTAATGATGGCCGTGCTGGCTGTATTGGGCAGTTGGCAGCGGTGGCCGCCCGATATCGCACTAGAAGGCGCCTATGGCGTATTTTATGCAAAAAAAGATTCTTGACTGCCAAACCGCTCCCGAAGCGATGATCATTGCCAGGTCGATATACAGCCTGGCTGCGTCGTGGTCGCCGACCTTGGCTGGTTCTTGGCAACGAGAGAAATCGGCGGCTTCTCCATGCCGGGCAAAAGCTCGGAGATGGCAGAGCCCGGCAATTTAGCCGCACATGACCCATCAGCTTCTGAAACATTTTAGACGAAACAACATCAAGAAACATGCAAGTCCATTTCATCTGGCAACATCGATTCTGTCCAATTTTTGACCTCTTGTCTCCCGACAATGCTCTGTCGTTGTTGCTCGCTGCTTTGCCCTGAACCAACAAGTCCGCGACACAGTCAATCCTGGCAAAGTAATGGTTAGATTGCAATGACCGGTAGATGTCGATATCGTTTAGGGAGATGATTGTAATCGAAACCTTGAATTTATGAGAGCTATATCTGATAGCATTTGCTTCCCTAACCCGAACCTAAAACCGAAACCGAAACCAAAACGCCATGTCCATGTAATAATATCGTGAGAAGCCAAGATATAAGAAGGGGCACACACGCGCCGACGCATTGTGCTGCCAAAAATCGAATCATAATCGTAGCGCTTATTTTGCTCGGCGCAGCCAGGGTATCATTTCCTCTTTCCCAAAGCGTCCGCCTCAGCATCTGCATCGTCGTCGGCCTCACCAAGCTCCTCCTCCTTGTTGGTCGGCCTGCTGCTGCGGCCGGCGACGCTCGCCGCGGCTGCGTCATCTCCCTTTTGGCGCTTCTTCTCCTCTTCTGCCGCATCCTTCATGATGTCCTCTTCGGCGTCGCGCAGAATCTCGCGCGCCTTTTTAATCTCCTTTTGCTTCTCAAACACCTCTTGCACCTTGCCGAGGAAGGCTGGGTTCTTGCGAAACGCAAACTCGAAATCTTCGTATTTGATCTTTTGGCGGCCCGAATATTGCGCCGCGCGGGCCGCCTCAAAGGCGATGGACTGCATAAAGTCTGTGAGGATTTCGTCGAGGACGCGGACGGTTTCGGGGAGCGGGTTCTTGACGTCGCCGTGCGCGTAGAGCAGCTGAGCGACTAGGAACTCGTTAGCACAATGTTGAAGATATAAGAGGCCGCTGTGACCGGGATAGAGAGATGCAACATACGCTCATTGTGGGAAAAGTTCATCTTGCCGACATTTTTGCCGGCGCGCGCTCTGGGTTCCATCTTGAAGCGATTTGAAGGCGCGGCGACAGCCACGCGCTTGAGACTAGAGCAGGTCTCTTGCAGACAAGAATCTCGCAAGAGTTCAACAAGAACAGGATCTGAGCGATGTCCTCCAAAGTCTTGCGCAGAGTTGATGAAGATGTAATTGCAGAGTGCCTGAGAAGATGGCTTGAATGATGCTTGGTGGGGCACAGCTCGCTGCTGTTGACGTACCTTATGGTTGGCCGGCCGCGGCGAATCTTTGGTCCCCTGAAGGCCAGGTACCTTGTAACTGCAGCAAAGGCCAGCGCATCTCGATCTTGGAGCTTCGCATTGCCGTCACGACATTGCGCGAGAGCTGCAAACACCCATCACATAAGCGCTGTCGCCTCGAGTCAACCAATATGGTATGCCACGCTGTCCATGTCCCACAATGTCCCGGTTTCTAACACTTTGCAGTCGGCGCTCTTCAACTTTCAGTCCCTCCTCCTCGTCATCCTGCTGCTCATTTGCACGAGCACCTACGTCCACCACTTTACACCGGGCATTCTCGACAGAAACAAGAATGGGTAAGAGGAGAAGCCAGTTTTGAATGCATGCAAAGCTATTAGACTGCCAGCTAACCACTTGGCCAGTGTCACGGGCGTCTTTTGGAAATGTGCGAGGATAGGCGAGAGACTTAGTCCATACATAAGCATATGCTGTGTCGTCATGGCTGTAAGTAGAGCTGCGCTTGTCGAGCCGCCAGATCATATGCTAATCTAGGAATAGGTGTCTCTCTTCTTCGGTTAAGCATCACACGTGGCATTCTCTCTTACATTGTTTTTGCAATTCGGGCGTTTCGAGGGGCGGATACATGATTACTTACGAAGCAATAATGGCGCGATATACTTGATACCGAAGATTTACAAGTGAATAGGAAAAGGAAAATAAAATCTGAACTTTCTCCAGGGTGCTTCTTGAGCATTACTAATTCGAATGAGGCGCGAATTTTCCCTAGGTTCAAAGATGCCAACTCTGCAGTTTGCCTCATACTAGGCGATGCAGAATCTCTTTACCTGCTAGCCACCGCTCCAGATTCTCGGCCGTCTCTTCGTACCACCTGTTCATGAGATCTTCATCGACGTAGCCCATGTGAGGCGTCGTGAGCACCTTGGATCGTCCCGCAACACCCCACTGTTCGATGCGCCAGGGGTTTCTCTCAGGAAGAGGCTCTTGATCAAAGACGTCCATAGCTATGCCGCGGATTATGCCTTGGTGCGCTGCATTCAATAGCGCATCTTGGTCGATTAGTGCGCTGCGTGAGGTGTTGACCAGTAGCGCATTCGGCTTCATGATGGCCAGTGTGTCTGCGTTGACGAGCCCTCTCGAGCGTTCGCTCAGAACATAGTGCAGGCTGACTACATCCGCAGTGCGAAACAACTCTTCTTTGCTAACCACCTGGAAGGTCCTCTCTCCGAATTCATTTTCAATTGGCAGGCCAAGATCGGCTGCAGCCCGGTCTGCCTTGTCCTGGTCCAGGTTTGCGCTCCAGCAAACGACCTTCATACCGAAAGCCAGAGCACCGATTCTTGCCACAGCCGCGCCCAGCCTACCCAGTCCAATGACTCCGAGAGTTTTACCGGACAGACCTATCGCTAGGCTAGACTGCCAGCCTCCCGACTTGACGACGGCATCATCAAACGCCACGTTTCTGGCGAGAGCCAAAATCAGCGCCCAAGTGTGCTGTGTCGTTGGGTGGCTGCCCCCCTTTCTGATATCAGCTGGTAGCGGCTTGCCTGTAGGCCCCGGTTTGTCGGTGCGACCATTTCCGGGGGCCGCGGCAACAGTGATATCGAGCTCTTTTGCAACTTGGAGGTCAAACGTCTCAAACTGTGTGCCAGTGCAGAGCAGCAGCTTTAGGTTTGGCAAGCTGCGCAGCAATTGGGAAGGAAACGCCGTTCTTTCGCGCATCGCAGATATGATATCATACGGTCGAAGCTGCTCAACAAGAGCTTTCTTCTCTTTTGTTACATCTTGAGGTACATGGGACTTGAAGATGTCGATTTTGACGTCGGTCGGCCTGATGTGCTCGAAATGTCGTTGCGCCACAGATAGGTAGTCGTCCAAGATAACCATTGATGGTACCGCGGAGCCAGAGCTACGGCGTGTGTGCAGTCGCCGTGCATGATTCGCTGCCCGTATGACGGACTTTGGGGCCAATCTCGATGCCATTCGAGTAAGTAATGGATACAATGGATCAGTGAGTAATGGTAGACGACGCTGCAAAGCCTTTCTTTTAGGCAAGTGTATACCACCTTGTTATATAGATTACAGAGGGTTTACAATAGCTGATTTCTTATCGGCGAATGGCAAGAGACGTGATCGATGATTGTTGTAGGTTCGGCGTGTCGAGAGATGCGATGGGATTTCTGCGGAGATCCGACCGAACGCGGGGAAGTGAATCCACCCCCGTATTTAACTCCGAGAATCAAGAACAAGCCGCCCCTCGTTGTATTGATCGTCGAGTCATTACCTCGTAATATCATTTGCAACAAGCAAGGTCATCACAGCCTGTTAGAGGCTATTTGCTACTCAAAGAGTTGTATGGTATTTTCCCACCCGAGGCTGGCCGTTTCGAACTAGCTACAAATTTCGAACTAGGCGGCCTCTACTTCTTTCAACAGGCAAAACAGGTTCTGTATAAAGTCATCATTCGCTCTCAAGCAAGAATTCATCAGCAGGTATGATTATTTATATTCTCCGGGATGTCGGATTCTTGATATGTTGTCTCATCGAGGCAGTGGCTAACCAATACTTGGTGCCAAGAGATCGCCACATTCCCCCGTCTTGGCTGACAGCCACCAACCGTTCAGCCTTGTTTTCAATCAGGAACGGACTTGAACACCATTCGGCGACAGCGACCCAATGTAGAGCTCTGTCAAGAACCCCAATTTTGGGTGTACAAAGCTGTGCTGACCGACCAGGCCTTGCGCACTTGGTGTTCACTTTAACCATATCGTTGCCTTAATTAGCCCCTCAGTTCATATCCACACTGGACAAAGTGTGCGCATCACGCGACGCTGGAGCTGAGTTCTGGCATCTTGCAGCATCAGCAGCGCGGCTCCAATAGTGAGTAAGCTGGGGAAGATCCACGGCCCAGCCAACTAGAACTGTGAGCTTGGGAGCGCGGCAAAAGCCACCCGAGGCTTCGAGGCACCGGAGATGCCCGCCCGTGAGCAGGCTGCCGGGGTGGCGCCAGCTCGGTGACACGAACCAGCAATCTATGTCGTAAGCTGCATAAGATGGAAAGATGCAAACGTGAATCAAGGACGGGGCAAGAAGGACACAAGAGGAAAAAAAAAAAAAAAATGAACAAACTAAAAGTCGACATCAGACGAGGCGAACAATCAACAGAAAGCAGACCGAGCACGTGGGCCATCTGCCCCGGACCAAGTTCGCATCCACGCCGCCAAGTCGAGAATAGATGGCGCATTTATTCCCCCACTGCGCTGCCGCTTAGCCGGAGCAGCCCTTGGCGTTCCTCGCTAGAGACTAGGACACATGGCAGTGAAACTTATTTAACGTTGGCCGGCTATTTTTTTCCCCCCTGGTGAAGCGCAGGTTCGTCTCGTAAGAGGAACCGTGAAGCCGTTGGACAAGTCCCGAAAGACACGAGAGTATCCTCTCTGCTTCTCTCTTTCGTCTCAAGCTGTGTCGTTTGGTCAAATACAACCCTACGGTTGGCGTACAATCGGCACACACACACAAACGCCTTCAAGATGACGGACGCCCAAATCTCGGACAAAGTCGCGGTCGCGCCAGCATCCCAAGACGATGTTGGAAAGGAGCCTGAGTCTAGCCAGCAAGAGGTCATTGCTCCTGTTTCCAGAAGCAAGCAGTCGCTCTCTGACATTTTCACCATTGTAAGCTCTTGTGTCCTGCTAGCTGTAGCCATCGGAAAAGAAGAAGACACCTAGCTAATTCGACTGACACAGTTTTGCTCTGGTTTTGCCCTCATTTCGGATGGCTACCAGAACAATCTCATGACCATGACCAATGTCTTGTTCAAAAAGGAATACCCCAACGAGTACACCTCCTCGGTCAGCACCCGCGTCTCCAACGCGCTCCTCGTGGGTGAGATTCTCGGCCAGGTCGTCATTGGTCTGACCTGCGATTATCTCGGTCGCAAAACTGCCATCATTGCGACTACTCTGATGATTGTTGTTGGCGGTATTCTGGCGACGGCTTCTCATGGCATCACCATTGATGGAATGTTTTGGATGCTGACCATTTCTCGTGGTATTGTTGGCTTTGGCGCTGGTAAGTCACCCTCGGGATGAGCCATGGCAGTGATATCAAGACGCTGACATTCGATCAGGTGGCGAGTATCCCGCTGCTAGTGCTTCGGCTTCTGAAGCTGCCAACGAGCATACCTTAGGCCACCGCGGTCCCGTCTTCATTCTCGTTACCAACCTGCCGCTTTCTTTCGGTGGCCCACTAGCCGTCTGCGTCTTCCTGATAGTCCTTTCTGCTGCCGGAGAAAATCACTTGTCTACCGTCTGGCGTGTCTGTTTCGGCATTGGTGTTCTCCTGCCATTGACGGTCTTCTATTTCCGTCTCAAGATGCTCAACTCGAAGCTGTACCGTCGCGGTGCTATCAAGAAGAGAGTCCCGTACCTTCTCGTCATCCGCTACTACTGGAAAACTTTGATTGGAACTTGCGGAGCCTGGTTCCTCTACGACTTCATTACATTCCCCAATGGTGTCTTTTCCGGCACCATCATCTCCAGTGTCGTCTCCAAGACTGGCAGTCTGCGCAGCACCGCCGAATGGCAGCTGCTCCTTGACTCTATTGCTCTTCCTGGCGTACTTCTCGGTGCATTCTTCTGCGATCGCCTTGGTCGCAAGAATGTCATGATGATTGGTTTCTCTGGCTATTTGATCTTTGGTCTCATCATCGGTCTCGCCTACGACAAAGTTGTCAACATTATCCCACTCTTCGTCATCTTTTACGGCCTCATGCTCAGCTTCGGCAACTTTGGTCCCGGCGATATGCTGGGCCTCATCTCCTCAGAAAGCTACGCCACCAGTGTTAGAGGTACATGTTATGGCCTTAGTGCTGCAGTTGGAAAGGCTGGTGCTGCCATTGGTACCGAAGCTTTCAAGCCTATCCAGGAGAACCTCGGCAAGAAGTGGACTTTTATCATTGCTGCTATTTGCGGTGTCGCTGGCATTCTCGTCACCTTCTTCTTTGTCCCCAAGCTTACCGGTGAAGACCTGTCTAAGGAGGATGAAAAGTTTAGAGCTTACCTACTGAACAATGGTTGGAATGGTGAGATGGGCGAGCAAGACTTGGCCGCGCTTGCTAAAGATGTTCACTATGTTGAGACCCCATCCAAGGAGGGAGGGTATGATGAAAAGACCGCGTTGCAATCATAATTTCTGATGCCGCCGTGCGCCGTTTAATCACACACGACATGATACCCGCCACAACTGGCAGCAAGCAAAGATTGAGATTATTCCAATATTCGCACGTGTTATATGTGCCGATGTACATGCCTCCCTAAACTGTTCAATTTCCTGAATATAGCAATGTGTCATGTGGAGTACCTTTTCTTCTTTTCTTTTTTCTTTCTTTTTTCGATCTTCGATCTTGATTGTGAGGCCCTCATCTACGCGGCACTTGGCCTCAGTCCCTTGAAGCTTTTTGTGATATTTGTAATTGCCTCTTCGACGGGCAGTCGCTCCATGGAGCTCGCACCATAAAAGCCATGCACACCCCTGGTTCTGCCCAGCACATAGGAAGCATCCTCCGGAGCCGCGATCGGTCCTCCGTGACAGAGCACTAGGATGTCCGGGCTGATGGCGACGGCCGCATCTCGGATCTGCTGGATGAGCCTGATGCTCTCGTCGAGCGTCTTGCCGGAAGCGGCGCCGATGGAGCCGCTGGTCGTGAGGCCCATGTGCGCGACGAGAATGTCAGCGCCGGCTGTCGCCATCTTCTGTGCCTCTTCGACATTAAAGACGTATGGCGTGGTGAGCAGGTCCATCTCATGAGCCGCGCGAATCATGTCCACCTCGAGGTCATATGACATGCCTGTTTCTTCTAGATTGGCGCGAAACTGGCCGTCAATGAGGCCAACAGTGGGAAAGTTTTGCACGCCTGCGAAGCCGAGGTCTCGCAGCTGGGAGAGAAAGTGGTTGGTGTTGAGGAAGGGATCCGTGCCACAAACTCCGGCAATGACGGGTGTGTGGTTGACAACTGGAAGAACTTCCTTGGCCTAAGGAAACTGTTAGTAGATGTCGTAGAAGCTAGCTAGCGTGAGTGAATGTCGTTGGGTAATGGCTGTTACTCACCATATCAAGGACAACATCGTTCGCATTGCCGTATGGCATCAATCCTGAAAGCGAGCCACGGCCTGCCATGCGGAAGCGGCCACTGTTGTAGATGATGACCAAATCGCCGCCGCCAGCCTCGATGAACTTGGCAGAAAGACCAATACCGGCGCCAGCACCGACAATGGGTTTGCCCTCAGCGATCTGCGCTCGGAGGTTGGCTAGAATTTCTTGTCGGTCCGTCGGAGGCGCCATGTTTATTTCTCAGTGCGGAAGAAATATTGAAGTTTGGAAATCTCGATTGAAAGAGTGCAAATGGCTAGGTAGAAATGCCTCGTATTCGAATGAATAATGGAAGTGAAGATCACTCACTGAGAACGACTTGTTCCAACAGCGGGCATAGATAGCTCCACCTGCCGCTGTCAGAGTGGAGTTGAGGCCTCTGTGTAGTGGCTAGCGAATGATCAGTTGATAACTAGTTCTACGGATACTGAGGTTCCTTCTCGAGCCGTTCAACCAATAGCAGGTGGCGCTGCAAGTCACCGTTGGCAGTGCAGCGTGCAGCTGCTCTCGCCCGTACCATCAACATCATTGCATCATCAACTGCGGCAGTAATATTCCGCTTGATAAACTATCAATCTCATTCAACCCCGACCGATAGCGTATCTTTTCGTGCGTTTTGATTCGCATTGACATTTACACGCCGAAATATCACTTGGTGAACCCGCCACAGCGCCATCTTTCCTCGCGGCTCAACGTCGTCCCAATCTGCAATATGCCGACTGTAGCAGTAATCGGAACTTGTGACACCAAATTCGACGAACTGCAGTTCCTGCGCGATCGAGTACTGGAGAATGGAGACATCAAGACCATTCTGATTGACGTGGGCTGGCGAGCGACGGAAAATAGTGACATCACGATATCGCAGCCGACACTCATCCATGAATATGGCGACGGGAAAGATGTCTCGTCGCTCTCTCGAGGACAATTCATCGAATTCATTTCTACTTGCGCAGCTAAAGCTGTCAAAAAACTCTATGAGAGTCATTCTATTGATGGAATCGTTTCAGCCGGTGGTTCAGGAGGTACCTCGCTGGTCTCATCGATCATGAGAGATGTGCTGCCCATCGGCTTTCCAAAGTTGATTGTCTCAACCATCGCTAGCGGCAATACGGAGCCAATCGTTGGCGAAACAGACATTGCACTCATGTACTCGGTTGTTGACGTCGCAGGGTTGAACGACGTCTTGAAAGGAATTTTAAGCAATGCCGGCGCAGCCATCGGCGCAGCAGCTGCATCGTGGTCCAAAAGAAGACTTGCAGCGCCGAATGAAGACTCGAAATCGTCTGGCAAAAAGCGTGTCGGCATAACCATGTTTGGCGTTACAACTCCCGGTGTAGATGCTATCCGCTCACATCTCGAAAGCAATTACCCGATTGAGACTTATATCTTTCATGCCACTGGTCGTGGTGGCAAAGCCATGGAACGATTGTGTCGAGAAGGACTGCTGGATGCCGTGATTGACCTCACGACAACCGAGATTGCAGACTACATTGCCGTTGGTGTGATGCCGGCTGCCGAGGATCGCCTCGACGCTGCCATTGAAAAAGGCATCCCAAATATCGTTTCTCTTGGCGCGACAGACATGATCAATTTTGGGGCACGAGACACGGTTCCGGACTCGTTTAAAGAGCGCACCATTGTCGAGCACAACTCGCTCGTGACGATTGTGCGTACATCGCCGAAAGAGTGTGCAGAAATTGGTAGATTTATCGCCGACAAGTTGCGAAGAACAAACGTCCCAGAGAAAACGCAAGTCTGGATTCCCAAAGGCGGCGTGAGTATGCTGGCCGTCCAAGGGCAGCCCTTTGCCGATGCAGAAGCTGATGCCGCACTGTTCAACGCGGTCCGGGAAGGACTAAAGGACACAGATATAGAGATTATGGAAGATGAGAGGGACATTAATGATGCAGACCTGGCCAAGGAAATCGCTGTTTCCCTGGCGAGAAAGTTGGGTCTCGAGCGGACAAGGTAGCTCGTATGAAGCAGCTTCGTCTTCCATCATTGCGCTGAGCCGTTAGTGAGAATCATGATGCAAAGAAGGGGCTTGCGGACCCAACAGATTAAAGACAAAATCATAGATACAATGCCCCGACGAATGATGCGAGAACCCGTCTAGAAACAGACGATGGTAGATTCATCGCCAAACTGAGTGGGGCTGCTATAGTAACATAGTAGCGGATAAGTCATCGCTTATCAATAATCACAACAACAAGCGTCGTTGGTCTAGGGGTTAGGATTCAACTCTTCCAAAGTTGAGGCACGGATTCGAGTTCCGTACGACGCACATTCCGAATATCTTTTTTTGGCTTTACCAATCAGCTCACTCTTACGTACAGCAGCTTGTAGAGTGACGCTTTTAATTTTTATTTTTTTTTTCTCCCTAGTACAACTAATTTCATGTTTTATTGTCATCTCTCATTTTACCACGGCGCTCTTGCCTGGATGCGGCCAGAGTCATGGAGCCAGTAAAGTTGTAACTAATCAAAAACCTTGACGATCTCGTACGCTTGGAGCTTTCTCGCGAGTAATTTGGCCCAGGGTGGGTTTGGCCAGAAACTCACCTGAACGCCACACCGAGGAGGCCCTTGCCCTTGCGTCACAGAACATGTGCATAGCCACCCACAGTCCCAAAGTCAAAAGGGAAAGAACAGAAGGAAGGGGGGGGGGGGGGGGGGGGTTCCGTAACTAATAAAGGGGCGGGAGAAAGTGACCGTAGCCCAAGGACAAGTTCTTGATCCCTTTCTGGTGACATTGCCGAAAGAAGAAAGATGGCGCATTTGTTGCAGCCCGTCCAAACGCTACCTACCCCCAAGTATCCGTAAAAGCCGACGTGTGTTTGCGTCTGCATCGGCTGTGGGTGTGCAGCGTCAAAAAGATTTGGAGTCGGCCTATGACGCGATGGCTTTTTTTTTTTCCTGAGCAACGCCATCGTTACATGTCAAAGTCCAAAAAAACGAGATGAGGGTGGGTGGGGGTGCGCGTCGTTTGTCTGCCCTTGAACGGAGGTCCGACACTCTTTTGAGGCTATTCTGCGTTTGCTATCGGTGTACGCGAGCCGCTGGACCACAACAGTTGCTGCAAGTTGACTCGTTTGATGCCCGCAACACCCACCATCAGTGCACCACAAGGGAGCTGGTTGCCGGTCGGCTATAAACCTTGAATAAGGTGAACAAGTAGGTATTTAGACAGGGCTGAATTCAACGGGTGGGTGTATCAAGCATGCACGTTTGGTGTAATCCGTACATTCCTCGTATATATCATCTGCATAGTTACATATGGATACTCGAATGTGGATTTTGTAAGATGTACCGTTTCAAAGTCACAGATGCATACAGACCGCTGAAAGTGTCGCGTGTCTCGGCAGAAGCAGAAACTCGGTCAAAAATGATATTTCCGGTCCCAACCAATGTCCATGTGTCATAAGTCATAACGCAGTCTACATGTTTTGACCTTTCTAGCTCGCTCTTACAAAGCGCAGCGTGTCGACACGAGTCTCCCTCTGACTCTCGGCCCCCCACAACCACAACCCTCGGCGGCAGACTTACTCCAGCTGCATGAGACAAGACTTTGTAGGGCTCATTCGATGGTCCTTTATACATGTATTACTCAATATTAGCAGGCACTTGCAACTTGCAGCTACTCAGTAATTGTGGTTCATATGCAGTTTTTACCATGCAGTATGCAATTCGAGAACACAAATAAGCAATTCGTCCATGCGGCTAACGTCCTGGTCTCCCCCAACAGTGTGGATTCGCAGGGTCTCTTGCCAAGAGCTGGGTCTGGTTAATACTTTATTTAATTGTTAATAGAGAAAGGACGCCAAGGGGTCAATCCGAGCTTCTGGAAGGATGCTGCCATGATTATTTACGGGGGCAGAATTACGCCCACAAACATGCTTCTCTGTTGGACAATAGCGAAAACGCAACTATGGGTGCGCGGGACTGACATGAGCTGACCCGTGGCCGCAAAAAAAAAAAAGATTCCAAAACAGTAGGGCTGGTGCTCATATCGGAGATCTCAATCTTGACTCGGAACAGGTCACCGCCTCAGAGTCTCTCTTGATGCCGATGCGGGCACAGAAAACCGCCTGATTGTGTCAGCTTCCCAGCTACTGCCAGTTTGCGTTTCAAGAACCAAAAACAGCTTTTTTTTCGTCTACAGTGAGACGCCGCAAGCAGCAAAGGGGAGCGAGAAAGGTGCTGCCCATTGACAAAGTCATGTGGCATGATGTTTGCTTTGACATGCAATAAAAGCACGCTGACTTGTCAGCAAGGAGGGCGGCAAATGATATAACAGGAACACCCAGATAATTTAATCAGGTCAGGGTCTCTCGCCCCCAGTTCGTGATTCGCGTTGCCACTAATAAACGCCACTTATTAGGGCCGGCGCAAGTTTATTTGACTGCAGGCAGGCAGGCCGACGACATGGCCAATATACCATTAATTACTCGCGGGCGCGACTTGGTGGCTGTTGCTCGAGTCGGTCTTTTTTCAAAATAATTACTACTGGTAGATGACCAATAACAGAGCCTGTCTGCGAGGTGCTGCGACTTGGGTCCGATATCATTCTACAATACGATACGATCCTCTGAACCTTGATTCGTCTTTTTATTACTGTTTTTAATTCCTTTTTTTTTTTCGGCAACGGCCATAATGGCGATCGTTTTATAGCCAACTTTTTGTTTTCTTTCTTTTTTTTTTCTTTTCACCATTTACAAAAAAGGACCTGACGCAACGGGCCGTCTGCCTTGATCAAGTATGACAACCAGTGTAATACTACACAAAAAAGTGCAATTTGCTACTCGTGACCATAGCGCCCGCGCCGTGAGCACCTGGTCATCCTGCTTACTCGTACGGGCTGGGGCGTGCGTCAAGAGGAAGCCGCGATCCTCTTTTTCATATTCGTTGTCATGTCTCCCCCCCCCCCTTCCCCTTCCGGATATCATCGGTGGCGAAGATCAAACGGCGTAAGCCTCTCTGCGTCTTATTTACGAACAAGGCCGCCGGATGCTCCCCCTCGTGGCAGAGCCCTTTCCAGCCCCAAACGGTCGTGTGTTCCTTGATCACTGATCACGCGGTGATCCTTGCCCATTATATTCCCGCCGTAGCACAAGGCCCTTCCTTTGTGCTCCCCTCCCAACTTCGGAACAGGACTGCGAATATTAACAAAAGATGGGATGTTGCTTGGTTGCTTCCGACCACCTGGTCTGTGTCGTTGAAAAAAAAAAAAGCGGCTTGTCATTTAAAACACGGGAACCCCCAGCCGCCACTAATATATAGCGGCCCGTGGTTCTGCGTGCTAGTTAAGTGGGAACTTTGGCGTCATTCAACAGCCAGGCTCGTGGCATGATCCGTTCACTTGACTGCGCCCTAGGGAATTTTCAAATACATATTACAAAGTGACATCAAACAGCTGCCAGTGGCGTTTGACTAAAACTCGAGGACTTTTCTTTGTTTCTTCCATCACCCGCTCCGGTCCCTGGAGAGTCAAGGCGTGACAGGGTTTATTAACAGGGATAGCTACGAAATTCGGATGCTCTCGCTTCAGAATCTCCTTTGCTGAAAAATCTCGCATGAGAAGTTATAGTTTCTGGAATCTAATGAGGTTAATGATGGAAAAGATGCTCACGTCGTTATCACGTTGTATAAATAAACGGTGTTGGTCTACTCATGAGTCGGCCGAGGCCCCGCTGGGGTATAATGTCGGAATGGGCCGTGGGTAACGTCGCATCTTTTTACTGAGTACGGATACTCGTAATCCTTTGATGGAATTGATGAGGCGCGCTCAGAACCAAGATGGGTGCATCGAAGATGGAACAGCGTGTGGATCGTTCTCACTGGAGTGAGCTTTTGTCATTTTTCCCAGGGAGTGGATAGACACATCCTCATCTTCTGCAGGAGCATGACTCTTGCAGTATCATGTATCAATATTTTTTTTGAAATGTATGAAAATAAATTTGCATTTTGGGGAACGTGGAGACTACAGTCAATTTCATGTGCATCACACGACCATGGCGGAGCGGATCTGCCAACCGCATTGTGAGAGACGCCCACTGTAAGACTATTTGATATGCAAAAAGAGCATTTCTAAAAACTGTGAGGGCGTTTTGAGTCGTAGGCAATAGCGTGACTAGGACGGAACCAACTTGTGTTGCTAATGAGTTTCGAGTCAGCCTGATATGCATATGCCACGTACACCGCCGTCGGCAGTCGGCAGTCGGCAGTCTCAATAAGGGAAACTTGTAAGGAATAACAGGGTAGATGGTCACGCGCGCCATCAAGACGAATTCTCTTGCAGATACGACTTTGTTGTTGGCTTTGGGCTTACCATCTGTTACAGAAGCATGGCTATTGATGACGGACGTAGGATGCTACATCACAATTATACTTCTTAAAATATTACTTAGGGTACTGAGTACAGTGAAGGTAATTTGGCTATTATTATGCCACCGCCGTTGACTAATGAGACTAGGGGCGGGTGTCGCCCATTTGACACGATGCCAAGATCATGGTGCGGTGATGCTCGGGCAGCATCTGCTGGAATACGGGGCTGCCTGTGGAGATTGCTAGATAGCCACCTGCCATTTGTTGAATTGGAATCAGAGTCGGAAAATAACTCTAGTCGAGTTACAGTAACTTGATGAGCCGTGGCGGTAAGGCAGACTTGAAACCAACCACGGCAACGTGACGGAAACACACCGACAACAGATATTCGGTCCTTTGGGTGTGTATTGTATATCAGTATCACAAATATCAAACTGCTCCATGTGCAGTCAGATTATGCAGTGCGAGCTGGCGCACGATGTTGACGCACGACAGAAGCCGGCCGAATCGACTGACGGAAGGGGCCGAAATATGAAATATTGATAGAGCAGCATAATGAAGTGGGGTAATAAAGCGAGCGTGAAGTGGCAGTCATGCAAAGCAACCAGTGGTAATTTTCTAGTTATAATTAAAGTTTGATTTGACAGGT